ACTTGACTAAGGAACTTCATTTTCGGATTGGCAGATGTTTGTGGACTGTTTGCTGGGCCATCGTCGTCTTTCCCCGTACGTGGCTCTCGCTTCTTTCTTCGGAAAGGGGAGAAGGGGATCTGAACACAATTGAGGGGAAATTGGATTGGGACAGGATCCCGACGTTGGAAAACAATTTCAATTTTTTAAAATTGGGCAGGTAAATACTTCTGCTACCATTACATCAGTCCATGTGGAATGTGTGGACTAGACACCTTGGTTGTTGCTTAGGCCGATCTTAAACTGGGTATCGATTCAATAAAGTGGTGCCTTTGAAAATCTCGCAACAACCAAGGCTAATTCTGTGAAGAGGGATTCATGTGTCACCACGGGTATTGTGTCGTATGAGAAATTTAAAAGAAGAAGTACAACTAGTAAAATCAATCTAGTAGAAGTTGTGAAAATAGCAGGCTACTAATTGCAAGCAATTTAGTAGACCTCTACGTGCCATTGCTTGGCCTTCTTCAAGCCCTTGAGCCACTCGTCGTAGTCAAGACCCTTCTTCTCGGCGACACCCTTAAGCATGTCTTGGATTCCGGGCATCATTCCCTTAAGACCGCAGAAATAGATGTGGGCACCATTCTCCAACTTGGAGAAGACTTCATCGGCGTATTCCTCGACCTTGTCTTGGATGTACATCTTTCCTCCAGCCTTGTTGGTTTGTTCACGGGAAAGAGCGTAGTCAAGACGGAAGTTTTCAGGGAACTTCTTCTTTGCTTCTTGGAATTCGTCATCGTAAAGGAGGGCGTCGCTGTTGGCAACACCAAGGAAGAGCCATGCCTCACCCTTGTAGGCCTTAGCGGCAGGGGTGTCTTCGAAAAAGAGACGGCGGATGAATCCACGGTAAGGGGCAATTCCGGTTCCGGTGGCAACCATGATGTAGTCAGTGGAAGGGTCTTCTTCGGGCATAAGCATAACCTTTCCTGCAGGTCCGGTCATCTTGATTTCAGTTCCTGGGGTGCTGTCGCAAAGGAAGTTGGAGCAGATTCCCTTCTTGGCTGGATCGTCAGCCTTGAGTTCAGGGCACCAGTAAGTGGCACGACGGACACACAAAGATCCAGTCTTTCCGGTCATGTCATCACCGTAACGGGAAGAGGCGATGGAGTAAAGACGAACGGAGTGGGGCTTTCCGTCCTTCTCACGGGTGCCTGGAGGCATGACACCCCAGGATTGTCCTTCCCAGTATGGGAAGTCACCATCGTGGTCGATGATAATGTGGCAAGTCTCACCAGTGGCCTTTGGTCCAACAATTCTCTTGGTGGAGACAACCTTTCCGGTGAAGGGAGCCTTGTTCTTGAAGGTGTTCACTGGAACGGTGGATTGGTCGAAGTATGGTTCGGCCTCAAGGAAGTCTTCAGCTGCAACCTTTGTGCTGTTCGACGAAAAAGTGTCAAGAAAGAGTTCTGTGAGCAAAACATTAAAATTGTCATTGTGGATACAATTACAAATATATAGAGTACACACCTGAAGGCAGGTCGGGAAGCAGGGACAAAGGCGTTGGCCGAAGCCAAGATGGCGGCGATACAGAAAGCAGTCTTCATTATTATTTCCGACAATTGTGAGGTCGAAGTAGGAGGTTGCTTGGCAACGCAAGGATAACGTCATAGACAGTGGATACGAACACGTACGTGTGTTGTGAAAATTCGATCCTCCACGGCGTCTGTCTGGCGCTCAGAAACCCATTTCTACCGCAAAAATGTACCAAATGATACTCTTGATGATACGAAGGCAAATGATAGAATCGCTGACGTACGGACAGAAAGTTTGCCATCTGACGTGTTGGTAGCAAATAGAAGAAGTGGAAGAACAGATGCTAACGAAACAGCTACGCAAGACTCTACGAGCTATCTATTACACAGTGCTTGGTTTGATATATGATGTAGCCTGGGTATCTAAGCTACTGTACCCTCTGCAATGGCACTGGTACAAACACCAGCACTTGTCATGAATGGTCTTCCCAAGAATTCTGGAACACCATACTTCGATGTAACTAGATGTGGAGCAATCTTCTCGAAAACCTTCTTCTTCCCGACCTTGTTTTCAGCGAAAGGCTCGGCATCCTCGCCTTCAAAGTTGAAATCTGGAATTGTGATTCTCTCTCCAACCTTGGCATCGATTGGAGGGTTGACCAGTCTAACATCAGTGTGATCACTATTTGAAGCACAGAGTACCATACCGTGACTGGGGAAACCAACCATTTTTCGTTCCTTAAGGTTGCACAGTACCAAAACCAGCTTGCCTTCCATGTCTTCAGCCTTCATATAAGGCCTCAAACCAGATGCAACTGTTCTTGGCTCGTCCTCGCCAACATCAATCTCTTCACAGTACAGTTTATCGGCCTCTTCGTGCTCCCAAACCTTGGTAATTCGTCCCACGCGAATATCTAAGGCAGTGATCGGTGGTCCCTCGTATGAATCTTTGGGATCCTTGTCATCTACTGGGGTACCAGTAGTGGTCTCAGAAGAGCTAGATCTTGATGCCTTGGCATTGCCTCCCTTGGTATCCTTCTTGCTAGACTTTTGTTCAACATCCTTTGGAGTTTGGAATTGCTCCGGGATACTGTCACAGAACGCCTTCAATCGGTCCATTCTTTCACTAACGGAAACAACGCCAGCCTTGCCAGCATCGATACAAGTGTCGTCCGCCGATGCCATGACTAATATTGCTAATTGCTGTGTGACCTCTTGTCCACTCATCTCACCAGTAAGTGCTAGTCGCACCGGGTGGAAAAGATTCTTGCCCTTGACTCCCATTTCCTTCGACAGTGTCTTCATATACTTCTTGTAGGCTCCGACAAACTCGCTGGGCTGAGGCTTCTCAGCGGATTCCACAATTTCGGATTGGAATGTATCCATCGCAGTAGAAGCATCTGGGATGGGAAATACATCTGATTCAAAGTCACTCAAGATGCGCGTGGCTAGGTTGTAAAAGTTGCCTTGCTCAATCATTGACTTTGCCTCGGCATCAGAAATATCATTGAACGTAGCTGGCAAATCATATCCAAAAACAGTCTTGGCATTTAGCACCGCATCCTTGGTTGTTTGCATTCTTTCGCGAGCTAAAGCAGTGGCAGCGTACGACATGTTAATGAAGGCAAGGTCGCTATCATCAGTGCCAACCTTAAGCATATTTTCAAATTCGAATTGTTGTTTGACAAGTTGCACAACCTCGGGAAGGGACACCATTTTCAAGTGTTGAGAATTGACCCACTTCAACTTCTCCATGTCAAAGACAGAAGGGGACTTCACAACACGCTCTAGCTCGAATGCATCGATAAGTTCGTCGCGAGTGAAAATTTCGTTGTCAGAACCGTCGTTCCATCCTAGTAGAGCAAGGTAGTTGATCATAGCATCAGGCAAGAATCCATCGAGTCGGAATTGGTTGCATGATGTGGCTCCGTGACGCTTTGATAGCTTTTGTTTATCCTCACCCAAAATCAAAGAGCAATGAGCATATCGTGGACGAGGGGCATCCAAAGCATCCAACACAAGAGCTTGACGAACGGTGTTTGTCAAGTGCTCTTCGGCACGAACAACGGTGGAAATTCCCATGAGAGCATCATCCACAGCGACGCAGAAGTTGTAAACAGGGACTCTGTTTGATCGCAAAAGAATGAAGTCTCCAACTGTGGCCTCGGCATCCCATCCTACGGTTCCGCGAACAACATCCTCAATTACAACACGCGAATTCTCGGGGACCTTGAAACGAACAGTGAATGGTTTTCCGTCTTCTAGCATTTTGTTGACTTCTTCCTCAGGGGCATCTCTCCAGCGTCCATCATAGCGGGGTGGGATTCCAGCTGCTTCTTGTTGTGCCTTCATCTCTTCCAATTCCTCAGTGGTACAAAAGCATCGGTAGGCTTTACCTTCCTCCAAAAGCTTCTCGGCGGCTTGAACGTAAATGTTGCCACGTTCTGACTGGCGGTATGGACCGTATTTGGAAATCTCGATTGTATCAGTTGGGCCCTCGTCCCATTGAAGTCCAAGCCATGTTAGGTCCTCCAACACCGATGCCTCAGATTCTGAATAGGCAGCAAGAAAACAAGACAATCAGCGATATTTGTCGATAAAAGAACTCTCCTGCGCGTCATTCGTTGAATGGTGCTATTCGATTTTGAACACAGAAATCAGCGGTCGTACCTTTGGTAGATCTAGCCAAATCTGTATCCTCCACGCGCAAGATAAATCCAGCTTCCGAATTTGGGAAATCTAATTGTCCCTTCTTTGCAACTAACCAATTGTACAAAGCAGTTCTGGCACCACCAACGTGAAGACTACCAGTAGGGGAAGGGGCGAAACGCATTCGCGGTGGCTCCTCTTGAGGGTCCTTTCCCTGCAATGGGAAAACGGGAGGCAGTTGTGGCTCTGAAGTCTCGTTTTCGGCAACTGTTGCTTGAAGCTGCATCGCGCCAAAACGGATATCTAGGTGTTTTCCTTCATCTTTTTGAAGACGCTCCACCATTCTGATTAGGGAATCTGATGAGACCTTTGGTTTTTGTCGTCTAATTCCTGCGCCCACAACCCCCTTGGAAGAAGAGGCAAAGGCGCTCTGACTGACCCTCGATTGCCTTACGAAGGCCTGAATAGAAAAGAAAGCAATGTTTTGTCAGATACGGATCTTTGACATGGAATAGAACAAAAACGCGGAATGAATTCTCTTACAGAAACTCGTCGGCTACAAGCAAGTGCTGCGAATACCACCATGGCTTGTCTTGACCAATGCATTGTCGTTATCTGTTATCAGTGATTTTGTCCTACCGTTGACCGAGAATGATAGTTTCTCTGTCGGTGATCGGGTCGGGACGAAGTGATGTGAAACCACTTTGGTGTGAGGAATCGTCACAGTTGTTGAACTTCGTTTGCTTTGTCTTCGACATTCCACGCGTAATGACGGGTGGAGGTCAGGCTCATTTACGACTCTCATGACTAACAACCATCATCTCATATCACCTCATCAATCATCATCCAACACACTGTTGGAAACCCAAACAATGGAACCAATAGATCTATATTCACTGCTCAAAGTGGGCCGAGATGCCACTGAAGAAGAAATTCATAAAGCGTACAAAAGTCTTTCCACATCTTTTCATCCGGACAAGCTCCCACGAACGACATCACCAGAAAAACGAGACCGAATCCAGCAAATATTCCTTGAGTTTAAACGCGCAAGTACGTTGAGATCACTTGCATGCATGTTCTCATCTTCCAACACTGTGTACTCAAATCGTCTTTTCGGTTCCACCAGATGATGTCTTGACTGATCCTGTATTAAGACTCGTTTACGATTTTCAGGGAGAAAGTGGTGTTGCTTTGGTTCGAAGAATACAACAGCAGAGTCGTGATCAGACGAGAAGACGAGAAGAAGAGGCAAATCTTTCCGATGACGACTCTGATGATAATAGTGATTCTGATGATGAGACGGAACTCAACCTATACGATAAAATTGAAATGTTTCTAAAGACGAATCCACTCCAGGCCAAAGCTGAAATGCAACGGTACTTTGAACAGTATGATTACAACCAAAACCTTACGGAAGAGAGCCAACTTCAACTCTCTTGCAACATGGAGTTCCCACCCGTTCTTAACTTGAAAAAAATGATGTACCAAGGCAGGGACTATACACAATATATTCAAAAGAGAACATACGCGGCAACACAGAATGCGTCAACTGAAGATCGAGAGTTGTATAATCAAAGAATAAAACAAGAGCAAGCCCTTGTCAACTACCAGCTAAATCGGTTTCGGGATACACAAAAGGCAGAAGTTGGAATTACTCTCACAAGCCAAGTTCCAGTAAAAATACAAAGCGTGACAGGTACTCCTGTCCAACCCAAGTGGAGCATGATTATGGGTGGAACTACAAGTTTCATCTATCCAGGTGTGTCCGAGATGAATGCCCTGGCTGGCAAGGATACAGAGGATGAAAAACATCCAGTTTCAATGTTTATTAATGCAATATATCAACCAGTCCCAGCAACTCAAATCACCATTACAACCAACATGACGAACACTCAATCGCATCAAGTAAGTTTCATGACGAATTCAGGAAGAATGAAGCAACACACTAGATCTCAACTTTGATTGCCTATAGCTGATTCTAGGGTCCGCACGAACCTTTTCCAATCGCTCTGCTTTCCGCTACAACATGACGTTTCTAAGCAAATCGCCTCTTGATACAAACTTGATAATGAATATGAGAAGTTTCCGCCATATCAAGGGCTATGGAATGGCCTCCACTGGCCTCTCTGTTGGTGGCAACGGAAAGCCACTACAGTGGAATGCACAATATGAAGGGCAACGGGGCACAGTTTATCACCAAAAGTATTCTGCCAAAGTGAATCTTGGAGTATTGCAAGGAAATTCAGTAGATCTCACCTATCGACTTAGACCACAAAAGTCTCACTGGCTTAAGGAGTACTTTCCGATTCCGAAAGCAATAGAAGCGACTGGCGTCATAAGTTCCTTTCCAAAAGTCACGGGAACAGTGATTCATGAATTCACGGTGCTTGCGAATCACCCTGAACTTGGGTTTGGAATGGAACATGACATTTCGTTGGGAACATGGACTTGGGTCTGGGAGTGGACCTATCAAAACTCGACCTTCCGAGTACCAATTCCAGTAGTCCGAATTGGCACTGTAACTGATCCCAACTTTTACAGTCAAAAGATTTATTCTGCACTTTACAGCTTGCTGATCCAAGCCATGGTTGCTGACTTATTCCAAGATCTCGAAGATCAAAAGAAGAGTAACGACGATGTCCGAAACCCACAAACCGAAGTTCAGAAACCAAGTTCTGAACTAAAGACAAAACAAGTCGCAGAACAGCAAGTTGCGCTGATGGCTTCTATTTCGGACAAGAAACGAATACAAGAGTCACAAAAGAAGCGAGGCGGTCTTGTGATTCTCCGAGCAACATATTGGTTGGAATTACCGCCTGAAGAAGAACAACTGGCAGGGCGTGTAGTCTCCATGGATGCCACGCGGCAGCTTCAGTTTTGGGTGGTAAATGGAAAACTATCGCTTTCGTCACTTCCCAAATCGTCTTGGCTTGGATTTTACAATCTTGAAACGGAGAATACTCGGCCTAAAAAGTCAAAATCCAAGATGGACTGGAGAGTATGGCGACGCTGGATGAAGAAAAGTCGCCCATCTTCTGAACAAGAGGCAAAGATGCCTCAGTTGACTGTTCGCTATCGACATGATGACTATGTATACGAGACGACTATTGGCGAAAACGACGCCACTGTTTTACCAAGCAACAAATCTCAGTTGCTTGGCCATGCTGGTTCGGTAGAATAGAAGCTAGAATAAATAGATTGCAAAAGTTAAACATAGCGCTAACACAACTATCATATGCAGTCAATCATATACAGTCAAGAGAAGATTCGGAGAGTCCAAATGGTGGCGGAACACGGTTCTTGTGACGCCATATTCGAGCAATCCACTTTTCATCGACCGCCGCACAACCTTCGTGTTCGGTTCTTTCGTCAAATTGTCCCATGGCATCGGCAGGGAAGAATAAGAGCGCGTCACCCATTTTCGGGCGAACGGTAAGTTTGTCCTCTCCTGCCTCGTTGGAATCGGCAATTGGCGGGAGCTTGCCAAAGCGAGTCAGACCACCTCGTGGAACATCGTTCAAGTATACTATAAGGGTCGCAAGCGTTTGGCCTCCGCGATTTGCATCTTCTGTGTCGGCCGAGCGATTGGCATCAAAGTGAGGTGCCAAAACTTGTTCAGGTTCGTATCGAATAACGGTCGGTGCCTCAAAGAGGGCAGCTTCTTGTTGCGGATTGTTCGAAGGAGTTCCCAGAAGCTTTGCCGCGTTTTGAACGAATTTAGTTGCCCCATTCTCTTTCTCGCTCATGTCGTCCAGTGTAGTGGAAGTACTCGTCCGAAGTGATTTCAGTCCTTCTGCTCTCGAATAGGTAAAGGCTGCAATCCCTGTCACGGCCAGAAGGAAGATCCCTGCGTAGTTCTGGAGAGCTTGGAGAACCAAACTAACTTGATTCGCGTTGGCACTATCCTTGACTTGTACCCATGCTGTGATCAAGGCCAACCAAACAACAGGTCCCTTTGCTGCTAGCTCCACCAAGTCACGAAAGTCTTCTGTCCAGCCGGCATACGCCACAGGCGAGCGTTCGAGGTTTTTTTCCTTCGCTTTTTCAACAATGTCAGCACAACTCGCACGATCCAAGAAATCTTCTATCACAAAGATATCTGGATTCTTATGAACTTGTTGAATTCCAGGATACTCTTCATCAATTGGCATTCGAGGTCCTACCATGGCGCCAGTGCTCACATATCGGGGCGTGGAAGTACGGGTTGGAGGATGCAACTGGGATTGCCGATTGTGATGATTAGTCAAAGAGGAGGGATTAAAGGATGCAGCATCTTGGGTCAAAGACAGCAGACAGAGAATCGGAAAGATTGGGTTCAGTCGTTCCATTTTGCTCCGCGATTGAAACAAGGCGCAAAGAGTTGCAACTGACAACTTTTTTTAATGGTGTTTTGATGGTTGATGGATTTGAATTGGCGTGCGTTGAGACAGATGAGTCAATTATTTCTTGATTCGTTTGAGATTCTTCATCATGACGATAGATGTTGGCAGTTATTTTTCCTTGCTTTCAAGCTTTGCTGTTACTGATCATCAGCCTGTTTCTACGCCTTGGTGCTTTGATTGGAAAAAAAGAGTGAATCCAAGATGAGTAGTTCAGAACAGTCGCCTCTTCTACTGCCAACAAACAAGCAATACAACACCGTTGGCTTGAACCAAATCAGTTCTTCAACAGATGAGGAAACCTCAGAACGAAAAGCAATGGTAGCAACTTGGACTATGGCTGCAATCATTGTTGTGATTATGACGTTTGCCATGACGGAATCTTCCAGTGCACACAAACGCTCAGCGCAACACGCTGCAAAAGTGGACCAAGTTAAAACAGTTTATTCACATCGGTCCCCTCAGGATGCTGCCAACGCCAAATTGTTCCGTGACGAAGAGCTGAAACGGGCCAGTGTCGATTCCTTTATTGAAGCCTTTGCCAAGGAAACCACGCAGAGTTTTTCCACGCACCTCTACAGAGGATCCCGCGAAAAACTACGCCGCCTGTTGTACCTCAACACGACGTCCGCCTATCACGATTTGGTGACGGATCGCAAATCGTCGGCATTGGACTTTTATCAATATGTCCAAGGAGGTTGGGATGCCCAGATCAATCAGGGATACTGCCCTGTTGCTGCTGCTGCTGCCGTATTGAACTCGTTGCGTGGGCACATTGAACTACCTCAAGATCCACTGTACATGTAAGTGTGAAAGTAACGACCTTTGTGTCTCTGCAGTTGATGGGGATGTGACCATGATCCATCAGCATTAGTCTCCATTTGATCTGTTTCTGATGTACTCACCCATTACGTTCTCTTCTCTCCCTCCCCAATCACATGTTCTTCACAACATTTCGGCTCACTCGTTCGTGCGAAGACCATATCCATGGGCAACCCAGTTCCAACTCCTACATGATACATGTGTGAAAGAGACTGTGCTGGATGTGGAAGATCCTAGAGTCGTTTGGGTTGGTTTGCCCTTGGAGATGGCGGCTGGCATTCTAGAGTGTCATTTGTCGCCTCAAGGATACACGGTTGAAATCTATCACATTGATCCAGCCAAGATTGACAAGTACACTACCAAGAAACTAATTCGAGATGCTGTATTGGATCCCAAGGCGCGGGTCATGATCAACTACGACCGTGGTAACATCGGGCAAGGTACGTGCAAAATGCTGGTCTCTCAACCGTTCTTTGAACGAAGGTCTGTAGTGGATCCAATCTCTAACTACAATATCACGATACGCTCTCATCTACCTCCATAGGTGATCCGGAACATGGTCATTTCTCTCCCATTGGTGCTTACAACTACAAGAAGGATGCTTTCTTGATCATGGATGTTGCCAAGTACAAATTTCCGCCTGTTTGGGTCCCATCAGCCAATCTCTACTATGGAGTTAGTACAATAGACAATTGTGCCGGCTTTGAATATCCTCAAGATGCACGAGTTACAGAAGAATTAGAGGCAGAAAACCCACCGAATTTCACAAGATGGTATGAAGCACTTCAGTGCGAACCCAAGTATCGTGGTGTCATTATTGTCAAGCCCAGAAAATAGTCTCTAAACTGTAAAAGTCTAGATTTGGGGTAAACATCGTCAGGGCGAAGCAATGTAGTCTTTTCGAGGCTAGTAAATTAAAAAAAGAAGCCAAACACAAGATCACATATTCTCGCTCTAGAAGCGAAGGGATCGTCCCAGTTTGAAGTTTACTACTTTAAGAGAGAAAGGCATCGTTAAAATAACAAAATGATGAGATAGAGTGTTTTGGATATTCCAAATATAATAATTGTTCGATCATTCCTGACCGTTCCTCTTTCATGAATGAATCAGTCGTGGATCGAAGATCGCAAAACTCGTCCCTTCTCATTTCATCGGCATTTCAATTTTGTCAACGCGATATGAATCTGCTGTGGCATGTTGCAGCCCCATTGGTCAGCTTGGCCGTCTTTGTGGCTCAAAAGAAGAATCAGATCAATAATTTCTTGATGGGTTTCTTTCGGGACATTGGTCGGATCAAGGCCAAGAACCGACGCCTTCAAAAGGCCTCAGCTATGATTGCTTCCACACCGACGAATGAAGCGAGCAATTGGGATATTTTGCTGAAACGCGATGATCCCTTAGAGGGAATTGACTTGGATGCCAACGATGACTTGTTGACAAATGGCGAGTCCGATCCAGATGCACCTGCAACATCTTCCTTGACCACATTTACTTTGGCAGAACTCTCAGAATATGGAAATGGGCAAAATGGCAATCCAATTCTTTTGTCCCTCTTTGGCCGAGTCTACGACGTGTCTGAAGGTACCAAATTCTATGGGGAAGGTGGGAAATACCATATCTTTGCAGGTCATGACATTACTTATGCCCTGTCAACTGGGTGCAAGACTCTGGAATGTGTGGACGTCAGACGTTCAGCTCAAGAAGCAGAGCAAGAAGAAGAATCCAAGCATGTGCTGGAGGACTTGACGGAGAAGCAATTAAAGGAAGGCAAGAGGTGGTTATCTTTCTTTCACTTACACGACAAGTACAACTTGGTAGGTCGACTGGAGGAAGATCGGGATAGTTGGTTGGATGCGCTAGTGGATAGCGACATTAAGAAAGATAAGGAGGAAGACCAAGGAGAAGAAGGTGTTCAAGACGAACAAGGAGTAGAAACAGAATGTGGGGGGAATGAAGCTAAAGAGAATGAAGAAGTCAATGCGGAAGGCGGAGAACAAGCAATCCCTGCAGATTCAAACTGAGTGAATCCAAGGAGTGTGTTCAAATGTCTTTTATAACAACTCATGGAAGATATTAAGTATTTTGTTGATGCATTTTCGTTGGCCTGATATGGTGCCGTCGTAGCTGTATTTGTGTTATGCATTGTATTATAAATTTTGTGGTAATGGAATGCGTACAATAGTGAGATTCATTCATGTGTGTGTTGCATTTTGTACGTCATTATCTTTCCCAATCACTGCAAAGTGCCAGAAATCGCCATTGCTCAATTTCTGCCTCAGGCAATGGCAAAGATGGAAACGAGAACAATGACAGCAACAGTCAATGCCACAGTTTTTCGAATCCGCCATATATTCTGATCCACAAAAGATTCTCGTTCTTGAATGATGCCTTCTTGGTCGCCCATGGCGACTTCAGTTTGAACTTGACTCCTACTCTTGTTTTCACCAACCTTGATTGACCCATTTCTTTCTGCCTTGGCCACATACGGGAAAACGTCAAATGATTGGTCGGTAGCAGTCCTTTGTTGTTCGTCTCGACTCTGTTGAATATACTCATCAAGCTGGATCTCTTTTTCTATCTTGGTAACATGAGGAAAGACGCCGAATGATTCGTCGGTAGCATTCCTTTGTTGTCCGTCTCGACTCTGTTGAATATACTCATCAAGTTGAATCTCTTTTTCAAAAGCAGAAGGATGGCCAGCGATGTTTTCCATTGTAGGTGTTTCGGCTTTCTCGAAACCACATTCTACTTCTTCGAGGAGTTCCTCACTATCATCTTGTCGACCACCAAGGTAGTCTGCGTCCTCTATCTCTTCCCGTTGAAACAACATTGGGTCGAATTCATCATCTACTTCTGAACGAGTAACATTCAAAAGAGTATGAATGCTATCATCTGTTGTGTCGATTGTAGTAGTCTTGTTTGAAACAAGGGCATCGTTTGTCGACATTCCATTGCCCTCTGACATACTCGTATCTTGCAGTACCATAGAGGTTTGGTTTTGCATTGTGACAGATGAACCAACAGAAATGTCCATCAGGCTCTGTGAAAGCTTGAGCATCGTATCTCGAACGGAGATGTCTGATCGGGCCTTGGCTGAAGTGTCACTCTTGGTACTTGAATTCTCGTTCGAACGGTTTTCCTTTTCATGTTCATCCTCCATAATGCTGCTGCCGTCGCCTTGAATGCTAGTACCGACAGTTTCGGGGTTGATCGTGCTGACATCAGCTCTCATATCCACAGACTGTTGTGCGGTCTGAAACGAGACAAAGGTTGCATCCTCATCTCCTGCGGTTCGAAACGAACTATCACGGTCAGTAAAGGAAGCTGTAAAAAGCTTTTCTCCATCACTCTTGTCACTGCCTCCGCTGCTGCGATTGATGTCTTCCTCATCATTGTGCACCGAAGGATCCTTGAGATTGTCTAGCGCATTAAGAGCCGCCATAAAGGAGGCGTCCATATTGGTTCCGCACATGGCACATGCCGAAAGCATCGTGTTCAAGTTATCATGAAAGCAAAGGCTGCACTTCCAAGAATGCATACTCGATTTGCTCGTGTTTGCCACCAATTGAGAATCGGACAAGTTGCGCTTTAGTGATCGTGATGAGGCTGTGGACGATTTTGAAACCATGCTCGTATTTTTCTTGTCAGTATCCTTCTTCTGGGCCCTACTAGCTTCGGCATCAGGAAATTCCATTGCGCCCCTCGGAGAGATTTCATCTTCAGGAGGATCTTCCATTCCATGAATATTCGCATTTCGACGCAACATTGAGTCATCAAAGGTCGAAACTGTTCGAATGACATAGCCTTGCATGTTCATGGTGATCTACTTGTATCCTATCGGATTACTGATTGCTTATTAAGGTTGTTCTTGGAAAGCTGTACTGCAGTGAGTGGAAGCTTTGCAGTGCGGTAATATATACAGTACTGTATATATATTTTGTACTGTACGGTTCGGCTTCCCACATCGATGATTTGTATTTCAAATTTCAACTGCATCGCGCCCATCAGGTTAATCGGCTGGCGCCCGGCGTGAAAAAGTCGAAGGAGTCATGACTAAAAAGATTCGCTTTCAAAGAGGCGGGCTTCTCGTCATCGATCTGAAGCGGACACAATCCCACAGGTAAACAATGTGGTTCCTGCGTCATCTATTGGCTTTTCACCTCTCGCTTAGTATATCCGTCGATCATACACGAGTTTCTGCCTTTGGTATTTCCTCTCCCTGTGGTTCTGTACGAATTGGATCCAACCCCGTTCAGCCTAGTACTTCAAACACCAACAAGAAGTATCTTTTGAATCAACAACAACATCAACAAGGTCTAGATTTCGCTACCTCCATTCCTCGCGGCGGAACTCGAATCATGGCTGCCTCTACCGATACTGCAACCGCTAGTGCTGCTCCCAAGAAGAAACGAGTCCGTTTGACGGCCTTGGATGGGATTCGTGCCCTCCTCGCCCTTCACATTGTTCTCGGTCATTTCTTGCGCTTTGCCAAGCCCAATGGCTTTCTTATGAAATTCTTTGCCCAAGTCAACCTTACTGTTGGAGCCTTCTTTGCCATATCTGGATATGTTACTGCTTACACCAGCACTGAAGTTGGAGAACAAAAGGCATCTGCCAAGTTGACAGATACCCCAGCTCAAAAGTGGTGGCTTTCCAAAGTTATGAGTTTCTATCCCATGCATTGGTTGGTCTTGCTTCTATTCAGTCCCATGTTTATTTATTCCGATCTTGCTGTCAAGGGATGGTCCACTGTGGCCATCAATGGTTTGCTTTCCGTCACTTTGACGCAAGCCTGGATGCCAATGCACGCCGAAGTCTGGAATGCTCCAACCTGGTTTCTATCGAGTTTGGCATTTTCCATGGCCGTCATGCCTTTCTGTTTGCCCAAGATTGCAAGTATGGACAAGAAGGCCCTCCGAAAGACCACTGGATGGTTGTGGCTCGTCAACTTGCTTCCAGTCTTGGGATACGTCCTGGATCACAACGTTTGGTTGGTCGAAGGCATGACAGCCCCAAAGCATCATCCGGCGTTGGCAGTGTTCAATGCCCAACGCTTCCATCCAGTATTCAACGTTGCCGAAATCCTCATGGGTGCAACTATGTGCCGATTGGCGATGCTCGATGATGACAAGGAAAACAAACTCCCCAAACCAACCAACTGGATGTCCACTGCCATGCCCCTTCTGGGATGCTTGGGAGTTTTGATGGCCCGAGCCTCTGGCCTAGTCCCTGACTGCTCAGATCTCTTGGTTCGCAGTGTCATTTTCACCCCGCTCTTTCTCAAGTTTGTCCTTGGTTCTCATCGCAACACTGTTTCTGGCGCATGGGATCCAATCAGTACCATTTTGTCCAACAATGCATTGGTCTGGCTTGGTGGATTGAGTTTCCCCATATTCGTCGTTCATGGACCTCTTGGACAAGTATTCTACAAACGCTTGATTGCTGGCAAGTTGTGGGGTGGAGTCTTGTGGGGACCACAATATTTTGCCCTCTATTTGGCTTCCGTCTTTGGAACTGCCATTCTCCTGCAAAAATTCTTTTTGCAGAACAAGGCAGTAGGCAGCTGGTCCAAGAAGAAGGTGGAAGACTTTGCCGCATGGATGTAATCATTTGGTATTTCTTGGGGCATTGTGGTAGACCACGACCAATGATGGTGTATGTGTTGCGGTACATAATACTAGCAGACTTGTATCAAATCTATGCTATATTTATACTATGCATTATGCTAAACGTGGATCACAATACTACCCTACTCTAAATGTATCCACAAATTCAAAGGTTCACCATGACGAAACGTTGATCAAACTTGATGATGGAATTTGACATCCAATTGAGTCTGGTGAAATGGTTCTCCGTCTTGTCTCCAAATACTGAACAAAAGTCCAGTGAATTGATAGGCCACGTACATGATACGGCCATCGGGAGACCACGAGAGGCCGGTTGTTTCGTCTGGGTAAACTGGGGATTCAAAGACTGTAAAGAAACTCCCATCAGCATTGCGAGCGTGAACTCCAGCATCCCTGCCACCTTCTTCGGTAAAGTAGAGAAACTCGGACGAGCCTTCTAGGACACGTTCAATCTGATCGGGAGTACCATCAAAGAGACCATTCACCGTAGACTGGCGAGTATAAGTCCCGCGATCTAGATCAAGAGTAAACATGTGTTTGGATTCCTTGCAGACATAGAATAGTTCCGACCCGCTCACATCAATCCCTTCGGAAAATCGATAGTACTTTTGCGCATTGGATCGGGCTCTTGATAGGTCATCAATCCACTCGTAGGTTCCAAATTCGCCAGTTTCACTGGGGCGGAGGAAAAGATAGTCTACTTTGCCATCTCCATGCAACATGCTCCATGGATCATTTTCCCAATCAGGATTCAAAGGAGTGAATCGGCGCAGGCATCCTTGTTCATGATCTTCGGTGACAAAGAAATGGGGAATCATGCGATTACGCACATCAAAGGCAAAACTCTCAAAACGCCCTCCATCCTTGCCAAGAGTAAGCACTTGAGGCGATCTTTTACCAGTTGGGTCCACTTGATAGAGCTGTCCTTCCGCATCTACCTCCTCGCAGGTGACCCAAGTATCAAAAGGAGTTCGCCCACCGCCACAGTTCATGGAACTCCTTTTCAGCAGCATCTTGTACTCGAGGATGTTACCATCCTTGTCAAAAGTAATTGCACCAACTCCGCCTTGTGCATCATTGACTTCTGAATTGCTGACATAAATCCAACCACCTTCATTGCCTTCACGTTCGTCTTGAAAAGTGGCTCCAGCATCAGGATTCAAATGGAATGTCTCCATGGATTCCCTACCATCATGATATCGGACTCGTTCTCCGGTGGTTGCAATGATTCGAGCATCCAATCCTTCCGAGAGCAACAGTCCAAGTTTTTGGACTGTCAACTTTCCTGGAGTATAGGTTTCTACAGCTGGTGTGACGGGCTGGACACAATAATCTTCTTCACTTTCATCGTTCAGCCCCCCATTGCATCCAGGAACGACCTCAAAACTATCTTTCTGATAGCAGATTAGACCAGGCTGACAGTCCGAGTCTGGTGGTATTTTTGGCAATAAGCAATAAGCAGCCATGTAAGCGATTTTAATAAAAATACGAAGCAAATAAAAAATGTCGGCTCAAATTTCCTCACCTTCGTCGCAATCTCCCTCACAAAGTTTCAAAGGATAGACCGCTGGTGGAGGGTCACCGCCATAGGAAACAAGGTCTGGGAGTGGTGGAAAAGTTGGCTCTCCAACCGGAGATAGAATCGGTGGATTTGTTGGATCTTCCACTAGAGATAGACTTGGTGGATTCGTTGGATCTTCCGCTGGAGATAAACTTGGTAGATTCGTTGGATCTTCCACTGGAGATAGACTTGGTGGATTCGTTGGATCTTCCACTGGAGACAGACTTGGTGTGTTTGTAGGGGCTTCGACTGGGGATAAACTAGGAGAGGGTGTAGCGATGTTTGGTCCTGAAACACAATAATCGGTCCTGCTATTGTCAATAATACCTCCACTGCAGCCATTTACGGGTTCATTGCTTCCTCTTTGTAAGCAGATCAAGCCAGGCTGACAGTCAGAGTCTGGTGGTATTAAAATAATAAAAAATGATGTAAGTAACTACAAATGGGGAATGGATTCCATCTCAAAGTTTCTTACCTCCGTCGCAATCTCCTTGGCACAACTGTAACGGCATTCGGAAGGGAGGTGGGTCGCTCCCAAATGAGATCAATGCAGGAAGGGGATTTAGATCTGAAACAGGAGCACTGTATGTTGGAGCCGAAATAGTAGGAGAGAGGGTTGGCTCATCGGTTGGTTCGGGTGCGGTTGATGGTGACGCAGTCGCAGTGGATGGAAACGGTGTTGGGGATATCGATGGCAATGCTTGCGGTCCTGGGATAGTAGAGATGGTTGGCTCATCGGTTGGTTCATCGGTTGGTTCGGGTGCTATTGATGGTGCCGTAGTCGCAGTGGATGGAGAGGGTGTTGGGGGCATGGATGGCAATTCTTGTGGTGTTGGGATACGGGGGAAGCCAGCCTTTGGTACACAATAATCTGTGCGTGAATTATCCGCTGCACCCCCAGAACAGCCAGGGACAGGCTCATTTCTACCCCGTTGAAAGCAAAAGAGTCCAGGGCCGCAATGATCGTCGACGTCGCAATCTCCCTCACATCTGCCCAAGGGCAGAAGAGAAGCTGGTGGATTGCCTCCATACACGACTAATGCAGGGAAAGAAGTCGGATTGAAGGCAATCGCAACAGGAGCTGCGTTAGTCGGAGTCCTAACTGTCGGGACTGGAAGTTGTCTCATTGGTACAGAGGTTGGCGACGTAGGAAAGGTTTCAGGAGCACAATAGTCGGTCTTGCTGCCATCATACTCCCCACCGGAACAACCTTGGACCTCTTCGAACTCGTCGCGTTGAAAGCAAATCAAGCCATCTGCACAGTGTTCATCGATATCACAGTCACCTTGGCACAAACCAAGCGTTCCAGGGTTATTGGAATGGCTAACCAGGTTAATGTGGGCTCCATTTACATTTCCTGCCAGACAGGAAACGGCTAATGGTAATGTAATATAAAATATTCTCATCTTGTTTTATGTCAAATGAGAATGGTTGTGGGTTCCTAGAATTTCATGGGAAAGCCAACTCAGTGCGTTCTTTGGCGGAGTGGGATTCCAAAAAATGAGGCGCCTTCATTCAACGCGAGATGTAACGGCTCGCCATTATGTGACTAATCCATTCTAGATCTTCTGTACGAGGAAGCCTTACACTAGTATTGCCGGAGAGGCACGAATCACACCATGTGTGTTTATCACTGGTATTGGTGAGTACCAAAATGTGAATGTGCTTCTATTTTCGTCGAGCACCTTTCCTGACTGAATTCACATCAGTTTTCCATTCCCGAATGGACTCGTCTGTCCGTCTACCATATATTCCCTGTCGCAAGACAACGTACAGTACGACTGACGTGATGGTGAACGCAGAAAAAAGGAAGGCAACAACTCATCATCGGAACAAACAGACCAACATGTCAACGGAAGGAGAAGAGTCTAGCTCTGCTGGAAAGTGTCCCGTGGACCCCAAACACAGAAATGCAAGTTCGCTGTGGAAATTACTAGGAGTTTCATCACCGTCGAATGTAGAAGAGAGCATTCCTGCGTCGTTGGAAGAAGCTGCCAAGCATGCTCAAGAACCGCTTCCAGGACAAAGACTGCCCCTATCCACGCATAGGGCATCCTCTTCAATTCCCCGGGGGAAGGTAGAAAAAAGTCCTCATCACCAGCGCGGCGAAGATGGAGCGGAAACCTGGGTATATCCTTCGGAACAGCAAGTTTTCAACGCTATGAAGCGAAAAGGCTGGGACCACGTCGAAGAAGAGTCAATTCCCTCCTTCTTGCAGATCCACAATGCCGTTAACGAGCGAAGTTGGAGAGCACTACGAGAGTGGGAGTCAAACCCAGATATCGAACTCGTCCGATTTCAAGGACGTCCAGATGCCTTGTCTCCAAAAGCTTGGATCTGGACCAATGTTCTATTCCAAGATAGGCCATTTGATAGGCATGATTGGTATGTTGATAATGGGGTCGACCATCAGAAACGATACATATTGGACTACTACATGACAGAAAACGCTGCAACCGGACTCCCCAAAGTGGACATTGATGTTCGTCCAGCTCTGGATACTCCAGGGGCATTTGTCGAACGAGCCCAGAAAGCCGCTGCAGAATTTTTCCCAGGCATTGCCAAGGAGATCCATAGGATGCAACAAACAAGACCAGCATCACCATAATGATACTATTTTTAGTACTAATCTCTACTGTAGTTGTTGTTTTCTGCCAAATGATATAAATGTTCAAGACCAAAATTAGAGGACACGTCTGGCACTTGCCCGTGAACCACATCAATAGACAGAAAGCATATGAGGACTCACTCATCACAAAATAAGGCTATTACCGGTAGACAATATTCGAATGAGATAGGAAACCATCATCAATCGAGGAAATATACGACCAAACACTCAGCTGTTGTCGCATTTGAAAATTGTTTGCTGACATGGTTCGAGGCAACTGGCAAAGACGTGTCGAAAAGAATGAAGCACGACGTGATGAGGCCAAACAGCGCAAACATCGCATGGAAGAGAAGAAGTTGTTCAAGCAGAAAGCTCAGAAGTTTTTAGCCTCAATGGATGAATACAAAGACCTCGCCTGGCAACAAGTGGAAAAACGATGGGAACTGCACCTCTGGGTGGACACACTGCCGTCGGATCAACATCAAATACAACCCACATGGGAAGACGACTTGGATCCAAAGGGCTCGAAGCGTCGGAACCGATCTACTTCGATCGAATCTGAGGGTGCGGCAAAGTTTGGTAAATCAAGAGGCAGAAAAGAAAAGAAGAAACACCCGAGGAGCAAAGAAGTTGTCGATGAATCCCCTGCAGAGGAACCATCGATAGTTCCTCAACTGTCCCAAATTCGATTCTTTACAGGACAGCAAGGGCAACAAAAAGGGGTAAAGAGAGGAGGCGAGAGTTCACACTCACAAATTCCAAAAGGATTCAAAAGTCTTGCTGAAGTCATTTTGAAGGGAGCTGAAAACAAACAAGATGCTAAAGCTGTTCTTGCATCCACTGAAGCGGCGCACCCAGATGCACCAGGTGACGAGGAAGTAAATACTGGCGAAGCCCCAATGATGGAAATGCTTTACTACTTCTCAGTCCCCGCGGTAGATGGAGCCGCTGGTGGTGAAATGCCTTCATTTTCTGAATTCATTGGGGATATTCTATGGAAAAAGTCGTGCAACATTGGGAGTATTGTCTATGTCACTTTCAATGGGACACTGCTGTTTGATAGGTACCAAAAAGGGCTTTTACTATCAGACAATGATCTTCGAACCTGCATTTCCATGGCGAAGTCTGCAACCAGCTCCTCGCAGACAAGTTCCAATCTGGCGAAATCAATGCCAGGTTCCGTACTGGAGTACATACTGACATTCTTGTCAGAGTTTGAAATTGCTGGAATGAGTTCGGTATGTAAATCCTGGAACAAGGAGATAGGAAAAGAGTCGGCAAATCTATGGCGTCACTGCTTGGAAAGGAGACAGTGGCCAGTCAATACATCTGAGGATCTGGAGCACGCTCCATACCGTCAAATTTTCCTGTCTCACTATGGTGTCAGGAGAGATTTGAATGCGATTCAACTGGGAGTATCCGATATACTGACGAGAAAGTCGCGTTCGACAACCGAAGCAGTATCACGATCATTTGAAAGTTCCAAAGATACACCACAATATCCGAATCATTCTGCAGGCATGGCCGGATGGAAAAACCAAGTAATTGTTGCCTATTCACACGAATGCACACTACGCCTTTTCTCTACGGCCGAAAAGAGTGGTGGAGATGGAGACAAATTGTGCAGAGAGCTGGTATGTCAAAACATTGATCCCTACAGAAACACCAAGAAGAGGACGAGTACACTTGTCGATCTTGCATTGGATGATTCTCGAATCGGATGCTTGTGCAAAATAGAGGAGGAAAACGTCGAAGAAAAGTCGACACGGTTGCTACTCCTCAACCTAGATGAATTCTTGACTTCTGATGTTGCGGAAGAAGAAGGAATCTTACATCAAATTGGACTGGAGAATGCAATTCTTGATTTCCTCTTTGATTACGATGGAATTGACGACGATCTAATGGAGTTTTTGTCGTACATATCGTCTGGTGGCGCACTCGAAGATATCATAGTTCTTGTTTCTCCAAGCTTGGTAGCTTGTGGGAATGGTCTGTTTCTATTTCATGCCTCATGGTCTATCCCATCTGTGAATGGTGTGGAAGGCGAAGAGTGTTTCTTCAAGAGGCTCTTCATGTATTCAGCCGGTGCTGGGGCGATTGTGTTAATGCAAAACGTCGGCTCAAACACTGTTACGAACGAAGCGCACGAAAGTTATAACCTTGCGTCACAAGTCATCACAGACGAAAAGGGGGTTTCCCATTGCACCTTTGCTGCGTCGTCAGCTGTCTCGTCGTCACTCACTATCGGATCCATTGAGACAAATGGTGCGATTCGGACTGACAGCCCCATAGTTGGAACAATTCCTGAGGGCTACTCACTGTGTCAACGAAGGAAACGACCGATGGCCATGGTTGGGTCCACAACTGTGGTCGCCGATTCTATGGTTGAAAACGCCGAAGACGAAGAATCCAACAAGACGTACAAGTCAATACTCTCCTTCAACTTATGTCCAGCCAGTGAAACGGATAGCCTTTCTTTCACCATTGATCTCCAAGGAAACTTGGAGGTGGTAGATCTTATCAGCTTTCGAGATGAGCATGTCCTTCTACTATGTTATATGTTTCCTCAGACTGGAGATACTGACATTGATGCGATCGATGGCCACTGGTTCGGCCCCCCTACTGAGGATGAATTGGTGTCATTGGTTGGGATTGTCTATCACGTTCCCAGCCGAACGGAAATACATCGGGTCGTTCTATTGAGCGATCAACATGGCTCACTGGAACCTCTAGACATCAGTGTACATGACGGCACAGTCGCAGCTAGCCTATGGTGGAAAGGACTACTAATGACCGGTGAGGATGTACGAGCTAGGCAAGAAGATTCCATTGCTGGTCAGGAGCTGGCAACACCAGCGTCAAAAACAAAGAAAAAGAAGAAGAAAACTCCAAAGAAGGGAGGAAAGAAGGATGGCTTTGCCCGAGGCATGAGCATGCGTGGTTAAAGTTAATACGGTATGTTAGTTATGCTACTTTACTTCCAACCTTATGATACAATGGTTTCAAGTGCGGTTTCATGATTTTGGGGGGAGACACGAGCCAGAATGTTCCGCCGACTTGGCAGTCGCGTTTCACACGATAAATAACGGACGAAAGGAACCACGATTGATTGAATCATTGTGGGAAGTATTGGCACCTACATCGTTCAATAATGGTACGCGGTCTTCAAAATTGAGGCACACTCCTCCCTTCCGTTAGTGCCAATTTCGATTCAAGGGCTCTGAGGGACTTACTCTGGTCTACAGCTGGTCTATAGAGGGTTACAAGTTATTGACAAAGCTATTATAGTTAGTTGGAAAAGGATTCCAACCATTACTCGGAGTCAAGACTTGTTGTTCCGAGTTCAGAAACCCATCATCAAATGTCCCTACAAACACCCACGATGCAAGTGTACCCGTTCCACAACGAAGATAGTGATATTGAAGATGCGGGTATCATTGACTTGCACAGATCAGATTCGTCGGTCTACTCAGAACAGCCAGAACCTTGGGTTTGCAAAAACTGCTCTTATGTGAACGTTGATGGAAGAAATATATTTTGTGCCATGTGCGGAGCAAAGAACGAAAACAAGTTCCGAGACGAAGCGAATGCTGCAGATTCGATGGATTCAGTCTCAGAATATGGCCTCGTCAACAGTGATGTGCGTTTGTTAGGCAACAATTCTGGCGAAGAAGGCTTCAGAAGTTTTCAGAGAGCACTCAGTGTACCTGCATTGAATTTATCCGGCCAAAGGCCTGGGATGGAGGATGACGATTCAGATGGTGAAGCTCAGCCTTTGAAACCATCCACTGGCCAGTCTGCTTATTTGTATCGTCAAGGTGCTGCTAGTAATGGTTTGGAATTTATACCAAATACACCTCAGTCCGACGACTCATCTGTAATGAATGGCAGTGTTTGCTCGAGTGTCGCAACACAGGCATCCATGTCGTCTACAATGGCAAATAGTGTTGCGTCAAGTACTGCAATGACGGGCAGTGTCGCTTCCAGCACCGCAACGCCTCGCATGTCAAACAAAAAGCACTTGGCATCAGCGATGCTGTCCAGTGACAGGCAAATGCAATCGGACATCAGCGTTGCATCGAGCGCTGTAACAGAAAAGGCCTCAAACAGATTACCAATGTCAGTACCATTGGATACCACGGACGAAGAAATCAATGCTCCATGGGATGTATACGGTGACAGGGCGCATGACGGAAACATCCAAACTTTGAAATCAATGCCGACCAATCCAGACATTACTCAACCACGGATGATCAAATCAGGCATCTATTCTATCGATGAGGAACAAAATGCAATTGTCCCCCCTTTCATGCGTGCATTATCTATGCCGATGAGACCTCAGGAATCGGACGCACTTTCCACCATCTCAGAACCTCAAAAACCAATTCGTACCAAGGATTGGGATCCCTTGCCCGCTGAATCAGTGGACCTCGAATCAAATCCAATTTCAGTCAGACACCGAAAAGAGTCAGAGTCATCACACTATACCGAGAGTACAGCTGGTAGAACATCGACTATGTCCTCGTACAATGATGAGCCTTCTCCAAAATCGGATGATCCGCAAACGATAATGATGCCAAGAGCCACTGTTGTTCCGCTTCGCCAAAATCGTAGTCCAGAGGGAGGAAACGATGAAGATAGACGGGATGAAGTGAATGAAAAGGAGAGGCGTGTTGCGATGTACCTGTTCGGTGCTGGCTCTCTAGTCGTACTCATTTCTTTTGTTCTGATGGTGACACTCATCCCATCGAACACACAAAACGCAGATTTTAACCTTCCCTCTTTCGCTTTCACCACTCCACCAAGTGGTCCTGACATGGTTGTTGGTAATTCAAGCGCGAATTTTGTCCAAACGCAAATACCGTCGCCTGCACCAACACAATCACCGGTGCTAACAGCACCCCCAACAACTACGGTTCCCACCGAAGATAACGGTGCCTTTCTTCTTGGCGAATTGGAGGGTGTCGAAGATAGCAGAAGGATAGGACACAGTGTATCTCTTGGTGGGATCGACGGAGATGTCGTTGCATTCGTTGGCGCAGGCACTGTTGGAATTTCGAAATTTGATACTCGGCATGGAAACTGGTCCTCGATTGAAACCATCGACAGCCTAGAAAGCATCATCCCAGAAACCGCAAAGGTTTCATTGTCAACCGAAATGGATAGATTGGCGCTGGCATACAATGGCAAGCTCGAGGTTCACGAATACTCGGCTTCCAATGTGGAGTGGATCCGTAGGCTTGTCTTGTACGATGGTCTGGCTGAATTCACAATAACTCACACGGTTCTTTCCATGGCGGGTGATGGAATGTTCGTCGCGTTTTTGCAACCTGACTTGGGTCTTCAAATGATTGATGTGAGAACTTGGACAAGCTATCCTGTTTCCACAACACCCAATCTAGCTATTTTGCAAGTCGAGGTGTCTCTGAATGGCAAAATAATGGCAGTTTTGACAGAAAATGGAGTAGAATTAAAGGTACCAGACCCATCAGGAGTTTGGGGAGATTTGGTAGAACCAGTCACAGACGTCAAACGAGCTACTGCAATTGCTCTATCGGGAAACGGAGAGACACTGGTAGTCACCAGCAGAACACAGACAGTGGTCTATTCCCTAAACGCAGGAGATGATGCAACATCAACTTTCACAATTACACAAGGAGGTATCGCACTGTCCATAGATTACGATGGCCAGCTACTTGGGATGGGAATGTCCAATGACATGCTGAACGCCGACCAGACATTCACTACCGTCTCTTTGTACCGCAGATCAACTGGCGAACAACCTCCCACCTTCGAATACGAGTTTCTCGAGGACATTCAGCTTGGAGATACGTCTGGAGCTTCGCTATCTTTGTTGACCACAAAGAGCACTGTTGAAAATAGCACGAAAATAGCTGTTGGTGCACCACTAGATGGTCGCAAGCAGCAAGGAAGTGTCCGACTTTACCAGGTTCAACATTTTTCAATAAAATAAGTTAATTGCTATTTCTTTTTAATCCTTTGATTCGTCATTGCATAATGGGTGGGCCAAGATAAAGACACGAGATCATCTCAAACATCGGGTAGGTTGCGTTTTCTTTTGTAAATTGGACACACAAAAGGGCCACCATTGCTGCTCGAACCATCTTCTCTACGGGGTAAAACTCACAGTCAGCTTCAATGGATGGAGGATACATGGCAGAGGCAGAAGGAGAAACATCAGCAGCTTTGCAAAACCGTATCAGGACAACATTCATTCATCCATTATCTTGCGTCTGAGTCGTTTTTTATTCGATCCCAAACTGCCTGATCTGCCGCATTGAATCGCTGCTGTATTTGCTGTACACAATCCCTCCCGGTTACAAGCAGGCGGGCCAGAATGAGGGGATCAGTCTCCTCACGAGCGGCTTCAAACTCTTGTCTAGCTTGCTTTCTTAACCGATAATTCCACGGAATGCCACTTTCGTCACACCTGCAACAAAAAAGTGAGGAAAGAAGTCGTTAGATGGTTCAGCGGGGAAAGATTGTTGGTAAGACTGCTGAATCTGCAATCAATCGTACCAATGAAAGTGCTTCGAAGTTCTCAAAATTTCCCGGTAGAGGCTCAAAGCTTCTGTCCGATGTGAGGCCAATTTACTTGCATGTTTTTGATTTGGAATCCATATTCTCGGCGGCATTGTTGCATGTATTCGTGCAGCTGTTGTGTAGGGAAGAGCAAGACCGACTTCTTTCAACAATCAAATCGAACAGAACAAGTATTGTGAATACGACAGTGTTCATTGTTCACTCTTTTCTCATTCCATGTCGGGTGACGGACAAACGTTGAAAAAGAGAAAAGGAGAGAAATGGAAATGAGAAACCAAAACGGAGTAGTATGAGTGATATCCTTGCATTACGGTGAATAAAGGAGCACGTCCATCAACAGAACACCAACGCAACATATTTGTAAGGTCGTTGGGGAATTGCCTTCTTGAAGTAGCCGTGATGACATTGATGAAACAGTTTGACACAATGTCAATTGCACGACTGACCATCATTTTCAGACACACCACCCATCGCATCAGAAGCTACGAACAAAACCGACACAAAAAGAGAAAATGAAAACTGCACCTTGGCACGACTACATCCTCGAGAAAATCAATGCTGCTGAAAGTTTGATCAAGCCTATGTCAGCTATTGCTGGAGCTCATGAACGATCTGCCTCATTGAGAGATGCTGAGGACAAGCTTCAAGAGATCCAAAGAAAGGACTTCCGACAGTTTAAACTTGAGGTACGACTCGTCAAAGATACAAACGAAAGACGCAATTTCGAGAAAGAATTGTGCCATGTACAAATAAAGCACCAGGCAGTCAAGGGATACTTGGCATCAGCGAAGGCTGGAGAGAGTCGCCAGCAACTTTCGATTGGAAATAAAGGGGACCAAGTTCTGGCACAAGCTTCATTGATACAGGATGAAACGTAGAGCTCGATATCGAACATTAAGCAAATGATCGCAGAATCTAAAAATGTTGGCACCTCATCGTTGGAGGAACTTCACGGTCAACGAAAAGTCATTGAGAAAGTCGGCAGAGATGCTGACAAAGGCAGTGGCAAACTTTCCAGATCACAGAAACTGATCAAGCAATTTCAGAGAGGAAGAGCATTCTTTCGTTAGCTCTGATGGATGCGAAGTGTTTGATTGATGTGATCGGTCGTGTTTGACAACGGAATGAAGTATTCATTTGATTTGAGCATGCACCTTTAGGTCGAGTATCGTACTACTAGCAAATCTCCATTTGTTGTTGTTGCCGCAGCGTTCGAAAGGTACCAATCAAGCCAGTGATCAGTCGTCCTATAAATAGACTCACAATTCCCCTCGACCATACTGTAACCACATCCGTTGCTTGCCGCAACTGCCAAATGGAAATGATTGTTGATATCGTTGTGCCCGCCGCCAATAGCTTGAATTGGTTGCCCCCTACTGCCAGTGATTCCGTCACCAGTGTCATGCTCACTAACAATTGTTGCCATGCCACTTGGGGCATCAGTGAATGCAAATGTCCCAGAATTGCTTTATCGGATGTGAATACTCTCGGTAGAAATGGAGCAGCTCCCAACAGGATCAAGGTGGTCACCAACCCTTGTACAACGGCAAACTTGAACATGTAGGAAATCAGCGATTTCATTTTCTTTGCTTGTCCCATACACCGACTGATCAAGACTTGAGCCGAAACAGCCACACCATCTAGCATGAGAGCAGAGACCAACCAACAAGACAGTGCGACCTGGTGGGCAGCAACGTGAGCGCTACCAATACTTTTTCAGCAAGGGAAGCGACAAAAGCAGTGAGACCCCTGTTTGTTGAAAATTTATCACAAGTTTGAACAAACATTCCCCATCATAATGGTATTACTTACCGTGTGGCACGAGCAGTGGCGTAGGCCCACGCTAATAGAAGACTTCCTTGCTTCAATACCATTGCAACATTGGCACCCATGATTGTCTTTATGATTTCCTTTCTGTTAACAACTGAAGTTGCGGATCGCTTTGGTAGCATTCCTCGTTTTCGCAAAAAGTGGAGGTAGGTCAAAGCAGCAGCAAGCTGTGACAGAGCAGTGGCAGCTGCAGCTCCTTTGACACCCAATCCAAGTGGAAACATTAGAATTGGATCCAGCACCAGATTGATGAGTGATGCGACCATACTGGCAATTAGTGGGATCTTTGTGTCACCGTACCCTCGAAATGCTCCTTCCGACACAACAATCGCCAAAACAGCCGGTGCCGCAAACAGTCGAATATCGAGGTAGGCAATGCCTGGTTTGAATAGTGGTGAATCTCTCGCGATGCCCATCAATCCCAGACACCAAGCTCCCGCAAGTTGTAGCGTCACCATGACGACGACCCCTAAAACAACCCCAAACGATAGCGATGTATTGACAATTTCTCGCTTTTCCTCATCGGTTGCAGCATTCCCCACAAGCGCTGTCGTAGCAGCTGTTGTAGCCCGAAACGCATTAAAGGCCAAATGAAATATGGACGTACAAGCTCCGAGTGCTGCAAGTTCAATCGGTCCTACCCTACCCACATACGCAGTATCCACCAAACTGAGCAACGGATCGGCCAGCATGCCAATCAAAGCTGGGACCGCCAGTTTCATTGCTTGTGGAGTCCAATTGTAGGCCTCCATTTCTTCTGGAAGATTATTTTCGCCCGGAAATTCTCCCTCAGTTGAACTGAGCTGCAATGATGTGGGATTTTCATGCATTGGTTGATGAATAAGTGAGAATGATGGTGTTTTAGTAGTAAAGAATCTTTTGGCTTCTCGATAGTGCAATGATTGTGTTTGGAAAGCCTCCGACCAAGGAAGACTGCACAAAATCAATGTGACTAACACCATCATGGTTACGTGTTTTGATCTCCCATTTATTCTCTTTGCAGCAGCTGAATTCATACTTTGGTTCCCAAACATTGTTGGATTGCTTCCTGTGTTCGATTCATGCAATCACTCTCCCGTCCCATCTCAATTCTGCGGTCGAAGCAAGGATCCAAGCTTGGAACTTCCTTAGCCCTTTGTGCCATAAATTTGACTCAATCGAATACCCTCGAACTCACGAGTCAGAACCAGGAGGAGCAATATTGCAATCAAGATCTAAATAGTTCTAGATAGATTTTATTACTTATGAATCTCTCGGAAATATGCTGTTTTGCATTTTATTAAGATTTGGTACAATTATACTGTATAATTCTATGGTAAAACCGAATCCCACGAAGTAAGCGGTCCAGCCATCGGCTTTCGGTTCACACATTGTGACCCGTGCTTCCTTACTGGTCAATTTTTCTCGACGGGACTTCAGCCGCGCTTCTCCTCCACACGTTTGCAAACTCTTCGAACGCTTGACGTCACCCAGTCCACACGAACCAACGACAGGTGCAACGGAAATGTGGGTCATCTGAGTAAACGCGGGGCGGCAAAGCAGGATTGAAGTCGATGCAATCCAGGTGGAGCTTGTTGCGGGGACACCAAGGTAATGATGTTGTTGTAGAGCATGAAACTATTGACAACAGTTGTATACAAAGGAAAAAAATTCATCAACAAATAGTCAATTGGTAGGTTGTAGGCAAGAGTAGGAAAAAATAAAGGAGCACTACGAATATTTTTACCCAATACTGTTCCGTACACTAGCACTTCCCACCACCACCATGCTACAGTTATCTATTGATGGGTATCTCTACTTTGCATGCATCCTTCTTCCCTTGTCCGCAACAACAAAGTATGCTGCATTCTCAACACATTTTTCATCTGTTGGCCGCAACATAATTCAACTCTCGAAATTCTTTGCTCGTTACTCTAGTCGTTGAGTATTGGAAGATAGTCGTTGAGTATTGTGAGAACGACTGGAAACGGTCCAAAAATTCAGTATGTTTCCCCAGAACAACGACTTTTACCTCACTTCCCCTTCTTCAATCGGAGGTTTCTTGCTGTAGATAAAGTACGAGCCCTACACCATTTTGCTGGTTTGCTTCCGGATTGAGTAATTCCATGGGTGATCAAAATAGCGGTTATGTCTTACGTTTTCCGTTGCGATCGGTTTTGAACGGATTAAAAAAATAGATGAAAACATATTCATATATAAAGCTTTTGGGTATATTCCAATCGTTTATTTATGTAGGTAAGTCGGATAAAAATTGGTCACGCTCAAAGTTTCGCGCCAGTCGCTCCTGTGGGATTTTTCAAATCGGTTTTACGTAGAGTCCTACGAGAAAACCAGATTTTTCCCCGCCGTCCGAGGTTTGGAATTAGATGGAGTGATCGATCGAGTTTGTGTTCTCTTCCACATCTCACACATATTTCAATTCAACGCACCAAACACCAAAACAAGTAAAGATGATGAAGTTCGCTGCCACCCTTCTCTGCACTCTCCTCCTTGTTGCCGCCATGGTTCATGCCGAAAGCGCCACAAAGAGAGACGTCTTTGCCGTTGAAGACGAGTTCGGTGCTGCCCGACGTGGATTGTTTGACAACCCAGGAATGGACATGGGCATGAGCGGAAAGGGCTCCAAGAAGTCTTCTTCTTCTTCTTCTGGAAAGGGAGGAAAGGGATCCATGGACTCCGGAAAGGGATCCAAGAAGATGAGCTCTGGAAAGGGTTCCATGGACTCTGGAAAGGGTTCCATGGACTCTGGAAAGGGATCCAAGAAGATGAGCTCTGGAAAGGGTTCCATGGACTCCGGAAAGGGATCCAAGAAGATGAGCTCTGGAAAGGGTTCTATGGACTCCGGAAAGGGATCCAAGAAGATGAGCTCTGGAAAGGGTTCCTCGTCTGGAAAAGGTTCCAAGAAGATGAGCTCTGGAAAGGGTTCCTCGTCTGGAAAAGGTTCCAAGAAGATGAGCTCTGGAAAGGGAGGAAAGGGAACCAAGAAGGACAAGATTGTTGACGACTTCCAAGACATTGTCTTCGGATCAATGAGCATGTAAATCTTCTCTTCTTTCACCTGATCCACTCAAGCACCCGATGGTGGCTGCTCCTTTTGTGGACTCGCAATCGTTGCGAGTCAGAGGAAGCGCGCTCTCTGTTGCTAACCAACCCCAAATTGTTTTTCACGTAGTAGTATATGATCCAACAGCTGGACCCACGCTATGTGTTTAGAATCCATTATACTATATATAACTGTGTACTAAGTTCCGCCCGTTCCAAGTTGATACCTACAATACTATTGTGTAGCTGAAACAATTGATTGAATCGTTCATGGTGGCTTATTTTTTATCGGTGTTCTCACTTGTACATGCACCATTGCTACCCTACAGTATTTGTTGTTTATTCGAATGTCTTTAGCAATACTCAAGCAAGCGGCTGAGGTGCAACTCATGTAGGATAAGAATCTCATGTAGTTTCACCAGTCACTTGGAATCACACGAACTTTTGAGTCAGTATTCATCAATCGTGGCTTTCCCCTTCGCGTCAGAAAAACTACCGGGCGTATTGACCACTACTGTGCCGTTCAGAACTTGTTGATGCATCTTGACGCACTAATTTGTACATCGTTCTATCTCTCTATGGATGACGGAGGTGCAAAACCACAAGGTAGCTAAATAGTGTGGAGTATCAACTAACATAGCCAGTACCTGGTACCGCACGATACAATGACTGCAATGACTTACTCGGTCGAACACTTGGAGTCACACTCCAGATGATTCATTCCAGCACATGCCCGATTGACAATTTGCGCTGATGGAGCGGCCAGACGAACGGCAGTCTGTGCTTCCTTCCAAAACAGCTCGTCCGATGGACGAGCATCCATCTCATCCCTCGCAACAACGCCCATCGGTCTAATACAACTCAAGGAACCATGAATGTCAACAGAATTATCTCAAACACTACATCACGACGAGCTTTGACCCTTTGCAGCAAGGAATCGAAGCGAAAATTTGGTAGTGGAGGAGGTACAAGAGGTTCCAGAGGCCATGGTTGGTGGATCAACTACCGAGCGGGTAAGGGTGGTCGTCACTTGCAAGGAGAATACAGTCACATTGATAAGGAAGAGCAAAAGGCGTGGAACGATGCTGTATTCTCGCTTGGAAGTCTAATGGCTTATGTGGATATTCAAATAGAACCCTTGCATCAAGATTCTGCTGAAGAGTTGACACAGCATAGATTAATTCTGGAATTGGCAACGGAAGCCTTTCCTCGAGCTACTTCAAACTTCACCAAACTATTGGAAGCCGATGCAGATGGATACAAATCATCTACATTGCACCGTATTGAAAAGAATGTTGGGATACTAGGAGGTCACGTTTGGAATGGTACAGGAAGGTGCCACGAAGAGTTTGTTTCACCTATCAGCGCCACTAGTATGAAGCAATCAGAACACATGGTACTATCACACATTCCTGGAACTATCACCATGCTTAGTCAACGGGTAGAGGAGATAGACTCGAGGTTTATGCTTTGCACTAATCACGCCCCTCATTTGGACGGTAAAGCTGTGGCGATTGGACGTTTGGATGATGAATCGTTGAAGCAAGTACAACGTTGGGAGAACACTTTGATCACAGCAAAGGGTCACCCATCCAACGTTGCTTTGCGAATCAAGGATTGTGGTATTCTCAACGAAGATGCAGCACAATTAGCTTAAAAGTTAGACTTGCATATAAATGCGCTAGACACCACAGTACTGTATATTTTCCAGGCCCGTCTTAGTTAGTTTGGCTTCAGAAACAACAATGGTGGCAGTATATCACACGCTCTCTGCTACTTGCCGCAATGTAATTTCAATTACATAACCATTGCAAAAGTGTGCTCTAGTATTGGCTTACGCTTATTGAATCAGACTTAGCCCCATCGCATGATGGTTGCTCCCCATGTTAGGCCAGCTCCAAAACCTGCACAGGCAATGACGTCGCCCTTCTTTACTTTTCCAGATCGGACTGCCTCATCCAGTGCCAGAGGAATAGAAGCCGCACTGGTATTTCCATATGATTTCAAATTCGTGATAACCTTGTCGAATGGCATCCCCATTCGCTTTGCCACAATTTCCATGATACGGATGTTGGCTTGATGCAGCAGAAGCCAGTCGACTTCGTCCACTGAGATGTCGGCAGCTTCAAGAGCTTCCTTTAGTACTTTTGGAACTTCACGTGTTGCAAATTTGTAGACCTCCTGGCCATTCATTTCTATTTTTTGGTACTTTCCAGAACTTAAGATTGTGTCTTCTCCTGGAGTGGAGATCGGTCTGGGAACACCATTGTATCTGTAGAGACAAAGAGAAGAGAAAAATACAATGACATGTCAGAACATCTATCCTCAACATAGGCCACCATCGTTTTCTGTTCGACGCAAAGCAAAGCAACTCACAAGCAATTTAGATCTCCATATCCTTCTCCATTGGAATGTGCTGAAAAACCAAGCAGGCCAGGTTCTTCGTCTCCTTGATTTGTGAGCACCATGGCGCCTGCTCCATCTCCGAACAAGATACATGAGTTGCGGTCGTCCCAGTCAACCCACCGACTCAAAGCATCGGCTCCAACTACCAAAACATTTTTCATTGTTGTTCCGGGGCATGAGAGAAATTGTCCGGCTGTGACAGATCCAAGAAGGAACCCTGAGCATGCTGCCGTTAGATCAAAGCCGACTGTATCTTTGGAGCAACCAATTTCAGCAGCAATGGCTGTGGCATCACCGAACATGTCATCTGGAGATGATGTTGCACAGATGACCAAGTCTAAATCTTCAGCTGAGATTCCGGCCATATCAAGAGCTTGCTGTGCGGCTTTTGCACCGAGGGTTCTGAGCTTTTCATCCCCCGTTAGCACATGTCTTTGCGAAATTCCTGTTCTTGTCGCGATCCATTCGTCGTTTGTTTCCACAACAGATTCAAGGTCCACGTTTGTAATGATAGTGTCAGGAGCAGCACTACCAATTCCAATGGGACGGCAGTTCATTTTACCCGACGACGCCATAAGCTCAGTATTACATCTGTCATTGATATTGATATTTGCTGTTTGCAAAGGAGCAAAAGCGGAAGCTCCAACAATAAGGTTGAGCAGCAGTGCGATTGATGACGCGCTAATCTTCATTTTCTTTTAGTATTTCAGAGTTATGAATTGGAATGCCAGATAGTATGCTCCTTGCAGTTTTGAAATAAAGTTTGGCAAGTGTCAGAGCGGAAACTACTGTGTTTCCTGCTCTCTTTTGGTGATGACAAGATCAGAGAGAGCCAATCCCTTGGATGTTTCGATTTTCGCGGCGTGGGTCAAAAATCCTTGATGGATTTGACGTGCAATTTTACAGTCGTTGTCGTAGGTTCGTACGTTCGGGTTGTAGGCAACGAGAACACGTAGTCGATTATCGGCTCGGTGACGTCAGTACATCAATCAACATATTTGTATTCTTATTTGAAATTGGCTACGGAAATGGAGAAACAACAATACGATAATTTGAATAGGCAACAGGACCGTGCCAAGGATCTTGCTCGCAACGTCTTGATTTCCGCCGACATCATCTCGGTTGTGCAAAGCAAGAACTCGCTGGAGCAATACACAGGGACAGAGTCTCGACAAAGACCCAACAGTTGATTCAATACTTGACAAATGAAGTTGCAAACTGCATTGCTGATTTTGGCAGCTCCGCATGCTGCCTTCTCTTTCACAGCGCAGACTAGATCAGGTGTGTTTGATGATGATGCTCTTCAATTTACAATCGTGGGTCACCGATCGGGGATGGTCCTGGACTATCTTTGAAGAGCTTCACCACTGCCTTGTTCTTCTGCCCGATGTTATTCTCGCTTGCTTGTATTATCCTTTCGTCAATTGGCCGACTGACGACTCTCTCTTGTTTTCCATTTTCAATCAAAAGATGCTTCATGGCGCCAAAGTACCTCTCTGTCCATGGCTGATAGACGAGTAGTTGTAACGGGAATGGGTATTACATCCTGTCTTGGAAACACGCTCGAGGACGTCACTAAGAGTTTGAAGGAAGCTGAACCCGGTATTTCATTCCAAGATAAATTTGCTGAGCTTGGTATCAAAAGTAATGTTGCTGGTGTTCCCGCCCTCACTGATGATGACTTCAAGGAGCTTATCCCCAAGGGTGCTCTTCGTTTCATGGGAACCAACGCCAAATACGCTTACATCGCCATGGATCGTGCCGTCCAAGATTCTGGATTGAAACCCGAAGAATACCAAGAAAACAGCCGTGTTTGCGCCATCATTGGACAAGGAGGAACCAGTATTCCTGACATTGTTGAAACTTGTGACGCAGTACTGGGAGGTGCCAAGCGCTGGAAAAATAAGGTTGGCCCCTTCCGTGTCACACGATCGATGGGATCAACATGCAGTGCCGTTCTTGCCACCAACTTCAAGGTGCAAGGTCCAAGCTATTCCATCTCCAGTGCTTGCAGTACCGGAGCTCACTGTATTGGAACTGGTTTCGAACAAATCCTTTTGGACAAGGCTGATATTGCATTTTGCGGGGCTGGTAAGTGAATACATTTTTATTCTAAAGATTCTCAAGTGTACTGGAGGTGCTCGTCGTCTAACGTTTCGTCGCTGTTGCTGTGCTCAATCCAATTCCAAAGGTGAAAATGTAAACTGGCAGTTCACAAGTATGTTTGACTGTATGGGGGCTCTCTCCACAGGTTACAATGAGAGTCCCAAAGTTGCTTCTCGTGCATTCGATAAGAACCGCGATGGTTTCGTAATTGCCGGAGGAGGTGGTATTGTTGTATTGGAAGAGCTCGAACACGCTAAGGCTCGGGGTGCTAAGATTTACGCAGAACTTGTGGGATACGCCGCCAACTCTGATGGTTACGACATGGTTGCTCCTTCTGGAGTCGGCGGACAAAAATGCATGGACGCCGCCATGGAAGATGCTGCCCGACATTCGGACGATAAACCTGTTGATTACATCAACACTCACGGAACTTCAACACCAGTGGGTGATATCGCTGAGCTTGGGGCAATCAAGGCTCTCTTCACAGAAAAGGGATACCAACCCAATGTTGGTTCCACAAAGTCTTTGAGCGGACACGCTCTTGGAGCTGCCGGAGTACACGAAGCTATTTATTCAATCCTGATGATGAACAATGACTTTATGGCAGAATCAGCGAATATCGAAGAGTTGGTCGATGAGGCCGAAGGAATGAGCATTCTAACAAAAAGAAAGGACGGACCCTTCAAGCGAGCAATGTCCAACAGTTTCGGTTTTGGCGGAACAAACTGCGCTCTTGTCTTCGACAAGTACGAAGAGTAAATTCTTTGACCTAGAAACACTACTTAAAATTACAATAAATTGGCTATCTCACTACTTCTATCGTACTAGAATAATGTCCAAGAACTTATTTTACAATGTCATTTCAGCTCAGATCAGCTACCGGTATCTCAGATCAAATCAAGCACTCTGAACTTGTCCTGCCGCACCGCACAAAATTTGATTCATTGATTGATTCATCCGAGTGGATCATTCATTGGGTGAGGGGTGAGGGCTTTTGAACCAACCGTGAATGAAGCAATCACTGATCAAACAAACGGTCGGAAATTTTGAATTTGAACACAACGCATTCTTGTTGTTGCACGATGGTTCAAACGAATTTGCAGGCGTCGCCAAGATGGAACCACTTGAACAGAAGAAGAACAAATGTGCGAATAATATTTCTTTCAATAGTTCTAGGGTTTGCAATGTCGGGTCCACTGTTCGTCACGCGGTCTTTGAATCCTTATCTCGCCCAGTACTCATACGAAGAATCGGCAATAACACAAATGCAGCGGTTTCAAAAACCAACCCAACATGATAAGGATGGAAATATATGGTTATGGTTCAACTATAGTCAGAGTCAGGCAATCCGCCGGCCTAGCAAACGGCTTCTGATTGTTCAATTTACTGGATTTGGATCATATGAAAGTCTTCTGAATCGCGCCGCTCCGATCAGTCAAATGTACGCCAAAGCTTGGGGTCATGATCTATTGGTGATGTGGGGAATAACCAAACGGTTGAAGAGACAAAAGAATCAAACTTTGCCAGCACATCAGTCAATGTATAACAAAGTCGACTACCTTCTAATGGCGCTGGAAAAGAGAGAACAATATGATCAGATTCTGATATTGGATTCTGATAGCATGATTTACGATTTCTCCGCCGATTTGACAGAGCTCATAAGGGGGGACGACGACATGTTAGTGGCGTTGAAGACTCATGAAGAAGATCTTCCTACAACCCACAGAATTAATGCTGGCGTAACCCTTTGGAATCTAAATCATCCTTTGACATGGCAGCTTGCCATGGACTGGGACGAGGGTTGCGTCGAAGCCATCAAGAAGAATTATTCACTTCGTGGGGATCAGTATTTTCTAGTGGAAGCATTGAAGAAAGCCAATCGGACAGCAGCTGTAAGAGCAGTCCAAAAGGAGTTCCACTATAGAAGTGCAAGTGTCATCAAGCATTTCATACGCACTGATTCATGCAGTTGGGAAGGGTCGAGTTTAGATGGACGCGTGGCGGAAATGCAAAACGCGTCATCTGAGGTTGTCAATCGATTCCAGCTTGACCTCTCGACAATGGTTTTTCGTAACCCGACTGCTCTCATCGATCCACCTCCATTACCAAACGACGGCCCACAACCTTCAGCTCTAGAATTTGAACCAGAGTGGAGCGAACCAGAGACAGCTTTTGACGATCTGGAATACAAAGAAGACACTCCTAACTGCTCAACACGTAAGGATCCAGAGTGGGAGTTTCATGAGTTTGGTGGCGAGCGATCACCGAGACAGGGCAAGAAGAAGCTCCTTGTCGCTCAATTCACTGCTTTTGGTCGAAACGACAGGTATCTCAATATGACCTCTCCAATCAACAAGATCTATGCCAGAAAATGGGGTCACGATTTTGTCATGTTGAGAGGTGCAGCGTTTAAAACTCCGTTTGATGGATCTTGCGAGCTTCCATGGAAGAGATCAATTTACAACAGAGTAGCCCTTCTTTCTCGAGCATTGCGGAATAGAGATGTCTACGATCATATACTCATCATGCACGATGGAGCTCTCTTCGCAGATTTTAACTTCGATGTTCAAACTCTTCTTGATGTCGATACTATCTTGGTGGCAACCCGTGCTAACAAATGCGATGTGACACATACTGCGCGTTTGAAAACCGAAATTACACTATGGAATCTAAATCATACCAAGTCTGAAGCCATCCTCCAATCTTTTTTTCGACAAGTCGGGTCCGACCTCAAGGAGGCGAAGGAACGCAACACAACAGCCCGAGGCGACGAGATTTGCCTCAGGAGAGCCATACAGCGGCAGAACATGAAGCAACATGTCAAGTCAACAGTTGAAGAGTTCAACGGTCTTGTTATCCAGAAGTTTGCCCACGCTTACCCAGATCTTTGGAGCACCAATGGTCTCAACATTACTGGCGGTAAGATTAAAAACGCAATCGCTGAGCTCCGCGCTAGATTCCCAGACGACTGCGCAAACATGACGACATGACTAGGAAAGGTGAGAATAATGGAAAGACGTTGAGTTTTTCTAGATGGCAAAAAATCCGTCTACTCTCATTCGTGCAGCTGATCTGCTATCCAACGAAAACATTGAGCCACAGCAAACCGAAATTCATCTACTGTGGCCAGCGTTGAAGCCAAAGCCGCTGCTAATGCAGTGGACAAAACCAAGCGCTTCATATGCAGCACCGGAATATCAGGAAGTCCGATGATGTGGTTATCCAAAAACTTGCCCTTCCAGTCACCGTAGGGATGACATCTCAGATTATTGAGATCCCAAAATTTCCCGAGTGGACGATAAGTAGAGGGGAAGGGGTGTGTAAAAGCATCGAATGAATATTTTCCAGAGTAATGACCAATTCCGCTTCCACCAAGACCACCGAATGGTAAATTATGATTTGATAGTTGCACCAAGCAATCATTTCGGAACGCAGCAGAAGACGGACACTTTTTTGTGTATTCTTCGAATACTTTATGTTGAGATGTGAAAACCGTAAACTGTAGTGGGTGACTACCAAGGCCATTGATCATCTTAAATACCTCCGATCGGGAAGAGAAGGTCACTATAGGCAATATTGGTCCAAAAATCTCCTCTTTCAATACTTTGGCCCCCGGTTTCGGGTTCAAGATCAATGTAGGGCAGATGTATCGAATAGCAGTGTCGCATTCTGCAGAGCTGCCACATACAACGGAAGAGGTCACATCGCCTTCGGCCTCTAGAATCATTTCTTGCAAGCGCTTAGCACTGGCTGCGTTGACAATTCTCCCAAGTTCCCCTTGTTTTGGATCCTTTCCGAATTGAGTTTCAATCGCATTAATAAGACATGTACATAACTCTTTGACATGGCTGTCATGGACAAAAAGAGTATCAGGTGCAACACAAGTCTGCCCCGCATTGTAAGTTTTCGTGAAGATAATGCGATCGGCGACATTCTGGAGGTTCTTTGCTCGAATGTTTTCATCTACAACCACAGGGCATTTCCCACCGAGTTCAAGAATGATGGGCGTCAAGGTCATCGCACAAGCAGACGCTACTATCTTTCCTACTCGTTGCGAGCCGGTGAAGAAAACTTTGCCCCATGATTTTTCCAAGAGTGCGTTCGTCTCAGGAATTGAGCCTAGAACTACTTGGGCAGCACCAGGCTGAAAATATTTGCTGAACAATTCCAGAATAATTTTTCCTGATTCCATGCAAAGCTCACTCGGCTTGATCACAGCCGGATTGCCCCCAGCAAATGCACCGATTAGCGGCTTAAGAGTCAAGAAGAATGGATAGTTGAAAGGTCCGATGATCAGTACTCCTGGCGCCGCCAGTGGTTTTCGATGAACATAGGAGAATCCTGGAAACATTGTCGCGCTCGACGGGACTGCTTCTGCCTTCATCCACTTCTTCAAATTTTTCAAAACAAACTTAATCTCATTTTCTATTGGCTTCAATTCCCCAGCAAGCGTCTCCCCATGGTGCCGACCAAGATCAGATTTCAAAGCTTGACAGAGCAAAACTTTGTTTTCTGCTATAAGCCGGCGAAGAGACTTGAGCTGCTTCACTCGCCACTCATAAGACAGATTCAAACCAGATGCATGCGTTTCCCGCATTGGCGTTTGAATCTTGTCGACATCAATTGCTGACATTCTCTCTCGCTGGATTCCAGGGCTGACGAGATGCTCACTATCAATGAAAGCTCACTATCAATGAAATAAGCTCGGGAAATGTTTCCTCTGAAAATGGCTTCGAAATATATAAGCTCACGAAAACAGGCGATTACAGACGCTAAGACAAACAGGTCGATACAATCCGGAATCGTGAAAAATCCGCTCCTTCAGGAAGTCAGGCATCAGGCACACAATCTCGAGACGAGGTTGCGGTCACGAGTAACGGTTCCGCATACCAAGGTAAGCATGTTCAATTGTAGAATGGCAACCAAGGTTTCAGTGGTAACGACTGAAGTAAGAACCACCATCAGTAGCTAGGTTTGTAATAATGCTGTCGTCACGACAAAGAACAGTAGTACTGCTAGCTGCAGGAAGGTGGGTAAAACTCCAGCTGGACTACGCTTGCTCCGTGCGACAAGCTACAGTATAGCCTCTACAGTACCGGTACTCTTTAGTCGCTCGATTTCGAGGAATTCAATTTCAATTCTCGTTGGAACTCGGGACTCTATCTATCCGGGACTCGCCCCCAGCTTATTGACAAGCTAGAAACACTTTCGGCACGAGTACCGTACTGTAGTTACGGTCGTTAGGATACTGCTGGCGACCAGCCTACTATAATACGGTATATTCCCATGCTTGCAAAAAGCAAGAACATACTGTAGACATTATTGTTTTTCATTTTTAAAAAAGGTTGTTTCCAAAACCATATCCTAGTTCATCCTCATTACAACCACAAGGAAGAATTCAAAGACTAGAAATGGCGCTGAATGCGTGGCCATGCTGCATTGCTTGCAACGCCATGGATGAGTTCTTTTATGATGTAAAGTATACGACGCTGTTTACCTGCTAGTACTACGACGGAATTATACGGTTATGTCTATTCATTCAAAAGTCAGATTCTCTTTTTTTTAATGTACGCTTACTCTTTAGCACTTCTCTCGAAAGTTAGTTGGAAAGTATTATACAGTAGTTGAACGATATGAAATTGGATTGCACAATGTTCAAAAAATAAAACAAAGGTTCAAGGATATTATAAAGATTGTGAAGACACATGTGACAGCTCATCAGATGGTTTTCTCGAAAGATTCGCAAAGATTCAGTTTTTGTACATAAGGACTGTGATATCCAATAATCATCTCACCTCGTCTTCACGAAAACGGAAAATGCACGAGCTCCGGACAGTTGCAGACAAACCAACAACCCCAGCAAGAAGATCAGACACATTGTTCACTGCTATTGGTACCGGTAGCCTGGACAGCTGTAACAGCAATGAAGTACGGAGAGCACTTGAAGGCCAACATATCGCCAGTTTATGGCGAAGCTGCATACTTGGACTACGACCGGCTCGATGATATCATCCGTGAACTATCCGACTTCGCACCAAGTAGGTAAGATTTTTTTGACAATCACTTGATTGCGAATCATGGTGTGTACTTGCTAATACTATAAGCTTGCTTCAGTGCTGATTTGGAGAATCGACAGGTTTCCTTGACTACTCCGCCACCAACCAACTCTCGAGGACTTGCACAGGATGCCCGTGGAATGACAGAGGAAACCTTCCTCAAGAAGATTGATGCAGAGTTGACCAAATGCGAAAATTTCACTCTGGAGAAAGTTACGGAGCTTCGACAGAAAATCGTGGAAGCTGAAAATATGATCGATGTCCAGAGTAATGAGAAAGTTACGGAGCTTGCAGATACTATTGCTAATGACTTTTTGACGTTGGAAAAATATGTCAATCTTAACTTCATGGGTTTTCACAAGATTTTGAAGAAACACGACAAATACCTCCCAAACAATCCATGCAAAACCTTCTATGTGTCAAGAATGCATGGACAAGCTTGGGTGCGTGGTGACTATAGTGATCTTGTTGTTCGGCTATCGCAGATCTATTCCCGAATTCGTGAAGATCATGTTGCGAAAGAGAACAACGATGCGTCTCAGTCATTCTTACGATCCACCACCAAGTACTGGGTCAAGACAGAAGATGTCAGTCGAGTCAAATACTTCATTCTGCGTCATCTGCCAGTGTTTTTGCAAAAGACATCGACAGGAGAAAGTGACTCTCAATTCACCAACTCTGTGTACGTGGATAATGATCAACTCGAACTATACCATGGTCGACTTGACAAGTCTCCCGGTGCTATCGCTTTGAGAATGCGTTGGTATGGCCTTGGAGATCCAAAAACTGTCTTTGTGGAGCGCAAAACACACAACGACAAATGGACCGGGGAAGTTTCGGTAAAGGAACGCTTTATTGTACGTATCCAAGTTTCATGACAAAACCAGCTGCTTTGGCCAGTTTCACCCGGCTTACTAGTATCGCTCTCCATTCTTAGATCGACGAGTCTGAAGTTCATCAAGTCATGACAAACACGTATCCAATTGCAGAGAAAAAGCAAGCAATGTTGGACAAGGGAAAGTCACAAAAGGATGCTGACGAATGGGAAACCCTTGTGCGCGAAGTCACCCAAGTCTGTGTGAGTAAGCAGCTTGTCCCAACAGTCCGAACTCAATGTATGAGAACCGCCTTCCAAATTCCCTTTGACGCCACGGTCCGAGTCTCCTTGGATACCAATCTTTGTATGATTTCCGAGCGTGGATACGATCTGCAGGACATGAAGGTCTGGCATCGCGATCCTCGCTCTGTCTTGCAGAATAACGAACTCCACCGTTTCCCTCACGCCGTGCTTGAAATTAAATTGGAGCTCAAGGGAGGAAACATGACACCACCCCAATGGGTCCTCGACTTGCAAAACTCTGGATTGCTGTACGAATGCCACAAGTATTCCAAGTACTGCCATGGATGTGCAGTCTTGCTTCCTGAAGATGTCCGATGCGTCCCCTACTGGGTGGATGATATCTCCCTTCGCGAAGCCATTATTGCCTCGGGCGCTCGGCGCGTCTTGGCCGATGCCGAAGCGGGTGCCGGACCTGGTGCCAACGCGATTTACGACCACCTCTTGCCCTTTGGCGACTCTACCAACAACCGCAAGGACACTGCTGTGGGACGCACCAATGTTTCTGCGGCAGCCTCCATGGGATTGGCGGGGCCCAAAAAGAGCAACGGGGATGCTGCGTTGACGTTTTATGATGGCTACTATGACGAAGAAGAGGGAGAAGATCAAAAATGCCATTGGATGTTTCCCTTTTGCTCACGTTTCAACTACGCCGAAGCAGTTGTCGCACCAACCTCGATTCAAAAGATTGAACCCAAGACCTTCTTTGCCAATGAGCGTACCTATTTGCATTGGCTCCATTATGCTGTCATTCTGTCTTCCATTGCCTCCTCCATCTTGGCGTTTTCGGACGAGTCCGGAGAAAGCTGGGGAGAATGGTATGCCCTGGCCCTCTTGCCCATTTCGTTGGGATTCTGTTTGTATGCCTTGTATACGTATCTATGGCGAGCTGACCAAATTCGCTCTCGAATCCCTGCCCGTTGGGACGATCCTTTTGGTCCTCTGGTCTTGGGTGGCACTGTCGCCTTTGTATTGATTATGAATTTCTGCACCAAATTGTACGAAATTCTTGAAAACGAATGGGCCAGTGCCGAGTTGTAAGCAGTATCATTTTTAAACAATAAATGGCTGGGCTAACATCTTAGAGTTTTATATGTGTGTACGCCGGTTTACATTGTGTGTTTTCTAGAGAGTTTGCAGTAGTTTCTATTAATTGCAACCAATGATTGATCCTTGATTGAGACTTTGAACCCCAAAACAATCCTTCATTTCATTTGTGGACGGGGATCTCACGTTTGATCCCATCCGTTCCAAATTGGATGCTTACTTTTTACCCCTTTTATCACATCACTTCTTATTTCTTTCGGGCTTTCAAATCATCAATGAGGACCTTTTGCATGTTGGCAATCGAGATTTGACCATCTAGGGCATCCTCTCCACCCACATATTTCAAAACATCATCAATCTCTTCTTTATTCATTTGATCTCCCACCCCAATGTTGTCTAGAAACTGCTTGAATTCGGAATATTCCATATTCCCATCCTTGTTCTCGTCCGTGTGTTTTAAAAGTTCCTTGACAAATCGACTTGACAATTCTCTCGAGTAACTATGAATATGACGACGAGAATGGAAGGAGTGCAAAATTGTGGTGAGTGTGTGGTATGCGATGAGGATGAGGATGATGATGATGAGGATGATTAGTATTATTCCTCCATTGATTGTCTTATCTCTCTTTCTCTCGATTTCCATTTTGTATCACAAAGGAACTTACTTTTTGGCACGGTATTCTTGCAGGATATCATACATCTTATCCACCGCTGGGGTAGTATTGAAACACGCAAATGAGTTGGAATAGAAACGATACCCGACGGATCGTGACATGCGCGAAAGAAACATGGCGTTCATGGCGATTTCTTTCTAGCAGTGAATGATGTGGATGTGACTATACTGTAGTTTTATGTTAATACAACGGAAACTGTCTGATCATAAATATGGCTTCGATTGATATATGACACGATACTATATGATTTTGAAAATCTTTTGAAAATCTGCACAGTGGACTCGTTCGACTTCAAACTTTGGTTGGGACCGGAAAATCTGTTGGCGACACTTCCGAAATTGAAAATAGCCTTTTGACGGAAAAAGAATTAATCGGATGGTTGTACGGACGCTCCATGTAAAACTTCACGTTGGTTTTCTACCACGAAGCTTGTGGAACAGATGTTTGGGAATGAGAAAAACTTGAAATGGGCGCCATCCAAAATACTGTAGTGCCGTCATCACACAACGGATACGAATCACTTCCTCTGATTAACACCCTTCGCATTCGAGCCTTCAGCCAACATACACTGTCATCAGCACCACGAATACACAACTCCACTCACTCTTTTGTGAACATCGAATTTCGTGTTTCGTGTTTCGTGTGGCGAACATAACAAACATCCAACATAGCATCCAACATAACATCGAACAACAGATATTATGGAATCCTCTTCACCACAACCACCATCTTCTCGACCAGCCTCGGAAGAATCGTCTTCACTTTTTGACGACGATTGGGAAGAATGGGACGGCAAATCACCCTTTTGGCACCACTGCATTGCTGGTAGTTTAGCAGGAGTTGCCGAACACACTCTGGTATATCCCTTGGATACGGTGCGAACGCACATTCAAGTCTGTGCCGCTTGCATTCACAATCCTTCTTCCACAACATCAACAGCTTTGTCTAAGGGTCTTGTGGGACAATCCTCGGTCCTTCAAAAGGCCGCTGCCAGTGGCGCCTCGAACACTAACGTTGGTGTTTGGCAAACAATACGGCAACTCATGAATCAACCCATTGCGTTGGAAGGTGGTGCAGCTACCACCTCGTCCACACTGTTGGCCCAACCCTCTGCCGCGGGGATTTCCCGATTGTGGCGAGGCGTCCACAGCATTATTGTCGGATGCATTCCGGCACATGCTCTCTACTTTTCTTCCTATGAATTGATCAAGCATGCGACTTTGGATAAGGATGGTCACGTGACGACCTATGGAAGTGCCATGGCGGGTGCCGTCTCGGCCTTTTCGCACGATTTGGTCATGGGACCATTGGATACGGTCAAGCAACGATTGCAGTTGGGACATTACCGGGGATTGACACACGCAGTCTCCACAATGATTGCCAATGAAGGATTTGTCAGCTTGTACAGGAGTTTTCCAGTCACCTTGGCGTCCAATGTTCCATACGGAGTGATCATGGTGGGAACCAATGAATTCTTGAAGGATCGATGGACGGAGACTGGCGAAAAGCTCAGTCTTGAGGTGACACTTGGTTCCAGTGCCATTGCTGGATTGGCTGCAGCCGGCTTGACCACACCACTGGATCGCATCAAGACGTATCTCCAAACACAGCAGCTCACTCCTGCTTGTTCGGTAGGCTCCACTCCACCAAAGAATTGTCCACTCACTTCCTCGACTTCCAAAATTACCCAAAAGCCAATTGTGGCGGGCTGGAAGGATGCGGCAGTCCGCATCTTCGAGACGGAAGGAATGACTGGCTTCTTTCGAGGTGCGACTCCTCGTATCCTTTCCCATACTCCAGCCGTTGCCATTTCTTGGACCACCTATGAAACGGCCAAGGAATATTTGAAGTCATTGGACAGTTGAGATTGATACTGATACTGATATCATGATCTTGGCAAAGTTAGAAAGAAGGATGGATGGTTTTGGACACGCAAACCTTTGAACATAATACTATAACAGGACCATTCATTATATAGAACAAAGCAAATATATGAGTGAACTAGGTGTGCAGTTTTAAGATCAAGATTTTTTCATTTTTCTGTCATGACGTCTGTCCTTGTATTCTATATATTGAATATTGAATATATTCAATATGGGTTTTTATAAAAGCTAAAGAATGCCCCAATCAGATGAATTCAAATGACACGTTCCACTTTTGAAAAATAGGTACAGTAGAACAGTTCATTCATTCATTGAAAGAGGAAGAAGATACTAGATACGGCATGCGCAGACCATTAAAAGGCCGAACCACATAATCATTTGCTGATAGATACAAGCCCTTTTCATTATGGCCATTGAATTTATAAAGAACCATCCACTTTCGGTACTGAAGAATAAGACCACTCGAACCGTGGTGGTCGCGACCTTTTGCATTGGCTTTCTGTTGGGATATGTTTCCTTTATTGTGGGGGTGATTGCTTCCTTTCATGGAATGCGCTCTCTGATACAAGTAATACGATATCGACGGAGCTTTCTGCAGACACTGCAATGGCATGCTTCCAATGCCAGAAACAAATCGTACATTACCAGAGCCATTGTGGTGGCCAAGAAGAAAATGGTAGATCCAATTACAGGGGATCGGCAATACAAAATTGTCTTGGAATTTCAACAACAATCATTGATATCAGACAAGAGTAGCAAAGAACAAGAATCATCATCATCATCGACGGCGACAAGTCAATTCATTATTCAATCCGATGAATATCCCATCGCAGCGTCCGAAGTCGTTCGGGATTGTCCTTCCGAGGGGTTTGCCATGCCCCTGCATGTGATGGAGTATGACAAGACTATTCCCACCGAGCTATACCGAGACCGAATACAAGACTTGCAGCTTTGGGCTCAATGGGTGGATCCCATTGTCAGTCTGGTGGGAATCTGTCTCTATCTTTTCCTAGCCTTTCTGTATGCAGAGCTGGTCACGTTATCATCGCAAGGCTTTTTCACAATCATGGGAATGGCCATCCTATCCATAGTGCTCATGACTCCATACATTTTACTGGACGTTCGAGTGCGCCACGAACAACGCTTGGAAGCACTTGACAAAAACCCATTGGCGGTTGTTACAGAATTTGAAAAGATTCGAGACCTGTGGTATTCCTTGGGGCCAACAATGGCTCAAAAGTTGAAACCCGTGATGTTTGCTGTTGGACTTTTGGCGATGGCCGTCTTTTCTGCGATTGGAATAATCCCTGGATGTTGGGCGGTATGGGGTCTGACCAAGTTGACGGATGCCAAGATTACCAGTCAGCGTGAATCCTTGTTTCGGTTATTTCAACGGGCCAAGAAAGTGAAAGGGTACATTGTTGATTGTTTCGTTCCAGAGTTTGGACAGCGCAAAAAACATTCCGTAACAATTCGATACACTGCTCCAAACGGAGAAAAAGTCGAAAAGAAATTGGAGCATGAATATCTGCTACGAGACTATTTGCAGCACAAATCACAGCGCAGCAAGAGTTCTATCGATGATAGCAATCCTCCGTCGGTTCCAGTGGATCTACTCGTTCTTTTGGATCATCCATGCTCCGGCTATCCAGAAAGGAACATAATCGCAACGTGGAGTCCATCCAAAATTCATGTCGTCGCTTTTGTCGGTCTCTTTTTCTATATGATGTGTTTTCTGATGAATTACGAAGATTGGCTACCCATCTATTATGACACCGAAAACGAAATGGTCGACAGTCTGGTGAATGATATTATTTTATACTGGGCACCCGCTTTTATTCCATTTGTGTTCATGATGCCACAAACATACTCATTCCATCGATATCGATATCGAGGGTTACTGCATGATGTTTTTGAAGCAGGCTTAGAGACAAATAGTATTTAGTGTAAATACAATCTGTTCCATGCTTCACCAAAAACAAGTACAAGACAGAAGCGATATCAGATGGGTGATTTATTCCTCCCACCACATCTTAACATCCCCTTGTTCTTCCACTTTCTTTGGCGTTGCCTTCTTGTGCCATGGCAATATTCTGGAAACCTTTTTCGGTTTCGACTCATCCTTAGCATTGTAACTATACCAAGGCTCTTTTGCTTTCCTAAAAAGCTTTGTGCCTAGTGGTTTGTATTTCGGTTCGGAATCAGGAACCAAGTCCCACCACATGACTGTTTCCTTCGCTTCAGCACTCACGCACTCGATTGTTTTCTTCAGATCCGCCGTGCTAAATGCAACCCCAGCTTCTACTTCCTCGATTTCTCCGTCGAAATCATAAATTCTCCTCAGTAGGAAAGGAGCCGAGTCGCATTCAGAGGAGATGTCCTTGAACCGGGACTCAGATTTCATATTCTCAAGATCTACATCGTCTGGAACACCAAACAGCTCTCGAACCTTTGATGTGAGTTCTTTGTCTGCTACAGAGTACTCGTCCTCCTTTTCGTCAAACTCGTCGTCGTCCCAAACACGTCGCACGAGCCACTTAAAGCTCTGTGGTCGTCCGTTGTTTGGTGTCATTAACAGTTGTGGCCTTTTGACACTTCCCGCACCCTCATCATCACCATGACTGGATCCCTTCAAATCGTCTCCAGCACTAGCACCATCCTCCAGCATGAAATCCAGATCATCATTGCTGCGAGAACGAGAAGGCTTTTCTGGCATTGCATCGTGCTCCCCTGATGTGCCAAATGCACTCTTACGCCCCGAACCCCGCCTAACAGGCCTTGGCATCATCGATTTGTCAACAACCTTTGTCTCGTTGAATCGTCTATCTTCTTCAGGAATGCTAAACAATTCTGTAACTCGTAACATTGATGGCCCATCGTACCGAAGTTGATAGTTCGTGCGTCTACCTTTCTTTCTCTTAGCAGAGGGAAGCTTTTGACCATTGGGTAGAATTAGTCTTGGAAGAGGTTGTAGAGATTCTCGAGTGCTATCTCTAGCTTCTTTGGCCGTAGCTGTCACCGCTGATGTATCCTTACTATTAGCCATGACATCCAAAACCCTCTTCTTGTCAATGGGGCACTCGAGTTTCTTCTCCGCTGGATTCAATTCTATCGTTTCAGCTTTCTCTTCAGCCTTTTCTGCATCCGTAGTCTTGTCTTTTGATGTATTCGGATCCCCGGCAGGAGCTTTCTGTTTTTCTCTGATGAAATCAATTCTGCTGGTAATCATCTCCATCTCCTTCAACATTCCATCTGCAGTGAAAACTTCTTCATCTTCGCAGTCTATTTCTGTGTCATCGATAAAGTTTACCCTTTGTATCACCCAGGGCTTTCCATTGTCCATATCATTTAAGTCAATGTTTGCAGGAACTCCACAAAGTTCCTTCACTGACGGCATGACCTCTTTACGTTGTACAGTATGTTCTTTCTCTTGTCCATCCATTTCTTCACGATTCCAAACCCGTTTCAACTTCCACTTGGAATCCTCGTCTTCTTTTTCATCGCCTTCGGCATGTCGCATATGAATGCTTGGTCGGCTGTGCGATGAAGACTCCGACTTGTCATCAGAATCGATCGTACCATCACCACTAAGGATACTATCAATAGACATAGAGTCTCCGTCAATAGATCGCCCAGACCGCATAGGCATAGCAATACCTCCATCAGTTTGACTTTTTTTAAATCGGTCGTCTTGCTCTGGTAAATCGTCTACTTCCGGAATACTAACCAATGGATAACAAGCGCCAAGGTCTAGGGTGGTAGGACCGTCCCACCGGATTCTATACTCAGTGCGCGAAGTTTTGCGAATGACCCGCGTCTTTGGCGGCAGTGGTTTTTGTTCCAGTGGTACTATAAATCTAGGTGGTCCAAGTTCTTCTTCATCGATTTCTGTTGGGCTCAGTGAACCTATGGAGTCGGTCGTGGGACTTGTCGGGGAGCCATCCGATGCCTGGTCATATTTGTCTTCCACACTGGCTTCATCAACGCTGCGGTCACCGTCTTCAGATGACCAAACTGACTCATCGTCAGAAGATTGCAAATTTTCATCGCTACAATGTTGTGGCGATGGCGTCGAAAGATTGTCGTTGTCAGCAGGAGCAGCACCTTCCTTCAATTGCGTCGAAGACTCTTCTGGTGGTAAAAGAGAAGGTCTTGTTTGAGATTTTTGTGCCGGCGATTTAGCATCCATTTTTGCCAGATTATTGGTCTCTTCCGATGAAAATTCAGTTGGAGGGCGACCAATTGTTGGTTTGATGGCACTGTCGTTTTTCGGATTCAAAAGTTCTGCATCTTTGGTGACTGGTTCATTGTTTTCAATACTTGTAGCTACAGAAGCGATCCCCTCGGAAGGAAGATGCAGTTTCTGTCGACCAGAATCAGTTGTGTTTGGTGTAGAACTTTGAGGTCCCGGTATGTCATTCGGTGGTGACATCACCAAATCTGGTGCTTTCGGTATAGTGGGAAAATCAGTCTTTGTTTCCAGAGGAATGGCGTCACGAGTCGGCGTTACAAGCGGGCTGTCACCTCCATCGTCGGACTCGTTTTCTTGTTCTGTCCACAAATCCCAGGAATGTATGTAGGATTTTCCGTTGCCTGTGATGCTATGAATTCCGCTGTGATAACTGCTGCCGGCATCGTGCTCGGAGGATTCTGAAACTAAAACCAGCGACATGTTCATGCTATCCGGGTCTACTTTTTTGGATGATACTGAAGACGGTTGTTGCGTGGGTGTACTGGTAGCGCTTTCTGAAATTCTGTCATTAAAGTCTGACACTGACGCCCAATCATCGTTTGACGAAGATGTCGTAGATGCTGACACTGCTGTATGGGCTGAGATTGGCTTCAGCGGACTTAGGGTTTGGTTCCTTTTTTCAGTGTCCCCATCAGCACTTCCAAATGTGCTGCTCCTGTTGAACATTGACTTTCGATTTTTTGTGATTCCAAGTTTCGGTGTGTTGACCGAGTTTTTCTTATCGGTATCTTGTTTCATATTTGGCGGAGGCCATACACCCTTGAGGGTACGTCGTTTTCCTGTAGCTGAAAGAAGCGGCGTCCCAAGGTCGCGTGCAGGACTTTCCGACATTCTCTTCTGAGTGGGCTCCCTGATCGTCGGTGGACTTTGGAAAGGGGACAGTACGCGGCGAGGTACCGGGGATGATACGCGGCGAGATACAGGGGATATGGCTGCAGTTTTGCTATATTCTGTCTCGTCCAGTGCAGGCCACAGCATTTTCAGCTTCGCTGATGCTCTTCGTCGACTGTGGTGGCCTGGTGTCTTCGGCGAAAGTAAGGTGTTCAGCCTCGGATTGGCTGACATCGGTGCTGTCACCTTCAGCTTCTGTTTTCCTCCACTCCGAGCTCCAGGAGTGATAAATCCGGTAAGCATATGCTGCGGCTTTTGTTTGGGCTTTGAGTTATCATGGCTGCTTGATGACATGTCCGTTCCTTTTGGCTGTGGTGGCCACGCACGATCTCCGATAGATGATCTCCTTGTTGCTCTTCGCGGAGGATTTCCAAAATCTTTTTTCTCATTCCCAACCGAGGAGAAGGACTCTGATGATGCAGTCCTGTGCATGGTGACGAGTGGTAGCGAAGGCGGTCTAGTCTGCAATCGCTACAGTTCCAGGATGGTTGCTCTCTTTCCGTTTCTACACCAACATTTGCCAATCATATGACCATAAGTAAATTTTGTCTCGGCGCTTTTTTTTCGTACCAGTAATTTTTATAACGCTACGGTAGTAATCCTCCGTAAACAAATCAACTTCAAGCAAGACAGAAGTTCTCGTATTGTGCGGTGAACATAAGAAAAAGTTTGTTCACCAATAAATCAACATTTATGTCATTTGGTTCCTCGGACGGCCGACTCGAAAGTCATAGTAACTTTTGATATTTCAGACAACTCTGCGGGACCCGAAGTATGATACTCATTCACGATTTGTTCTCACTGGTTGCACTTGCGGTACGTTCGAGTATGTGTAATGTGCGGCACGTGGTCTGGCGTCAGCCTTACTATTGTAGTTCGAAGTCCGCATGATATCGGTTGCGCTTTGCGGTACTGTACAGTGTATTGTATGTGTAATGGACGGTACTGTACCTGGTCGGTACTTGGTACGTGTACTGGTGTGTCGTGTGTGACGTCGTGATCGAATGCTGTACGTAACGTGACGGATCGAATAACGTTGCGAATTTTGCTCGAACAACAACCAATGCAATGATCATCATCACAAAACGAAAAACAGAACATGGCAGCCGTGATCTGTGATCTGATCGGAGACATTTGTCGACCCATCTGCAGTGGAGTCGCGTTCGGGTGCCGTGAGGTATCCAAGTCTCCGTTCCTTCCATACCTTGCACTGACCTTTGCCCTCAACACCCCGGGTGTCGTCTACGCATTGAAAAGCTTGGAGTCAAGTTGCGGCGACTTGAAGAGTTGGCTCCTTCCGAATGCAATTTTCTGCCTCTTACATATGATTGCGGCGTACTATGTTGTCAGCAAGATAAGGGAACCAAGTAGTTTACCGACTACTGTCAATGAAAATAGTCCACTACAGAATGCAACGACTGGCTTTTCGTTGATGCCAAACGGAGATATCCAAGGCGAAGAGAACTCTTTTCAACGAATTAAGCATATCCTATTATATGGTGAGTCTGAATTGACAAGTGGGGAGTATCATTAATCAATGCCTTTGACTTTGGTCTCATCTATTTTCGTTCGTCCAGACAAAAACATGGCGGTGTACATCCTTGTCTTCGTCATTTGGCTTGTATGGTTGCCATTGGGACTGAAGCGACGCCTTGAAAACAGCAGCTGTGATGATATAACGCACTATGTGGACGTCTCGATTGCCTGTGGATACACGTTCTTTTCTCTCGTCGGTGTCGCATTCACGTGTTCGTTGTGTTGTCTGAAGACAGCGTAGATAGTGCAAAAGAAATCTAGCACAATGCACAGCTCGCAAACATGAACACCGCCCATATGGCATTCAAATCACACAATTACTCACGATTGTATTGAAAAAACAATCATTTTATTATTACAGTAGAACATCACAGTAAAGCTCTCGTTCTAAAGAGAAACAACGGTGCAGACGACAGATGGTAACTCGCATCTCCTACTCGAAAGCGACTGTTTCCGTCAGGCATCTACCACTGCCTTTTCTTCGGTACCTCTCGTCTTTCTTTCCGGTAGGTGCAGCAGGGCCAGCGATGAGATGGTAATGGCCAAGTAGACAAATCCAATGCAAAACGAGTAGAGAACATTGTGTTCATGAAACAAAGAACAGTTTTCGAGGTCATCTGCATCCGCCTTGTCGATATGAATGACTCTCTCGACACCATCTGAAAGCCAGAATAACCAAAATATAACAAAGATGCAATAGGTGGAAACAAAGCCGTCGTACCGTATCAGATGCCTCAAATGCGTGGAATGAGATGTATGAACGAAACACAAACAGCATGTTCCTTGCTGTTCTTCTTGATTTATCTGTTGGGATTGATCTGAATTGTGCAACTGTTCTAGTGTATTGTCGACTTGTGGTGCACTCCCTTGTTGTTCGATATTCGCTGCAGGCAATTCGTCTGCCGGAGATTGATTGCTGTCAGAATTCTGTGAATCTATCGCTGTTGACGCAATCTCATTTCCTGCAGCTTCGGCTTTTCGCATTCTTTGTATTATATACAAAGCCGCAATAGCATTTGTTGCAGATAAGGCTGCATTTGCTGCGAGCCAGGAAGCAAAATATCCACACCATTCCATACATCCCATGATTCCCAGTGCGACAGGAGGTAGATTCAGACAAATCGCGGCTACTAGGAAGAGGAATTGATAAACATTATGTCGCTTGCTTGTGTCTGGCATGATTATGCTATGATTTCTGGTTCATTGGAGAGTTGGGGTTGGATGGAGAGGTGTTTCAACAACGATACCGTAATAATGTCTGGGCTTCTGTCCTCCTTCCCTCTATTTCTCCATAGCTTCCATTTCTGAGTTGGAAGGACTTCTAACATGGTTCGATTTATTTGATGCTTTAACGCTATTAATTATTAATAATATATATGTTCATTCATTAGATTTCACACTGTTCTTGCTCACAATTTGGGTCTGGAGCATCTGCGGTTGCTGCCAAAAAGAGCGCTACGAGAAAGGCAGATCCACCGACCAAGCCTTGGACACCGATCTGTTCTCCCAAAAAGAAAAAGCTCATCATGGCGGCCCACAAGGGCTGGCTAGCATAAATCGTTTGGCAACGAGTTGGACCGACAGCTTGTTGGCCTCCGACTTGCAAAAAGGGAGCAAGTGCATTGACTGCGACACCACTCCACAATACCAATGGAACCACAGTCGACCAATTTGGACCCGACGATAGGTATTCCGTTGCGGACGACAGATCGAGGGCAGCCAATAGAGCTAGTGACAAAATGGCTTGGGTTCCAATTTTGGTGGTAATCAATTGTCTGGGCGCCACTCGCTTTCCCCAAGCAAACAATCTCAAGTCGTAGGTAGCATAGAAAATTGCGGCCAGGACACACAGTGCATCTCCAGTTGCGGAGGGCGTTCCTGTTGGATCTTGGGTGAAACTAACTACTCCAGCAAGCGCAAGAAGGACCGAAAACTGAATGCGTCTTGGAATGGGAACGCCCTGAATCCCTTGCACCACGGGTACAATCAAGGTTGTCAACTGAATCAAGAGTGCCCCATGCCCAGCGGTTGTCATGGCAAGACCATACAAATTAGCAGTGGTACCAAGCATTTTCCACAGTCCTAATTCAATACCACCTTGGGTTGCAAGACCTTCTTGTTCGTCGGCCGCACTCGTGTCGAGTGCTGAAGGCAATGGTGTATTATCTTCTAAACTTTGTCCACCAATCACTAATCCAATCAAGGCAACACAGCTAACGGCAGCGTTCAACAGCAGAACAGGAGGTGGACCCGAGCCCGAAAAGGCTGCGTGCAACGCCGGTGAATTGGAAGAAAAGATGAAGGTGATAAAGACGACCGTTGCTATTCCTCGTTGGTATTCAGCACTCTTTTCACTGCCAATGGCGATAGATGACAAGGCGTTTGTTATTGGCACGGATTTTTGTATCGAAGTGGCTCTGCTAGTTTGGCCACCTTTTAGTGGCGTTGCCTCTGATCCCTTTGTCGATGGTTCCAGCACATCATTTCTGGTAGAAAGGTGAGTTGTCACCAAGCTATTCCTCGTTCTGGTAGAATGGTGTTGCAGGTTGCTTGAGAAAGCATCCACTCCTGGATTAGAGGTGGCAACAAGAAGTCCAACGCACAACAATGGGATTCGTGCTATTCCGAGTGATCGTTTTGATCTTCTTGCCATGGTGGTCATGTTGTTGTGTTCCTTCATCATTCATTCGATTCGATTCCCTTCCAGAAGTTTGAAAAAGAAAAAAATGAAAATTGGAATCCGATCCAGATGCACTGATAAAATTGTGACGAATGAAAATGCTTGAAATTCCTCATGTGTCAAAGAGCCCGGCTGGCTGACGTGTGCTGACGTAATTTGCCCACCCACGTGCAGTTGTTCCTTCAAAACGGGGGCAACTTTCCAACATTCGTTTTCAGACCCAAATGCATACCCAAAAAGTGACCAGAACCCCGACCCTTTTCTTTGGCATCTATGCTTCGCTTTCAGCAAGATTGTGCATCACCTCGACTGTTCCACAATATCCATACCGTATACAACAAACAAACAAAAAGCAAAGGTGATAATCCAACACCCCCGTTCAACCAGAGCAAACAATAGAAAGTAAAGATAGATCATACCGAACTGAATAACAGACAGGGTACAAAAGCATCATGTTGAGATCACAACTATCCAAAGCATCACGAAAATATTGGACTTCTCGATTCTTTTCGACGGAGCCTCCATTCTCCAAGGTCTTGGTTTCCAACCGTGGGGAAATCTGCCAACGAGTATTTCGAACATGCAAAGAGTTGGGTGTCAAGACCGTTGCCATTTATTCGACAGCGGATTCCAAGGCACCGTTTGTCAAGGCAGCCGACGAAGCCGTCTGTGTAGGACCAGCAGCTGCTGGAAAATCCTACCTGAACGTTGAGAGAGTACTCCAAGTAATCCGAGACACTGGAGCCGACGCTGTTCATCCTGGATACGGTAAGCAAACATCAGTAACATTGACATATACACCTTGGTTCGCAATACCTAATGTACTCTTTCGTCACTGTTTCCAACTACTCTGTCAGGTTTCCTCAGTGAAAATGCAAACTTTTGCCAATCCATCGAAAGCGAAGGAGTAGCATGGTTAGGACCACCAGTATCTGCTATTCAAGATATGGGTGACAAGATCCGAAGTAAAGAGATTGCTGAAGCAGCCGGGGTGAGCATTATTCCCGGTTACGATGGAACCATTGACTCCATCGATCAATGCGTCGAAGTTTCCAATCAAATCGGATACCCAGTGCTGGTGAAAGCCGCAGCTGGAGGAGGAGGCAAGGGAATGAGAACGTGCTACAACGACCAAGAAGTTCGAGAAGCCTACCCAATGGCAAAATCCGAAGCCAAGCAGTTCTTTTCCGATGACAGACTCCTTGTCGAAAAGTTCATCGAGAACCCCCATCACATTGAGTTCCAAGTTCTCTGCAGCCCTCCTGCTGGAGGAAAATTGGAAAAGCCAGAAGACCTTCAAGTGGTAGTCTTCCCAGAACGAGAGTGCAGTATTCAAAGACGCAACCAAAAGGTTGTGGAAGAGTCTCCATCCTGCCTCCTTACAGATGAAACTCGCCAAAAGATGGCCGAGCAAGTCAAGATGCTGTGCCAAAAGGTCGGATATGTCTCGGCTGGTACCGTCGAATGGCTTGTCGATGAGGAACAAAACTTTTACTTCCTTGAAATGAACACTCGTCTTCAGGTCGAGCATCCCATCTCTGAAGCAGTTACAGGAGTGGATCTTGTCAAGGGCATGCTCTGGGTCGCTGCAGGACGCGGACTCCCACCAGAATTTCAAATTGATGGACTCATCATGCCTTCCAAGGGACACGCCATTGAATGCCGTATCTATGCCGAAGATCCTCTTCGCGGCTACTTGCCAAGCACCGGACCTCTCCTGCCTTACATCGAACCTCATGCAACTGGTGAGGGCGAAAGCTACCTCCGATTGGATTCAGGAGTTATTCAAGGTCACGCCGTGACACCCTTCTACGACCCCATGCTCTCCAAGATTATCTCCTACGCTCCCACTCGACGTGAAGCCATTGACATCATGACCAAGGGATTAGATGAATATGTCATTGAAGGTGTCCAGCACAATGCTCGACTCTGTAATGCAGTACTTCGTCATCCCGCATTCGTAAAGGGAGAGACTCCAACCTCCTTTTTGCCCAGACATTTGCCCGACTGGGCCGGTGTCCAGCTCACTCTGGCTCAAGAAGAGGAACTGGCCGTTGCCGTTGCCTTGATTGGAATGACTAGAGATTCCTTCTTGCAACGTCCTACAGTTGTCCCATCCTTTGAACCGATGGTGGTCCGATTGGGGGGATTCTTTGGGGACGCTTTCAGAGTCACCATGGGAGACGAGAAGAGTGCCATTGTCCAAAAGCTTGGAGATGATGGTGCCGAAGCACGAACAATTTTGGTGAACTCGATCAAGTATGACCCAACTCGCTTCACTGCGAGTGTCAGCATGGACCGCGAGATGCGATCTATCCAAGTCATGAATGAGGATAGTGAGGGTGAAATGAAGGTACAAATGTACGGAGCTGACATGCCATGCTTGATCCAAAGTGAACGAGAATACCAATTGAGCCAATATATGCATGTCCCCAAGATGGTCGACACCAGTGACATGGTCATGAGTCCCATGCCCGGAACCCTCATTAGCTTCTCAGTGAGCGAGGGTGATCATGTCGAAATTGGACAAGAGCTCTGCATTGTCGAAGCCATGAAGATGCAAAACATTGTCCGTTCCCCACGCACTGGAACCATTGGCAAGCTCAGTGTCCCGGAAGGAGCCTCCTTGGTGACCGACCAGATCATTATTGAGTTTGGAGTTGAGGAAACCGAAGAAGCCGCATAAGCAAGCAACCAAGGTCAAATCGGACACCATAAACACACATACATACTAACATTCATTCAACAGTGGACAACGTTCGATGTCTATGCTGGACCTGAAGCAAAGAAATTGACATATATTATAAATAAATAAACTGCACTAGTAGAGACATTTTGAACCAAATCCTTTGCTGCTTGTCCAACTATTGTCATTGCTTTTGTACAATTTCTTGAAGCTGTTCATGATTAACGACCATGACATCGTGAGTCAATACTTGTGCATCCTCATGGGCGATTGCTTTCTTGATCTTGATCAGTCCTGCAAGCACATCTTCCGGTGTTCCCTTTCCTTGGTTTCCACCAGTTAACCAGTGACACATGCCCTTGATATGCCCAGCTCCCACAATTGCTACCACTCGTTGAATGCTGGGAGATGACGGCGGTGGTGACTCTTGCCTTTGCTGCTGTTGTAGCATAATGAGCATCTGACGACAGGTCTGATAAAGTTTGCAAGCCATGTAGGCATCACGTTCGCGAATGATGACTTCCTCCAGTGTTGGAAAATGCTTTTTGAGATCGTCAATCGATTTTGTGAGGATATCTCCCGAATCGTCTTCCAGTATTGACTTCATCCAATTCCTCAACTCTTCTGGATTCGGCTTTTGCAAGGTGGAAATGAAAAGCGCTACCAAGAGCTTGGTTTTGCCCCAAGTGCCCAGGGACTCCCAGGCTCGTGTGAGTGTCAAATAGAGAGGTCGGTCGCCCAAGATCATGTGTACTGCTCCAGCTGGTCGCGACAATCGACTTTGTTCCCAAAAGTTGTAGGCGGTACGGAATTCGCCTCCGAGCTCGACGCCCAAGGAATTGGCATAGTCTTGTTGCATGGAAGTTAACATATTGGAAGCCATACCGTGCAGCGATTTTGGCTGTCGTCCTCCTTCCTCATTGGATGGCTTTGGTTTCGTTTTTCGTCTTCTCCACCATGGTTTCTTTTCTGTATCTTCCGATGTCTCCCCTTCTCCATTTAATTCGGGGGGTGGAGCTGTTAGCATGGGTATTCGTTGATCACAAAGCTCTAGAAAAATGACATCGGGATCAATTGTTTCCAACAATAGATTTACATCTCGGGAAGAATCGTTCGAAACATGTGCTGTTCCCAAAAGATATACTTCCACAGCACACCGTCCACCAAAACCCGGGATAGTGATACGTTGCAAAGTTGAAGTTTTGTTGTTGAGTGGATAGGGGAGCTTTCGTTTCCATTCTGGTACAGCTATCAGAGGATCTTGTGTTTCCGCTGTTGTTGTTGTTGTTGTTTCATTGCTACCGTTGGAAAGGAGTTCTGTTTTTGGTTGTGTGGATGATACAAATGCAGGTTTCGGAAATGCACCTCCAGCACTACTGCTTGCGTGAAGCAGTGCCAATAGCGAATATAGTGTTGCAAGGAAAAGGTGCCAACTGGAATTTGCCATGTCAATAACACAATAGAGGCAGCAGTCTTTAGATTTAGTTCATGTGGATGATATCGCAGTGAATGAATGGTGTTCGATTTTTCATTTGTGTTTGTGACAAAGTCGACTTAGTCATATCTGACCGTCGGATTAATTAGATTAGATTTTAGATTTGCATTGAAGCGTGATTGATGAGCGATCCGTGACTGAAAATGGAATCTTCGAAACAAAAAACAAAATGCATACTGTAGTTGGAAGACAAAGCGGCAATAGACTTGAGAGTTTCTGAGAGCTTAGTGGCCAAGTCGTCACCGATAGTGTCAGGAACCTTGGATTACGTGGTGTAACAAAAGAGAAATACTTACACAATGATGAATTCCCTTATAAGTAGTTACATTTGCCTATTCTTCCTCTTGGTATCGACGACAACTGCGTTGAGTGGTTTGGATAAAGAAGTCATGGGGCGCCGCCAAGCTCTCTTGAGTACAGCCGCTGGAGCCTTGGTCATTCCACTAAATGCTTTCGCAGATGTCGTCGAAGATGGTAAATACGAGTTCCGGGACCGCAAATCCAACAAGAATGCACTGGTTCGAGAAGATTACTATTACATGATGGGTAAAACTCCTCCACGTGCCCTTCAAAATGCGCTGCGGATTGACGATCCTAGCTTTAATAGCTTTGGTAGCTGTCAGACCCAGGCCGATGGATCGGCGAGCAATTCGTGTACTTATGTGTCGTTGAAACAGCGGATTCCAGCTTATAGCAAGTACGCGTACAATATCGGTTTGGGTGCCAAGGAATTTGTCATGTTGAAGGGTGTATTGCAAGAATGCAAAACCAATCCTGGTGCTTGGTCACAGGCAGCGACCTTTGTCGAGACATTACCATCCACACCACCTCCTCCTCCGGTTGATGCCTTGTTGAAAATGGTCTTGTTTGCCTCAAGCGTGTTGACCTCACCGAACTATTCAGGACCTTCGAAAGAGTTGCTGGTGGCGCGGTTTTACGTCAACGAGGCCAGTTTTGCCACGGAAGAGATTGCCGCCGCAATTGAAGCCAAGGATGCCAAGCGAGCGCTTGCAGCGTGGGAGTTTGGAAAAGATTCTTGGAATAGCTACTTTCAAATTGTCAATGACAAGATATCGCCCAAGATGGGCGACAAGTTTGATCTTATCGCATAAGAGTAAGAAATGCAACTTTGTGCTACGTCTTATTCAAGTCAATTAAAAATCAATTAAAATCAGTAGACAAGCTTTTAGACTGGTTGAATAGTATCCCAATCTCCACAGGCAAATACTTCACCCTGATACTTTGATCCGATAATCAAGTTGGCCCAGCGATTGGGCCCTGCTCCTTCAAATGGATCGATTACTACTGGCTCTGGCACTTGTACTACTGTCGCTGGTGCTTCTTTTCTTTTTGCCTCTTGGGGTTTGTCGTGTTGTAAAGGAGACTCGTTTTGACTTTCAGCATCTCCTTCGTCACCCCAATCATGCTCATCGTCGGTGTCAACAAGATCTACTACTGCGCTCGTTTCCTCAATGATAGAGGGCCGCTTTTTCGGTATTCTCGGAATTTCCCCGTCACCCTCCACACTACCAATTGAGGGCCGTTTCCTCGGTATAGTCATATCACCTTCTACACTACCAATTGAGGGCCGCTTCCTCGGTACGGCCATGTCGTCTCCCTCCACACTACCAATTGAGGATCGCTTCCTTGGTATGGACATATCGCGGTCCGAACTACGCTTTCGCTTGTTTGTTTTCTTCTTCTTTTCTTCCATTTCATAACGACGAATTCGAACATCCTCCTCCAATTTCTCGCTGGCCAAATGCCAATAAGTCTTAAAGGCAGAAGTCGGTAAATGCAAATAAACTTGACGCTTTAGATGTTTCCGGAGGCTCTCCATTCGTTTCTTGCGCATTCCTTCGTCGTCCACATCCAGGCATTTCTCGCTCAATTTTCGATGCATATTATTGATAATGGTACTGTCTTTTTTCGCCTGTTGTTCTTTTTGGTATTCCGATAGGCCCTCCTTGCCCAATTTTCGGCGTGCAATCATCGACACCGATGTTGGATCGACGTTGGTTACCTTTGATTTCTTGGCTGTCGTCATTAGGCTTGGTGCTGTCGGTATGGAAGTCTTTTTCTTGAGAAGCTTTCGAGAGGATGTGGAACTGGGCGGAGATGCCACAATCAAGGCTTGACCAAGTGGGTCTTGACCTCGAAACGAGTTTCTCTTTTGAGGACGATCAGAGGACGATGAGTTTCGCCGGACCGCCCCTGGCTTTGATGGTATCTTCATTGCGGATGTAGACTAGTCAAAACAGGTAGACGTTGATCTGATGTACAATGCTTATGTTTATGCTTGCTTGCTTGCTTGTGGGCAAATCAATCAATTTTAATATTTTATTACCCGACTAGTCCGATCGATTGGACCTTGAGTCCAATGGATCGACTGAGGTGACTACTTGTCGTGTGACGACCTGGCGACGACTGAAAACCGCAACCACATATCCGACTATTGGCATTATTGTTTTATTGCAACATGTCATCTTCGTGCAACTTGCAACTGCCAGTCTTGCAGACTTGGATAAAGATCATCGCTGTCCAAGTAGGACTGGTTCTGTTTGTGGCGATACCACAGGGTCTTATTTTCTACTATACTTATGCGAAAAAAATGCTCGATCGTCGTCGTCGTCAACTTCCAACGGATTGACCACGATACTGGGCCTCGTCACAGCATTCAAAATGCCTGCCGCTGTGTCTACAATCATGATGTATGTAACACAAGAAGAAATGGTTCATTGGATGATCTCATTTGTGGCATCCTGTGTTGGATTCGCGTCAGTCTTCAAATCCATTGCAGTCATCTTCCATAATTATCCTCCCGAAGTGGACCAAGATTTAAGATCCTTTCTGTGTTGGTATATATCCTTCACCGAGCCGGTTTTTGTCAAGGATAAATTGAAGAGGGTGACCATTCCAGAGATATTGGATCGAGGTGCATTGTTGATGGGCAAGATACTTGGCCTATTCACTCTGCTGAGTATCTTTCGATCCTTTGGGTTGTACCCATCGCAATACACCAGCATATCCCAGTTATTACCTTCCGCTATTACCCCTCTGATAGATGGTTTTGTACATGTCTGGTTCATCTACTTTTTCCTATCGTTTGCCATTGACTTTGGTATGCTCTTCTATTCGGTTCTGTTTGGAGCAAGCGTGGAACCTGGGTTTTTCAATCCCTTGCTGACATCCCGATCCTTGCGAGAGTGCTGGGCGCAAAAGTGGAACCTATCGGTCCAAAGCTTGTTGAAGCGTAACGTGTATATTCCTTGTCGCAAGGCTGGTGTTCGAAGAGAGTTGTCGACAGTGTTGACCTTTTTGGCGTCAGGACTATTGCACGAGTACACCTTTTCCATACACAACACAGCCTCCTATCGAATAGGCGAGGCGACTATCTTTTTTACCATGATGGGCATACTGGTATTGGTGGAGGGAGCGATTGCAAAGATTATGCCAATAAATTTACAAGAGCTTGCCGAACAGGTTCCCAGTGTTGTGATTTCATCAATCATGGTACTGTTGGTTGCAGCAGCTGTACCGTTATTCATTCGATCCTGGCTAGAATCGGGTGTTATCGATGCTACGAGTGAAATATTCCCTCACTTTCTTTGTACTTCAGAGAGCGGATAGTTACTTTGAATATGGTCTATTGTAATTCTATTAATTTTTTTAAAAACAAAATCTGTAATGATTGGATTGGAACCTTTCATGGATCGTTTCGGAACGAGTGCGAAAAGATGTTGTTTCGTTCGACGACAGCATTTGCAGTGTTATTGGAGCTCAGAGGACTTTCGGTTGCAGCAAATTCTGATGCGGGGAATAGATTGAGAAGACCAATATCCTTTTCGGGCACATTCCTGTCATGGAACTGCAAAAAGTACACTGGGATCGCAATCGCTGCCAAGAGAAGTAGGCATACCAGAGTTCGGACAAGTAATTGCCAGAAAGTTGTGCAACGACTTGGCGACCAACCCACAAATGGTGACGATTCACTAGAAGAGACCGACGGTGATTCCATATTTTGTGTCCCTGAGGAGTTGCTGTATTGTGTGGCCTCCACGTCGTAGTGCGATTCTGCACCTTGGCTCGTTAAACGAGCCTTGGCGCTTGTATGATTTGGAACTGTTACAGGATCGCTCAACTGCATTGACGGCTTTGCAGCCGAATTGGAAGGCAATTGGAAGTGTACCACCTTTTTTCTTGCTATGCTGCTCGACATGAAATTCTTCTTTTGATCTTCTACATCCGCATCATATGATAAGGGAGAATCATCCAGTGGAGAATCGGCAGGCATGCTGGCCGCAACATTTGTTTTCAATTTTGTCGGCCTAAGTTGCACCATCCGCTTTGGTTCCTGTTTCTGAGAAACTTTTGCTTTTGGTGGCGGTTCAGAGCGGAGTTGCCGGTTGGTCAACTTGTTCTTCAGCTCGTCTTGCATTGAGATTGGCTTTTTTGCATTTATTGGACTTGCTTGATTTGGGACATATTCGGAGTGGGCTTGCCTCTTGACTAGCTTGTATTTGAGCTCATCTTGCATTGAGATTGGCTTCGCTGTATTACTTGCTGGACTTTCTCGTTTGGGCACAGGGCGGAGTTGTCGATTTGCTAGCTTGTTCTTGAGCTCACCTTCCAGTGAAATCGGTTTCGCAGCGTTTGTTGGACGCTCTCGTTTGGGCACAGGGCGGAGTTGTCGATTAGCCAGCTTGTTCTTGAGCTCATCTTCCAGTGAAATCGGTTTCGAAGCGCTTCTTGGGCTCTCTTGCTTGGGTACAGAGCGGAGTTGCCTATTGGCCAATTTGCTCTTCAGCTCATCTTCCATCGAAAGCGGCTTCACTGTGTTTGAAACACTGTCTCGTTTGGGGACGGATTCAGCACGGAATTTGATCTCTGTCATTTTTTGCTGCAATTCACCCTGCATTATGTTTGGTTTTGCTGTGGTCGAAATATCCTTGTGCTGAGGCGCTGGCACTGATCGGAGTTGAACACTTTCCAAAGTGCTTTTCGGGTCACCTTGCATCGAAATCAAACTTGGTGGATGTCCTCGAGTTGGATCCCTTTTTTTCAAGTCATGTACATGGCGGAGTTCGATGTTTCCTAATTTTTTCTTGAGTTCCTCTCCAACGTCGTTAGATTGTCCTGCCTTCGGTGGACTATTCCTCTTGAATTCTTCCCTTTGAATATCTGCAATTGCACCAGAAATGGTCTCAATCTTCTGTTTTCTCGCCCGTCTTCTCTTCTTTTTTGTGGCCTTCTTAGCCTTTCCCAATTTGAACATCGAAAGCAAAGACCACGATGCTTTTGTCTCTTGGGCAATGACTTCGTCGTCAGATGATGACGAGTCAACGATTACTGACCCTGTGTAAACATCCAAGTTTTGGACATGCAAGGGTGACAAGTGAAATCTTTCTATGCTCTGCCTTCTTGGTATTTCAGGGGTAGCCATCATCTCAAAAGGTTGAGACTCAGTCGTTTGGGTTTCCACATGAGCGAGATTGCTGAGCTTTGAAAGGGCTGCGGATGCCATGGCTTGAGCAGCTTGTTTTCGTTGTTTTAATATTGCTCTTTCAGCGGCGGAAGTTTTATCTTGAGCGCTGTTGGATTTTGAAAAGTCTCCATATGTTTCAGACGTAACGACAGAGTTTGACGCAAGATTTCTTGGCGTTTTGCTTTCTGGCAGTAGAAATGCGGTTCTTTGGAAGTGTGCTGTAAACGGAGAAGGGCCCGTGTTATCAACACTTTGACTCTTAACCTCTTTCTCGCTCTCAAGTTCGCCTCCGCGATAGATCATTCTAGCGTGGTCGTCCTCGTCAGGGATGTATTGGATAAGCCGGCTGTCGTCTTTCGTGGAAAGTTGATCCGGAGGCGGCGGAGAGTGATTTGCATCTGGTGTCCCCAAAGACTCCAATTCTTTCGCTTGGGAGTCTTTTTTGCTCTCGAATTCATCCATTCGATACACCTTCCGCGCTTCGGCATCTTCTTCAGGGATATACCTTATTTTCGAGCTCTCTTCTCGAAGGAGACCTGTTTCATTATGTATCTGCTTACCAGCAATATCCAGTTCGCCACGGTAAATCATGCGTGCATGATCATCTTCTTCAGGGATGTAGGTGATTTTGGAGCTTTGCGCTTGGAGAAGAGCAGGTTTAGGAGATGGCATGGTTTGACTTCTGTTCTGAAGCGGCATGAATAGTTCCGTTGCTTCTTTGAACTGTGGGTTTGAAGTTTCTTGTCTAGTTTCATCTCCGTCTTTGATCTTGCTATTACCATACATCATTCCTGCATGATCATCTTCTTCAGGAATGAAATGAACTTTGGAGCTTTGTTTGCGAAGAAAACTTGGTTTGAGTGATGACTTGCTCTGACTAGTGGTTTGAAGCGTTGAAAAAAGCTCTTTTGCTTTCTGGAATTGTTGGTTCGAATTTTCTTGCCCAATTGTCACTCCGTTGCTGGCGCGGCCATCAAGATAAACATGGCGCGCAATGTCATTGTCTTCAGGTAAGTAGCGAATCTTGGGGCTTTGTTTCATCGAACTCGCTTCCTTTGAAGATTGTTCTGCATTTGCATTCAAAATGGATTCTGTGGAAATCGTAGAGAATGAAGTTACATTCCTATTTTCTTTGCGATTTGCATCAATGTCTAGGCTTTTTGGTGCACTCTTGTTAACAAGTGCCGGTCCTGTCTTCTCTGATTTATCTGTTCCAATGAATGAAGAATTCTTTATCCGAGCGCTACCATTCGAGTTGCAAATCGCCTGTGCAACCTCAGTGTCTCCTGTAAGACTCGAACCATCTCTTGTACTAACACTGGGCGAGTCAGGTTGTGACGATCCCAAAGCAAGCTTTGAATCCTTTCGAGTTGGTAAATCTCGATCAACCATATCGCCACTGCTCTCTGGAGAAGCTTTGGAGAATCGGAGCTCGCTCGACCAAATTCTCTTCTCTGGGGTGGAGCTCAAAAAGTTTCTATACGAAGCGTAGCGGCTTTCACGTTCGGCTGAACCCGAGCTCTCACTACTTGTGCTAAGTGATTGTTCTGAAGGGCACTCTCGAGTTTGCTTGTGCTTCTTGCTTTCACCAGAAATAGGTAGTGCGCCATCAATGTCTCTTTTTCCTTTGAGAGCAAACGTACTAGTGTCAGTCTCAGTCTCGAATTCAAGCGATTTCGCTGAGTCTGTAGACTTTGGGGAATCTTGGATGCGGGCAATTTGCTGCATACCATTGTCTTCTTGTGCTTGATGTCTTGGCGTACGTATCCACGACAAAGATTCCTGTGGTGAGTCCGATCGATCTTCTTCGACGGTTCCTTCGCCAGCTGCCTGCAACTGCTGGTACGGGAGATTCCCGTTCCAGTTGCGCTGAAAAGGATTCTCCGGTGATGCCGATTTCGAGGAGCCTTTGTCAAACCCATACTCATCGGATGACTCTGAACTTGAATCTGAATCGATACCGTACGGAATTGCTGGTGTGACTGATAGGTCCAGCTGGACAAATGGGAGCAACTCTGTGGCGTCAATTGAAGGGCTTAATTCGTCATCTTCAAAAAGCGCTGTTCCTGCTGATGGTTGCCTTGTCTCCTCAGCAGAACTAATTTGAAATTTTTTGTCCTTTCCAGAAGAATAAGACGATGAAGAACTTGAATCGGAACTTGATGATGGATTTGAGTCTGATTCTGATGACGAGGAATCCGACATTGTTGAAGTACCAGCAGAGGATCCATCAGGTGATGGGACCGAAAAGTCTCGACTGATGAATTCGATCTCAGAAGGAGCCATAAACTCTCTGCTGGATGACGACGCTGAAGAAGAACTCGAAGAAGACGATGACTTTGATGTTGAGCTTGATGCTGAAGATTGAGTCAGTATCAAATGTGCGGTAGCGATTGGGCGACCTTTTTCGTGGCCAGTTGTCGATTCTTCGACCAAACCGGTCTCAAACTGGTCCTTTTTGATGCTTGTGGCTGTGTTGGCAACGAATAGCTTATCTATCGCAGCCTTCGAGTCATCGTTACCAACGCTTTCGGAGTCATCAAAATTGTGATTGCGGCTACTGCTGGGATCTGATTGACCCTCATGGCTTCCTCGGTCGCATCTAATCACTTCAACATCAACCTCTTCGTCCATGTTTACCTGATTGAATTTCTCCATGTTTCGAATTATATTCATCGTATATTCGTCCAGGCTCAACTCTTCCCCATGGTCGCCGCCATCACGCAATTCTGAGTTATCAGAACTACTAAGAGTAAGTCTACTGTGGCCGGTGTTGGAACCTTCCGAAGAAACGTGTCCCGCTTCTAGGCGTTTCCGGAGGGCTGTTGTGGGCGAACCTAATGTTGCAGGGAAAAAGGTCTCGATTTGATGCTGGGGCAATTCCATCACTTTGTCAAGCGTGGTGTTGATGTAATCCTCGTCGAATGCCTCTGAAGACGACAACATTTTTCGCTTCACTAGGTCTCGAATATTCTGCCTCTTGGCTTCGTCCTTGGATAATTCCATAGCTGCACCTTCGTCGTCACCACCACCACCTTCTGTTCTGTCACTATGGCCACTAATGGAATCTCCCCAAAAGTCGCCGTCACCTTCTTGGTTGCTTGCAACGGCTACGGTGGGTGCTGTCAAGCCTTCAGGGAGCGGATTCTGCAAGAATTCTCCGATTTGTGGCCTAGGTAGCTTCATCAACTTGTCCACTGTAGCATCAACGTTATCTTCATCGAATGTCTCAGCAGTCAGCAACTTTTCTCTCACCATGCTGCGGATTTTATTCATGGTGATTTCATCTTGACTCAATTCCTTCTCTTCGCCTTCATCATCGCCGCCTTCTGAATCATCACCGTCACTACGACTACTGGCGGAGTCCTCCAAATTGGCACCGTCACCGTTTTGATTCCTTTCAACGGGACCAGTCTGTGCTGTCAAGCCTTCAGGGAGTGGATTCTGTAAGAATGCTCTAATTTGTGGCCTAGGTAGCTTCATCAGCTTGTCCACTCTAGCATCAACGTTGTCTTCGTCGAATGACTCAGCAGTCAACAACTTTTCTCTCACCATGCCACGAATTTTATTCATGATGATTTCATCTTGACTCAGTTGCTTTTCTCCGCCTCCCTCGTCACCATCACTGGTTTCTGAGTCCTCAGAACTGCTATTTCGGCTCGCTTCGGAATCCTCTGATTGTCCGTCTTCACCTTTTTTGTCGGTGGCCGTCAAGCCTTCAGGGAGCGGATTTTGTAAGAATGCTCTAATTTGTGGCCTAGGTAGCTTCATCAACTTGTCCACTGTAGTATCAACGTTATCTTCGTCGAATGACTCAGCAGTCAACAACTTTTCTCTCACCATGCTACGAATTTTGTTCATGATGATTTCATCTTGACTCAGTTGCTTTTCTCCGCCTCCCTCGTCACCATCACTGGTTTCTGAGTCCTCGGAGCTGCTACTTCGGCACGCTTCGGACTCCTCTGATTGCCTGCCTTCGCCTTTTTTGTTGGTGGCCGTCAAGTCTTCAGGGAGCGGATTTTGCAAGAATGCTATAATTTGTGGCCTAGGTAGCTTCATCAACTTGTCCACTGTAGTATCAACGTTATCTTCGTCGAAAGTCTCAGCAGTCAACAACTTTTCTCTCACCATGCTACGAATTTTGTTCATGATGATTTCATCTTGACTCAGTTCCTTTTCTCCGCCTTCCTCGTCACCATCATTGACTTCTGAGTCCTCAGGGCTGCTACTTCGGCACGCTTCGGGTTCCTCTGAATGCTCAACTTCGCTTTCTTCTTCGGTGGGTGCCGTCAAGTCTTCAGGTAGGGGATTCTGCAAGAATGTTCTGATTTGTGACCTAGGTCGCTTCATCAACTTGTCAACTGTTGTGTCAACATTGTCTAAATTGAATGTCTCAGCAGTCAACAACTTTTCCCTCACCATGCTGCGAATTTTTCTCATCATCATTTCGTCTTGACTCAATTTTTCTGCTTCGTCATTGTCGTCATCGTCGCTGGTATCACCATTATCACTACCACGGCGACTACTGACGGAAGAATAACCATCGTTTTCTTCCAGATTGTTTTTTGTGCTTTCAGTGGTTGCTGTCAAGCTTGCGAGGAGCGGATTTTGTAAAACTACTTTGATTTGAGCCTTAGGTAATCGCATCACCTTGCCCACCGCAGCATCGATATTGTCCTCGTCGAATGCCTGAACACTCAACAACTTTCGCCTTATCAGGTCATGGAATTTCTTCATCTTAAGTTCATCCTGACCTAGCACATTCTCCCCCGAGAGAACAGTGTCTTTCGTTTCAATCATCAATTCGATTGTCTCCAGAGGAGGGGGAGGGAAGACTGCTTTAATGTCCGTCTCTTCGATGCTAAAACTCAGCCGCTCGCGTCGTTCAGTATCCAAAAACGATTGCAGCCGGCTCATTTCATCTGCGGTGAGTTCTTGTCCTATTCGACTTCGCCCGTAAAGCTGGAGGTAGCCAAAGCGTTTCTCGTCGACTGACTCCCCATTTTCGCATTTAACAATGATATCTTCGAATTCCTCCATGTAGAAGCGATCTGATGCTCTTGTTGACTCCGTCGATGTCGTTTCAGAAGGCGATTCCATATGTCCGCCACTTAATGGCAATCTAGCTGATGCTGATAGCATGCCTTCGTTGAACTCTCGTATTATCATCTCCTCGTCTTCTTTCTCAAGCGAATTCAGTTCATCGACCTCGTCTAATGTGAGTAAGTCACCAACAGCTCGTCGAGCGTAGAGTTGCAAATAATTCATGCGGTCTTCAGTCGCCAGCTCTCCCAAAGACGCCCCTTGAAGAATTAATTGAAATTCGCCTTTGTAATGATCTTGAAGCAATCTCCGTCTTTTGCGTACATCCTCGACATACTTTGCTTCATCTGTTGTCAAGTCTTCGCAACGCATCCACTTTTCCAACAATCCAAGTTCATGCAGACGGGCTTTGTCAACGTTATGACCATCGGCCCAAAGCAACAACAGTTTCCTTAGTTCCCATCTTTCCCAAGGAAATATGAGAGAACGATCGTCGCGTCTTCCATTCGATGCCATCAGTGAGTCTTTTTCCTTTGAGAAGATGCTTTCGGAGGGTCTCTTGTTGTTTTCGTTAGCCTCTCGCGACGAGAGCACAGAATCAAGGATATGCTTGTTTGTCAATTGTCCGTAGCGTGCATTGATCATCTCGTCAGCATCCCTTAATAACGCCTGCGATGGATCATTCTGTTTATTCTGGTCTGTCTCTTCGAACTGCAAAATCGCATTGGATGCATTGACTTCGCCATTTGACGCATTACTTGCTAAAGGCGCAGTGCCCATCACTTCTGCGAATGATCTCGTCTTCATGCTACCAGTGCTGCTGACGCTTTCGTCTAAAGAAATTGCAATGTCTCCTGTCGGACCTTCGTCCACCACAACACCCATCGCTACTTCCACTAGATTTTCATCATTCAAAGGAGATGATGGCTGCTCTACGTCGTCTTCACCTCCACCACGGATTAGCTCCGAATCATCATTAGCAACAGGGAATCCACCAAGATCAGCTACAGAGTCCAAGATCATTTCATCGTCGGATGACTCGTCTGAGCTAGAAGAGCCAGGTGTCCGCTCGATTTCTACTCGCTTCATTAATTGGCGATCTGGCGAGTAGTAGGAATCCTCTCTCGTTTCCGACTCAACAGATGATAGTGATGAGTCAGGGCCACAGGCAGGAAGGATTTGTGGCGATCGAGATGTAGAGTGGGAGACTGAGCCTTCAACCAATTCTGACCCATGCCTGTCACCAGTCGATGTGGTTAGACGTCTATCTTCGCCTTGTCTTATCTCAGGAGAGCTCTTGCTTATATCCTCTGCTCGCAACTGGCTGTCAGCCGAATCTGGTTGGACAGAATCTCCATATCCAGAAATGGATTCCAAATCTTCAATATGGCTGTCTTCGAAGAAGCTGGGTACCGTAAATGATGAAGGGTTCCTTTCATTCAACAAATCCTTGTTGGTAATACTTGCCTCTCGTTGCGCGTTAGGCTCTTTTTCGTACACTTCCGGAGGACCTTCAGATGCGTTGTTGTGTCTGTGGGATTGAAAGGATACTTCTCGACCCACATCATTACGATTTACCTCAATTTGATTTTTCTCAGCATCTTCGATAGGGCTTTGGTTGACACCAACCGAGGCCTCAACGGACATCTCATCTTCCGCATACTCTACTTCGGTGAAGCTGCATTCCGATTCGTGAGGCTGGTCTTCTTCAACTTCATCATCAACGTATTCTACTTCTATCGAACTGTGATCGGTTGATTCCAGCGATGGTTGTTCCATTTCTTCTGACGAGTTGGGATCGAAGAAATGATCTTCTGGGCGAACTGGCTGCGAGGATTTGTGTTCCGAATCCGTATCCTCAGGATCTGGAGCTGCCGACCGTAATTCCGCACTCGTATCCCAAGGATCTAAAACTGATGTAAATTGCTCGACAGTACCATCTTCGTTGCCCCCATCGTGATTTTTACTCGAGCTGCCATCCAATGGTGATTCTTGAAATGATGCTTGCCCTTCCGCCTCGTCATTGCCAAGGCCATCGTTCCATTCTTTTTCATTCCCCTGTCCCCTGGAAACGATTTCATGAGCTTCCCCGGTGCTCACATCGCCTGTTCTACTGTTTCTGTAATCGTCAGGCGTCGTCTCCAGTTGTTGTGGAAATCCCTGCCCCAAAGAAACGATCGTGTCATCTTGCGTTCCTGCTCCTCTGCTATTTAACGAAGCCTCCAAATCACCTTGCAGTTCTGCAATTCTCCGCGAAAAAGCTTCGTCAGCTTCACCCATGCTAGTTTCCAATTTTACCGCTCTACTGTTCACCGAAAAACCAGCCCCACTGATGTCAATAGATTCCCCTGTAATTTCCCAAACTCTACTATTCATGGAACCGTCGGGTGCAACCTCACTTTGCAGAGCCTTCTGACTCAACGTCGAGTCAGCACATAGCCGGGATGAGCTGGTTGGAGATGTTTCATGTGATCGCGATGGTGGCACTGGAATTGAAGATTGCGGAGATGGTACGTTATTGTTTCGAGATTCCTCTTGCGACGGAGGGCTCGGATCTATTCTGGCGCTGCTGCTACTGCTTCCGTTGCTTCTCGATGGACTCCCCCTAGTCTCTAGATGAGGCAACGTTTCTTGTTGAGGACTCGAATCCGTTCGCACACTGCTGCTGCTTCGGTTGCTTTTCGATGGACTTCCCCTAGTCTCTGTCTGAGGCAACGTTTCTTGTTGAGGACTCGAATCCGCTCGCATGCTGCTACTGCTTCGGTTGCTTCTCGATGGACTCCCCCTAGTCGCTGTCTGAGGCGCCGGTTCTTGTTGAGGACTCGAATAAGTTCTGGCACTAGTGTTGCTGCGATTGCTCCTCGATCTACTACCCCTACTTTCTGGAGAACTTTCCATTGTCTCTTTGTGCGCTGGGCCGTGTGTTGGTGGCGGCAGATCATCGGAAGAGGAAGAATTCTTGTCATAGGAAGAAGCATCCAATTTATCCTTTTGGGCCTGTTGGTGATTCGGTCTTTTTGGCCGTCTTCTTCGTGATCGATTCAAGAGTGTTTTGTATTTATCCTCCATCTCTCGAGTAGATTGGGATTTTTGCATACCGTCTCGCCTAGAGGCTCGATTCAAGAGTGCTTTGTATTTATCCTCCATCTCTCGAGTAGATTGGGATTTTTGCATGCCGTCTCGACTGGAGACCTCCGGTTGTGGTATCGTGGCTTTTCCCGCAGGGTTTTGCATTTCTCGATAGGTAATCGAAACTTTATGAATGATAGGAGAACCCGAAGAGGACGCTTTCAATACTGGAATCGGAGATGACTGCTGTGATTGTTGTTGAGTTTGATCGTAATTTCCTCCATCTCCCCGTGGTGGTGGATACGATGCTGGATGAGACAATTCATAATTTTGTCGTAGGGATTTTGCCATGGTTGTTGTTTGTGCATCCATTGTTGATGCTGGGACACCTTCCGAAATGTTATCTGATCCTCGGTTAGGTCTCCTTATTGGTTTGCGGAGATTCCGTTGACGAGAACGGGAGAGTAAGGCAGAATAATCCATATTTCTACCCTACTCTTTCCCAGATTGTTCAGAGCCAACTATTCTCGAGCGCTTGGCTTTACTTTGCTTCAGGTTTTCCGTGACGAAGAGGAAGCGGCGGCAATCTTATTTGATAGCGGATGCAAAATTTTTGTTGAGGAAAAACGACTGAAAGTGTCATCCGGAACCAATAGAAGCTCGAACTAGTCGTAGAAACTATCGATTCGATAGCCAACTGGCGCCTACCAGGTACAGTACCGGTACCTACAGTACCGCCTTGTTTCTTCCGTATTCTTCCTTGGTGTGAGAGTCGGTTGTGGTGTGAAGCTGGTCTTTTGGATTGCGCGCGAAGCGTGCGATTCCAAAAGATCAGTCTTTGATATCCCGCGAAGCGGAATATCAGAGACTTGCTTGCCGACTAGGCGATGCATTGATGGATATTAAATTTAATATGCATCAATGCATGGCCTAACAGGGATGTGGAGGGAGGGAAATAAATAAACGTATTTCTTGATGTAAACTCGCACACAAGTTCGATAAATTGATCGGACTTCGTGTTGTGGAGCAATGCTGTTGTGACGGTCATTCGAATTCGTTCTCGAGCTTTCGTCTACGTTAGACGACGCAAACTCTTGACAATTGAATTGTTACTCTATCTTGATTGTTAGTATTGTATTATTGAAGCAGTCTAAAGTTATTTCCAAATGTGACCTCCTCAAAGGAATGCATTCCCTATTTATTCCGAGGATCCACCTGCCCCCCGCAGCCTGCGATTTGACTCAGTCTTGTATGTGCACCAACCTTCTTGATCGTACGGGTATAACTGTTCCAAACTGTTGGGGTAGTAGCATCCACCCCCACGATAGCATCCATATTTCACAGCGCCAGGAACACTTTCCGCGCATGAAAATGGATATGATCCCGAACAGATGCTTTCGCAGGAAGGATTCTCTGGTGGACTCGGAGTTGTAATTTCGCACTTTGTAGGGTGACACTTCGGCCCACAAATGGAAGGGAATTCGTCACTCACAATTCCACATGCTTCCAAGTCATTTGTGGCATACCCATGGGATACCAACCATTCCATTCGAGCTCCACAGGAGTGACCAGAAGCATCAGCATTATAGACATCTGATGTGCATGTAGTGCATCCACAATAGAATTCGTTGGTAACTGGTGGCTCTGTTGGACCGGGTGTTGGCCGGAATGTTGGCGGCTTTGTTTGCGGTGCAGCAGTAGCAGGGGCGATGACAGCTTCTTCATAACAATAGTCAATGCCGTAGAAGCCACCACCATTGCAACCAGGTACAGCTTCCGTTCCTGTCCTTTCAAAACATTTCAACGACCCCTGACAGTCAGAGTCTGACGGTATTCAAGCAAAAAGAACGATGTAAGTGAATTCCAATACGGAATGAATGTCATCCTAAGTTTCTTACCTCCGTCGCAGTCACCCTCACACTTTGTCAAGGGAAAGGCAGTTCGTGGGTTGCCATTGTTTCCTTTGTAGGTGAGGTTGTCCGGTGACCCTGTTGGCATTGACAGCTGGGCAGTAGGCGATGGTGTGGGAGGAAGTCGATTCGATGTTGGTGGCGGGCTTGGTGTTGCAAATGGTGCTGGAAATGGCGTTGGGTATGGTGTTGGGTGTAGCGTTTGCGGAGTGTGCGGTGAAGGCAGCGGTGGGGACGAGTCTCTGGTATAGGACTTGTAAGTACAAAAGTTTTCATGCGGGTATGATTCACCTTCATTCAAATACCAACAGAGCCCATTTCTGGCGCATCCAAGAGCAGCCTTCCCTGGACTATCACTTATACATCCGTAAGGAAAGGTTCCTGGACAGAAGCCGTCACAAGATGATTCGCAATCATCTCCTGAGAAGCCAGGGTCGCATTCACACTGTGTTTCCAAATTTCCAACAGCGATGCAAGTTCCGTGACCGGAACACGTTCTTCCTTGATAAATGCATGGATTGGAGTCGCAACGTAGTCCGGTCCACCCTGGCTCACATATGCATGCTTTATCCGAACTTACGGGCAACTCCCCAGAAACTCCAAGATAAAGTGCAGTGCAACGGCCATGTTCCCCGCATCCGGCATCTCCACAAAGGTCAATCTCACAATTACTTCCTGTAAAGCCAGCATTGCACTTGCATGTTGAAGTTGCACAATCACAATAAGAAGTGGAAGAATCACATGCATACCCACAGCTTTCAGGACAATCGGTTGGCCGTACAAGTTCATTGAGTCCATACTTGTTCTGCTGTGGATCACTGCAATCAACTTGTGGTTGGTCATTTGGCTGGACCCCTGAGCCAACACATGCCCCATGGTTTCCCCAAGCCTCATCGGCCATAAATTCATCTCCACTCCATATGAAGCTACGGTCGTGTTGACTGTTGACGAGACCGTCTACTCCACATGATGGTCTGCCAACAACACTCAAATAAAGGTAGTCCGGAGTCCATCGATTTCCAACTACTGGATCACTAAATTCAATGACCCAATCCTTGGGGAGCGGTCCTCCCGCGATAGAAATCTTGTAGGAGTGACTCGTTCCTGATATCACTGGAACAGCAAATCCTTGCCGGGAAGATGCCCCCGAACGGTGATAATTCACATATTGCGTGGCTGTCGGTGAGCCATTTTGGCCCCTAACTCCATTCGCTTTATTCCACCAAACATCAAGTTTGAGTTGCGATGATGGCGAACTAGTGTATATTCTCAATACGCGTAGCGGCACTTTGCATAGAATCCCATCATGATACAAGCCTCCTCTCTCTTCTTGGCTTCGAACACATATCTTGCCGGGTAATTGCAACAAATATTCGAACTTCTGGGACGCTAAAGAGACGTAGCCAGGCGGAAAAAAGGCATCCGGTAGTATCTCTCCATTCTGTACCCTCTTTGTCTCTTCTGGCGAGAGAGTGAAGATTCCTCCATTGTTGAAGAAGTGTACCCATGTCTTATCAGTTGCTTTATTCTGCCACGCGACCTTATGGAACATATAAGTTGGCATACAGAGAACACCTGTTTCTCCAACATCGCAATGGTGATTTGTTTCCAGTTGCACCCCATTGCCAAACACTGTATTTTCAATCAAGAATGTACCATGATCAGGAAGTGCAACTCTTCCACGTGCATAGTAGGAATTGGTAATGTGGGCAGCGCACCCGTTATCAAACGTCTTGGTCTCTTTCCAGTAAAGAAGGTTCAGTGAATCTGTTGAAATGTGTTCGTTGTACTGCAGATCACCGGCCATATAGTGGCCAACAAAAGCATTTCCATAATCCGAATGCCCTGTAAAGGATGCTGGCACACCTCGGGTATTCCCAAATTCATCAAATCCTTGGCATTGCGATTGATCCACATGAAACCCGTTTGTTTGCACTGATTGGTCGGTAAGCTTAGGGTAGTTGAAGCCCAAAGCATAAGTTCCAAATCGCCCACAGGAATGAAACGTGTTCCCTTCATACCGTCCTAAGGCGGAAGCGCTCTCGCAAACCTTGCCAAAGGCCATTCCCCTGCCTTGTCCACCTTCTTTGAGAAACATCCCATTGAATGAATTCACTCCTCGATTCCCAATCATATCGTTCGATGCTGCCAGAGAGAAAAAGGAGCTTTGGTTGTCTCGGGTATCACTGAGACGATTGGAGGTTCCGGGTACGGTACATCCGTGAAAGGACTCATCATTGAATGGGTATGGGCAGATCACTACGTTGTACGCCAATCTATTTTGCATCTCGTTGCCATCTTCAATATAGACTCCAGCGCCTCGAACGTTGTATAAGACATTACCTTGCACTTTCGAAAGGTGCGTTCCGTGAATGATGATTCCTCGTTGTTGGGAAAACTCGACAGCATTGTTTTGAAAGCTGCATTCGGGACAAGCCCCCACCTGATGCAAATGCAAACAGTACTTGCCCTCGATTCCACGTTGACCACATTTTTCTACCCTTACATTGTGGATTTTTTGGATACCTCCGTTACTTTGCATAGTGTGTAATCCAACTGTACATTTTGTCCGACCTCCTCCACAACGACAGCCCTGTGTAGAAGTGGATTCTCCAGCAATGGCTTCGGGCAAGTTGGGATCGCAAGGAACATGTTCAAAATCGTCCCCTGTGATGATAACATTGCGGCTTAGATTGATCACCTCGGGTGTCTTCATGGAAACTTGGTTCACAGAACCAACCACTTCGAACAGAACATCATACGTTTGATCGGATGGGCGGTCCAAACGAATACTTCCATCATTGTAAATTTGAGCAATTGTAAATTCTTGTCCCCACCCCTTAGCAAGGGGCACTATGGGTGCTATAGCAATGCGATCCCCTACTACCCACCCCATGATATGCGCATTGTGTAGGAGCTTGATGGTTGCGGACCCCTGAGGTAGTGAGTCTGAAAGTAAACTCCAAGTGCGCAACATCGGTCGGCCTTGAATCTCCAACAAAGGATTGTCGTTGTATCCGCTAGCAAACGACCCCAAAACGCGTGACCGTAATGCGGGATGGATGGCTCCATTGTTCCGAAGGTAAATCCAAGCCTTTTGTTGGGGACTGGCTAATGACAATTCGAACCTTCCATTCCCTTCCACTACCATATATCCAGCACACAAATATTGATCTTGATTCGATTGCGAGGAATCGTTCCAGACCAATCCCCCTTTAATGATCAAGGCGCCGAGAATCAAGGAAGTATCCATGATGAGTGTCACGCCAGTCTCGATAACGCAAATATCGTTCTGTCCGCAGGATGTAGCCTGCCATTCATCTGAGGAAGCATATATTGTAGAAGGAAATTGAATAGATACTGTTCGAGTGGGCGGGGGTCCAAGTCCATTTCCGCGACAGCGATTCTTCAAGTCCGGAAACTCGTTTTCCAATGCGGTGTAAGAATTCGGAAGGTGGTGGTTTTGAAAGTCTGCCAAATAGGGCCCTTCATCGTGTTGCCAATAAGCAGCCTGCACGACTGTAATTTGATTTTGTAGCTGAAGGAGGAGCAACAAAACCCAAGGTGCGGTTGCTTTTGTGACCAGAAAACACATCATGATTCACCGTTCGTTATAGAAATGTCGAATGTCCCTAAATTTTCTAAAGCACTTTCAAACTTTGTGAGTACAGATGGCCACAATTTTGGCAATTGATGTTGAAAGTGATCCTGGATGCTTCCTGTCTAACTAGTATAAATTGGAAATCTTCATTCGGAGACGTTGAAGTCGAGTCCCCAATGTTGATAGGATACGTGAACGAGCCGAGGTATACTTACGCTGAAACAATCGCCTCTTCGGAGAGTTAATTGCATGCTTTTGGAAAATTACTCATGTGTGTTTCTCGTCCACCATGTGTATCAAAAAATCATGGAGCATCTCCTGATTTTTGAAGTCACGCTGGCTCGTTCCTCATACCATCAATTTCATTCACGTACGAACGAAATACTCACCAAGATAACAGTAACCGAGAGTCTGTATGATTTAGATCTGATGCCTCAAGTTGTAGATCAATGAATGGGGTAAACAGGGTATACATAATTGATTTTTACACTATTGCGATGTCCATGGACTACACCTGTATCGGTAGTGTTGTTTCGTTCCTCATCATCCGTGACCCGTTTTCGCAATATGTGCGTAAAAAGCCAGCCGAATTCATTAAGGCGCACCCAAACTAGGAAGTGAGCGGAGGCATTCAGATTCGTTGGTTCAATTCAGTAACCCCGAAGAGGAAATTGCAAAGGTGGTTGTGTATTCGGAGCACAAGAACTCGAGCTCGCCCTCTAGCTGGCACTGACAAACACCAGGATCTTCGCAGCAAAACATGCAGCAAGGGCAGTCAAGCTCGGCGATGCAGTCGGAAATAAAAGCGGGGACTGACTCGTTAAAAACGTTGCAAATGCTCGTAGATACGATTCCAGTCAAATTGTTCGCCTCCACGCGGAATGTGGCTAGTCGAGATAATGCTCCAAAAGAGGTAGGAATGGTTCCACTGAGATTGTTGTCGTGCAATATCAGGTTGCGCAAAAGGGTGGCTCTGGATAGCTCACTGGGAATACTTCCACTCAGTCGATTATCGGAAAGGTCCAGGTCTCGAAGGCGGACCGTGTTGTTCCAATTGCTTGGTATGGTTTCGACCATCAAGTTGGAGCTCAAATCCAGACTGATCAAATCCATCAATTTCCCAAATGTACTAGGGATTGGCGACTCAATCTGGTTGTTGGAAATATCCAATCGACGGAGCAACCGAAGGTTCCCAATCTCTGGCGGCAGGTATCCTATACGATTGAAGGAAGCGTCCAGTTGTTTTAAGGCGCTCAAATCCCCAATCTGCCGCGGCAAAAGAGTGAACTGATTCCTTTCCAGACTCAGTGAGGTCAACGACGTCAGGCGAAAAATATCGATGGGAATAGCACCGCGAAGTTCGTTACCACGCACGTCCACGGCGGTAGCCTTGGTCCATTTGCCAATCTCTGCCGGAAGTGTCCCGGAAAAGGCATTGTTGGCAAGGCTGATAGATTCAAGCAGAGTCAATTCACCAAGCTCGGGTGGAATCGAACCAGAAATGGCAGAGGAACCGATTCCGTCTTGGGACATCTCAAGCCGGACCAGACTATTTGAAAGTAACGCTATTTCGGAAGGTACGGTACCTGACAAGCCGTTGGACCTCAGCTCTAGATAAACGTAGAGTCCTTCTTCGTTACACGGTGGCCGGAAACTGTTGCTCGTGTTCCATTCACATTCGTCGGCATCTGTTAACCATGAGCCTTTGTTGGTCCATCCATTGCCATTGGTACTGTAGAACAGTGTTGCAAGCGCAAACCTTTGAATTTTTTGCTGAGAACCATAGGAGTCGATGTTGAGGTTGTCTTGCAACCAGACAAGTGCCTTGAACTGCGGCGAGGTGGAATCGGAAAAATTGGATTCCAGACTTGGCCACACAAATACAAGCAAGTCGCGTAGAATTTCAGACGGACTCTTGGTCGGTGCAGAAGATGGCGAATAAGATGGTGTTTCTGTTTCTCGTACGGTAGGTGGTGGCGTTGTTTGAATTGCTGGACCTTGTACTGCTTGGGCTTCTGTGTCGTCATCCGTGAGGTAATTTGCCCAGATGTACCAGAACGTCGCAGCGCCGAGTATAAAGGAAACAAACAAGACCACGATAATGTGCATCTTTCGCGGAGACATCCCCCGTTCCTGTGGTGCAAGTTGCCGTTTTCTAGAACTGTTACCAGAAGTACGTCCTGTTGCAATATCGTGTCGCTCCCTTACAAGCGCATCTGGATCGTTCTTCTTCGTTCTGGAACCCCGTACTACAGTGATTTCCGAGGAGCGTGGAGCTGGTCGATTTGGTCCGAGGCTGACGATAACTTCAGAATGGCGAGATCGGTTCACACCGCCGCGCGCGGTATGTGCGGGTGTCAAAGGGTCGTACTCATCATGCAAAGAGATGTCTTCATCAGAAAACAGATGCGGCGGTCCGTCATCATCACTTTCTACACCAGCATTTTCGAGATCTTCATAGGGATCGCCAAGTGAGCTACTTGCTGTACTCTCCCATCCATTCGAAGATACAACACTGTGAGTGAAATCGGGAGATTGATTCATCCGTGATCCTGCTCCAGATCTCCGCACAGTGACGGAATTGTTATTACCCATGATAGCATTCTCAATGTCTCGTGCTTGTTGATGTTGTGGACCGCCAACAAAACTGCTTTGTGAATCGTCATCTTCTCCGGTCGGCGGAATTTGGTCATTTGTAACAGCCGTTCGATCATTGGCATTTGACGACATGGAACCATCGCGCGAATTGATTTGCCTGGTATTCGATTTGACATCTTGCGGAGATCCTTGATTTGCTTGTCGTGTACCTTGAATGTGTCGGGTCTGCAAACTTATATCTGGAACCTTTAATGGATTATGTGCCACCAAGAGTTTCGATTCAAGGAGTGCATCTTCATCGTCCGAACCAAGAAGAGCTTCTGGAGTCATGGGTGCGCCCATGATATCATGTTGGGACTCTATGGTTTCGTCTTCGCTAAATGAATTGTTTCCAATCACATTTTTCAATTTCTGAACGGATGGTTTTGACCATAAACACAAGAAATCAGTGTCCATGTGGTCAATTCGCATGTCCCTTCGTTCCATCATTCGGACCCAAGGATCATTTTCTACTACTTGGGGCATCGAACCATCATCATCTTCCAAATCTGGCGTTGATCTGAGCAGGGCTGCACCTTCGTCGATTGACGTGAGTTCTTCCTGTGCAGGTATACTACTAGGCTTCTCTTTGGGACTCTGTTGCTTTGGGATTGGTGGTTTCGCTATTGGTATCGGCGATATTGACATGGCGGAATCGTCCGAGGTCAAGATGGTAGATTCGCCCGAGTCACTATTCGGATTGAAAGGAGTTCCAGCATTTTCCACTTGCGGTGTAGGGTCCTCTGATACTAAATTTGGCGATGCTCCGTCAGATTCCTCGATTCGCGGTAGTCCTTCCTGTTGGAGATGATCGCCAGGTTGCTGTTTTGGAACCGGTGGTTTCGCTATTGGTACTGGTGAAAGGGAATCGTCCGATGTCATGATAGAAGATTCTCCAGAGTCACTGTGATTATTGAACGGAGTTCCCTTTCCAGTAGCTCCAACAAATCCAGGCAAACTCTCCTCTGTTACCGAGGGATCGCTGATATAACCTGCTACTCTTGTATTTCCCCATCGGTGTGTTTCTGACCCTTGGTGGTCAGGAATCTCCTCATCGTATACTTCCGTCATGGACATCATTGTGTCATCGGATGTAAATCGTTTGTCGCGTGAGTCACTTTCCGAACTGTCGAGCAATCGCCGGTTGGTACTTTTGGGCGTACCATCATTTTCAGCAACATCCTCGTCATCTGGAATGTTCCACATGACGTTGGGATAGGTTTCCTGAAAAGCTCGTTCCTCGTCCTCTTCGTCTGGTGAAGAATCATCATCTGAATTATCGTCGTCTCCCAGCATCATGTTCACCATTTCCATGTCCTCGTTGCCAAGAACATTAGATGTCAGCTGAGACGATGTCTTTTGGTTTTCAGCAGCAGGAATCTGTGAATTGCTTGCGGGTCGATTCACTTTTATGTGATCATGGTTCTCCGAATTTGTAGCTTCGTTCGTGTCTACTTCCCCATCGGTTCGGTTGGCTACCCTTGGTGTTTTGCCAGTATCCCGACTATTTCCCTTTTTCCCCATCTTTTTCTTCCCGTCATCCGAATCATCATCATCATTATCCGATTCGGCACCCAACATTTGGTTGACAACGTCCATGTCTTCATTCGGAAGTAGATTGGACGTCTGCTTGGGCGGCTTATAATCATCTTTGGATGCTGCTGCTCTCCCATCTGGCGAGACCCATCGATGAAAGTCTTCATTGGCGTCCAGCTGCATAGTTTCTGCCTCTTGCGATTCCCTTCTGCTCTTGGGAATGATAATTTCAATAGGTTGATCATCATCCCCTTCGTCAGGTCCCCCCGTGCCATTATTATTATTATTATTGTTGTTGTTGTGTATCATAAATTGCTTATATCGTTCCGTCGTACTTATGGAATCATCATCTTTGGATATTATATCATCGTGTTCATCATAGGCTTTGACTCGCATTATTTGTTCCATTTCACCACCCGGAAGGTATTTGGAGTATTTCTGAAGACACCGTCGATACCCTCGTTCTGTGCTGGATGCATCCGCTGATGAATCATCCTCTTCTGTAGATGTTTTGGAAGAATGATCACTCTTCATGATGGGGTCTTCTTCGGAGGACCTACTTATCGTGCTAGTAGCATCCATCCTACTTGATACCTATTCCAAACAAAGATGAGAGGTTGTTTATTTCACTACAACCAGTTTCAAGTTTCAGGTTCCGTATGAAGGTCGGCCACAAGCAAATTTTTCGTTTCCGGTTCTCTATTCCTCCGCCAATTCAAATAACGGCTGGCACGCGAACCAGGTTTGAAATCATCTACTAAAATTGTCTGTTCGCCTGCCAACGGCGAAAAATTTGTTGAGATTTTTTGTCATTTACAAACTCACTTGCACATATGTTCACCTTCACGCACCCCTTCCCCAACCGTTCACAGATCTGCTTCCACAATTCCAGTCGACAATTTCTCCCAGCTTGGGTTGTTCATTTCCCCATCCATTCGTTTCATTTGTTGATTCGTTGATTGAGTCAGCAACGCCACAATCACCATGCGACGATTTGTCAGAGGTGGAAAGCGCCAGCAGGATTTTGAAAATGCCATTGGCTCTCCGGCTGGAGTCGAGATGAACGATTATGCGGAAAATGCAGAAGCGCACACGCAATTGGACAACCTTGCGTCTAGTCGCGTAGTGTCCCCCACTCCCAATGTTGGCTCGTCGTCACCAGAGACTGTTGGCAGTGGAGGAAACATTTCAGCGGATAGCAACTTTGATGTGCAGGACACTTTGGATCGGGCTTCTGTCCCTCCAGCAGCTTCAACGACAGATCCTGGCACGCCCAGTCGATTGGGTACCATGATGAATTCAATCTACAAGACACCACAGAAGCAACAACAGCAGCAGCAACAACAACAACAAGCACCCATGTCGACGGCTTCCAGTGTTGGCCCTACTGCACAATATAATGACATTGGCTTTTCACCCGACTTCAGCGCGATGGACAAAGCCATGTCGGAAAAGTCGAGCGATGCGGGTGATTACAAGGAAACCTTTGGCGATCAGATTGATGCCCTCGATGATCTATTGGCAACTCCAGGAAAGGTGCTAGGAGACTTGGCAGATACTCCCATTAGCCCTGACGACGACGACTCTGTGGATCAGGAATTGGAGGACTTGGAACGTAACAATCGGTTGCTTAGCCAAGAACTATCTCAAGTAAGCTGGTATGAGACTGGTATTATCAAAGAGGACCCCTCGGCGGCGAAGCAACTCTTTGCCAGTACACCTGAATCCAAGAAGGGGGGAGAACCATCATCTTCGGCCAACGTATCGTCCGACTATGACCAATTGTTTTCTCCCTCCCCTGGTCCACAATCCAAATTTTCCCCTACGTCCAAAACAACACCATCTTCTCAAAAGATCGCAGATAGTCTTGATGACAACACCCCATCCATTTCCAACAAGAGGCAGAAGGAAGCGGACTCCTCTGATTCGTCCTTTCAGCTACCCAGTGTGTTTGGTTTCCGTAAGACTCCTGCAAAGCAGGAAAATCAACTGGGAATTGGCCGCAACCCAAATGCCAAGGACAATGTTGCTGATTCAGATATGTCTGCGTCGGCAGTCTCGTCGTCACCCAGCACCACTAGTGGCTCCCTCTTTCAATCCTTTGCAAACTTTTCGGCAATGGTGGGAGATTCCTTGACATCGCCCAGTGGGAAGTTTAATCAGAGTGAAGAGAGCCCTACAAGTCAACCATCACTCAGGGGCGAAGAGTTGTTGTTCGATGGTGCTGGTTCTCCACCGCGGGATACATCGTCCCAGCAACTCTCGACCAGCTTGCAGACTGTCAGTCCCATTCGAAAATATCAATCCCGTGGAAGGCAACCTGCTCCGCCACGTTCTTATGGAAGAGGAGGAGGAGGTCAATCCATTGACAATTTTGATGCTAACACGGATTCCATCAAACAACCATTGATTCATTCTCAACAGCAGCAACACCTCCTACCTCGAACTCCCGACCGTCAAAAGCTGGACGACAATTTGAAAGCTCAAGCGTCCTACCCTGGTCTCCCTTCGCCTGTGGGTATGGCGTCTCCCCATGTCTATGCAGATAATAGCACGGACGAGGAAGATGGTTTCTACGTTCGCGTGAACAAGAACGCGGATCAGTCCATTGTATCCCAATGCACACAAGACATTGAAGTGCAGGAAAAACAACCAGAGGAGAACGAAACGATGACGAATCGACAAATTGCATGTCTATGCGGGTTTATGGTCATTGTGATTGTTTGCGCCCTATTGATCGCATTATTTGCGACTGACATGTTGGACGACATGGAAAATGATCCCCGTCCAGTGGATCGGTCACCCAATGGAACAATTATCATTGATGTGCCAACCGACACTTCAGATCCTACCTCGTTTCCAACGCGAAGACCGACGCCATTTCCGACAGCCTTGGAACCCACCTTGGAAGAGTTTGACATTGGCTATAACATTCGTATTGCGAATGGGGAGGCCGACTCCATTCTCTCAAGTTCCTACACTCCAGATTTGATCGAGAGCATGGATCTATTGTCGGTTGGAGTCTTGGACGCAATCCAAGAAGGAAAGGATCCTTCCACTTTGTACGAACGACGACGACTTGCTTCCTTGGCGCTACCATCCATAATTGTGACCATCACCGAAGAGGAATGCCCTAACGCCAATGACCGTGACCGATGCGAACGAATCATTGCAGGGCTGTCGTTGACGGATGATTCGAACATTGCCGATAGGTTCCGAAACACGCTACAGCAAGAGGTGTCCTCGGGCGGACTTCAGTTTTTTTTGCAGCAAGTGAATCCAAATTCTCCCATTTTCATTCTGGATCCTGCGCAAAACCCTGGAATAACTCCGGCGCTGCCGCCAACTGCACCAAATTCAGGACCTGGCGGACCAACTGATCCAGCGACTGCATCGCCAACAAGATCACCTGCCTTTCAACCAACTCCCACTACACCGACACCCGGACCTGCTAATCCAGACGCGTTGCCAACAACGTCACCTGCATTCCAACCAACTCCCACGACATTAACCCCAGGACCTGCTAATCCAGACGAATCGCCGACAAGGTTACCCGCATTTCAACCAACTCCAATGACACCAACACCAGGGCCTGCTGATCCAGATGCATTGCCATCAAGGTCACCCGCATTTCAACCAACTCCAATAACATCAACCCCAGGACCTGCTAATCCAGATGCATCGCCGACAAGGTCACCCGCATTTCAACCAACTCCAATGACACCAACCCCAATACCAAATCCCATCGCACAACCTTCTCCACTCCCGCCAGGGTCGACTCCCGTCACGCAGCCTACTCCGTTTTCGTCCGCCAAGCCGACGCTTTTGCAGACTGCAACGCCAATGGCACCTCCGACTTCTAGACCAACGTCATTGCCTTCAGTCATACCTACCGCACCTCCTCTATTCAAAGCAACTCCTGTCCCAACTTTGAGATCTACCAATAGTCCTACAATGGCTCCGAATCCAACACTCTTCGATATTTTGGTTTCGAAATCCTTTGACGGTGGAGACGCGCTGCTAGATTCGTCATCAGCGCAACACAATGCATTCATGTGGTTGCTGACCAACAGAGACATTGACAAGTATGGGGAAGAACAGCTTGTCCAAAGGTATGTCATGGCCGCACTATACTTCAGCACAGATGGAGAAAGATGGCTGAACAAAAATAACTGGTTGGCGGACGTGGATGAATGCGAGTGGTTCAGCAAAGCAGGGCATGGAGCTTGTAAAAAGGGCAAGTTGGAAAATCTAGAGCTGGATTACAACAATTTGAATGGATTCTTGCCAGAAGAGCTGGGCTTATTGTCGGATTCACTGGAACGGATTGTCTTGCACGGCGGACCAGATGAAAAACTAGATGGCTCTATTCCAACATCTATTGGATACCTCACCAAGCTACGATTGCTTTTCATGCCAAACAACTCGATGGAAGGGGGTTTACCATCGGAAATTGGAAACCTGAGTTTGTTGCAACAGATCAACCTATCCAATTCTCGACTACAAGGTAACCTGCCTTCTGAAGTCGGTCTACTGACAAGTCTCGTTACGTTTGATGTTAGTGGCAACGAATTCTCTGGACTTCCAACGGAAATTGGAATGATGGAAAAAGTGAACAAAATGATTTTGCACAACAACAAATTTGAGGGACCCCTGCCATCAGAAATTGGACAGATTCGTAGACTAGCGCAGTTGGAAGCAAACGATAACTCATTTGATTCCCTACCTTCCGAAATTGGAGAACTGGTGTTTTGTGAGACCTTGGAGCTACAAGACAACAAAATTGCTGGTCCAATTCCGACGGAAATTGGAGAAATGCGTCGTCTACGTAAGTGCATTTGACTATTCGACTCAACACACTGATAAATCCTTGATTGCTCACCGTTATGTGATGATTCATACAGGTTTGCTTGACTTGGGGAACAATCTTTTGACGGGAACCATACCAACCGAATTTAAAAGGTTGAAGGAACTGAAATGTAAGTCTCAACAACGGTTTTATCCTCTTCCGAAACGAATGCTTTCTGACCGTTGCATCACCTTCTCTCAACAGCCCGACTAAGTTTGGCAAGTAATCGAATAAGGGGAAGTATTCCCTCGGAGTTTGGGGAATTAGATAAATTGAGTAAGTCCTAGTCGTGTTGGCAAGCATTGTCCAAAGAGCAAAACTAACAGTTAAAATCCCAGGAATCATCGACCTTAGACGAAACAGACTGTCTGGAAGCGTTCCCGAAGATTTGTCTGGGATGAAGAAAATCAGTACAATTCACTTGGACAACAATGATCTCGACGGCACAATACCAGCCAAATTGTGTGCTTTGTACGGCAGAACCTTCCCAGAGTTTAGTGCGGACTGTGCTGATTTTGATGACAGCTGCCCTTGCTGTTCAACGTGTTGTGTCGGAGGTCAGTGTACTTGCCGCTATGAAGGTACACCGCAAGAATACCTCTGCTTTTCTCGTACCTCTGAAATAGTACCATAGAATGCATAGTTAATTCGCCCTGGTTTGAGAGTAAATTTTTTACTAGGAATTTTTTAAGTACCATTAGTTTATGCGCGACGTCGCGCAATAAGCCAATTTTGTCAGGACTGGGTCTTGCAAGACTGACTCGTCGTGACCGGATTGGAGATTTGGAAAAAAACATCTACTAGCTAGTTCTAGCCTCCAGTGAACTTTTAAAGCACATCCATACACAAGCATCACCATCTGCCATCACCATCCGTCATCACCATGGCAAAGACCAAGATCAAACGAAGAGGATCCTGGAGTTTGAATTCTGACTCGGATTCATCCGAAAGCGAAATTAGTAGTAGTGTTGTCAGTTCATCAGAAGAGGAACCACCAGTTCGCAAGAAGAGTAGTAGGAACAATCGCTCTAGCGCCAGGAAATCTAGACGAGCCCTTGACCCAGAGTCTGAACCAGCGCCTTCAAGAAAAAGCAGCAAGACGAAGCCCAAGAAGGACAAGAAAAGCAGAAAGTCGGGCTACGAATATTCATCAAGCGACACGAGTTCAGATGAGTACAACACGGATGATAGCTCTAGCGACGATGACCGACCTTTTGGGAGAAAAGGCAAGCCAAGAACGTCTCATCAGGAATTTGGAGATCCTAGAAGCCAGAAGAAAAACAAAGAAACGGATGACGACACCGAAAGCAAATCCTCTGCCAATGAGGACGATTCCAATAGCAGTGGTAGTATGAAGTCTCCACCCAAGAAAACTGCCACCAAATTAAATAAGTATGTGGAGCAGAATCCAGATCGTACACCTGCAGATGTCGAGAATCAATATGACGATGACGAAGATGGGGGAGATTCTTCTGAGCGCAAATTCAACAATCGGAAGTTGAATGCAATCCCCGAGGAGGATAGTTCTACTAGTACTCCAATGGAGCAGCGCCCCAACAACCCAGCCTTCCACAGCGTGCCTAGGAATGGTGCGAAGGAAACGAATACCGACGATAACTCGGACGAGGAGGAAGATGACGAAAGCGATGACGACAAACCAATCCCAGAACGGCGACGATTCTTGACGCGAGAAAGGAAAATCATCACCTGTCTAACCTTGGGTTTGTGTTGCTTATGTTTGGCGGCAGCACTGGGCATCGGAATTGGCATTGGACTGGCTTCAAGAGACATTCATGACCACGTGGTTCCTGTCCAGTCGGGCGTGGAGCCGACGCCACCTCCGAATGGCAATGGCACCCAATCGCCTACAATTCAACCGTCACCACCACCTGACACCACATTGCTCCAACTGCTGATTGATAACTCCTTCGACGAAGGTTCAGCGCTCTCAATAGAAGGGACTCCACAGAGGAGTGCATATGAATGGCTGTCACGGAATGCCGAGCTGCCTAACTACACGAATGAGGTCAAGTTAGCTCGATATGCGTTGGCAACCTTTTACTTTTCTACCAATGGACCATCGACTTGGGCCGAGAACATTCGCAATGGCGGTTGGATGACCGATGTACCTGAATGCGAATGGGCCTCAACCGCCCGAAATCAATGCACGGGTGCTATATACTCGAGCCTAACGTTGGATTTTGTCGGTGTTTCAGGAGAAATACCGCCCGAACTTGCGTACTTGACGGGTTTGACGCGATTGAGCCTTCGTAGTGAAGGAGCTGGCTCACAGTCCATTGCAGGCAGTTTGCCTAGTACAATTGGTCTATTGAAGAATCTTCAGACCATTCGACTCAATGAGAACAACATAGGAGGGTCATTGCCTACTACAATTGGAAGTTTGACAAATGTAAGAGTCTTTCTCATGAGTGGCAACTCTTTAGAAGGCTCCATCCCAAGTGAAATCGGAAGGACAATGGGGAATACTTTCAATTTTGACCGCAATCGTCTCACTGGTAGACTGCCAGTGGAACTATTTCGTATGGGAACTTTGACAGCATTGAACTTTGAAGACAACACGATTTCAGGGCAGATTCCAAGGGATATTGGAATGAATCCTAGTCTCAATTCTGTCAACTTCTCAAGCAATAGATTGACTGGGACCATACCGACCGAGCTTGGCCGATTGGTCACGATGCGGTGTAAGTACTTTTTGGGCCAAATGTGATCGCTAGTTGTTGCATCTGACAATCTCACGTTTACCGTTTGCCCTCGTCAACTAGCGGGAATTAATTTGTCCAATAACCAGCTCTCTGGAGTCTTGCCTTCAGAGATTGGTTTTCTGGTCGATATGCGTAAGTTTTTTACCAGTATTCTCCTATTTTACCGACACGTGATTTTCAAGTTCTAACCGGTCGTATTGTCTCCATCACTTCAGAAAATTTGCAACTGAACAATAACCGATTGATTGGAAGAGTGCCCCGACAGTACGACGCAATACGAGACATGAGTAAGTTTTCCAATTTCATGTATTCTGCTTGGGTGCTGAAATATGAAATGCTCAACCATTTAACGACAGGACTCCTCCGAATTGACGGAAATCTGCTCACTGGAGAAATGCCAACGAGCGTGTGTGATTCCTTTACGGACAGGACTATTAGCTATTCGGATTGTGGCACCCAAGCATTCCAATGCCCTTGTTGCACGTTTTGTTGCATTGGGTCATCGTGCACGTGTAATGTGGACGATGAATCAATTTGTAATGGGGCTGTTCCAGAGTCAGTATCGATGGAATCGGATCAAACGACATTATCGGGACTGTACTACTCAGAGACTGAAGAAAACAAGGGGAAGTTTTTTAGGGACTCGAGTCGTCGCATACTGGCTTCAATGCCGTAGAACAACATAAATGTTTTAAATGGACTAAGTACTTGTTGACATAGTCATGATGTACGGTAGACAGTCAAATCAAAGAATGTGGGCGATGGAAGGTTTTAGAAACAACTATTTAGCAGACAGAGAGAGAAAACTTGGGAGGAATGGCAAATGGTTTCATCGTCAAAGCTACAGTAGCAGGCAGTAGTAGGCAGTGGCAGGTATGTTTTTCCACATGGGTACCAGTATGTACACCTCTTTAGGTCCACTGTGTTGCTCGGACTGTTCAACTCACTCGGAAAACTATCGCCTTTTGTTTACATGCTTGTGCAGTAGCGTATATATAAATATATATAATTAAAAATATCGAGACCCATCTGATTGCTGATTTTGGTACATAGACAAGATTGCCTAATTTTTGTCAACGGGCACGAGTAACATCAGACTCAAAATGTAAATCGAGCCGTTCAGCGTATCGTATATCGCGACCATAGTCACGCCCCAAGAAGAAACTTGGCTAACACAAACGACTCATCCAGCTTCCCTGAAAACTTTCACACAACCGTCATAAAATACCAAACATTTTGAGACACTATCCCACTGTCCCACTGTCAAACGCTTGAGAGCAGCAAAATATCACTTCACTAACTGCACAAACACTATAGAAACATGAAACTATATCAAGAGGCCATCGAGGCAGAAGAACGCTTCGCAGGCAGCGATTCAGACAGTGACGAGAGCGAGGAGACTAGCGAGGAAGAGGAATCATCGGAAGAAGAGTCCGGCTCTGAAGAGGAATCAGGTTCCGAGGAGGAGGAGTCTGAAGAAGAGTCTGGATCTGAAGAAGAGTCTGGATCTGAAGAAGAGTCTGGATCTGAAGAAGAGTCTGGATCTGAAGAAGAGTCTGGATCTGAAGAAGAGGAATCCGAAGACGAAGAGTCTGGATCCGCCGAAGAAGAAGAGTCTGGATCAGAAGAAGAATCTGGATCCGAAGAAGAGGAATCCGAAGAAGCGTCAGAAGAAACTTCTGACGATGAAGAGACTACAGAAGATGGTAGTGATGAGGAAGAATCTGAAGAAGAGTCTGGCTCTGAAGAAGAAACCACCGAGGATGGCAGCGGAGAGGAAGAATCTGAAGAAACTTCCGAGGATGAAGAGACTACAGAAGATGGTAGTGAAGGAGAAGAAGAATCCGAAGAGGACGATGAGGAAGACGAAGAAGCTGATGGTTCTGGAACCGACAAGAGCGGCTCCAAGAAGAGTAAGGGTGCTTCTGACTCCGAAAAGGATGAAGAAAGTTCCAGCTCAGGAGTCGGACTTGCTGCAGGAGCTGCAGCCGCTGGTGTTATCGCAGGTGGAGCTGCTGGCGCTGCAGTTGCTGCTGGTTCGAAATCTAGCTCCGACGAAAGCGAAAAGAAGGCCAAGGTTTTCGAGGAAGGATCCTCGTCTTCTCATCCAGACTCAAACAGTACATTCGATGTTCAAGGTGCTCTTGGTGATAAGGACAAGGATAAGGCTTCAGCGAAAGAAGGTAAGATCAATCGTTCATTTATCACGTGGTAAAAAATCAAAGTCTAACCAATTGTCTTCTCAATTCAGATGAACCTGAATTTACAGATTTCTACAAGAACACAGATGGAGATGCTGACCGCGATGTAGAAATGGGGCAAGACCCAGAACCTGCTAAGAAGAAGGAGAAGAAAGAAAAGAAGGAAAAGAAGATTAAAGAAAAGAAGGCACCAAGGGAGAAGCTTGATCCCAACAGTCCAGAAGCAAGAAAGAAGCGCCGACAACTCGGATTCTTCTTGATTGCCTGTCTCCTTCTCTTGCTCGGTATTGGTGTTGGCATTGGTGTCGGCGTCGGTGTCTTTGGTGATGATGACGAACCAACACCAGCCACAGCTAGTGCGCCTGGCGCGTCCCCTGCTCCCTCGGCTGCACCTTCGATGTCAAGTGCACCCAGCACACTGCAACCTACAGATGATCTCAGCAGCCTAATCATTAGAGCTTCACTTCCCACAACAGAGACTGGTGTGTGGGACGATGATGATTCTATTCAAGTGAAGGCTCTTCAATGGCTTCATGGAAACGAAAACCTTCAATTTTACAGCGATGAAAAGAAGATTATTCGATGGGTGTTGGCAGTCTTCTACTACAGCACCAATGGAGACAACTGGACAACCAACACAAACTGGCTAAGCCAAGACTTGGACGAGTGCACATGGTTCACTGCTGGAAATTCACCGGCATGTAACCGCGACAAGCAGTTCGCCAATTTGGAACTTCGAGCAAACGCTGTGACCGGAACTCTTCCTCCAGAACTTGGCTTGCTTTCCAACGTGTTGGAGGCCATCAACATTCGAGGTGTGACCGGCTCTCAAGTTGCCGGTTCCATTCCTACTGAACTTGGTTTCTTAACAACGCTTTTGGACTTCACCATGGAAGGAAATGCCATGACTGGTTCTCTTCCATCAACACTGGGCGGCATGAAGGCACTCCAAACATTGAATTTGGCTGATAACAACTTCAATAGTACCGTGTCTCGTACTGTAGTCCGTGGACTGACAGACTTGAGAAGCATCAACCTCTCGAACAACGACTTCCAGGGAGCCGTCACTTCTGACTATGGACGCTTGACCAATCTAAGGGATATCGTTTTGTCAGGAAACAAATTCACTGGAGCTGTGCCTGCCCAGCTGTCAAGTCTTACGAGCTTGGAAACTTTGAACGTTGCCTCCAACAGCTTCGTCAGTCAGCTCCCTCGACAACTCTCGTCTCTCACAAACCTCAAGGAGTTCACAATCCGTGACAACGCCTTTTCTGGGACTATCCACACTGAACTTGGCTTGTTGAGCAACCTTGAGAAGCTTGATATGGCGAACAACAAATTGTCGTTCGCCATTCCAACTGAATTTGGTTTGCTCACCAATCTTCGAGTTGAACTTGATGTATCCAACAACAACCTTATTGGAGGTATTCCCACTCAGCTTGGAAACTTGAGCAATTTGCGTAAGTTTTGTTTCCAATTCCTGTTGTCATTGCTCAGATGCCATAAACTCTAACACAACAACTCCTTCAATTATACAGGTCGTCTTCGTGTCAATGGTAACAACATTGCTGGAACTGTTCCATCCCAATTGAGCAACCTTGACGCTATTCGCGTCTTCAGAATAGACGACAACGACATAAACGGAGCCATCCCAAATGGCTTGTGCTCTCGCATCAGCGTCTTGGGAAGTGCTGCCTTCGCCGACTGTCGAGAGGTCAGCTGTCCTTGCTGTACTCATTGTTGCACAGGTGGTTCCTGTACCTGCCAATCGAGCAATGCTGTGGTCTGTGCCGCATCATAGAGCGCATGAGCTGTTCGACACAAACAGAGCTATTCGTTCAATTGTTTAAAAAAAGAAGAGTGTCTACATGTTACTACACAATAATAAGTATTAGAAATTTGCATTAAAAATGAAAACGAACTTTTTGCTTGCGATCAGAGGAGCATTACATAGACAGAAAGAGGCAGATCCATCTGTAACTCTGCTCTACTCTGCCTCTTCTATCAATCTTTGACCTTTCCGACTACTTCGTGGTGGGAGTTGGCTCGCTCGCTCATTCATCCTGCATGCAACCAACACAAGCTTGAACATCAACACAACGACAATCGCATTGCTTCGGTTAAGCTTTATAACCAACTTTGGAACTTCTATCGGTCCAGAAGCAGCTATCGAAAAACATGTCTCACAAGGATACTATCGCAAGTGAGGTCGTATCGGCCTCCCTCGGAGGTGCAATCTCAGCGTCCATCTTGTATCCACTGGAAGTGTTGAAAACCAAAATGCAGGCATCTGGCGATACCACGGAAGAAGACGAGGAGAAAAAGGGAATGGTTGAATATGCCAAAGATTTGTACGAGAAAGAAGGTATGGCTGTCTTCTTTAATGGCATCGAGACCTCTGCGTTCCAATCTGCAACGGAGAAGGCTTTCTATTTCTTCGCATACACCACGTTGAAAAACGTTCATTCCGCATTTCGAAGCATCATAGACCCACGAAATGCAAGCAAACCAATTGGTGGAATCACAAACCTTGCTCTTGGATGGTAAGCTTACGGGGTCTTGGTTTGAAATTGTCTTTCTTTTTCTCTAATTCCTCTTTTGATTGTGGATTCTAAAGTCTGGCAGAATGGGCACATTTGCCAGTTACCATGCCGATTGATTGTCTTACTACTGCCATCCAAACATCTAAAAACGAAAATGCCATGGCACTCATGATGACAATTTTAAAAGAAGGAAATATGTACAAAGGTATCCAAGCCTACTACGTTTTGTGCTTCAAGCCTGCATTGCAGTATACAGTTTTTGAGCAAATCAAGGGAATCATGCTGAAATCACGCAAGGAAAAGACTTTGTCGGCAGCAGAGGCATTTTTGTTGGGAATGGTTGCAAGAGCAGTGGCTACTGTTGCTGTCTTTCCTTTTGTTAGAGCAAAGGTAGTTATGCAAAGCCGAAAGAAAGACCCGTCACAAGAGGGAAAGGAAACCTCGGTTATCGAGCTGCTGAAGGAAACCCACGAAACTGGAGGTATCCCTGCACTGTATCAAGGTTTGGGCCCAGGTGAGTTTTTACTTGTGCTGTTCAGTTATCTACTGATATAGAAAATCCTAACGTGTTCGTTCACTATTGCTGTAGAATTGACGCGAGGTGTTTTCAGTGCCGCACTGATGCTCATGATCAAAGAAAAGATCAGTGGTGGAGTAAAGACTGCTCTTTATGGCCCAGCCCCAGCTGGCCGGAGGCTATAACGATAATGGCAACGGTCAATAGGGGAAGCATCATGTGTCGAGATTGGTGTTTTGTAGAATAAAACGACTAACGAAAGATATATTCAAATTCATTCATTTCAAACAACTAATAATGATGAAAATACGAGTTCTAGGAATGAATCATGACTTTTGCATTCATTCTTTTGAAATTTAGAACACAAATCTATCCCAGTCTTTCCACTCTATGGTATGCACAGAATTGGGTCAGTTTCCTCAAATGGACAAGTGCACTGAGACGTGGTGTCAGAACAACAAAAGTTGCAACATGGACAGTCCACTTCCGAGCAGTCAGCGTAAAATGTTGAGAAATCTCGACTGAATGCTGCGCACACTGCAGAAGGCATGGATCCAGAGAGATTGTTTCCCTCAAGACGCAGGGTGTGCAATCGGTTGATACTCCCAAGAGTTACAGGTATGGTGCCTCGCAACTTATTGTTCCCCAACAACAAATTCTGCAGGCTGTACAATCGACCCAATTCACTTGGAATTTGCCCCACAAGTGAGTTATCTGAGAGTCCCAAGCCGTCCTTGAGTTCCGTAAGTGCGCCAAGTTGAGCTGGAATGGTCCAGCGCAGCTTATTTCGATCGAGATAAAGAGCTGTCAACTTGGTAAGCAAACCAAGTTCACCAGGAATAGTTCCACTTAGAGCATTATCTCGGATTGAAAGTACTCGGAGCATTTTCAGAAATCCAAGATTTCGAGGCATTGAAGTAAACCCATTGCCATCGAGATTCAAAGATTGTAAATTCGTGATGTCGCCAATCTCAAAAGGTATGGACCCGACAAGAAAGTTCTCGCGCAGGCTTAGCTCCTTCAGGCTTGTCATGCTCCCAACCTCTGTTGGTAGAGATCCCGATAAGCGGTTGTTACTGACATCCAATACTTGAAGTCTTGTCATGGAAGAAAATAGTGATGGCGGTAGATTACCTGAGAAACGATTCTTGCCAAGGTCGAGCGTCTCAAGGAAGTCCAAATTCTTCAAGTTTGTTGAAATGCGGCCTTCAATGCTCGTACCATGAATCTGCAAAGTACGCAAAAGCCTCAAGTCACCATATTGCGACGGAAGGGATCCTGTGATGGTACCTCCAATCGAAATGCTTTCCAGACTATTTTTCAATAGAACAAGTTCGGCTGGAAGGGTCCCTCGTACGTTGTTGTTTCCCAGTACGAGGTGCGAGAAGTCTTGACCACTACAAGGGGAATCGTCAAATGCGGTGTACCAAGTGCACTCATCAAATTCGCTTAGCCATCGATCCTTTTTTGTCCACTTGTCCCCATCTGTGCTGTAGTAGAAGGTTGCTAGGCCAAATCGCTGTCGAATCCTGTCATCACTATACGACTGAAGGTTTGAATCCTTTTCCAACCAATCGAGTGCCTTTGCCTGTGGAGAGTTTCGAACCCCAAGGGAAGTTCCGCCATCAGGGAGAACCGGCTTAAGAATATCCTCAAGTGTATTGGTAATTGTAGCTGAAAGTATAACGAGAATATGAGTTTGCAAGCTTGAATGAGAGATAGTTGAGAGCAGAAAAACTTACGCGGCGGTGTCGGCGGTGTCGGCGGTGGTGTTGGTTGTGCTGCTGGCGCATTTGTGGGTGTGGTAACGACTGTTGGAATATTTTCGTCTTTCAAAACCACATATTCAAGGAGAGCCCAGATGCCAACTCCAAGACATGCTCCCAACAGAAGGCAGATGCAACAAATGCATAGAAGAGAAATTCGGAAGTAAGTAGGTTTGTCGACACGGGCAGTCTCTTCTGGAGCCCTCTCGCGTTTCTCTTGTTCATACGTCCTTCTGCGGAGATCTTCCTCGCGGAACCGTCTGGCCCTCTCGTTTTCTTGAATCCTTCGTGCCCTCTCTTCTTCCCGCATTCTTCGAATACGTTCCGCTTCCCGCATCCTCCGGGCCGCCTCATTCGCATCTGCTTCACTTGTCAATCGTCTTCTCAGATCCTCCTCTTGTTGAGTTTTCTCCCTTTGTGCTCTAATTTCATTCCCCCTTTCTACTCTGAGCATCTCATCAAGATTAACTTCACGACGCGCATTGCCAGCCTCGAGGTCGTATCGATGTGGACCAGATTTGTCGGAAAGATCGTCATCCAGCGACGGTGAATACGCGAGCCCCACAGAAAGTGGTTCAAGGTCGCACAAGGCAACTTTATGCTTGGTACCATTTTTTCTTTCCTCGTGGGGGACCGATAGCACTGGTAATGAGGATAGAGCAGACCTGGTATTTCGAACTTCCCTTTGCGGTTGATACTCGGGCAGACCATGTCTTGGAAAGCCAACAGAAATTGGATCCATATCCGACAAGGCTGCTTTGGTGTTTCGAACACTCATGTGGGAAGAAGCGACAGAGGGCAAATAGGTTGGTTCTCGATCATATCTACGTTCGAGTGGGACTGTGTCGACATAACCGTATTGATTCGTTGGACGCGAAAACTCCCTCTCTCGTTGTCGTCTCCTTTCATATCCTGTTTCAGAGATTTGGGATACACCATCAGCATTTTCCAATGGGTCATATTGAGGATTGACGTAGTCAAGCGGAGCTGGCCCTGGAGGAACTGGTCTAGCTACCGGTGGTGCCGGTGGTGGAGGCGGCCGTGGAGGAGGGGGATGCATCGGAGCCCGTGCACGAGGCGGCGGCTGATATTGGCGTTGATGAAGCGGAGCAGGGGCAGGGGCTGGAGCGGCCTCAGATTTGCGAAACCACGATTGACGTTGGGATGGTGCTGGAGCCGGTGCTGGTGAACCTACCGGTGCAGCTGAGCTTCGCCGTCCTCGTGGATATAATGGTTGCTGCAGTTGCTCCTCCTTCTTGAAAAATCCAACGAGTCGCTGGAAGAATGACTTCTTTTCATTTTCTGGAACGACGCGGTCATCTTGATTATAAACCCTTCGTGATGGTCGTGATGGGGGGCTTGTCGCGGCGGCTTGCATAAAAGCTCTATTTTGGTCTGCTCTCGATATTCGGGGAGCGGCCTGATTAGCATTTGGCTGTCTGTCTCCAAAGGCACCCACAGCTATTGGAGACGAAGAATCACTGCTCGAATCGTCAGAATCGTCGTCGGAAGAACCGACACCAAAGTTGAAACTCTTGAGTCTTTTCTTCTTACTGTCGCTACTAGAGCTTCCGGAAGATTTGCTAATTTCACTTTTGCGCTTGGAGCTTGATTTACTGGAGTGTTTTTTTGTATGCTTCGAAGACGATTCGTCGTCTGATCCATCCTTGGAAGATTTCGGCGCCGATGATGAATCATCAGAGGAATCATCCGAGTCTTTTGAGCCAGTGCCTTTTGATTCAGATTTCGATGCTTTCGCACTGGACGCTTTTGTACCAGACTCTTTGGTGTCAGAATCGTCCGAGTCTGAAGAAGACCCGTCAGATCCACTTGAGCTATCTGAGGACCCCGTCTCGGACGAGTCCGAATCTGAACTATCATCAGAATCCGACGAATCGGAATCGTCCTTCTTGCTCTTCTTCTTGGACGACTTTGTTTTGATTTCACTCCTGCTGGAGGCTGGCGTCGGCTGTTCACTGGTATCTGTTTCATAACTCCCGTTATCTGTTTCGTATGAGTCAGTCTCGTAACTATCCCCATCCGAGTCAGCGTAGGTAGCAGCAGGTGGTGCACTCGACAGTGCCCCACCGCCTTTATCTTTTGTGCTGGAATCTGAATCTGAATCACTATCTGATCCACTGTCGCTATCCGATCCTGAATCGGACGATGATTCTTCCTTCACGGACTTCTTGCTGGACTTCTTCTCCTCTTTTTTGCTCTTCTTCTCGTCTTTCTCGTCATCAAGATCGTCATCACTGATTCCTACAATGCGATTGTATTCTGCCTCCACGTCCCCTTCGGAGATACTCATGTGAAAGGAGTCATCCACTTCCGGAATTTCGGACATCCATTCCAGCTGAGGGGGGTACCAGATTCCTTCTTCGCCTTCGGCTTTATGTTCGGGCTTTACAGGATCGTCAGCACTATATATATCAGCATACGACGGTCGAGCTTGAATGATCTCACTCACAGATCGGTCAACATTCTTGCTTTTCTTCCCCATTGTTGTTCGTGTCGACGACTTGTATGAATTCTGCCGTTGGTGATATTTGTTGTTGCTACAGCGCTTGTACACAGAAATCCAATCACCGACACTTCTTTCCCCAGTATCTACACAATTGAATTTATTCTCTATTACTACGTATCTGCGGTCTTGAACTGTTGGCTGCTGGCTAGTTCATTGCTCGACAGCGTCGAATTGGGGGATGTGTTGGGATCTTATTTGTTGACAAAAATGGGTCTTGGCAATTTTTGACCCGCCGGAAAGTGCGTGTGTACGAGGATCTACGTAAATCCCGTGTGACCGGTAAATCCCGTGTGACCCCCTAAACTAGATTGACTCACTCACTCCTTGGAATTGAACTCAAAAAGATCTCTCATCACTTTGTTAGTTTATTGCCTAGGACCTGCTCCTGCCTTTTTGGACATGATGATTTGGTCAACCTTAAGCACCGTCGTGGCGGCTTCAATACCAAGCTTCAGAGCCGATCGTTTCACCTTGAACAAATCATAGATTGCGCTATCCTTCATGCTGGTAATTCCTGGTGCGTCGGCAATATCCACTCCCTTGTCGGCTTCTCCAGAGACATGAGCTGCTCTCAAGTCAGCGACTACTTGAAGGGCATCCCATCCAGCATTTTCCGCCAAAGTACGAGCCACGCATTCCAAAGACTTGGCAAAAGCCCGAATGGCATATTGTTCCAATCCAGGATGTTTGTCAGCAAATGCATCCAAATGAACAGCACACTCCATTTCCGCAGCACCACCTCCATAGACCAATCTTCCATCCTTGCAGGCCATTTCCACGGCATGAACACCATCGTCGACGGCACGTTCCAAATCATTCAAGACAGATGACGTGGATGCGCGCAAGACAAGGGTGGCAATCTTGGACTCGGCATCGTTTTCAAAGACTGTGACCGTCGTTCCTCCAACAGATTTTTGAGTAACCGTGGCACGTCCCATTTCATCAGGCGTGGGCGCACCCAATCGCACCAAGGCAGTGGCACCAGTGGCTTGGCATAGACGACGCAATTCCCACTTGCTTCCAATGCGAAGCGCAACCATCTTGTATCGTTCAATAAAGTGGAGGGCCATGTCGGAAATGCTGCCACCGGTAACCACCACCTTGATTCCAGATTGGGCAATGCCTGCAATAATTTCGTCCATCTTGGCCTCTTCTGTTTTGTTGTAGTTCTTGAGATCATCTGCAGTCTTCATCAAGACAGTTCCCTTTGCTTCCGTGGAACTGGCTTCAATACCAGAGGCAAAGACGGCAATTTTGGCATCTTCTGCCGATGTCAAAACGGTCTCGACAGCACGTTTGGCAACAAAACCCTTGATGCAGACCGACTCACCGAGATTTCCTCCCATGATCTTGACGGTACGGATGGATTCGGGCTGTAAAACAAGACCTTCCTTGAGGACAATTTGACATGCTTGGGCGACCAAATCAGCCAAGACTTCCTCCGTTCCGTGTTGCTTCGATCCCATGACTGGCTTCAAGACAGTCTTGAGACCTTCGATATCCTTGGCGGGGTGACCAATTTGTTGAACGACACAAGTGTTGGGCAATAGATCGTTCAGTAACTTATCCGCTGCCATGTGATAACCCTCCAAAATATCCGAAGAATGCCTCCATCCCATGGTTCTCATCAAATCCAGAGTACTGTTCAATAGCTCTCCGGCAAACATCAAACACAGATTGGTGGCATCTCCACATTCAGTCTCTTGTTGGCGAACTGCTTTCTCCAAAAGCTTGGCAGCTGGATGTTCCACTTCAATTTCCTTTAGAATGGCGGCACAGTCACTCGTGACAATCATCTTTTCCAAGTGGTTGACCACCAATTTGCAGCGTCCTTGAGGTCCCATACTGGATGCCAACATGCGAGACAGTTCACAGGCTGCCGCAATACTACGAGCGACAACCGCTCCCCCTTCCATGTCGTCAAAATAATGTTCGTGACCGTCTTTGAGCATGCCGCCCAAGCCAGCGGCCGAATTGAATGCCATGGATTGTGCCATTGTGTGTTAGTTGTTTTGTTATGTTTGGTTTCTATTTTTATGTGATGGAGATTTGGAATGAGCTGATGTCAAAGCTTTCAGCAATATAAATTGTCACGCTTTATTGATCCCAATCCGTGCAAGTGTTGGTCCTTTTAACGATTGTCAAAAAAGAGGAACTACTATAATTTGCTGGTTGTTGGTAGGATGTTGTGTTGCATCGCATTGGCGCCCCACAAAATTAGGCGACCTGTCCTTCACCCGCACGCCGAATGAAGAATCCTTGCTCTTGCTCACTCCTGCACTTGGAAGGAAAGCAAGACGGCTGCTATAGCTGATACACCGACCGACTGACTGACTGACTGACGGACTGACTGACTGTCACTGACTGACGGAAAGTTGGCCTGTCCTTCACCCGCTCTTATCCGGCACGTACTGTATCTGGTACCAGGTAACGGTACCAGGTACTGGTACCGGTACCACACACGCACGTGGCATGAACAGGAAGGAAGCAAGCGAATGATGGCGGACGGAGAAATATTCACCGTCGCGCTGCCGGACTGTGGCCGCTCCGAAGGGGCCGTCGACCAACCACACAAACGAGAAATATTCGCGAACCGAGTCGCGAATCACAAGAGTCCAAACAAAATGGGAGGGACGTGAACGAGGAGCATAAGTCTTCCGTACACATATGCCACATTCTGTTAAATATTATCATCGACTCCCGCATCATAAGTAAAATTGCAATAAACGTATTTTTTGTTCCGAAAATTTCATTGGCAATCCGGCTGACTGACTCTGTGATCTTTCCTCACGCACCTTCAATAAAACATTGCATAAAACCAGCATCACAACACTAGAGTAGTAGTATTGCATCGATCGTCTATAAGGTAGTCCAAGAACCAATTCATACACACACCTACAAGCGCACAAAGAGTTGCAATCAATATCAAAACAGTATCAATTACAATGCCATCCCTTCCCAAACTAAAAAAGACCAAGAAAGAAAAAGAGCCAAAAGAGCTCTCCAATCCAGAAAAAATCTTGCACGATTCCATCACCGAGGCCGATGTCAGCGACGACTTTTTCTTTACGACACGTAGAGTCCGGTTTTCCGCCAGTGTGAGACAATGCACTGTCATATGCCTCGAAGACTACAGCGAAGCCGAACGAAAATTGACCTGGTACGACAAGGACGACAAGGCGGAAATCAACAAAAAGCACGATAAAATGGTCCGCCGATATGAAGCGGGCAAACGGTGCAAGCGAGGAATGACGTACCGCGGATTGGACGCTTGGACTGATAAGGGTCATGATAAGTTTGAAGCCACCGTTAGCAAGCTGTTGTCTGCCGTAATGGACGAACAGGATGCCCAATGGACGGAAAACTACGATGATCCCGAACGACTGGCAATGGCATCCGAGTCCGTCTCCAAAGAAAACGTCGAACAAGCTTTGCAATATGCTGTGGAGGATGAACTTGAAGCCCAAGAAGCCTACAAGAGTGGTCTCAAAGATGAGGCTGGAATTGATGAGATTGAGGATTCCACTCGGACAATGTCGACCTTAATGGTCAGAAAGAAACAGTCTCGAAGAAGGAGAAGCAGTGCCCTCCACAAAAAAGAAAAAGAAGGACGGTCAGCAGCAGATAAGGACGAGAAGAATAAACGAAGAAAAAGCAAACGTAAATCAGCCTCCAAAAAGAAGTCTGCCCAGTGAAGTGTTGGCGCAAGAAAGTTGCCAGTAAAAGGGCTAAATGTGACATTGTGGTGTGTAGGGAGAAGAAACAAACATGAATGTTATGAAATGGACAAAGAACGATAGAGATACTTATATATATACATGCTAACCATAATGATAGAATTGTTACCAGTGATACCTACCTACAATCATGCATTACGACTAGTACACCTTTTAGTTCACTTGCCATAGTGTACCTGATACTGTACTCTAGATGAAAACCCACGTTCTCACATCCACAAAAGGTACAGTAGTAGAAGCCCCAATACATACACCAGAAATAAAAAGTAGCTGGAATTGTTACCACGGTAGCAGAGATACAACTACACCTTTTGCCATACCAGATACTCCAGAAACTTGACTTTCCGTATTTTCAACAGACCCAAATCCGAAGTTCACAAGCGGCCTGAGAAGAAGTTCCAAGATGCCAGAAGTACGTAGCGGTTAAACAGACGTTATGTGAACGACGCATTGGTTTCAGGCTCGCTCCCACCACGTGAGTACTTTGAAAGGCCTTTCAGCGGAAGGACCCGCAGTCACGGGTCACGGGGCAATAATAATCGATCTGGCAACGAACCATGGAACCACCGACGACGACTCCTAAATTTAATCAATCCAAGAAAAATAAGCCACGAAAGAAAGCAACACATTGCTCAACGACACATTGCCCAAGTAATACTGTTGCAATGCCCATTGCCGAACAGATCGACGATGAGAGGAAAATAAGCATGAAAATGATATGGTAAGGAAGAGGGAAGAAACTGCGCCAAAATGGTGGAATGTGAAAACTCTTATGATTGACTCATCCGCCCCTGCACTACTATGATTTTTGTTGTCATGAACTCTAAGTCCCTACTGCGATGTCGTCTTTATCATTGCAGTTCTAATTTCCATTGCCGCCTTGGTCATGTCATTGTTGCAAGCGATTTACGGAGTCTTGGCGGTGATGGTATTCATTATTACGCTAGCGAATTGCTTTTTCCATTCGAAAACGAAACGACTTGGAATGATACTGGCCGGAATATTAGAGTTTTCAATGGGTGGAATATGTGTTCTTCGTCTGTTGCATATTGAGGACCAATGTGATCCAGATACCATTCGGTATTTGCCATGCTCCATGTTGACCTTGGCAATAACCGCTGGCTTGTGGATGTTATCCGGACTCCTGATTCTGTACTTTGTGTACAGCGGTCGAGTTGGTGAATACATTAAAGAGGGCTTGGACATTGAAGCTGTGGCAACTCCTTTGGGGTGTGTGGAAGAGCCGCTGGACCAGCCACCACATGATTTAGAACAAGGAGATCATGCCAGGGGCGACCCCGATGGAAGCGAAAACGACGGTGACGAGGACCAAGGCAACAACCGTGATAGAAGCACGGAATTGGCTCCGGCATCCGCAACAATATGCATCATTCCCGATGACGATTCAAATGAAATGTCAGCGGAAAGAAAGGAGAAACTGGAACAAAGTGTTCCAATAACTCCGGCTAGACCTTTGGAAAGTTCGGAAAGAAGCACCGTTTCGTATTTGCCAAACGGCATCCGTGAAAGGAATGATGACGAGTATGATTGAGTCTCTCTATTCTCTTAGATTCTCTTTATCACTCGCGCATTCATGCCGGTGGACGAATGAGACGGAATGGGCCATGTTCTACAGTGTTGTAACACTTCGAGTATTTTACTCTGACCTTACTGGAATCCAGCCCATTCGCAGGGATGTTTTGATTGTCGCAGCCCAAGGTACAGTGATGCTCATGGGCGTTCCAAATTCATCCTGGTAATGAAATGTCACCATCAATGTTCCTAGACAACGCAGTGCAAAATCGATGTCCATCAGAATTTCACCGAAGGATATTTGTTGATCGACGACAACATGCCCATTAGTGGTGATCTGCTCCCATCACCACAACTTGCAATTATAATCAAACTGCAATTGATTCAATTTTCTAGTTGATGTACCAAAAGTTGCAGTCTCCTTCAATTTCATTCAGTTTACTCAGCACTGGCTCCCATTCATCCATCTCCATCTTGTACATTTCGGCTCCCTCCAATACTCTTGGGTTCGTATCCTGGATGACACCTTTTACAAGGCTGGTTGGACATGATTGGACAAAGGTGCCACTGGTCCTTACCAAAATGTATGATTGTTGAAAATGACCGGCAACTTTCTTCATTTCTTGCACTCCAATGTTGAAACTGACAAAGGCACGATTCCAACGGCTGGGACCTACTTCCATAATTAAGCCTCCCACATGCCCCTGTGGTCCAAACAAACTCTGCCTCGCACCTTGTAGGACGGCAATTTCAAAGCCCTCTACGTCAATCTTGACAAAGGCTACATTCGAAAGCAGGTCGTTGCCCAAATTTTGAATGTTTTGATAAACAAAGCAATCTACGGAAGTCGTTTGAATGGTTCCATCATTCAAGCCCACGATTCCTTTCAAATGTCCATCGTAGGTGGATCCACCCATACTCATTCGCCCCGTCCGGGTTCCCAATCCAACTGGATAGACAAAAACTTGTTCGGCAACTTCCTTGGGATTGTATTCGGCTCCGTGTTGCAGCGACACAAAGTTGGCCTCCTGAATCTCAAACGCATGAACTTCCATCCCAAGTGCCGCCAAGTAATAGGTATAAAATCCTTGATTCGCACCAATGTCCAGGGTTAGTCCTCCTTCTTTGCCTTCCAACAACTCTTTGATTAATTCAAAATGAGGAATGTCGCCCAACATGTGATGCGTGACTTTGTTCGCAAGAAAAGAACCGACGTGAAAGGCAGGTGTCACAGCCTCTGGCGAAGGCGCGGGTTGGATGTCGGCGTTCAAAAAGTAAGTCCCGGCCGGTCTTATAAATGGCAACGCCTTGCAATTTCCATCGACATCGTATTCCACAGTCGGTATGATAGTATCTTCTTTTGTACCTTTCAATCTTGTGAATGATGACCTTTTCAAAGATGATTTGGATTCGGATGGTGGATTGAGGCTGGCGGTTGGCTTTTGTTGTACAAGTGGCGACTGACTAATAACGCCGCCAATGACTACTCCTGATAAAAGCAGCGTCTTCCATCGTGATTGGGTGCTATTAATTCTTGGACTTGATGGGCTTGTCTTCAATCTCATGGTCGAGATTGGATTTGCTTTTCGTTGTCATCTCGCGTGTGATTGCTCGGAGATTTCCAATTTTTTGGTTTGGAAATCTTTTGGGACTTTGGTAGTACCAACATTGGAACTGACGACTGACTGGCGACGGATTGATGATTGATTCACTGCTTTGTCGTAGTTCTTGTCTCGTTTCTCAAGCAAAGAAATGTCAATGACTGTGCCGGTGTAGAGTACTGGTTACTGGTACACTGGTACACTGCACCAGTACGACGTCAGAATTGAAAATAAGGCGCAACTCACATCAAAATCTACCACGTTTTTCCGGGAATTTTGGGAATCTTCGATTTGAGCTGTCTTGTAACGGTCAGAAGTTTGAAAACGCGGACAGTCAGACTCATTGAAAATGAGCGGTATTAGCAACTAGTCGATGGACAAATCACTGAAAAGATCACGATAAGAAACTGAATATACCACTAAAGGCTACTTTTCCAAGTTTCCGCGATGGTTTGCAATTTTCTGGCAGCAACCGAACTCGGCAGGAACTTGGAGATACCCAGCACATTTGTTTGGCTTGACTCTTTACCGGTGCGCCGGTACATTTCGTACGATTCGTGGAAACTACGGCCAAACCTCGCAAGACCATCAAGAATTTCCCACCCACGTTTTCATCCAATGCTACATTCTTTGGCATCAACTTGTTCTTGATACCGGCGGAAAATCAACATAGGAGAGGTCAAGTTTTTTTCGCCTTTGAACATTGAAAGTGCTTCTCTTCTCTTCTGCTTTCAATCCTGAAAAGCATTCGTAACCCTCCGTTAATCTGCGAGAGTGTTGACACCGCAATTGGATCTTTTCGTCACTTTCTTCAGGTTTTCTGTGAAACTTAAGAAATTTCAGATTTCCGACGCAACGGTCAATCTTACAACGAACTTTCCGTTTGCGAAGTAACTACAATCACTTGTAATCTTCAACCTCATCGCCACACAATGTCTTTGGTACAACAGCCACAGCCAGTAGAGGCCACACAATCCAGGCCTGTGCCTCAAAACCTGGCTTCTCCCAAGTCGCCGAGTTTGCTGAAACGAATGATGTCAGCACGAAGCTCCCGAATGTCTGCCTTGGACTCGTCTTCTTTTTCTCTGGACGACTCAGAGCGCTTCATGTTGCCGCCTTCTACATCAACAGCTCTGACTTCGCCTCTCCCAGCCCGTTTCTTTCGTCCAAAGAAACTGCCCTGCTGTGATCCATCATCCTCTGACCTAATGGAATGGTTGCAGGGCGATTGTCCACAAGATTTGCTGCCCAAGATTTTGGCCTTTGCCGGTCCACAGATGGTTTCGAAACTGTCACAAACCAACCGGTTCTGGAATGCGCTTGTCTCTCAAGAACAAACTTGGAGGACGCTGTCTGAAGAATTGTACAAGGTATGTTTTTAATGGTCGTCGTCGTTTTCACGGCCAACACTATTTCTCACTCTTCATTTTCTTACTTTTAGTGGACAGAAGAAGACGAGACACCATCCTGCTGGAGAGATTACTACCGATACAACCCCTGTGTCCCTGTCGATTTTCCATCCATCACTAGAGCCTTGGCTAGTGCGACCACTCACAAGCACTTGCAAAACCGATCCGTTCGGGTGCTGATGCGTCCTGGAAGATATATTCTCAAAGAACCCATTACCGTCGAAGCCAACCATGGAGTCAGTGTCACCGTTGAGACGATGGATCTCCCAGACTCCTTCAATCACGTGATTGAATATCCCAATGATGAGAAACCAAAGAAGCGCAAAACAAGTCTTCGAAAATTGCTTTCTTGTCGGACCGTAGACGCCGATGACGAAGATGAACCTCCTCTTGAATTCCCAGAACGATCGTCAGAGTTTGGAATGGTTCTGGGGAAAAACCGCGCCGTCTTGACTCTACGTTGCAAGAAACACAACCAACCCCTAGTCAAGGTTCGTCGAGGGTCGTGTGTATTGCGAAACTTGGAACTCCGTCATATTACCTATGGGCTGGACATTTGGAATGGTAATGCCGCTGTTCAGATTCAACCACCACTGAGTCCAGACGAGCAGCCAATTCCAGTGGCTCCCATGCCAACCGCGGTGTTGGACCACGTCGACGTTACATCCGAATCAGGGAGAGGTGTTGTCAACATTGACGGCGGAGATCTCAGCATTCGGAACTGCTACATTCATGACTGCGCTGCTACAGGAGTCTACGTGGGTGCTGCAGCAAGTAAGCTAACCATTCAGAATACGGATGTTGTTCGGAATGGTAATGGGAACCGTCAACACCGACGTGGTATTGCCAGAGGTCACTCTGGTATCTACCTGGAGCAAGGCTTGGCAGAGATTAATAATTCGAGCATTTCGCAGAATTGCTTGACTGGTATCTCTGCAGTCAGCCCATCCAACGCAATTTTGCACTTGTCCGAGTCGGAACTGGTATCCAATGGCTCGACACAACTTGAAATGCCAGACATTGGAACCTTGGCACAGAGAAACAGCAGCACACGCGACGTACACTTGTCGAACGTGGACAGTCCTCGACTTCGATCGGCATTGGTGGAGGAGGTTGACAGCATGATGTCGTCCTCTATCATGTCATCGGAGCTTTCTTCTGAATTTTCAATCTAGAAAGAAAACACCACACATTGCACGAGTCTAATCTCATGGCTAGATAGAACACAAAGACTGTAAATTTATATATTGTATACGAAGGAATATTTTTACATAGACCACTCTAGTGTTGCTTCCAAGTAATGAGTATCCTCTCCACAACAGTACCGTACCCTGTGGTTGAAAGCTACTTAGTACAGAAACAGTGTTTCTGCCTGACCTGGTTCCATCGCTGAAGAGCGACGACGGAAGGACCAGGCAGCAACCCTCTTGGAGACTCACGATGACGATGAAGCAACAGTGTTGGCTTTCTTGGACGTTTCCTCTCGTCATACGGTAGTTCTTGCTATTCCTATCTGCTCTATAATATGCTATCCAGAGTTTCCCAATTTATTGCTAGGAAGGCTTTGATCCAACCGGTATTCCGACCGACTGGTGTTGCTCTTTTCTCAACTGATATTGTTCCAGGATATGGCAAGGGAAAGACATCTACAGGAATTGTGAGTGATATTTTAATTGTAACAGTGGAAGGCTTTCCAAAAATTTCGATTGTCGTTTCTGGAATGGATTCTAACACTAACTTTCCGCTTCAATTCTCTCAGGTCGGCCTTCCATATGATCCAAATGGCGTCTCCAACATTGTTGTTCAATACCAAGCCCTCTTGGATCGCATGGCCGCCAGTGACTTGCCCGAGACTGCCCAATACCGAGTAGATGTGGAAAAAATTGCACGTTACCGAATCAAGGTCGCCATGGAAAACCCTGAGGACCCTGATATGGTGGAAGATTTGTGTCAGTGCGGACAAGTGGAGGAATTGGTAGAACAAGCTAAGGATGAAATGGAGGTTTTGGATATGTACTTGAAGGAGCGCTTGTGGGAGCACATCAATGATTCTGATGTAGATATTGACTACAACCCTGATCCTTCTAAGGATCACAAAGGAATGGAGGGAGAAGAAGAAGAAGAAAGCAGTTAAGCAACGAACAAACAGCTCGATTCTGGTCTGTTTCTTTTGGATTTCAACGACAACCTTGTCCAGTAGTCATCTTTTATACCAATATTATAAAAGCTACCTATAGCGCTAATTCATTTCACGTTTCAACTAGCTCGTATGACTCTATTTTGATTTGACGGATGCTTCTCCTTTGGCCTTCCGTCGACTGCCAAATCGCTTCGCATCGCTCAAATGTGATATCCGGCTTCCAAACTGAATAGCTCGTTTGACCAGACCACTGGCGTGGTCCAATCCCAATCGAGCTGCCACCAGACGGAGGATGCGCTTATCTCCTTCCCCAGGAGGCAAAGAGAAATCGCAAATTTGATCCAGCGGCAACCCCTTCAAAAAGTTCACCACATTGGCATCCAGGAACGGAAATCGTGCCTCTTTTCCATGATCGGCGCAAATGCGATCGTCTCGACCAAGATTTCGTTCCCAAAAACGGGCCTGATCCATGTCCAATTCCTCTTTTAGTCGTCCCCATCCGCCTTTGTCAAAAGCCTTTCGATGACGACCATACCCTCCTAATATTTCAGATAAGAGGATTCATCGAGTTAGGTAAAAGTAAAAAAAAAGTAAAGACAGTCAAAGTCGAGTGGGTCTTACCAAGCTGTTCGTCGGCTCCCATACCCAAGAGTAGCGCTCGAGGACTCCGAATGCGATTTTCTCCATCGGGATAAACGTCATTCTCATCGCCATCGACACTACCACGACTCGCAAACCATAGAGCAATTCCAATATTGACGTCCATCAAGGTGTTCTTTGGTTGGAGTAGCGTCCGAATGTGTGGTTCGTACTTTTGAATGTCCTCCCAATCAACAACAATGTCTTGAAATAATATATCCTTCGTATCTTGATATCTGTCCTTTAACATTCCGGCTGTCACCAAGGCGGCCTTCCGATCATTGCTCTTTTCAAATGTAGGCCCAAAGGAGACATTGTACAAATACAACTGCTGATGCTTCTGGTCTGCAGTGGACGTGGCGGTTTGTTCAGCAGCGGCCAAGGCAGCCACCACTGCCGAATCGAGGCCACCTGAAAAGAGCACGGCACTGGGGGCGTGTTGGTCAAGTCGCATTTTTACAGCCTGTCTCAAACAATCTTCAAGGACAAAGGATGCTTGCCACAACTCAGTCGAGACTCCATCCGGTGGCGTAGGTGGAACTACTGATGGTAGAATTGAGTTGGAAGACGGCGGAGACAAGAGGGAGGAAGAAGATGAAAACGGAATTACAGAAGTTGACATCGTCCCATCTTCACCGCCAATATGTATTCGATAGACTGCCCCGGGCGGTATTTCAGTCCACTCCTGCCCGTCTTCCTTTTCTTCTTTATCATCTTGATTGTAGCTTTTATTCTCAGCATCAGAAGTCGATATCTCAGCAGTCGAAGCAATCTGGAAGGAGCCACTCCCATCAGGACAGTTCCAACGCAAAAGCGACCGTCTTCCCCAATTGTCACGACAGTAGTAAATGTTGTCTTTCGTTAGTATCAAGCAAGCGAATTCGGCATTATGCAATTTGGACATGACTTGTGCAATTGCGTTCCCAATATTCCTACCGTCATCAATATCATCGCCAATTGTTTGTTCCAACAATGCTACCTTCAGTGCTTCTTTGACGATTAAGGTGTCGGAGGTTTCGTACTCCCAGAGCTCCTCATGCTGTTCTTCGTCTTGGCTGGACGGCAAATTTGATTCATAAATTTCCCCATTCCAACAGAGATACATATCATCTTTAATCTGCACTGGTTGAGGTATCAGTTCGTGCCGCATTTGCAATACCGATGCTCGAAGCTGGACAGAACGACAACTGTAGAAGTGCTTTGTTGCATCTACCATTTGGCAATGGTCTGGGCCTCGATTCCGTAAAATCGAACCATGTTCTCTATAGAAATCTTCCCATCTAGACGACGATTGCTCTGTCCATACTTGTAACTGGATTCCACACATGATGATGTTGTTTGTGATTGCTGTCAACGGATCATTTTTATTGTATTCGAAAAGTTGTGGTGAAACGTTTTCGTTTGGTTATTTAGTTTGTTAGTCAGACGAATCGAATGTATGAATGACTCCCCCGACTCTTTCTCGTCTCCATGCTACAATGGTACCACCGACCAAGTACCTGGTACCGGTAGAGCTTGCTACCTACATGATTTTGAACAAGGCAGTGCCACCATCGGTTCGTAAGCTTCAAAAATGCTCTTTCCGTAACCCCGAGGAACAATTCGCAACATATTTGAGTAATGCCAGGATCAATATCTCGAAATAGTTCTTTGAATGGAGCTTATATATTTGAAGCAGTCTCCGTGAGGAGCGGAACGCGGAATCTCTCCCGCTACTTCGAAAACTGTATATTCTACCGGTACGGCCAATAGGCCAAAAAAAGAATGGTAAGCTTTCATCGCCGGTCGAACAAAATGACCGCTTCGGACTTCGATCGGGTTCGGCTCGAGGGGGTCGAACGCACAACTTTTTCGCGCAAACTTTCGGAGACCCAATCCAACATCCCACATCTCGACACCTTCACCAAAAGACAATTGAAACTTGACGAATGTACCGAAGCAACAATGTCAAGCCCAAAGTGCCCTTTCTTGCACTCCGGAAATGGAACCAACAACAAGGATTGGTGGCCTGAACAACTCAACTTGAAGATCCTTTCACAGAACAATGAGAAGACAAATCCCATGCAAAAGAGATTCGATTATTCCAGCGGGTTCCTATCTTTGGACTTGGAAGCTGTCAAGAAGGACCTTAGGGCTCTCATGACTGATTCTCAGCCCTGGTGGCCCGCAGACTATAATCATTACGGACCGTTTTTTATTCGTATGGCTTGGCACTCTGCAGGAACCTATCGTATACATGACGGCCGTGGAGGAGCCGGAGCAGGTCAAATGCGATTTGCCCCACTGAATTCGTGGCCCGATAATGGCAACCTCGACAAGGCGTAAGTTTCTTGTTACCATATTGACAATGATTTCCTTGGTATTCTCTGATATTCGTCTGATTCCCTCGTTCTAAAGCCGCCGCTTGCTGTGGCCCATCAAACAAAAGTATGGAAAGAAGATTTCTTGGGCTGATCTTATTATCTTGACCGGAAACGTTGCTCTAGAGAGCATGGGCTTTGAAACATTCGGCTTTGCTGGTGGGAGAGAAGATGTCTGGGAGCCCGAAGATGACGTGAACTGGGGACAAGAAACAACTTGGCTCGGTGATAACAACCGATACAAGGATAATCGAGAACTAGACAATCCACTTGGTGCAGTTCAGATGGGTTTGATTTACGTCAACCCTGAAGGTCCGAATAGTAATCCAGATCCTGTAGCATCAGCGAAGGATATTCGAGAAACCTTTGGTCGCATGGCTATGAATGACGAAGAGACAGTGGCCCTTGTTGCTGGCGGGTAAGTCTGTAATTCGTTCTTTTCTTCTATGGATCCAGAATATGACATCGACTAATATACAATTTCCACCCCGACGACTGTACCGATAGGCACACATTTGGCAAGTGTCATGGTGCTGGAGATGCTTCGAACGTTGGTCCTGAGCCTGAAGGAGCTCCAATCGAGCAACAGGGCTTTGGCTGGGCAAACAAGTACAAGACTGGAAAGGGGGGACACACAATTACCTCTGGACTAGAAGGAGCTTGGACCACGAATCCAACAAAGTGGGATAACGGCTATTTCGACGTCCTATTTGGCTACGAGTGGAAGCTCACCAAGAGTCCCGCCGGGGCCTTTCAATGGACACCGATCGACAAGAGTGCGAGTAATAAAGTTCCTGATGCCCACAATCCTCAAAAGCGCCACCCTCCAATGATGCTGACATCAGACCTAGCGCTCATCAAGGATCCCATTTATAGACAGATCTCGGAGCGCTTCCACAAGAACCCAGCCCAGCTCAAGGAAGCTTTTGCAAAAGCATGGTATAAGCTGACCCATCGTGATATGGGTCCTTATGCTCGCTGCCTAGGACCAGAGGTTCCACCACCGCAAAAGTGGCAAGATCCACTCCCGACGCTTAAATTCGCACCACTTACTGTAGCAGACCAAGCGCAATTGAAGGAGAGTATCTTGAAAAGCGGGCTCTCGCCTTCGCGTCTTGTGGCTACTGCATGGGCTTCGGCTTCCACCTTTCGACAGACCGACAAACGTGGAGGTGCCAATGGAGCCAGGATTCGACTCAATCCGCAAAAGACTTGGTTAGTCAACGAGCCCGACGAGCTCGCAGAGGCGTTGGTAGTCTTCGAGGGTATCCAATCCACATTCAACGCTACAGGAAAGAAGGTGTCCATGGCAGATCTGATCGTACTTGGTGGATGCGCAGGTGTTGAGGCCGCTGCAAAGGCTGCAGGCCACGAGGTCAGCGTTCCATTTACACCTGGAAGAACCGATGCCACCCAGGAAACGACGGATACGGAATCGTTTGCTGTGCTTGAGCCGCTTGTCGATGGCTTCCGCAACTTTGTCCATCCAAAATTAGGAAAAGTCGAGGCTGAGGAACTGTTGGTGGATAAGGCACATTTGCTGTCTTTGACTGTTCCTGAAATGACGGTCTTGGTCGGTGGACTACGGGTTTTGGGCATTGGAGCCTCGGGTAGCAGTGCGTTCACTGATCGCGTAGGAGTATTGACGAACGACTTCTTTGTAAACTTATTGGACATGAGAACCAAGTGGTCTCCAGCCGGTGAAAACTTCTTTGAAGGCCGCGACCGAAGCACTGGAGAATCCACAATGACTGCCACAGGTGTGGATCTCATGTTTGGATCTCACTCAGTGCTCCGTGCAGTTGCAGAAGTACATGCCTGTAAAGACTCAGAAGAAGACTTTGTTCATGCCTTCTGTCTGGCGTTTGCGAAGGTGATGGACCTTGATCGATTTGATGTGCTGTCAACAAGAGTCCCGTCGAGTCGTTTATAAATTGTCCTGTGAATAGTTGATTATCTATCGGCTTAGATTTTTTTCTTGAAACATGAGACCAGAATTATTTCATACATACTTGAGAAACTTGTTGAATTCGCTCTTTCTCGTCGAGAGCGAGAAGAAATTGAGGCTCGATTTTGTAGCTTCTTCAAAATGAATCGAACGAATGACTCCCACGACTGCCACAGCGAAGCAACGCAAAACAATAATCGACTTCACCTTTTCCTCGATGACACTTCCAACTTCTTGCACAAGCTTCGCAAGTCGTTTTGCCTCTGATGAGGCCATGGAGGCCACGGCCACATCCACCGGCTATTTCACCTACATCCTCACACGCCAGTAGATATAACAATTGCCGACGAAAGGCAAAGCACTACGCCAATCTCTTGGGCTTTGGGATAGTTGTGTATTTGGAAATACTATTTCTCTCGCAGTGGAGTTTGGAAAGTCTACTAAACAGTCGCGAGCATGGTAGTGATCAGTTATCCATCCAAAACCATCCGAATCTTCGCGCAGATCAACGTCCTTCGCACACGTCCGCGGCAGATGGGACATTCAACGGCTTCCCTGTACGACTACAAACCATCAGCAATTCCAGTCATACCAGGCCTAAATCCAATATACATTGCATCGGAGAAAACTACCAAGAAGACCACTGGATGGTACGATCTTGCAATATTCGATTCATGTGTTTCAATCTAAAGGAGCAAGAATACGAGATATATTCTAGACCAGAGGACGCCTCATTGAAAGAGTGGACCGATCGAATCCTTTCGATGGATGCCTCACAAACACTTGTGCAATCAGCTGCTGATGCTGGTGCTGGTGACGTTGAAAAGGGCGACACTGAAAACTTAGCTGCATCAGTTGCATTGGGAGGTATTCCGCTAGGATGGGCGAATTCTACTCCTATGGACAACACGCAATCCAATCAGTTGAAGTATTTCCCAAAAGTTTTATCAACTCCACCTTCTACATTCTATGCACTACCACAAGACGTTGTCATGATTCCCTATCATCCCTCGGCATCAGTATCTAGCCCCATAATGAGTGTGCTATGGGAAGACTTTCTGTCAATTTTCAACCTACTTCAAATCTTTCAATTCGACCAGAGCTATCGACCACTACTGTTGCCAAATACTTATTTGGAAAACAATGAGGATCTCATGCAGGCAACATCGTCACTGATGATGCGTCTACCATCAGTATTGACCTCACAAGGCAAGGTGAAGCTAGAAATATCAAATTCCTTACATTCTTTTACTGGCGTTCAAAGTCCGAAGTCGGATTTGGTGTGCGCGAAGCAAGGTTTGATGGGTACCGCTGCCTTGACGAGTCATGGAATGCATCGGACCAGGGGCCCACCCGAGGCAGAGAGCGAAGCAAAACTAAAGCCAGTTCAGCGGCGTCGCCGCAGTGTCACCTCAAAAGTAGGCATGACACAGAACCGTGGAAGGGGTGGTGTGTTCTGGAAGTTTCGTCTTTGGGCTTTGCAAAATCTGGAATTGGGAGACAACGACATTGCAGCTTTGGATTCGACAAAGGCTCCACACAAGATTATCTTGGCCAAATCTTCGAACCCATCCATCCAATCACTGTTTGATGAACTGAAAACAACATTCTCGAATGATGCAAGGGTAGAAAGAGTTGAGGAATACAATTGGAAATCTGTCGTTCCGTTGGACCAAATTAAACTTCTGAGTCAGACCACTGTGCTGGTGTCAAGTACCCCGACGGATTTGGCAACTGCGCCATTCTTACCGAATGGTGCCTCTTTGGTTTTGCTATACGCTCCCAAACAGGGTACTTTGCCAGATCCAAGCGAGGAATATTGGGATCTCATCAACAACTTGTCGCATATTAGAGTTAACTGGCTACCCTTGCCTGACGACAATACTGAACATGATACTAACGAAGATGCAAATACAGTGATGCAGCTCATCAAAAGGGCCATCAGCGTTCACGACAGAGATAGGTTGGATTGACCGAATGTATTATTTCACTAGACTGGGCGCCCATCAGCCAGCACCAGCCATCCAACAAAACGCGGCTCCCGACATAGTCAAATCTACCGCGGCTGCGCGGCCATCTATTCAATCTATTTCAGAGCATCAAGCTATTAGGCACTTGCAAAAGAGCAAGATGATAAGAACAGGTTGACGAAGGCACGTGGTCCTTGTCAATTTTCAGCAAGATGATTTTAACTAAGGTGAAACGACCAGGTGGTTGATTCAAAACGACGATATTGCAAGACTTCTAAAACATGAATTCACAAAACGATGAAAGCCTGATGATCGTGCTGCAACAGGCCGGATTTGCTATTGATATGAAGATGATAGGTACCATCAATCCTTTTCAAGCGCTCCAAGTTCTGACAAAATAATGGATACCCCCTGGCGCTACGGCAATCACGCTCTCTGCCAATACTTGACAACGAATAACCCCAAAATGTCACCTAAAAAGAATCTGGACTGAACTTCTCGGAAAGGGGCCCAAGGTTTCTATCACGGATAGCGACTCGAAAGGCATTGGTCACAGCCCCGGCGAATACGCCGCTAAACGAAATTTGATGGAACAAATATTAGAGAAATTGATTGATTTCAGAGGTGCTGAAGCGAAACGAATTGTTTGGAGCATACAAAGGCTGTGGAACACAATTAGCTATGTCCCCATAGTTGATAAGACTACTGCTTGACCCAATTCATTTTCAGAGTATCGATTTTTGATCATGTCCAATAATTTTTCCACGTTTGCACGTCCACTAGAATTATTCATGTCGCAGCTGAGGAAACTGATTTTCTCTCGCAACCCTTCGAGATAATGCCGGGCTGGTGCAATCTTGACGATGGGTGGAGATTGCATCATGGGAATGATACCTTCGCTGGTGGGCATGCAGTCGAGTTCTACGATCATCTCCCCCAAGCCAAGCCCATAGCAGATCTGTCACATACTCCGATCATCTTGAGGTGCTTGTGAACGAAGTTGGCTACACCCTAATTGTAGTGCCGACAGTTTCTGCCTTAAATTCTGCTCGACTCTGTAGTTGGTTTGCAGTTTTTCTAGTCGAGCTGATCCGATCATTGTTTCATCCCCCTATCGTCTCCAGAGCAGTTTCATTGTTGAAAGGAAACCCAGCTCCCTCCAAGAGTGACAATGACACTTCCTTTCCAAAGTGCTCCACAAATCCGCCCATCCATTGACGAATTTCGTCTCCTCGATTTGAATGCAGGGTGTCTTTGATCCAAGCATTCTTTTCGAGAAACCTCTTTCGGCGCTGCCCGCGAAAATCATTGTCCCGTCTAAAATACTCCCAACTCCCAAGATAATGATTCACAATCATCAAATCATCACCATCTCCCCAATAGCTTCCACATTCATCCGTCACACTGTGATGTCCCATCCTTCGAAAGTCCTTTAGCGGAATACGAGAGGAATCAATAATGGACTTGCCTACAATCGTATTGCGACGGTGGTGTCGAAACCGAAGGGTTTGAAAGCGATAATGGTCCAAAAAAGAAGGTACGTCCTTCATCACAGCCTCTTCAGGGCTCTCAAACCCTCCGAACTGATGGCGCTGTAGGCACACGCAATGTCTCGATGGATTTCCCCATCGTTGTAGCTGTCGCTTGTTCATATGTTTGTTTGAGTTGGGAATTCGATTGGTAGTCCGCGCTTTCAGTATAGTTTCCATGATGATTCCTGGTTGCTTCATCATTTCCCGAGCTTCTGGAACTACTTTGCTGTTGAGAAGTACAAACTCATCCGTGTCCCCGACGAACGTCCATCCCCACTTTTCTCGTTTGAGGTGCATCAAACAGTTGCGATAGAAAAAGTGTTGCCTCTCAATGTGTTGCTTTTGGGGATTGCCCTTCAGTTCCTCCAATGCGTTGTTGTTTGGAAAGTGTGTAAAGTTCTCCAGGCTTGTCCAATATGTGATGTGCATACCATAGGGCCGCCAACGATCGAAAATCGGCGACGGATCCTTAGTGCTCTTGGGATCTCGAAATAGAACGAGATGACGCAACGGTAGTACGTGATAGTGATAAGCAATCCACTCTATCAGTAGTTCGTAATCGTCCATCCACAACAAACAAGCGCCGAAGGAGCTGGTTCCATTAAAGGATGTTTTTTCTTCCATCAGCTCTGTTGTTGTTGGTATTTCTATGCTTCCTTCTGATTTGCTTGCTTGTGCAAGTTTCTCTTCGATATTGTGTTGGCTAGCGGTCTGAGATATGGGTAGTATTCGTATGACTTCTTCATGGTTTATCATTGTTGCTTGTGTTTCAGGCAATTTGGCAGCCACTTGACGAGCAGCAGGGAATGGCGATGATTGAGATTCGGCTGAAGTTTGCATCGCTATTATCGAATCATGTGGTTGGGACATCGGTGCATCTTTTATTCGTTCTAATATTGGAGCATTTGTCGCCGTCAGTCCCCCCGAGGAATAAGTTATTCTGGATGGAAACAGAGCAGCATCGTCGATTCGATTTTCTTGAAACTGTATGTTCTCTTCCTTCCCGCTCAAGGCAACCATCATAAGCAAAATCACGACGCCGCATATTATCCTAGCCAAGTTGGTTCTTTTTTTTGGTGCCCGTTTCATGATTCCAAACAGCTACAGTACAGTACTCTATCGTGGCCAATCTCATACTCATACTCATGATGACGTAAATACTTCTGGTATATTTAAAGTTTCAGGACCAACATGTCCGTGAGCGTAGAGCGTCTACAGTCCAGTAAACGTGTATGTACGTGTACGTGTACGAGCTACTTGAAAGAGCAAAAGTTTGGACATCGATGAAGCTTTTGTCACGAGGAGGTTGGAGCAAAGGATTTCCGGTAGCTACCGTACACGTACCTACTGTACGGTATGTTGAATCTTTTCATTCGTTCGATTCATCTGACTGCCTACACAGGTTCACATGGCCAAATATTCTTTCGCCTTGATGAGAGAGTAAAACGTCAAATCCGTTACCAAGTATCTACCGGTATGAAGTAATGCTGGTCTCATGTTTCAAAAAACAATCTAAGCCGATAGATAATCAAGTATTCACAGGACAATCTATTTACAAATGTCTCTACGGGGCCCGTGCTGATGGTACATCAAATCGATCAAGGTCCATCACCTTCGCAAACGCCAGACAGAAGGCATGAACAAAGTCTTCTTCTGAGTCTTTACAGGCATGTACTTCTGCAACTGCACGGAGCACTGAGTGAGATCCAAACATGAGATCCACACCTGTGGCAGTCATTGTGGATTCTCCAGTGCTTCGGTCGCGGCCTTCAAAGAAGTTTTCACCGGCTGGAGACCACTTGGTTCTCATGTCCAATAAGTTTACAAAGAAGTCGTTCGTCAATACTCCTACGCGATCAGTGAACGCACTGCTACCCGAGGCTCCAATGCCCAAAACCCGTAGTCCACCGACCAAGACCGTCATTTCAGGAACAGTCAAAGACAGCAAATGTGCCTTATCCACCAACAGTTCCTCAGCCTCGACTTTTCCTAATTTTGGATGGACAAAGTTGCGGAAGCCATCGACAAGCGGCTCAAGCACAGCAAACGATTCCGTATCCGTCGTTTCCTGGGTGGCATCGGTTCTTCCAGGTGTAAATGGAACGCTGACCTCGTGGCCTGCAGCCTTTGCAGCGGCCTCAACACCTGCGCATCCACCAAGTACGATCAGATCTGCCATGGACACCTTCTTTCCTGTAGCGTTGAATGTGGATTGGATACCCTCGAAGACTACCAACGCCTCTGCGAGCTCGTCGGGCTCGTTGACTAACCAAGTCTTTTGCGGATTGAGTCGAATCCTGGCTCCATTGGCACCTCCACGTTTGTCGGTCTGTCGAAAGGTGGAAGCCGAAGCCCATGCAGTAGCCACAAGACGCGAAGGCGAGAGCCCGCTTTTCAAGATACTCTCCTTCAATTGCGCTTGGTCTGCTACAGTAAGTGGTGCGAATTTAAGCGTCGGGAGTGGATCTTGCCACTTTTGCGGTGGTGGAACCTCTGGTCCCAGGCAGCGAGCATAAGGACCCATATCACGATGGGTCAGCTTATACCATGCTTTTGCAAAAGCTTCCTTGAGCTGGGCTGGGTTCTTGTGGAAGCGCTCCGAGATCTGTCTATAAATGGGATCCCTGATGAGCGCTAGGTCTGATGTCATCATCATTGGAGCGTGGCGCTTTTGAGGATTGTGGGCATCAGGAACTGTATCACTCGCGCTCTGGTCGATCGGAGTCCATTGATTGGCCCCTGCAGGACTCTTGGTGAGCTTCCATTCGTAGCCAAATAGGACGTCGAAATAGCCGTTATCCCACTTTGTTGGATTCGTGGTCCAAGCTCCCTCTGGTCCTGCGGTAATTGTGTGTTCTCCCTTTCCAGTCTTGTACTTGTTTGCCCAGCCAAAGCCCTGTTGCTCGATTGGAGCACCTTCAGGCTCAGGACCAACGTTCGAGGGATCGCCAGCGCCATGACTTTTTCCGAAGGTGTGGCTGATCCGAGTATAAAAGTATGATGAGTAATCAATCAGAAGAATAGAATCATTATGAAGCCACAACGACTTACCCGCCAGCAACAAGGGCCACTGTCTCTTCGTCATTCATAGCCATGCGACCAAAGGTTTCTCGAATATCCTTCGCTGATGCTACAGGATCTGGATCACCGCCTGGACCTTCGGGGTTGACGTAAATCAAACCCATCTCAGCTGCACCAAGTGGATTGTCCAGTTCTCGGTCACCCTTGTATCGGTTGCTATCGGTGAGCCAAGTTGTCTCTTGTCCCCAGTTCACGTCATCTTCGGGCTCCCAGACGTCTTCTCTTCCACCAGCAAAGCCGAATGTTTCAGCTCCCATGCTCTCTAGAGCAACGTTTCCGGTCAAGATAATAAGATCAGCCCAAGAAATCTTCTTTCCATACTTTTGTTTGATGGGCCACAGCAAGCGGCGGCTTTAGAACGAGGGAATCAGACTAATATCAGAGAATGCCAAGGAAATCATTGTCAATATGGTAACAAGAAACTTACGCCTTGTCGAGGTTGCCATTATCGGGCCACGAATTCAGTGGGGCAAATCGTAATTGACCTGCTCCGGCTCCTCCACGACCATCATGAATGCGATAGGTTCCTGAAGAGTGCCAAGCCATACGAATAAAAAACGGTCCGTAATGGCCATAGTCTGCGGGCCACCAGGGCTGAGAATCAGTCATGAGAGTCCCAAGGTCTTTTTTGACTGCTTCCAAGTCCAAAGAGAGGAATTCGCTGGAATAATCGAACCTTGGTGGCATGGGATTTGTCTTCTCATTGTTTTGTGAAAGGATCTTCAAGTTGAGTTGTTCAGGCCACCAATCCTTGTTGTTGGTTCCATTTCCGGGATGTAAGAAAGGGCACTTTTGGCTTGACATTGTGGCTTGGTTTCTTCTTTGAGTTAAGGTGTCGATGTTGGATCGGATTTCTGCTTGTTAGAGGGTGCGATATGAACCTTCTTCAATTTATGATGTTGTGAAGATGTCGAGATGCTTGATGGGATCTCTAATAGTCAGAAAGGCGCATGCGCGACATAGTCAGAAAGACACACCAGGCAAGGATACAAGTCGTGCGGTGGAAACCCGACATCTTAGTGTAGGTATTGATTGGGATTGATACACGTCAAGATGTTTGATCGGACCTCTGTTGGTCAGAAAGGCGCATGTGCTACATAATCAGAAAGGCGCAACAGGCAATGATACCGGTGCCTACAACAAGTCGTGCGATCGAAATCCGAAATCTCATAGTTGGTATTGGTACTGGCACTGTGAAGGTGTCGAGATGTTGGGTCGGATCCCTGATACAGTCAGAAAGGCGCATGCGCTACATCGTCAGAAGGCGTACCAAGCAAGGATACAACATGTTGTGCGATCGAAACCCGGAATCTCAGTGAAGCTATTTTCGCTATATGATATTCCCAGAGTACTTTATAATAAAAGGGAATATTCGATCTTGAAACGAGGCTCTTTGGATGTCACAATCCACCATCGATGTATCAAACATGTCCCAATGGCAAACAAAAAGTGCCGTCACTGTCATCGGCAAGGCTTTGGAAAGCCCGAAGTTTACATTACTCGTATGTATGGTGTGCAACAGTCGAACTAATCGAATGAGTTGAGAAAGGACAGAAATAGGCTAAATAATACGGCTAAAGCAGACGACAATGTTATCATCATCATACTGTATGTCTATTTTTCTACAATCGCTACAGTGTGCAGACCTCACTGTAGCATCATGGGCATGGGCAGGCGAAATACCACTACAGTACTTTATCGTTGGGCTGTAGGTTCAGGGTTCTGGATCGGATCTCTGCTTGTCATGGCGCAGGATTTGCATGCATACCGGTATGCACGCGAAAAGTCATGAGTTCGACTCCTTCGAGTTCAAACACTTCGGATCGAAGTTCGATCTTCCCTGTGCCTGTGGCAAGCACCATCTCCTGCAATGGACAATGAAAACACCATGATGTTGACCATTCTTTTGACACTAGCGAGCGTAGAATATGCACGTACCGAACTGGTGGGAGGAATCCTGCTTCCTCATGGAGACTTTGCTTATGATCCTACTTTCTTTCGACCAAACATCGACAAAAGAGTTGCAGCCAATCGCATCGCCACAGCATCTCGAGAAGCTGGAAAGTGGTTGGTCGATATCGTGAGGCCAGAAATCATCATCTTGTCGACACCTCATGGTATCAAATTGGATAATGACTTTGGCATCTACATGAATGACAAAGGGGCTGGTTTTGCAACCATTGGAGGTGATGTAATAGGAAATTCGACATACAAGAAAGAGTACAACGTGAGCATGGACATTGAAATGGATCTTGAGCTTTCCAAGGATCTACTCTCATCACTGAATGACAAGAATGTGTCTGGAATTTACAGCTTTTCTGAAGCCACTCCTATAATATTGAACTGGGGTGAAATAATTCCCCTGTTGCTTCTTCCAGAAGGTCAGAAACCCTACAAACATATCATTTGGTCTCACCCAGAACGAAGATACGACCATGCGACAGAAATGGTCCCAGAGCTTCTTGAAATAGGACAAGAATTGGCAAATTGGATCGAAAGCCGATCTGAAAGAATTGCTGTTATCATCTCGGGGGATTTGTCACATACCCACCAACCTGACGGTCCTTATGGTTACTCCAATGCTAGCTCAATATTTGACAAGGCATTGGAAAGGTGGGCATCGCAGCCGTACTTGAACGCTAATGCATTATTGGAAACCGCAAAGGGTTTACAGCTGAAAGCCATGTCTTGTGGCTTCACAGGTTACATCATGTGGCACGGTATGCTGTCCGCAAAATCAATCTCAACTTCCGTGGTATATGCTAATTTGAATGTAACATACTATGGGATGATGGCGGCAGCCTTTGGGTTTGGTGTGGGCTTTGAACCTACCATGAGTCACCTTTAGTCGAACGGGTCGATTGATCATTCGTCGCATCGAAGCGAACTTGCAAGGTTGACACGACCAGCGCAACGAGAGTGAGACAATACAGAAGCATGTCAATGGTCGGTCCAAAATGGATAGCATTGTTATCCGCACTGCTGCTTATCGACATATCAACTGCAGGAACGCCCGCACCAGAGCAGTTCTTTCACTCTCAAATTGTTGATCATATTGATCCAGATGGACCATACGGTGGAGAAACCTATGCCCATCGATATTACACCTGGAATGCATCATTTGCTGGTCCAGGGTCGCCCATCTTTATGATCATGGGAGGTGAGGGTCACATTTCACCTGAGACAGGATTGTACTATCCCTTCATCACGCATCATTTGGCACCCAAATTCGGTGCTTATGTGTTGCAGCCTGAGCACAGGTTTTACGGAAAGTCTCAGCCTCTCTTTCACCGAAGGGATAGTCCTTTCTCAAGTCGGCGTTATAAGCATGATCAGCGAGAAGAGCTCTTTACAAGTGAGCAGGCGTTGCACGATTATATGAATCTTTTGACTCATACCCAAACGGAGCTTGGGTGTTCGCTGGACAGAACGTCGGATTTGTACTGTCCTGTTATCACAGTGGGTGGATCGTACCCTGGATTCTTGAGCGCTCTTGCACGTGTCATGTTTCCCAATAAGGTGGACATTGCATATTCTGCAAGTGCGCCAATGTTGTTCTATGCTCAAAAGGTTGAGCAGGAGGCATACTATGACCATATCACCAAGGTGGCAAATGAGACTCGAGCTGGGTGTGCAGAAGATGTCCGCAAGGCCCTTTTCGAAGTTCAAGTGAAAATCATGCGGGATGAATTCGACAATGACGATTTGGGCATCTGTGAATATTCAATTCCTGATTATATTGAGTTTGAGGAACAACTGGTGAACGAACTGATGATGGTAGTTGGATACACGTTTGCGAACGACAACATGGCAAACTACCCACCAGGGAATGAAACAAGACTCTACAAGACTTGTGAGATCTTTGCGTGTACAAAATCCAGCTCCTTAGAAAAAGTAAAGAACTTTCTCTTGGCTCGATTGGCAAAAGGAAAGACTTGTTGGGATATGAGTGCCCAACTTCCTACTGGTGACAACGCTACAATTACAAGTGGCGACTGGAGTGGAGTGGGTACTGGAGCAGATGGAGAAAGCTGGGACTTTCAGACATGTACTCGAGAGGTGGAACATATTGGCTTTTCGGAATGGTCCATGTTTCCAGATCGCCCATGGTCTATGGACTGGTTGAAGGATCATTGCATGACCCGATTTGGAGTTGTTCCTGATCCACATGGTATGGTTCGTCAATGGGGATTCGACAAGTTGGCCGAGAACAAAGTTCGTCGTATAGTGTTTACCAACGGTCTAAAGGACGGCTGGTCGGTAGGGGGATTCAAGAGTGACCTGTCGGAGTCTTTGCCAGTGATCAACTTTCCCAATGGAGCCCACCACTCCGATTTGACCGGGAAAGGTCCCAGCGATGCTGATTCGGAGGACATTCAAGAAGGATTCAAAACCGTCTCCGGCATTATCGAGAAGTGGCTGAATGAGGTCAAGTCAGATTCTAGTACCACAAGACGAGTACTACGAGCTGCAGTTTAGTTGCTGCAGTATAATTTTAGCTCTCTTTTTATATATTATGGTTGCTTGAGTATGTATTGCAATTGTGGATGGTTACTGTACGGAATCAATATGCACTCGACAATGATTGGTCTTGTAAATCTTTGGAAAGATGTGAAACGTCGCCCAACTTTACGATAGTCCAACGACTGCCATCGTGTGTAAAATGGCTCACACTGGAATAGCCAACGTATCCAGATCCTCCAAAGGCCTGTCCGATACCCAAACAAGAGGCTCCATGTCCACAGAACAGAATTGAACCTATTAGATGTTTTCGGAGCGTCGAAGCGGTCCCTCCAGCTCTACGGGCTGCAACAGAATCACCCGCTTCGTAACTTAACTCGTTGCGCGTCATGACTGGTGGATAGTCAAGGTCAATTGGAAACTCTGATGCTAGTTCTTCTGCATCTTTGAATCCTGGCGGAAACATGGTCAGCACTTCACAAATTCCAGGTTCCACTTTGATTTGGATCTCTTTCCGCCTAGCCATGGGAGCAACCGTTTGTAGGCAACGGTAGAAAGGAGAACACACAATGTGATCAATGTGGATGTCTTGCATCGCATCCGCAAGTTGTTGGGTCGCACGATTGCCACCGTCGGAACACTCGGTATCATCTCTCGAGTGTCCAGACAAAGGTTTCCAATTGCGATGGTCTCTGTCAGCTCGAGCGGAATGTCGAGTCATGTAGACGTCATCATTTTGAGAGGTGCACATTCTTGATGGTTGCTGTATCCATCACGAATCAATGAATCAATGCATGAATCATTCAAGCAAGCAAATCCCACAATCAAAAGGATGGTTCGGATTTTCTAGGAACCTGGAACCGTCCAAAAAATGAGGAGTTTTGCGTTGTTGATTCCCGCAGAGCGTCTGTTGAGATTTTTTGGTACGAACGACCGTTAACCATGATGGGGCCACCGGTTTCCCCTGCTGGCGATCACCTTCTCAAAAAATTCGGAGCTTTCGTTCCCCCTGCTTGCCAGATACCAAGCAATCGATCGTCATTGTGTGACATAAAAAAGGTTGGGATTGACCACAATCCATTCATCCATCCTTTGTTACAACATCCACAACCGACGCACCATGCCACCATTCAACCATCGCGACGATCCCTTCTTGACTTTTCATGAGAAGGAGCCACAAAAAGATGAAACTTTCAAGAAATCCGTAAGCTTTGCAAGTCACGCTCAGGAATACTTCGCCATCAATCGTGCGAATTATTCCCCATTGGAAATGAAAAATAGTTGGTATGACAAACTTGACTTTGTAGAGTTTACCTTGGACATTCGACGCACAGTGGAGATCATTGAAAGAGGAGATGCTCATAATTCTCAGCTGCTGGATGATGTGAACTACACTACTCGAGGCTCCATTTGTCGAAAAACGTGTACGGCTCGAAGGCGCCGAGAGATTCGAAATGGAGCCAAGGAGTGTGTGCTAAAGGCACAAGACACATTCCGACACAATGCAGAGTACATTTCCTCGGTTTACACTCAATACTCGCAAGCTAGCGTCCAAGAAGCTCTTCAGCAAGCCGAACAAGACCATCACGATGCCAAGATGGTGGTGAATTCCCAACTAGCTGCTGTGGCAGAATTTTGGGACAGCTACTTTAGTGACGCTTGGATAACACACTTCGAAGATGGCTCTCCACCACTGCCACCACCAAAGAGTACCCAAGGCCCGCCAAATTTGCTCACGGACGATTTCTTAGAGACAGAACCATACGGATTTGACGATAGTTGGCTCGTCGGTCCAGTCGCCTGAATACCACTATGATAGAGAGTTCTTCCACAGCAACACACATTGCTACACTTCTCCCATATATAATATGTTGATGGTACACACACACGCACACACACATCACGATGATGAGTGTGTGTGTGTGTGTGATCATCGAAACAGCATGTACACCCCAGCACCACTGTACTTGAATGAAACCAAGACTTTGTAAACTAGTATTGTAAACAATCAACTTTGAAGATTGACATTTTAAAATAAATCCAGCAACCAATCTGGCTCTAATCACTCATGATCATTTGCGACAACTTAGTATCGTATGTGTACGTGTACCATTCATTAGAAGGACCCATCGCATACACCGGTATTTTCACGATCGCCTCTTTTTCCCGTGTCAACTTTGGAATCCAAGGAGTCGAACTGCCGAACCTTCCGATTTATTTAGCGCGTTATGCTTTGAATCTTGAATGATTTCCATCGCGCTAGATTTTTTCACCGAAACTGAAAACGAACAAATCAAAATCCAAAAACACACAACAAAGAAAACTATTGTGTCGGTAGCAAGGCAACAGCTTGTATGTATCGTAGAAGCAGCATCACTGGTACACGAATCTGAACAAGCAATCTTATTGATAGATAGGATAATGCTCGATCCATTTGCAGACGATTCGTCGTCCACAAATGAAGAAATCCAGCGTCTTTGGGAGAAGCTTGACACCATGGAATCTTCGGGCCAACTAGAACGAGAGGAGCATCAATGCCACCGCGAAGTGTCTACGCCACCGCCATTTGCCGAAATGTCTTCACAAATAACACCAATGGTTGTGACTACCGACAGCAAGGCAAAGCAGAAAGTTGTCGGCGAACAACAGCAACAACAGAGTCTGGAAAAAATGCCGAAATTGCCACCATTCTATCAAACGCTTTCTTTGGATTCTTCGTCTTCCTCCTCCTCATCCCTTCCAATTGTATTGAACAAGGACAAAAAGGAGCCGAAAAAAGAAATAAGAGCCACCGATGGCCACCACAAGAACGAGAAGGGAGAACGAAGCCAGCAAAACCAAAAAGCTCAAGTTCTTTCCAAAATGCCAACGAACTACACTGTAACTAATTGTGAACCGAAGTCGGGAGACTCGGACTCGTCGACCACGACATCTTCTGACTCGTCTTCGTCTTCCTCCTCCGCAAGTTCCTCCTCGTCGTCTTCCGAGGAAATTCCCGCAAGGGTCGCTGTCAAGTCCGAGCCGCCAATGACGGTGGAGGTACATTCAGAATCTACTGGAACAATGATTCACAGTCCACTGTCCATGCCGCAGTTTGGGACCCAGTCACCAGCACCCATCAAGGCAAGAAGCGTCAAGATGGAAACAAAGAGTACTGCTATTGAAAACATAACAAGTCGCAAGTCAATGGTTGCTAGTACAAATGGAGACAACAAACTAGCAATTATCAAGAATCCGTACATGTCGCGAAAGAAGCAAACCAAAGACGATCAAAAGTCAAAAAGTTCTAAACTAATTACTTCAACGGCTAGTCTTCCAAGAAGTCAATCATCGTCTCCCTTTTTCAAAGAGACAGTCCTGGCATCGAAACAACAGCGAGGCGAAATCAAAGTTGCTGCTCCCAGCATTACCAACAAGGAAAACAAGATTCCAAACAAGAATACTGCAAAAGATGCCACCAACTCAGCATCTACTTCTGAAAGCGATTCGTCGTCTTCTCCATCTTCGAGTCCGCCCAAAAGAGCCAATCCAATTGATAGTTTGGAAAAAGTCAATCAACTGAATCGAGGACCTGACCCACTTGACGTGATGATTCAAGACTACCAGCCAGAGGCGGAACCATCTCCCGAAATTGACCCATCGTTGCTGGCGCCTCCTCGCTACAAGGAAAAGCCAAGACCAGTGTTGCACCAATTTTCGCTGGAGAATAGACCCCTCCAAAGTCGCACCAAGGTTTCGGTTGCCACTCTGTTTCCAGCTCCCATGAATCAGCTCTGGAGAAACAAATTCAAAGACTTCAATCATTTGCAATCCGAAGTTGCCAACATGCTGTGTCACAGCGATGACAACATGGTAGTATCAGCACCCACCGGCGCTGGGAAAACGGCCATTTTTGAAATGGCATTGGCTCGATTCATTTCGAGGGACTTGCAATTCCATAGACCCTTTACTAATGGACCACCAAGCATGTCCAAACACCGCAAAGTGGTGTATTTCTCCCCGAGCAAGGCCCTTTGCGAAGAGCGATACGAAGACTGGTCACAGCGTTTGTCGCAATTACAATTGGGCATTGAAGTGTCAATGATTACTGGTGATGCCGAGCCTGGTCGTAGCTACCATGATCTTGCCAACGCTCATTTGATTCTGACCACTCCTGAAAAGTGGGATTCCATCCTTCGCAGATGGACAGAGCATTTCTTTCTCGTGGCATCGGTCAAACTGCTCCTACTGGACGAAGTCCATCTGTTGGGGGATCCTAGTCGAGGCTTTTGTCTCGAGGCAGTCATTACTCGCATGAAACACATCCACAGCGTCTCGCAAAAAGTGCAAATCTCTCAAGCTGGTTTGTCCTCGACAAGGTAAGCCAATGTGCACATCTTTCGTTTTCCCGAACAAACTTGGTAGAAGCTGACGGTCATCTCGTTCCCCCCATCACAATATCACGATACAGCTACAAGAACACAAGCCCTGAGGCCATTTCGGCATGTCTGAGAATCATTGCAGTGTCGGCAACCCTCCCCAACATTTTGGACGTCGCTGAATTCTTGGGTGCAAATGAGGCATTTTCTTTTGATGAGAGCTATCGTCCAGTTCCCCTTGAGACTCGGGTTGTTGGCCTAGGGTACATTGGCAAGAATGAGTACCGATTCTGGACCAATCTTGATGAACAGATCCCACACTTGATTGCCCGATATGCTGACCGAAAGCCAACCTTAATCTTCTGCCACACTAAGAAAGAGACAGAAAGTCTTGCAAAGCATCTGATTAGCAAGAACTTTGGAAACAACTCGAATACATCGGCTGCACCACCAGGCTCTGTTCAATACTGTTTGGATAGCGGGGTCGCCTATCATCATGCTGGTGTTCAGGCATCGGAAAGACGCAGCATAGAGAGAGCATTTGCAAACAAAACGCTGCAATGTCTTTGTGCAACCAGCACTCTCGCGGTAGGTGTGAATCTTCCAGCACATTTGGTCATTATCAAAGGTACCAGAACTTGGAGAGGTGGAGGCGCAGGGTATCAAGAAATCGATTCCCGCTCTCTTCTCCAGATGATCGGTAGGGCCGGCAGACCAGGCTTGGATACCAGTGGAACGGCGATCATTATGACCGACAATGCTTCCAAGCTAAAATATGAGAGTCTTGCCCGAGGTCTAGGCTCAGCCGATAGCCAAATGATCCCAAAGCTCATCGATGTTGTCAACACTGAGATTTCTCAGAGAGTCATACAAAACATTGATGATGCTGTCCGGTGGCTCAAAACAACGTTTCTATTTGCCTGCTTGAAAGGAAATCCTCCAAGATTTGGAGTAGACTTGCAGTCACAAACTCTTGATGATTTCATTTTGAGTCAGTGCTCACACGCAATAGAAAGCCTTTGCAAATGTGGACTGGTTGGGGGAACAGACAATATTATCCCTCTCGCAGGTTCTCACATCATGAGCCAGAGCATGGTGCCCTTCGAATCAATGAAAATGATAGCCGCACTACCGTTTGATGCGACCCAATGTCAAGTTCTTCGCATGCTTTCAAGTATGGAAGATCTTCATGTCCCAGTACGACGACTCGAAAAGAAACCTCTGAATGCATGCCATAAATCCGAAGCAATCAGATACAAGCTTGAAGGACCATTGAGCAAGGTCAGAATCCAAGATCCTAGCGAGAAGGCATTTGTGTTGTTGCAGGCATATATTGCACATGAAGAGTTTGAGAACTACACACTTCGACAAGAAATGTCTACGTTGGCAGATACAGCACAATGTGTTCTCATGGCCGCGCAAGAGCATAGTACCAGGGGGTCAATGCACGGTCAAGTCGCGCTGCAATGCTTGAAGCTGCGAAGGTCGTTGCAACTTTGTCTCTGGGGAGAGTCAAGTGGCGTTCTGAATCAAATTCAAGATATTGGTCAAAAATGTACTGCTCAACTGAAGATGAATGGCATTGTTTCGTTTGAACAGGCGATGGCTGCAACCGAAGACCACATTGAGAGAGCAAGCGGGCGACCTAAACCGTTTGGCAAACGCCTTCACACAATCATTTCAAAGATCCTCCAAGAAAAGCTCACCATGACAGCCGAAATAGAGTATACGAGGGAATCCAATATTCCAGCCTCTGTTCAGTGTCATCTGCGTTTTCCGAGCCAAGTGCCGTATAATTCCAATTCCGAGAAGGCCAAAGTCAATTATACATTGGTGCGTTGCGAGCGGTCATGAATCAAAGTGGGCTTCAACTACTAACAGCTTTCTCTAGCTTTCGTACACCGACCGACCAGGTTCAATGCTCTTCTTTCAAGATGGCATTACTGGTCCTGGATCGTATCGATTTTCTTGTCCAACAAACTTTGGCAAAATCTTTCTCCATCTATTCTCTTCGGTTGTTGGACTAGATGCAAATTGTATTTTGGGTGGAAATCAAAAAGCGCAACCGTCAACTTTTGTACCATCGTCAAAGAAAGTTCCACCGAAAAGCATCATGGCGTCTGGGAAGAAGCAGCAACAGAAGAAGATGCAGGATTTTTCAAGTTCTCAAACGTCGAAAACATCAAGAGTAAAGGACAGTCGGAACCATGGCAAAGCAAGAAACAGTCCTTTTCCGCCGCATTCAAACGGCAGCGGCAGAAGCCAAGGGCGAGCCCCTTTAGGCTCCAAAACTTCACCCAAAGTTGCTCGAAATGAGGCGATGCGACGGGGGACTAAAGCAGCTACCCCACCGACTCAAATGCTTCCAAAAGGATCCATTCGAGTCTTACAGAATACTGGAGGCTACATTCAGAACCCATGCTCTCAGAATGTGCCTGACAAAATAGATAGATGTCATCCCGAAGACGATTTTATCATACAGGTACCATTGGTCCCATCGATTATAAGAGATTCCAGACGACATGCCGCTGTCGTTCCGCCTCTGATACATGGGCGCGTGCTTCAGGAAGATAAATCTAACAAACGTAGCATGCCACCTCCCTGGCATCAAACGAAACGAAAGCAACAGCGTTCCCAACAACGAGCGTTTGCGTCTAAGCGGGACAACCCTTTCGCCCATTTCCAACATGATCCTAACGATGCGGAATCTTACTTGGAGGGGCTCAGCTTACAAAGCCAAAGTCCAAGGAGATTTCAAAATTCCCTCATTCCTCAATCAAGACTGGACCACCTTCAACAGCACTCGAATCAAGTCAACAGACCACCACGCCAAACCAAGACATGGGGCTTCGGACGCCACAGAATGGATCGACGACGAAGAAACAATGGCGTCGGTAAGCCATTTTCAAACCAAGAACTGCTCCGAATAAAGGCCGACGAATCTCAAGCTCAGTTCGCAGCTCGCCGATGGAGTCATCCCAACAGAGAAGTGGATTCTATTGAATACGTGGGAGCTCCAATTGTGAACAACTCATATTCAAATTTCGAGCACTCGCAGACGGCACACGACACTTCTTGGCTACATGACCATCGACCACCGATGTTTGAACAGCCATTCGACCCAAGATTCCAACCATCGATTGCACAGCCAGAAGCGTTCACAGTCCCAATCACTCAGACATATCAAGGATTCGTGCAAGAAGAAGTGTCTGGTAGTGATATGACCTGGGGATCTCCTAACGACCCATCACCCGGTTCATCGTGCGAATCGACCCACCAATATTCGCACTTGCCAAACCAACAGCTTGCGCAATCATCCCAAATCGTTCCACCATCTCAAAGTAGTGTGCAGATTATTCCAATTTCACAACTCAATCAAAGAGGATGGTCTCAACAAGCTGATGAAGAATCGCAATTCAGAGAAGTTTTTTTCTAGAATGAGACTTCAATATGAACGGAAATCAATAATTCTAAACAACAGTAGATAAACGACTTCAGAATCTCAACGCCATAGCTTCACCGTGCAGTCTCTTGAGCAGCTCAGCAAACCACTTCTGACAACTTTCAAATCTTGAATCGAGTCCCGGTGATAATTCTCAGGTTTCTTCAAGCCTTGGAACAAAGCCTTTGGAACCCGTGAGCTCTCCACTTCACAGAGATGTTGTTTCGGAGGTTGACGACAGAGCATAAGGCGACAGGATTGCGGATAATCAATTCGTTCAAAACTTGGCCGGGGCTGTGACCCGTCCAATCCAGAGCTCGCATAGCATTTTGAGGGAACAGCAAAATCCCAGAACCGCAGCCTTCCGTCACTACCACCAGTCAGGAGGAAACTGTGGCTGCTAGCCCCAATGCTACCAACCATTGCATTAATAGAAGGAGACAGCACAGAAGACGTTGGTGCAAGGAATGCTCCGCCGGAACGCGATGCGATTTCTCTACGACGTGCAGCTGGTGACACTGAAATTTCGTCCAAACGAGGGATTTCGTCCACTCGAGGACTCAGATAGCGACCGCTGTAATCAACTGTTCGGAAGCACTCCCGGCAAGCACCATTTGTAATGTCAAACATTGCGCACTCGTTCGGACCAGCGGCTGCGAACAAAAAGGGGCGCATCTCACTCCTAGATTTACCTGTCCATGATTGAGGAGCTGGGACGATCGATGTTCCAAGGCGATGAATTGCAGTCGACCGGCTGTGGTGCCAAAGTTTCAAGATTTGCTGGAAGCGCAAGTCCCATAGGGCCAAATATCCTCGGCTCGTTCCTGTAACAACCCAGTTCCTGTCACTGCCGACAGTGCAACTGGTGATGTAGCCCGTATCATTTGGAATCTGCAAAAGAAATGGCTCTGAAGCAGATCGAAGATCCCACGAATGGACGTATCCCTTCTGAGTAGCATAAGTCAGCAGCGATGCTGATGATGTGTTGAAGTGGTTCAACGCAAGAACCTCGCCTTCGTCAGGATTCATTTGTCGAATTATTGTAGAGCCAACTGCTCTTGATGATGACCGTGCATCGTTTGCAGGCGCTGATTGTTTGGATGATGAAACCATCTCAACCCTCCAAGTATGTATAGAACCATCGCTCGCTGCAGAACAAACAGAATGAGAACCTTCCAAGACAACCAGATCGTTGATCCGAACGTTTGGCGAATTATTCCCTGTAAGATGCCCTGAGTACGTGACGCTACTTTCCAAAACACCGTTGCATTTCTCAGCTTTTTCCAACTCCCAGATTCTACAAGTTCCGTCATGACTTCCTGTTGAAAAGAATCTTTGATCGTTGGCAACGACAAGACGAACAACTGGACCAGTGTGGCCAAACTTCGAGGCCGTACGTGATGTAGCCACCACTGTGTCGATTCGCCGCTTGAACGATCCGGAGTTATCGTTCGAGGTATTGGATGCATTCTGTGGCGAAACAGTCACCTTGTTCCCACATAATTTGTTTTCCGAAAGCTTGGGAGGAAGTGGAGGCACCTTTAATGCATTCAACTTCGTTACCAGTAACGTAGTGTCAGATAGCGCAGGATCAAGGTTAGTCTCGGCTCCCCATTCGCCAGAACATGCAGCCTGAATCATTCGAGACTCATTCGATCGAAGAATATCGACAGCTCTATCAGAACTCATATCACTAGATGCAGACGCACCAGTTGCACTTTGATCCATGATAGAAAGCCCATACACTTGCCCTAGAGCTGATACAGAGCGAATTGCCGAGGTTTCAGATGCCAAGTTGTCTTGCCTTTCATATGTTTCTCGCAACGTATTGTACCATGCTGGTATGGTTACTTCTCTCGAACTAGGATTGTCTTGACTCGGGAACTTGATCTGTTGAGCAAGCTTCAAAGGACCTTCGATAGCATGCACAAGCTGGGCTTTGGCGTCACCAGCTCCCAATTCATATTGCGCAGTATATGTTCTGCTTCTTGCCAACATTTTTAGATATGAGGTCACCTGCTCTGTCTGAACATCAACGTTGTCATGAGTCGCGATTTGAGTATCGGCTTTCCCTGTCTTTTCTGGCTTCTGAAGTCCACCTGACTTCGTTCGATTCTCATTGCAATTCCCAGTTTGAAGAGATATCGACGTCCATCCAATCGAAGGTGAAATTGCGTTGCCACTTGAAGGGATGTACTTTGAAAGCTCTTCATTGAAGCGGTCACGAGTCCAAGCCGGATGCAAGCAAGACTCTAGACCATCTGGAGTTACAAGGTGCCTTGGCGAAGGCTGATAACGGAGAAACGGTTCAATGATTGGAACGATGAAAACTTCCGAGTCAGGACTATCAAGAGTCTGACAAACGGCGTTGAATGTCTTGATAGCAAAGAATCGAACATCAACAGAGGGGTGGACCAGAAGCGGGGCGTATTTCTTGAGGAGCCTAACAGAAATAAGGTTTTGTTAGATATCTGCAATCAAATCTGGAGCCACTTCGATTTTTTTCTTCGCTACATACCCTGGTGTCTCAGATCCACTTCTCGCCGATACTGACGTTCCTAGTAGTATGGATCGACTGAGAAGTCCAAACTTCGACAATTGTGCAAGGCTCTGGAGAGCTCGAGTGACGACCGCCTCTTCGCCATCCACCAACCCTGTTTCGAGACACGGTATCACAAAATGTTCTGTAGCTGCCCTGCCAATAATGTGACAAACTGAAGGTAGGTGCTCAAAAAGAGCTGCGCGAAGTTGCCAGTCCCTTCTGTCGTTTAAAAACGTTAGAAGTTGGGGCAAAATGAAAGCCATTACTCCATCAAGCCCAAAAAAGTTACAGAGGCGTGCCATATCACTCAACAAGGCACGTTTGACAGGCGACGAGTGCTCCGATTGATCCGTTGTAATGTGGACAACACACCGAGAAATTGTCTCATGCAGTGCCATGATCTCTGATTTGTAATTGCTGCTTATCAAAGTTTTCCCAGCACCAGCGACTCTTTGTGTACTCGCTTCAGCATCCGAATCTTGCTTGGAACGGCTTTTCGAAGCAGAGCCAGAACCGGTTGTATTATCGAGAAGTTTTGTAATATCATCAGCGAATACATCATTTGCCATCAACGATTCTTCCTTTGCACTTTCCCCAGTAGCGGGAGATCGAGACCCTCCACCTCCGACGGCTTCGTAAAGCTGAACCGCGTGCGATATATCCAAGAAGCGGTGGGATGTCTCGGCCAGAGAAGCTAGATTTCTGGCGAAAACGAGCCGAACTACCAGCGACCTACAAGAAGTCATAAAGTGAGAAAATAAGTCGAAAAGGAAGCACTCTGTTGTAGATGGCATCAACTTACGGATCAGTCATCAAATGAGTCACACGCTTGAAGATGTACTGTGGGAATATTTTAGAATCAGATGGTGGGAATGAATCCACAATGGAAAGAGTTGCCGAGAGCACCTCAATCGCAGATGCTCGCACCAGGGGATCTTGATCATTTAGCAAAGTAATTGTTACGGGTACAATCCGTTGCAATCTTGCTTCATCTGAAACATATTTGGCGACTCGAATCATCAATTGTAGTGCAACAATCTTACTCGCCGGTCGTTGGACATAGCGCACAGTTGATAAGATTGACTGCAAATATATCAGTAATGAACTCTGTGAGATCTCGGATCGGTCTTCCCTGGCTTGCACTTCAGCCGTTAACGAAGCAACGGAATCCATTGGTGGGCAAGGCAGGGATAATATTTCATCTTCGAAATTCAAGGAATCTAGTTTCCTAAGAAGTGCCTCCGTCTCCGCTAGAAAATCCGTGATTTCTTCCTTCTTTTCCTCTTCCACTCTTTGGTCTGGTGCCTCGTCTTGCTTGCTCTCGCCACTTTCGGGTTGATCAGTTCCTTCAAGTTTTGTCATCGTATACCCGAGCGCTTTTTCAAAGTACCGTTTGCCTTCCTCGTCGCGTAAACCTGCAGTTGCCCAAACTATTGAATAGTAATGCGCCGCGGCAATCGCTAACCTAGCATCTGGCGGACTGTGTGTAATCTTCTCCATCAGCGGTGACAAGCCATCTCGGAATGACGCTGGAAGCACTGACGAGGCATGGAGTCGCTCCAAGTAGGCCCCGGCGCTGAGACGTTCAGTAGGGTCCAAGTGCAGCATATGTCGGCAGGCTGCCCTCAATGCCGAAAATTCAATCTTGTTCAAGCCTTGCTGCAAGGTCTGAGACGATTTGTCTTTTCTATATTCCATTAAATCTCCCAAGTCCAAAGCCCGTTCACCGTTCAAAAAGGTTTCTAATATGACACACCCTGCAGAGAAAATATCCATAGCCGGTGTCAATGGTGGCTGAGGGTGGTCTTGTTGTTGCTCGCCGCTCTTGGGCGTAAAGAATCTTTCAGGCGCCAGGTAACATCGTTTGTCTCGAGGTGTCGTGTCGCTTCCATTCTTATACAGCTCTTGAAAATAGTACAAATAATCTGATGGATCATCGTCTGGTAAGGCAGTACGGGCCTTGTAACTCGCGAAATCGACTAGTACCACCCAGTTCCAACTCGATAACCCAATGTTTTCTGTTGTCAAGAAACCATGGACCACATTAGCAGAATGCATTGCTTCTAATGCTTCCAATATTTGAAAGGATATCCATAGTTTTTCCACATGCGTCAAGAATGGCCGAGACGCTAATCGGTCTGACAGTGTGGTGTACGTATGCGGTCGTAGCAAGTGGATTTGACGAACCATGGTCGAAGATCCAGGTTTTGGTTTGTAATTGCCAGTACTCCAAAACAGAAAGGGTGCCACATGATGCTGACCTTTCAATGCTGCCCGAATTCGTTTCAACTCCTCTTGCTGTTTTGTGACTGTCTTTTCAACATCCGAGGTTACAACCATTGTTTTCAGGACTATCGTGGAAAGGTTCTGCTTGTGACGGAGTTGAAAAGTTCTCATCATTCGACCTGAGGCAGGAAACAAGGGTTTTTCGACTGCATATGCACCCAAGACTTCACCATCCAGTTCTGGGGGTCCTTCATCGAATCCCTTATTGGAGGAGGCTAATGTTGTATGGCTAGCTCCCATTGCCAGTGTATGTTTTGATCAGTTTGCAATCAAGGATGATGGTTGTTCCTGAAATGATTTGATTCTGTGGGAATCAAAAAATCAAGTCTCAGTACTTGTCCTACGCTGTACTCGTAGAATTCTGAAAATCTAATGGAGAAATAGCAAAAAGGAGGCTTGAGAGGAATCACCAAAACAAAAAAACAACGTCTGATTTGGTTTTGATGTCTATTGAATTGATGTATTGTAAGCAACATCTATTTTACCCTCATTGCACCAGATACCCCAAGATCTAGCTATTGTGGACACAAATGCAAATACTTGGCATTCATCGCATTTCTCTTTAACGCTTTGATTCCAATCCCCGTTCAACCCATCAACGAGAAACCTATATGTGCTCTTTGAAATCCTTCTTTACATTGGCCACAAGCTCCGCAACGATCGATTCACCACGGCTTTCCCACTCTTCTCGATTGCTCCTGGCATAGTTCTGGAATGAAAAAAAAAAAGCGATGAGCGTTGATCAGGGGCTACCGACGTGAATAAACGAGGAACAGACTATGACTTACCAGAAACTCATCACTCGATTTGCCAAAGACGCCACAACTTTCCAACTTCTTCGCCAGTGGGATGATGTAAAAGTCAAAGAATCCGATCTCCCCCTTGTACCAATTGATACTTGGATCCGTATCAGCTCGCCCAGCAATGTATGCCGCGTAGCTTTCTCGGAACAAATTTTCATTCCACTTTCGGTAAACACTGTGACAACAAGAAATGGAAATTGTGCATCAGACATCGAGCATGGAACAACATTACAACCAACAATGTTACGAGACTGGAGTACTTACTGCCAATGCTGCATGGTATGACTAACGTCTGATGCTTGGATCAAGTGCTCAATCACAATTGTAGCCTTTCGGTTGATACTGTCACGAGTCTCATCCTCTTCTTCATAATCATGGACATCGATCGAGCTAATGTCTCGTTTGAAAGCCTTGTACCATCGATTGTTTCGCAACTGCTTCAAGTCTTTGTCGATAATGTCCGTGGCCATGACGGCGTTGGTTGCCAATTCTCGGAAGCGGCTCAGTTCGGTGGCAGTGGCGCAAATGGTGTTTCGTAAGTTTGTAAAGCGATCGCTCATCAACAAGTTCCATGCTATTACTAAACTGTTTTGTTCAGCAACACTTCGTTCGTTGTACATGGTGGCAACAGCAGCTCCTTCTTTGACGAGCTGCGCGTTTGGGACCCCTGTGTATAGACAATTGCTTAGCATCGTTTCGTTGTGAAATGATGTGGACTTGCATACCAAAACAAAACTTACCCTCATGATCTACATCATGGACCAAAGCAGCAAAAGCGCAAGCAAACTGAGTCAGTGGATCGGAAGTGATTCCATAAGTGTGATCATGCAAATGAGCATGAATGTCCTGTGAAATGTCGTCACTGCCTCCGTGCCCTTCCATTAACTCCAAGTCCGACGGAGCTTTGATGCGTGACAACAGCTTGATAACGCTCATTGTAACATGACTTGCATGTTCAAAGTTATGGAAGGGGTTCGATCTGTACAATCCAGCGACGGTTGCGATGTATCTGCGCAACTCGGCAGTAACATCGGCTGGAATCTCAATAGTTTGGACATCCACTTTCATTGCTTCGGCCACATCGTTAAATTCAGGAAGAGCGATGATCTCACGAACTCCGTTGATGGGCTTGCAGTCATTCATCTTCATCCTGGTCAAGACCTCAGAGTCATCCGAACGAGGCTCCGAGTTGCTGTTGATCCCAGCTTTGGCATAGGCTTCGCGTCTTGCGACAATATGTTTCAGAATGTCCAAGAAGACTGTCACATTCCAGTCAACTAAACGATCTTCGCGGCCTTCCGAGTGACCAATCTTCTCCGAAAAATGACCATCAATGACACTATCGTCAGCGGACACAGAACTGCCTGATTCGGAAGCTGTCTCGCATTGCCCAAATGATTCGGGTTTATTCGCCTGTTCGACACCTTTACCGATCCAGTAGGTCTGGATATCGCCCTTTCCTTTGGCAACGACACTGCCATTCTCGCGCTTGACAAGCCAATGTCCTTTGTTGCATTTTCGAAGGCTGTCTGCAGTATCCTTGGAAACGTGAATTCGTCCAGCGACACCGGTACTCTCAACTCGAGATGCCACGTTCATGGTATCCTAAACACAATCCAAAAGAGAGACGGCAAGTTTGAGATGTGGCGAGAATCAGCAGCGAGGAAGAAGTTAGCGACCCCTATTACTCACTCCGAACAATTGGAAGCGAGCCTTGTCGCCCCGAATGACACCAGCCGTAACGGGTCCAGTGTGAATACCAATGCGGAGTAGCAGATCGGATGTGTCTGGTCCAAGCGTTGTCTCCAACATTTTGGTCATCGTGCTCATTTCCTTCGAGATCTTGTATGCAAATCTGACCATCGATACCGCATGGTCTGCGATGAGAAAAAGAAATAAGTGTAAGAAGATGCGAATTGGGAATCTCATTGAAAGAAGCTCAAAGTATGCAGCCCCCCAAACCTACCTCTATGATACTTTGGAATACCAGTCGCAGCTATGTACGAATCTCCTACTGTTTCCACTTTGAAAACTTTGGAGTTCTTTGTTAGGCGGTCGAAACTTCCATACAACGTCTCTAGCAGAGTGAAGACCTGAGATGGTTCCCGGACAGATGACCAAGCAGTGAAGCCGCAGATATCAGCAAACATGACAGTTGCCGTGGCAAAGTAGTCTGCAAGAGGCGGTCTTGTCAAGTTTGCCACAGGGTCAGAAGCAGGTCCTAACAGCTCTTGGAAGCTTCTTGGATTGTTCGTGTTGCTATCCCCGATGAGCTGGTTGCGGATAGTATCTGGGAAGAGGGACGTAATCACGGCATTCGATCTCGCAGCGTTCTCAACAAGTTTTTCGTTCCGCTTGTAGACGAACCGATTATACACATAGAAAACAATAACCATGAATCCGAAAGCCCCAGCCACTCCAATAGCAAACATAGTAGGCAGTGTTGTAAGGTACAAGCTGACAAACTTGGAGTTGGGATAAATATACATGGAGTATAGACAGTGCCCTCCTATCGATTGAATGTCAGGGTGGCTGTTCGGGGACAATCTGACAACGCGCTCATAAGAGTTAAACTCTTCTTCGTGTAGGTCACCTTCACCAATAAAAAAGGCGTCTGGTCCTATGGGACGGGAGGAGAGACAGCATCCGTTTGAGTGCGGCTCAATGCAAAGCAAAATGAATGACATGCTTGGACCGTTACCACTTACCATTAATCTCATATGTAAAGCTTTGGTTGCATGAGTTCTTGATCACTGCTTTAATACCAACCACGCCGACTGGCAAAAGAGAACGGAGGGAGAAATCCCAAGCCATCGCAGCACTAGAGATCGCAACAATGGGACTGTCGAAATCTTGCGAATCCAGATGAACCGGAGTGTAGATGAAGCTGTGTGGAAATTTGGTAGAAGATCCTTCGATCGCACTGTGCATACGAGCGTGCTCTTCCTCGGAGAACAGTCCAGCTATGGCATATGGCTGGACTGGTGATACCAATTGCTCATACTTCAGTACCTTCACTGCATCAAACATAGCAGCGATATCGGGAAGACTAATGGCGTTCCAATTTATAGCTCCGTACGTGAACATCGGGGGTGAAACCTGCCATAGTGGGTAGTACACGTCTCGGTCAATATCTGGGACGAGTCCGTTGGATGTAGCCCTCTGGATGTATGACGTGTAGCCAACTTCCATCATGTTGTCCAGGGTTTTGTATCTCAACATGTGACTGTGTTTCATTAGAGGCGCATGTTGCTTGTCGGTGAAGTTCAACCAGGCTTCAGTGTTTTCTCGTGTGACAGCTGGAAGCAATGTTACGATCTCTGTGCCAGAGATCTTGTGAAAATCTTCTCCTAATGACTCGAAATTTGTCAGAGCCACAAAGGGCCATGTCTGATTCGTTAAAGCTGCTTGATCGGAAATAATCGCGGAAAAGGCACGGGAGGCATCACGAATATCGTCTTGTTGTCGGATGGCAGCGTCCGAAAGTGCCTCGGTGAACTGATCATACTTTATCGATGACAAGAGGTAACAATCAGGTAGCCGATATTGTGAGTGTTACAGGACTGTCGTGGCGGAGTTGGTTAGGACAAGCAGTGTTGGACTTACCGCAATGTTGAGGGCTTTCTGTTCCTCGAACTGCAAGAAGTGGTATGTGAGAGTGGTGATCAAAACACCAACTGCCAGAATTAGGAAGAGTAGCGTCCACCGCCACAGATCGACACGACGATCTTCCGTACGAGATTGATTTCGGATCTCCTGTACCTCATCACGTCTGTTACTTGCTGTATCTGAACCTGACCTACTACTTGAAGTGAAGTCTTCTACGCTGTTTCCAGCGGCATCGTACAAGTCAAGGCTTTTGTCTTCAATATCCATGATTACGGTCGTAATTCAGTTTTGTGAAAGGAGTGTGAAAATGAACGTTTCGTGAAGAATTGGATCGAGAAAAACTTGTGAAGGCACTTTCATATGGTCTATCCACGTAATTGAGTAAAATGACCTCAATGTTCTCCTGAGTATGACGACTTAGGAAATGAGATACCATATAATTCTGAAGTTGAAAAAAATACGACCGAATGGCCGCTCGATAAACACAAGCAGCTGACAGGAGGAGGTTGGAAAAGCCATACGAGAATGATGACGACGAAAAGACCCATTGAGAAATTCTCTATTACGTGAGGTGAAATGTGGATATGGCTGACGTTGACGTTTTTTTCGCCGGAAAATGGTCGCATGCAGTCTCTCGACTTCCGGCATGCATTCTCACAGTTTACACGAATTGGTAATAGTACCGCACTAGCAGGTCGTACACGTACCACCCAAGGTACAAGAGCAAAAGTACGGCTGAAGAATCGAGTGACGACCACACGTGCCAGTCATTTCCCAGCGAACAGAGCGCTACCCCTATATGATCGCTCGCTTGGTCCGTGATAGGTGCCATTACAGTCAGCACATCGAACACGTTTACGAATACAGTACTGTACAAATTGTAAATGTTGTACGGTACTGTACCTACACATACACGGTACAGTTCGACTCACCAGACTGATAGAAATGGAGAATAAGCGACAATGAGTATTGCGCGATGAAGAGCCACAAAAATTGCCTACACTCTTGTTCGTAAAATACAGTATGGCGTTCTTTGGTATTCATCCCTTAGTGTAGCATCTAAGATACTCTGAGCTAATTCAAAATAATGAGGCAATCGCAAGCTGGAGTGTGCAGTAAATGTCATCAAAGTTAAAAAGATTTAATTAAAGTATGCTTCTTCTTGTTCTCGCTTTCATCAGTTTTCATCCTTAATCATGAAATCTTCAAAGATAACTTCCAGACCATCCTCTGAGTTCGGTGAGGCACTGTATAGTCCGACTTGATGAATAGCATCCTTGGTAATATCACCCTGTCGAATCTGTGTCCAATTGAAACTATCCTCAGAAATGTAGACTTCCAAACCATCTCCCACCTTTTTCGCATGGACCCACAAGAATTCAGGAAGCTTAATGATTGGATGCATGGCCATGTCCGAGTAGTCATGAGTGACAGTCGAACACATGTGAGGGATCTTTCCCACCAGTTGGATGCCACACTTGGCCCAATTCAGTTCGTCTTCCCGAACCATAATTCCGGCTTGGTCGTCCGGACTGGAAAAGTCTGCCTTGATTTTGACACGAACTTCAAAGTCGCCAAGAACTTCTATGAAATAAAAGGGAGCATTGTCTTCGATACTACGCGTTGCCGTCTTGCGCCAGAAATTCGTCTGAGGGGGGCACCTCATAGCGATGGTAGTTTTTTGCTGCATCCATTCTTCCGGTTCGTTGAGCCATTGCATTCCAGGCTTAGGTTTAGGGACCTCCTCTTCTTCGTGGTCTTCGGCTTCGGATTCAGAGTCTGACATGATGGTTGCTTTCTAACACAGGAACCAGGTATCTATCCTTTACAAAAGGGTTGAAGTCGAGACGTTGCTGTCGTACATGTTTGAGGTGCACACCGGGTCATCTGGGTCATCGGAGAGCTATCGACTGGCACGACTCACTAACGGCGTTTTTCCATTCTGTCTTCGCAATTTCGTAACACCACCACGTTGAAGGACTTTGCTGCTGCTTCACTGGTAACTACAGCATAGAAACAGAAATAGCAGGCCTACATCATTCACCATGAAGGTCACTCGGCAGGATATGCGGTGGACAAATGAGCCAGAAAAGTGGAAACAAAAGGGGGACGACATCAAGTGCACTTGTCCTATGGAAGTGGATTACTGGCGTCACACCATGCACAACTTTGTCAAGGACGATGCTCCCTTTTACTGGATGTATGTCGATTACGATTTTGAAGTTCGTTTGAGTGTCAAGGCTAAGCTCGAGTATCTGTACGATCAGGCCGGATTGATGATTCGATTGAACGAAGAGAATTGGGTCAAACTGGGCATTTGCCACTATCGGGATTACCCTCACGTGAGCTGTTGCTTCACTCGCGGCAAATCCGACTGGTCCATGCAGATCTTGCCCAAGAAAAAGATTAAATGGATTCACCTTTGGGCTAAGCGCAAGGGGAATTTGATTGAATGCTATTATTCCTTGGATAATGAAAATTGGCTTCGAGTTCGTCAAGGATACTTTTCAGATGCCCCTCGACTTCGAGTTGGAATGATGTGCGCTGCCCCAGAGACTGCTGGATTTGACGTGACATTCAGTAACTTTTTGATCAAGGGCGATGTTGATGATAGTGATGAAGAAGGAGAGGAAGAGGAAGGTAGCAGTGAAGAAGACGAAGAGTAATAACAAAACGACAGCTGGCACTTCACTCTATTTCAATGCAAGAAATCAGGCCAACTTTAATTGCAAATATTAGTAAATAATTCATGCCGTGATGATAGACGTAGAAAATGAAGGTCACTCGATGTTATCCGATGGTTTTATTAATAGACAGCTTCCCTTTAAATTTTTTAAACATTAGCGCACTCGTAGTCTGTCTCGTGTCTACTTAACTTGGCCTTCAGCGCAAATGCCTCTGCGCGTAGGGCAGCATTCTCTCGTTCTAGTTCGGCTTGCCTCAGTTCCACCTGCTCCAATACTTTGGAGACTTCTTCTAGTAGCTGGTCCTTTTCCCGCAATTGACTTTGCAAAAACGACGAGTCAGCCTTGCGAAGATTAGTGTTGGCTTCTTGTTCTTCTAATTGGTGCCGTAAGTGCTCCACTTCACGGACCATTTCGGGTGATCGCACCGGTGACGCGAAATCCAAACTTTTTTGAATATAAGGGTCGTCTTCGCTAATTCCCTTTTTCTTCAGTACAGTTCCCAGGAGCCCTCGAATGCGGCCCAATTCAATACTCAGTGCTTCTTCATCTTTTGTGGGTGTGGAGAGCATTTCGTTTCCAGGTGTTGTTGACAAGATCGCTACTTGTGAATCATCGTCACTGTCATCCTGAAGATTCAATTCGTCCAGAGTATCATCCAACATCATCTCACTTGCTCTAGGAGATGCAACTCTTGCTCTAGGAGTAACTGGAGTGTGGTGCGGTCGACTCTTCAGAATGAGACGTTCCATAGTCTTGATGGCCGAAACCAATTCCTTCACTTCTTCGTCCGTCTCTTCCTTGTGATCAAACGGCACCTCTTTGATCAATCGCTGTTGCTGTTTTGCTTCCTCCAACTGTTTCCGAAGATCTGCAATTTCATCGCGATAGTTCTGCAAAAGTGTGTTCTCATCGTCTGCTACATTCACTATTGCCTTTTGCTTGATCTTCTTGGCCCGAGTTGCGAATTTGAAGGTATTATGCGACTCCTCAAGGTGTGAAACTTGAGGCGAAATACAGCAAAGCAACATCATTTGTGCATTTCCCGAAAGACTTGGCTGTAGCAATCTGGTCAATTTCGAATCTCGAAACGGAATGTGAGTTTTCGTGTTGCCCTCGCTCAGAGTCAAAACAACTTGTCCCAAAGTCATCAACGACTTGTTGATGTAGTGCCCCTCTTCGCGACGTTCCAGTCCATTGAGTTTCACAGATTCGCTTCCCGCCAAATCTACTAGCGACAATGATGATGCTCTCGTCGAGCTTCCCTTTCGACCATCACTCGGTGTACTTTCAATCCATAGCCGTACAAGAGTGTGCGATCGTGAACTTTGTGAATTCATGTGCGTTGATCCAACCTGCCGTCGCCCTTCTCCGCTCTTAAGTGCATCAAACACGTCTTGTGGTGATGATACCACTACTTCCTTCAAACCTCGAATGATCAATCCCTTGGGACCATCGAATATGCGGATTGGTTGTGGTATCCCCGTCAACAAATCACGAATATGTTCTTTGTATACCTATCATCCAAAATTGGTGAGAAAAAACAGCATTGAATAAAATTGGTACGATGTCATGAACCTGTCTTACCTCCAAGTAGGATACTCGAATCATGTATTCACGAGACTCTTGACATTCACGGACATAACGAAAACAATCTTCGATACACAGCGGAATGAGACCTGGTGAGTCTTTGGTTCCACTCATGGTATGTGTCTTTCCTGAAGCCGTCTGGCCATAAGCCAAAACTGTACTATGATAACCTTCCATTGCTGCCTTTACCAACGAGTGGCAAGAGTTGTCGTACAATTGCCTTGTTGTAGATTGCATGCCATAAACTTTGTCAAGTGTGAAAGAATTAGTTCTTCCAGTAACTGTTTCGGTGTTTTCTGATTGTGCTGCTGTTTCACCATCTTCTGATACATCCCAACAACATATTTCTCCCTGTTTGGACATTGTCCCTGGAGCTTGTTTCTTCGGAAGTTTTGATAGAGTTCGTCTCCGCTGCGAAGGTGCTTCAAAGAATCCTGCAGAACCAGTTTGAATTTCCAAGGGACGAATGCGAGCACACACTTCAATATTGGTCTTGAGCTGTGGCTTCTCTGAGCTTTCTTTTGAAGATACTGACGCAGTAGTAGCCGTACCCGGTGAAGAATCATTTCGACGGGGCGGTTGGATGGACTTGGCATCATTGCTCCGATCAGTGGAAATCGGGCGGAGTCCAAGACTCGGAAGTTTCGAAGCCTTTTGCATTGTTTACCCCACTCCAGACTTTCTTTTTCAGCACAAGAAGAGAAGGCTTTTGGAATGCACGAGTCAAATTGTGCCTCTTTTGCAAGGGACCTATCGTACGGATGAAGACTTCAGTCAGTCGTTGTTTGTTGTCTACCTGACGACGGTTTCGGGAATTCAGTTTGTCAGGCTCGATTTGAATATTGGGAATTGGCTTTTAAAAAATTTGGGCCTTTTTTAGTCGTTTGAAATTCTGGGCCTTTTACTGTACCTAGTCACAACTGACTGTCCCTTTAGCTTACCAGAATTCATACAGCGGGAATTGCGATGATCTGGAATCATTATGGTCCGCGCAAGCTAGGAGAAAGCATACAAAACCAGACAAACCTTCATAAAGAGAGAATGGTTGATCAGGAATTTCTTTCAGCCGGTCGTAGTGTGCCATACCAAAAGACGCATATTGCAGCGCACGATGATACCATAGGTTTTGCTCGTCGCCCTCCAATGCATGTGATAAACGCAGCAAGACAAATCCATTACCGGCAATTCCATGGCATAGACCCAATCCCTTCTTCAGTAGTCCACGATTCCAAAGCGTCTGCACAGCTGTTATCTTTGCAAGTTCCAAGTTGGATGGTTTCGACAATACTTTACTTGCCAGTATTAATAGTAGTATCCATCCGGGAGCTCCGTGACACCAGTGAACCAACCGATCCTTCTTGTTGTTGTTTCCTACACTGCTCATCAAATTTCCTGATTCATCAAAACAATAGAATTGGCACAAGGCGTCAATCGTTTGCTCCATGATTTGTAGTGCATTGGGTACCCGGCGCTCCAATTCAATCAATTCCTTTGATTCGAGTTGGAGCAATGTCTGTAGAATTCCAACAATCCCGTGTGCTGCTCCCAAGTATATCTTATCATACCAATACCAAACCAACGGCAATTGAAGTTGCGGAGCGGCAGACGCATTGTCTATGCCCACCTGGAGCACATGTTCTGCCATGTCTAGGCAAAAAGATCTGCCCATTGAGGGCAGTTGCAATTCCCCCCGAAGCCACAGAATAGCTTGGATGGCACCCGCTCGACCATACAGTACTTCACACTCTTGTGAGGGCAATCCCTGACAGTTTCTGGTGAGTCGTCTGAGTAGTTGTTGGCAAACTTGGTCACGCTGATTCTCCATATTTTCCATTCGGCTTTCAATAGCAATCAGCATGGTCATGGAACCCACCCATCGCGACTCCAACAAGGCGACTCGCCGTTTGGCAGAAGAAGAAGCAAGCGTATATTCCAAGCTCTCCTCCGCATATTTTTTGGCAAGAGCCAGATTATTTTTTCTCTTGTCAAATGATGTCTCTCTCCGAATGGCCCATTGTAACCTCACATAGACTTGCGGTCCGAGTGCATCACCGTAGAGAGAACCCAAATTGTGGCGCTCAGACGACGAGTCATCATCGGATGCTTGTGAAGAACAGTGCTCGGTCACGTCGGCTGCAAATGAAACCAATGACTCCCGAGAGGGAAGCGTATATCGATCCAAAAGTTTGGTAGAGAAGTAGCGAGCATCATCAATTGGGGCAGCCATCGAAGTCTATGTCATATTATATAGGTCATGATGGGTCTTTTGAACACGATGAGATGGTCAAGAACATTGTTTAGTCTTTTTCTGAACCCAAAAGTCCATCTGAATGGCAGAAATGGTGAGAAAGAAATGGGTTGTTTTTTAGTGATTTGACTAACTCTCATTGGCTGAAAACCCACAAAAAATTGCACCTGCATAATGTAAGAGCCTCATTGGTTTTCCAGATGGTTACAGTAGTCAGTTTGGAACGCTGATGTGGCCGACAAAGATATTGCTTGATCGATTTCTCGCTCGTACCAGTACTGTACAAGCACGAACTGTAATAACCGTACCACAGTATGTCTCATTTTTTTAAGTGTTCCATAAGAACACAGCAGTCCTAGTGGCAAAATCGAACCTACTACGTGGAACGTTCATGGCCCCGAAACTGACACCAGGGGTTTGAGTGTTCAACCAATAGAAACTGCCATACCGATAAAAAAGTGGCAACACGTCGAAAATATGTAACGGAGAACTTCTCTCTGGTCATGTTTCGCACAATGCTATCAAACATTTATTACTCTGGATCCATTTCTAGAGACTCGGACAAAAGTTCAGGTTCTGACGAGAGCTTTTTGTCCACTTTCTCGCAAATCTACTTATGTGCACATTTCAAGACTACATGGGAGTCTTCGTTGCTGATTTTGTTCGCATTAATTCACGCTCCATTTTTTCCGCGAAACTCATTTTCACAAAACTGAAATACGATCGTGATCATGGATATGGACGACAAAAGCCTTGGTTTTCAGGATGCCACAGGCGTCAGTAGTGGTTTCGATCCAACGGAATCAGGTTCAGGCTCACAATCAAGTGACAAACGTGATGAGATACAGGAGATCCGAAATCAATCTCGCACTGAAGATCGTCGTGTCGATCTGTGGCGGTGGACGCTTCTCTTTCTAATTATGGCAGTCGGTATTGTAATCACTGCTCTCACATACTACTTCCTGCAGCAGGAGGAACAGAAAGCCCTCAATATTGCGGTAAGTGCAGCAATCGTTCCAACCCCAGAACAACAACATTCTTTCAACTCACAACGATAGCCACTGCCTGGTTCATTCATACCTCTCGTAATCCACGTAGTACGATCAGTTTTCGGAGGCACTTTCGGACGCTGCCATCCGACAACAAGACGACATTCGTGATGCCTGTCATACTTTTTCAAAGGTAATTTCCGATCAAGCGGCTGAAACCGATCAGACATGGCCCTTCGTGGCTCTGCAAAATTTCGAGTCATTAGGAGAGGACTTTCACAAGATCGCTGGTACGGAGATCTTCACATTGTTTCCCACTGTCACGAGAGAGAAAACTGAAGACTGGTTGAATTATACTGACAAAGAACATGCGCCCATGGTGAGACATAGTCACATGTTGAAATACAAGAACATGGACAACCTCAACGAAGTTGGCTACAAGTCATACATTCAGAGTGCCTCACCCACTGGAATGATCCCAGATATTGACCGAGACGTCTATCACCCAATGTGGCAGTTTTCACCCCCGATGTTCACGTATGGGGCTATCAATTGGAACATCCTTAGTCTTCCCGATCTAGCTTCTGTTTTTGATGCAGTGAAGGTACTGAAAAATGAGTCATTAGTATCACCAGTCCGGCCATATGCCACTGCTTCAATGGCATTCACCGACGAAGAGCATGCTCGTATGCACAGCGAGATTGAAGGATCTTCCACCGAATTTCCACACAGCTTCATGTACACTCCAGTGCATCTAGATTCGCAAGACTCCAACAGTCCCATTGTTGCAATCTTTGGTGCCGCGATGGCCTGGGATTTCTCGCTTCGTTCTCTTTTGCCAGCAGGGGTCATTGGTATTCATGCGGTGCTCAAGAATTCCTGCAACCAAAGCTTTACATATGAGATTAATGGTAAGTGGTAACGGTCCTTTGATTGAATATATGTCCTGCATGGAACTCAAAATGATGATGTCTCTGTGCCCATCATATAGGACCAGACGCCTTTTATGTTGGTGAAGGTGACCTGCACGAGGATGAATTCCAATCCTTGAAACGTGTTGTCAGCTTGTCACTGCACAGCCACCCTGACACTGAATCGACAGAAGGACACTGTCTATACTCCATGCATCTGTATCCAGACTCCAAGTTTGCAAGCCTGTACCTGACGGCAGCGCCTCTTCTATTTGCAATTGGGGTGGCTGGGGCTTTCGGGTTCATGGTCATTGTTTTCTTTGTGTACAATCGGTTCGTCTTCACGCGGAATGAAAAGCTTGTTGAGAATGCTGCCAGATCGAACGCCGTGATTACGTCCCTCTTCCCCGAAGCTATCCGCAACCAGCTCATCGGGGATAACAACAACACGAACAATCCAAGAAGCTTCCAAGAGTTGCTGGGACCTGTTTCCGACCCTGTGGCAAACTTGGCAAGACCGCCTCTTGCCGACTACTTTGCCACGGCAACTGTCATGTTTGCTGATATCTGCGGCTTCACTGCTTGGTCATCTGTCCGTGAACCATCTCAGGTCTTCACTCTGCTAGAGACGTTGTATGGAAGTTTCGACCGCCTAACAAAGAACTCCAAAGTTTTCAAAGTGGAAACAGTAGGAGATTCGTATATAGCTGCGACTGGAATACCAAAGTATCACAGAGGTAGGTTTGGGGAGCTGCATACTTTGAGCTTCTTTCAATGAGATTCCCAATTCGCATCTTCTGACACTTCTTTGTCATCCTCATCTCAGACCATGCTGTATCGATGGTCCAATTTGCGCACAGGATCTCGAAGGAAATGAGCGCGATGACCAAAATGTTGGAGACAACACTTGGACCAGACACATCCGATCTGCTACTCCGCATTGGTATTCACACTGGACCCGTTACGGCTGGTGTCATTCGGGGCGACAAGGCTCGCTTCCAATTGTTCGGAGTGAGTAATAGGGGTCGCTAACTTCTTCCTCGCTGCTGATTCTCGCCACATCTCAAACTTGCCGTCTCTCTTTTGGATTGTGTTTAGGATACCATGAACGTGGCATCTCGAGTTGAGAGTACCGGTGTCGCTGGACGAATTCACGTTTCCAAGGATACTGCAGACAGCCTTCGAAAATGCAACAAAGGACATTGGCTTGTCAAGCGCGAGAATGGCAGTGTCGTTGCCAAAGGAAAGGGCGATATCCAGACCTATTGGATCGGTAAGGCTGTCGAAAAGGCAAAACCTGAATCGTATGGGCCGTACGAGACAGCCTCCGAATCAGATAGCTCGCAGAACCCTGATGATGTTGTTGATGGTCAATTTTCGGAGCAACTCGGCCATTCTGAAGGTCGTGAAGATCGTTTGGTTGACTGGAACGCGACTGTCTTCTTGGACATTCTGAAACATATCGTCGCAAGACGCGAAGCCTATGCTAAAGCTGGGATCAACAGCAACTCGGAACCTCGTTCGGATGACCCTGAGGTCTTGACCAGGATGAACATGAATGACTACAAGCCCATCAACGGAGTTCGTGAGATCATCGCTCTTCCTGATTTTAATGATGTGGCTGAAGCGATGAAAGAAGATGTCCAATCCGTTGAGATCCCAGATGAAGTCGTTGCTGAGCTGCGGAGCTACATCTCGACTGTCGCTGGCCTGTACAGATCGAACCCCTTCCATAACTTTGAACATGCAAGTCATGTTACAATGAGCGTTATCAAGCTGTTGTCACGCATCAAAGCTCCGTCGGACTTGGAGTTAATGGAAAGGCACGGAAGCAGTGAAGACCTTTCACAAGACATTCATGCTCATTTGCATGATCACACTTATGGAATCACTTCCGATCCGCTGACTCAGTTTGCTTGCGCTTTTGCTGCTTTGGTCCATGATGTAGATCATGAGGGTAAGTTTTGTCTTTGTATGCAAGTCCATCGTCCAGATGATAACACAGCAAAATGATGCTAACCAATTGTCTATACACAGGGGTACCAAACGCACAGCTTGTGCAAGAAGGAGCTGCTGTTGCCACCATGTACAACGAGCGTAGTGTTGCTGAGCAAAATAGTTTAGTAATAGCATGGAACTTGTTGATGAGCGATCGCTTTGCAAACTTACGAAACACCATTTGCGCCACTGCCACCGAACTAAGTCGCTTCCGACAATTGGCAACCAATGCCGTCATGGCCACGGACATTGTCGACAAAGACTTGAAGCAGTTGCGAAACAATCGATGGGACAAGGCTTTCAAACGAGATAACAACGCTGTCATTCTTCAATCTTATGAAGAAGAAGAGGATGAAACTCGTGATAGTATCAACCGAAAGGCTACAATTGTGATTGAACACTTGATCCAAGCATCAGACGTTAGTCATACCATGCAGCACTGGCAGTAAGTACTCCAGTTTCGTACCATTCTTGGTCGCAATCTTGTTCCATGCTCGATGTCTTACGCACAATTTCCCTTTCTCACTGTCACAGTGTTTACCGAAAGTGGAATGAAAATTTGTTCCGAGAAAGCTACGCGGCATACATTGCTGGGCGAGCTGCTACGGATCCAAGTATCAATTGGTACAAGGGGGAGATCGGATTCTTTGACTTTTACATCATCCCACTGGCGAAGAAGTTGGAAAGTTGTGGTGTCTTTGGCAAATCGAGTGATGAGTTTCTGGTAAGACATAGTCCGTTCCTCGTTATTCAGGTCGGTAACCCCTGATCAACGCTCATCGCTATTTTTTGTCATTCCAGAACTATGCCAGGAGCAATCGAGAAGAGTGGGAAAGCCGTGGTGAATCGATCGTTGCAGAGCTTGTGGCCAATGTGAAGAAGGAGTTCAAAGAGAACGCATAGGTTTCTCTTTGATGGGTTGAACGGGGATTGGAATAATAAAAATACAGAGAGATGCGAATATCAATCATTTCCATTTGTTTCCACAATAACGAGACGTTGGGTTGTCTGGTGCCAGGAAGGAAGCGTGCAAAGTTTGACGCACAAATCCTTGGAAAGATAATGCGACCTTTTAATCGAGACAGGTTGGAGTTCACATTATCGTAAATAGATGTTGCATTTATTACATGATTTCAATAGAAACATCAAAGCAGATGACAACATGCTTTTTCTCAGAACCACGGTGACCGTCCGACCGTCGTCCAAGGTGTTGTGAAAACTTTGAATCCTACAGGTCGGATGGACCGACGTCTCTATGCGCTATCGGTATGTTATTACAGTATATCATCGCTCGTCCTATTATCGACAACACACACCAAAGCAAAACAGCGCGATCCTCTTGTGAATGCGATGAACTTGAAGAGGTGGCTTCTCTCCGAGGAGGAAGATGTCAACTCACCATCGATACTCATCACAGACGGAGGAGTGAGCACGCATTTGGAAGCAAAGCTGCAGCATAAAAACCAAGAATTTGAACATCAATCTTTGTGGTCCTCCTCCTTGCTTATGACAGAGGAAGGAAGAAAGACCATACAAGAAGGTCACGACGATTGGCTCAAATCTGGCTCGGACATTATCACAACAGTAACCTATCAGTGTCACTATGGCGTTCCAGGGCTAGAGATGGTCGTGACGCCAACCCAAATGGATCAAATGATCCAAGATGGGATTTCAATTGCCAAAGAGTGTGTGGCCAAGACAAACCCCAGAAAATTGGTAGTAGCGAGCACTGGGTGCTATGGAGCTGCTCTAGCGGACGGATCAGAATACACAGGAAATTATGGAGACATGGATCGAACAGGGTTGGTCGACTTTCATTTGCAAAAGGTCAAACGTATGATGGCACAGAAACCGGATGGTGTGGCCATTGAAACAGTCCCCAGCCTGGAGGAATGTCATGCCATTGGTGAAATGTTACAGTCCTCCAAGCTAACAACATTAAAGGAAAACGAATCACAGATTGCTTGCTGGGTTTCCTTAGCTTGTCAAAACGGTACTCAATTGAACGATGGATCCAAGTTATGGGACGCCTTGGAAGCCTTACGCTCTGCAGATGATACTACAGAGGCAAAGTACATCCATACCATTGGCATCAACTGTTGTGATTCTCTACACATGCCCGCGCTTTTGGAAATCGTGACGCGTCACATGGCCACTCGTGGTCCGAAACGAGGTATTGTTTGCTATCCCAACTCGGGCGAAGAATGGGACGCGGCCAATGACAGTTGGAAGGAAGGAACGGGTTGTTCTTCGGCACATGAGCTTGTCGAGCGGCTCGTGGATGCAGTACATGTCATTGAATCGACGTGGAAGAAGCATACTGCTGGTGCCATGCCAAAGTTGATCCTTGGTGGCTGTTGTCGCACGAGTACACAAGCCATTTGCGAATTACGAGTAGCGGTGGACAACTGGGAACAGAAGCAGGCAAAATATTGAACGTTCGGCAGTTTTATGTTTCTCTTGAAAAATCGGCACAACAATGCTCAATGGTTGTATTTGATCAGTTTCACGAGACCGTTTTTGGAAGTCTTGGATGAGTTTATTGTCGGATTGGTCAATAGTTTGTTCAATGTATTCAACGCAACAGTATTTGTGGTCCATGTCCAAAAGGTGAGAGATGGTTTGGAAGTCTACATTCCTGAGGATAATCGCAATTGGACACAGATTCGACATGGTGATATTAACAAGGATGCCATTCACCAAGTTGGACTATACAGTGCCTCACCAAACTTAGAGGATGATCGGGAAGTTTTTTAACGATTTCATGATTAAGGGTGAAAAGCGAAAACGAGAACATGGTTTTACTAACAAGGATGCGATTCACCAAGTCGGACTGTACAGTGCCTCACCTAACGTAGAGGATGGTCGGGAAGTTATCTTTGAAGATTTCATGACTAAGGGTGAAAAACGAAAACGAGAACATGCATACTTTTGAAAAGACATCGACTACGCACTCCAACTTTTCCGTCTTTGCAATTGCCTCGTGAACTCACTGTACTGTACATAGTACTAGAGGAAGGAATACGAAAGAACGTGTTTTCCAGCGCTCATTCTTCATCGCACCTTCGTACCGGTACGGTGATGCTCATCGGCGTCTCCACGTGCTTTCCAGAAATCTGGTTAGTCAAAGTGCAACCGCCTGTATCTCTGACTCACCATGCGTAATCAGTCAGAAGGTCAAAATACCCTCTCGATTTACCGCTACTGTACCGTAGATAAAAATGGGGAGTGCAGTATGAGAACCAAGGGTCATTCCTTTATTTGAGATTGTAATATATATAAAAGATAGTGTAGACAATAAGTGCAGTCAAATGCGAAACAAAAGAGGTGGCAACGTCAGTTTCATTACGTAATCCAAGTACCGGCCCAAAAACCGGAAGGGAAAAATGTATCAAATGGACCTTCACGTCAACATAGTTTGTATTATTACACGTTTGTATTTTTCGCAAATTCACGATCCATTTTTTAATAAAAGCAAAGTTCGTTTTCAGGCATCGACGAAGCTACGGTAGAGATGATGGAGGATATGGACGACAAAAGCCTTGATTTTCCGGATGCCCCTGGAGCCACCAATGTGGGCTTCGATTCAACGGAATCAGGATCAGATTCACAATCAAGTGACAAACGTGATGAGGTACAGGAGATCCGAAATCAATCTCGTACCGAAGATCGTCGCGTCGATCTGTGGCGGTGGACGCTTCTTTTTCTAATTATGGCAGTCGGTGTTGTAATCACTGCTCTTACATACTACTTCCTGCAGCAAGAGGAACAGAAAGCCCTCAATATTGCGGTAAGTACAGCACGTGTTCCAACCATCATGGTAAAACGAGATCCATTCGTCTCATCATGTCCTTTTATTCAACTACCTCCTCTTGTCACTGCTGAAGTATGATCAGTTCTCCGAGGCACTTTCGGACGCTGCCATCCGGCAACAAGACGACATTCGTGATGCCTGCCGTACCTTTTCAACAGTCATTTCCGATCAAGCAGCTGAAACCAATCAGACATGGCCCTTTGTGGCTTTGCCAAATTTCGAGTCATTAGCAGTGAATTTCCGCAAGATCTCGGGCACAGAGATCTTTACATTGTTTCCCACTGTCACACGAGCAAATACTGACGCCTGGTTGAACTATGCCGACCAGCAACATGTGCCAATGGTGAAACAAAGTCACATGTTGAAATACAAGACCCTGGACAATCTCAAGGAAGTTGGCTACAAGTCATATTTCCAGAGAGCCTCACCCAATGGATTCGTCCCAGATATTGACCGAGACGTCTATCACCCAACGTGGCAGTTTTCACCCCCCATGTTCTCATATGGAGCTCTCAATTGGAACGTCTTTAGTCTTCCCGACCTTGGTGCTGTGTTTGATGCAGTCAAGGTTTTGAAAAACGAGTCCCTGGTATCGGGAGTCCGACCATATGCTGCTGCTTCACTGTCATTCACCGACGAAGAACATGCTCGTATGCACAGCGAGATTGAAGGATCTTCCACCGAATTTCCACACAGCTTCATTTACACTCCGGTTCATCTGGATTCGCAAGACTCCAACAGTCCCATTGTTGCAGCCATTGGTGCCGCGATGGCCTGGGACTTCTCCCTTCGTACTCTTTTGCCAGCTGGAGTGGTTGGAATTCAAGCGGTGATCAAGAATTCCTGCAACCAAAGCTTTACATATGAGATTAGTGGTAAGCGGCCAGGATCCAAGCATGTGGTTCTTATTCCCTCGACCGGGACTCAAATTGTTGTTATCTTCCTGTCCATCACGCAGGATCAGATGCCTACTACGTTGGTGAAGGTGACCTGCACGACGAAGAGTTCAACTATTACGAGCGCGTTGTCAGATTGTCACGAAATAGCCACCCTTACACTGAATCGACAGAAGGACACTGTCTATACTCCATGCATCTGTATCCAGACTCCAAGTTTGCAAGCCTGTACCTGACGGCAGCGCCTCTTCTATTTGCAATTGGGGTGGCTGGGGCTTTCGGGTTCATGGTCATTGTTTTCTTTGTGTACAATCGGTTCGTCTTCACGCGGAATGAAAAGCTTGTTGAGAATGCTGCCAGATCGAACGCCGTGATTACGTCCCTCTTCCCCGAAGCTATCCGCAACCAGCTCATCGGGGATAACAACAACACGAACAATCCAAGAAGCTTCCAAGAGTTGCTGGGACCTGTTTCCGACCCTGTGGCAAACTTGGCAAGACCGCCTCTTGCCGACTACTTTGCCACGGCAACTGTCATGTTTGCTGATATCTGCGGCTTCACTGCTTGGTCATCTGTCCGTGAACCATCTCAGGTCTTCACTCTGCTAGAGACGTTGTATGGAAGTTTCGACCGCCTAACAAAGAACTCCAAAGTTTTCAAAGTGGAAACAGTAGGAGATTCGTACATAGCTGCGACTGGAATACCAAAGTATCACAGAGGTAGGTTTGGGGGGCTGCATACTTTGAGCTTCATTCAATGAGATTCCCAATTCGCATCTTCTGACACTTCTTTGTCATCCTCATCTCAGACCATGCTGTATCGATGGTCCAATTTGCGCACAGGATCTCGAAGGAAATGAGCGCGATGACCAAAATGTTGGAGACAACACTTGGACCAGACACATCCGATCTGCTACTCCGCATTGGTATTCACACTGGACCCGTTACGGCTGGTGTCATTCGGGGCGACAAGGCTCGCTTCCAATTGTTCGGAGTGAGTAATAGGGGTCGCTAACTTCTTCCTCGCTGCTGATTCTCGCCACATCTCAAACTTGCCGTCTCTCTTTTGGATTGTGTTTAGGATACCATGAACGTGGCATCTCGAGTTGAGAGTACCGGTGTCGCTGGACGAATTCACGTTTCCAAGGATACTGCAGACAGCCTTCGAAAATGCAACAAAGGACATTGGCTTGTCAAGCGCGAGAATGGCAGTGTCGTTGCCAAAGGAAAGGGCGATATCCAGACCTATTGGATCGGTAAGGCTGTCGAAAAGGCAAAACCTGAATCGTATGGGCCGTACGAGACAGCCTCCGAATCAGATAGCTCGCAGAACCCTGATGATGTTGTTGATGGTCAATTTTCGGAGCAACTCGGCCATTCTGAAGGTCGTGAAGATCGTTTGGTTGACTGGAACGCGACTGTCTTCTTGGACATTCTGAAACATATCGTCGCAAGACGCGAAGCCTATGCTAAAGCTGGGATCAACAGCAACTCGGAACCTCGTTCGGATGACCCTGAGGTCTTGACCAGGATGAACATGAATGACTACAAGCCCATCAACGGAGTTCGTGAGATCATCGCTCTTCCTGATTTTAATGATGTGGCTGAAGCGATGAAAGAAGATGTCCAATCCGTTGAGATCCCAGATGAAGTCGTTGCTGAGCTGCGGAGCTACATCTCGACTGTCGCTGGCCTGTACAGATCGAACCCCTTCCATAACTTTGAACATGCAAGTCATGTTACAATGAGCGTTATCAAGCTGTTGTCACGCATCAAAGCTCCGTCGGACTTGGAGTTAATGGAAAGGCACGGAAGCAGTGAAGACCTTTCACAAGACATTCATGCTCATTTGCATGATCACACTTATGGAATCACTTCCGATCCGCTGACTCAGTTTGCTTGCGCTTTTGCTGCTTTGGTCCATGATGTAGATCATGAGGGTAAGTTTTGTCTTTGTATGCAAGTCCATCGTCCAGATGATAACACAGCAAAATGATGCTAACCAATTGTCTATACACAGGGGTACCAAACGCACAGCTTGTGCAAGAAGGAGCTGCTGTTGCCACCATGTACAACGAGCGTAGTGTTGCTGAGCAAAATAGTTTAGTAATAGCATGGAACTTGTTGATGAGCGATCGCTTTGCAAACTTACGAAACACCATTTGCGCCACTGCCACCGAACTAAGTCGCTTCCGACAATTGGCAACCAATGCCGTCATGGCCACGGACATTGTCGACAAAGACTTGAAGCAGTTGCGAAACAATCGATGGGACAAGGCTTTCAAACGAGATAACAACGCTGTCATTCTTCAATCTTATGAAGAAGAAGAGGATGAAACTCGTGATAGTATCAACCGAAAGGCTACAATTGTGATTGAACACTTGATCCAAGCATCAGACGTTAGTCATACCATGCAGCACTGGCAGTAAGTACTCCAGTTTCGTACCATTCTTGGTCGCAATCTTGTTCCATGCTCGATGTCTTACGCACAATTTCCCTTTCTCACTGTCACAGTGTTTACCGAAAGTGGAATGAAAATTTGTTCCGAGAAAGCTACGCGGCATACATTGCTGGGCGAGCTGCTACGGATCCAAGTATCAATTGGTACAAGGGGGAGATCGGATTCTTTGACTTTTACATCATCCCACTGGCGAAGAAGTTGGAAAGTTGTGGTGTCTTTGGCAAATCGAGTGATGAGTTTCTGGTAAGACATAGTCCGTTCCTCGTTATTCAGGTCGGTAACCCCTGATCAACGCTCATCGCTATTTTTTGTCATTCCAGAACTATGCCAGGAGCAATCGAGAAGAGTGGGAAAGCCGTGGTGAATCGATCGTTGCAGAGCTTGTGGCCAATGTGAAGAAGGAGTTCAAAGAGAACGCATAGGTTTCTCTTTGATGGGTTGAACGGGGATTGGAATAATAAAAATACAGAGAGATGCGAATATCAATCATTTCCATTTGTTTCCACAATAACGAGACGTTGGGTTGTCTGGTGCCAGGAAGGAAGCGTGCAAAGTTTGACGCACAAATCCTTGGAAAGATAATGCGACCTTTTAATCGAGACAGGTTGGAGTTCACATTATCGTAAATAGATGTTGCATTTATTACATGATTTCAATAGAAACATCAAAGCAGATGACAACATGCTTTTTCTCAGGAACGCACCACAACGTGCAACGCACGCAATTTAAATGTCCGTTAATAGTTAAAAATGGTTTTATTGGAAAACGTTAAGTGTCCGTTTCCATTTTAGCGCGGGCGCACTGTGGAAATCGGGCATGCCGGGCCCGTTTTTGCGTCAAATTAACGCAAATCTGCGTTTGACGCAAATGTTTGCGTCAAATTGACGCGCGACGCACGAAACTGCGTCAAATTGACGCAATTGACGCAAGTTGCGTCAATCCCGCGTCAAACTCAAGAAATTGCGTCAATCCCGCGTCAAACAGATGCAGTTGCGTCAATCCCGCGTCAAACTCAAGGGAGGCCAGAAACACAATGTTATAAGAGCACAGTTCAGGTTCTGACATCAGCTACTTCATTATGCTATGGGCTACAGTTCTGGATTCGTTTATCAGGAGTACTTGGCTTCATATCCCAAAATTTCACAGTTCCAAGCTCTAAACCAATTTGGATTGTTGATTCCAGGACAGCACCTAGTACCGCAAGTGTATGCTTATCATAGTTATGGATCCAAATACCTTGCAATGATTGGAACTTTTTCATCTTGCAAAAGACACATACTACCTCGTTTTTTGGTGTTCAACAAGAATGCTGGATGCAATAAGTCCCTAAACAATTGAGACAAGGAGAGCAGAAAGATCCTGAAAGGAATAGGAGACATTGCCAGATCCCTGGCCAAGTATGCCTATGGAAGAAAGGTCAGTTCCAATATTGCCAAATACATTCTCAAATATGTTTTCTACAAGATTTTTTAGCAGTACTATATCTGGGGGATTCCGTTGATGAGCAAGACAGGGATATCTGTTGGTGAATTTCATCAAGGGCTTCAAACTCCTCACTGATAAGGTTGTTGCTTCTTGCTTGGAAAATAGCATCATTGCCATTATGTGTCCCAGCTTTGTCAATTTCCATCAGATCCATTGTTCAAAAAATGGGCAACTCTCATTGGAATGAGAGTGGGAACTCAAACTCTCATTCATTCACACACTCCAATCTTTTTGGAACTGATACCAGTACGCGGGTTTTGTCCCGCGTCGAAGACACGCAGGCCCGCGTTAAATTGACGCAACCCGCGTCAGTTGACGCGGAATCGGCGTTAAACTGACGCAACTCTGCGTCAAACTGACGCAACTCCGCGTCAAACTAACGCAACTCCGCGTCAAACCAACGCAACTCCGCGTCAAACTAACGCAACTCGCGTCATTCCCGCGTCAAAAGAAACGTCCCGCGTCAAAGTCGCAGAGCATTTTAACGGACACATAAAAATTATTTAGAGCTAAAATAAATCCTCAAAACAATCTGAACGGACAGATTTCGGGCGTGCGTTTGACGTTGTGGTGCGTCCCAGAACCACGGTGACCGTCCGACCGTCGTCCAAGGTGTTGTGAAAACTTTGAATCCTACAGGTCGGATGGACCGACGTCTCTATGCGCTATCGGTATGTTATTACAGTATATCATCGCTCGTCCTATTATCGACAACACACACCAAAGCAAAACAGCGCGATCCTCTTGTGAATGCGATGAACTTGAAGAGGTGGCTTCTCTCCGAGGAGGAAGATGTCAACTCACCATCGATACTCATCACAGACGGAGGAGTGAGCACGCATTTGGAAGCAAAGCTGCAGCATAAAAACCAAGAATTTGAACATCAATCTTTGTGGTCCTCCTCCTTGCTTATGACAGAGGAAGGAAGAAAGACCATACAAGAAGGTCACGACGATTGGCTCAAATCTGGCTCGGACATTATCACAACAGTAACCTATCAGTGTCACTATGGCGTTCCAGGGCTAGAGATGGTCGTGACGCCAACCCAAATGGATCAAATGATCCAAGATGGGATTTCAATTGCCAAAGAGTGTGTGGCCAAGACAAACCCCAGAAAATTGGTAGTAGCGAGCACTGGGTGCTATGGAGCTGCTCTAGCGGACGGATCAGAATACACAGGAAATTATGGAGACATGGATCGAACAGGGTTGGTCGACTTTCATTTGCAAAAGGTCAAACGTATGATGGCACAGAAACCGGATGGTGTGGCCATTGAAACAGTCCCCAGCCTGGAGGAATGTCATGCCATTGGTGAAATGTTACAGTCCTCCAAGCTAACAACATTAAAGGAAAACGAATCACAGATTGCTTGCTGGGTTTCCTTAGCTTGTCAAAACGGTACTCAATTGAACGATGGATCCAAGTTATGGGACGCCTTGGAAGCCTTACGCTCTGCAGATGATACTACAGAGGCAAAGTACATCCATACCATTGGCATCAACTGTTGTGATTCTCTACACATGCCCGCGCTTTTGGAAATCGTGACGCGTCACATGGCCACTCGTGGTCCGAAACGAGGTATTGTTTGCTATCCCAACTCGGGCGAAGAATGGGACGCGGCCAATGACAGTTGGAAGGAAGGAACGGGTTGTTCTTCGGCACATGAGCTTGTCGAGCGGCTCGTGGATGCAGTACATGTCATTGAATCGACGTGGAAGAAGCATACTGCTGGTGCCATGCCAAAGTTGATCCTTGGTGGCTGTTGTCGCACGAGTACACAAGCCATTTGCGAATTACGAGTAGCGGTGGACAACTGGGAACAGAAGCAGGCAAAATATTGAACGTTCGGCAGTTTTATGTTTGTCTTGAACAATCGGCACAACAATGCTCAATGGTTGTATTTGATCAGTTTCACGAGACCGTTTTTGGGATCTTGGATGAGTTTATTGTCGGATCGGTCGCTGCAGACGTGTACACTAGAACGACCATCTGCCAGCAAGGAAGAGCTCAAGTATGATGGTCAATGGCTGTGAAAAGGGCAAGAGAATAAACTGTGGGAGTGGCAATCGCCACTTGAACTGTCCCATAGATGGACTTTCTCGCTCTTCCATCCACTGAAACATCACGCGACTAGAGGTAAAGCTGGAACAATTCACATAAAATATTCTGTGCAATGTACTCAACGCAAAGATGTTCATGGAGTACTGATGTCGTATGACGATTATTTGGAGAAACGGTTGATCGATCGATCTTCGTATCGTACAGCACCAGGTACCATGTTCATTCGATGCGATCACAAAATTGGATCAATTCGACCAAAAAGGGTCATAATGATAAATCAAAAACGCGTCTAATGTTTCAGCAAGATCAAAAGATAGTTCCAGTGACTGACGTTTCTTGTTCATTGGTTCTTCCACTGTGGATAACGACGACACGACGCCTACAAGTTCCAAACATTCGCAAACCATCTACGCAATAGACGAAAAGCACAAGGCAGTTACCATGTTGGAAGATTGGAAGAATTTGTTGTTGGGTTCGCAACAACAAGATGGTCGTCGACAAATCTTGAGTCTGCGAGAGATGTGTGGAAATATGGTGTACGAGAGGTTCGAGATACCAAACTGTACCTCGACCAACGATGCGGAATACTCCCGAAACTACGAGGGCACTGACGATTATTGCACTCGAGAGTACGACATGTACATTCCTACTGCAGCCTGTGACAGGAAAAAATACGGCCCAACGAATGTATTGCCGCTCGTCTTCGCCGTCCATTGCTATGGCTGTGATGCAGGCGTTATGGATTACATGGCAGACTACGCTGAAACTTACAGTTTTGTTTTGGCGATACCTCATGGCATTGCCAATAGTTTTAATGCTCAGCAGTGCTGTGGAACCGCATTGGAACAAAATGTCGACGATGTGGGATTCTTTCAAGCCATAATTGAAGATATATCATCCCGCTGGATGGGTCACAGTCACATCGTGTCGCCAAACGTGGTGTATGGATTTGGTTGGTCCAATGGTGGATACATGGTGGTCAATGCTGCCCATCTCTTTCGAGCAATAGCCCCAGTTAGTGGATATCAGGTTTACGACGATCCAGCAATAGGCCTGTCGAGTTTGGTGGAAAAAATATCCCATCGACCAATAGGCTTGTTTTTACACCACAGTCAAGACGATCAGAATGTGGCCATAACTGGATGCTGTACGGACCCGACCATGCCAGAATGTTGTTGCGGCTTGTCCAACTATGCGGATCAATGTCAATCAGCGACTAGCTTTGTCGATACCTTTGGTCAAACTGTCAACCATTGTCAAGGAGAACCAACGCAACTCTTGGAAAAGCTTTATCGAGAACAAAGAGCGGATGTGACTTGCTATCAAGCGGGCTCCAATTGTTGGGCCAATACGACCTATTGCATTCACAACCACCGTGGCCATTTCAACCGACCATCTTTGGAAGCAGCCTTTCCCATGTCAGACGAAGTGAGTGACTTTTTTGCGAGAGATGCCTGCGAAAATGTGGGCGGAGGAAGTTGGTCGTCGGAAGAAAGATATTGCACTTGTGATAATATTGTGGTTGGGGACTCCTCGTATTGCTTAAATCTCGCTTGGACGGAACGATATCAGGAGCCTGACTGGGCAAACTACTCCATTGCTGATGGCGGAACAACAAGCAGCCTTGGCGCCATTGCATTATCCTTTGTAATTATCGTGGCTTTCCTTGGAATATTTGTAATGGCCAGGGAAGAGCGAAAATATCGGCACTTCAAAGCAGTTTCCACCTTTGAACTATCTGACTTTTCCGTGGACCCAAAATTAGACGACGAGGATGACATCTTCAGACCCCGACTTCCTATTGTCACCAGACCCACGCTGAGCAAGCACATATAATATACTAATGAAGTATGTAATTTTACGAATAATAAGCCTTACCATTAGGCTACCGGTACCGGTACCACACACCACTTTCTTGCCATTCTTTTATTCTACCGAATGGTAATTCATTCGACGGTTTCAGCGTCTGTCCTATCGCCCACGTCTTCCGATCAAATGACACATTTTCCGGCGACCTTGGTGGCGCACTAAAATTTGGCCACGCATCACGCGACATTCAACGGAGAATCTGCAATTTCTTACCACCGACCGTCGCAAGTCATCTTCCAACGTTACGGTAGTACGTTTCGCAAGACTATACCATACTGTAAGTATCTAGGCAAAGCAAAACAACCCAACCCAACCAGAGCACTACCACCAACTGACATTCGACTACAAGCATCAAAGCAAGCAACAAACCAGCACTCAAGCAAGCAACAAGACAATCAAGGAAGAAACAAAGAAGACAAACGACATTATCAAGCAGCAATGGACTTGAAACAATTCTGCGGCCGACGCAATGGACGTCAAATCGCACTAAGCACTTGCGATCCAGAGGTCCATGAAAAGTCTTGCGATCGTGAATACGACCTCTTTGTCCCCGCCAGCGTTTGCCAGAACATGGACACCAACCAGACGTATATTGGTGGACTCTTGCCGACAGTATTTGCCGTTCACTGTCAATTCTGCCATGCCAACGACATGTATCACTGGGAGACTGTCGCCACAAAGTATAATTTTGTGTTGGTTGTCCCACACGGATACGATGATACCTTTAATGGCCAGCAATGTTGCGGTCATGCCGTCGAAAAAGATATTGATGATGTCGCATTCTTTCAAGACGTCATTGATGATATCAACGATGAATTTGATTTCGTCTCTAAAGATATTGTCTATGGTTATGGTCACAAGAATGGTGGATTTATGGTAGCCCGTGCGGCCAACTTGTTCCGAGCCATTGCTCCTGTTGCTGGATATCACGTAGATCTTCCTAAATTGCACAAACCCGTCGGTCTTTTCTTGCATCACAGCGAAAATGACAAGTCGGCCCGCATCACTGGTTGCTGTGCGTCCAGCTTGGAGGAGTCGGAGGACCCAAAGATTGATACTCAACAATGTTCGGGAGGTGTTGAAAATCTGTTGGATACCTGTACGTCTGCGCATGAGTTCGTCCAACACTTTGGAAAACATGTCAACCACTGCGACCGCGGCGAACCCGAAATGATCTTTGAGGATGAGAAACGACAGATTACTTGTTTCCAGCATTCCAACTGCAAGGCCAATACGACCATGTGCATTCACGCAAATGGCGGTGATTTCAAGCCCGTCAAGGACCGATTCCCAATGACTATGGAAGTGGCTGATTTCTTTGCCCGAGATGCTTGCTTCTTGTCCAAGGGAAGTTCTTGGGTGACCGATGACCGCAATCCCGAGTGCGTGTGCAAGGATGAAAATAGTACCGCTGTCTATTGTCTGAACGAATACCATGTTGGATTTTTCGACAACTTGAATTTGGGCCCTGTCGAAGATTTGCCAATATATATCTCGCTTCCAGTATTTCTTGTGACGGTGCTTTTGATGGTTTTTGGAATTTGCCGCATGCGTCGAAAGAATGCTGAAGAAGAGAAATACAAGGACTTTTTCAAGGTGTCAACCGTCGAAATGTCCGAGATGGGGGACGACGAGGACGAGGACGGCGACGGTACTCCTTCCAAGTTCCGTCGACCGCTGAGCGGAATGATCTAGGGACAGCAAAGTATAATTGTCTGCGACACTCGGATAGCTCAATTTCTTTAGAACAAGCGCTATTCATTTTTAAATCAACGTGACACTATATAGCTTGAACTTTGTAGTTTGCCTTCATGAACTTGGCGATATGACATCGACACCGAGCAATTCAAAACATTAGTGAATGAATCGATTCGAGTCCCACAATGACGTGGTTTTCGAATTGTTTTCCATAGTCAAAAAGACGAAACTCATCACTCTTTTCTGATTCATTTCATATCGCTATCAGCAAACAGATAGATCCAAACCTTTGCTGCTTTTATAAAAATAAGAAGCACAACGAAAACGATAATGCATCGTGATAACAGACTTTCCCTTGCACTCCTCCCATTGTTTGCATACAATGTCCAAGGTTTCTTGATGAACAATCCAGCATCCATCGCAAATGGGGTTCGCATGCCCACAATCCGTTTCGCCGAAGCAGAGGACTATTTTGCACCACCAGAAGCTTCTGAAGATGATAAAAGCCCCGAACGTATTGTCACCAACGGAGATATCGAAGGTGCTCCAATCAAGGCCGAAGAAGCTGAGGCTCCATACGATGTCGAAACCGACGACGAGCCATCTCCAGCGGAAAAGTTTATGCTCTCAATGTCTTCTGACAAAACGATTATGAAGTTGCTGCAAATGGGATCCAGTACTGGTCGTGGAGAGTTTGCCACTGTAGCCCAAAAGGATCAAGCCATGGAGTGGATTGAAGCACTTGAAATGGTCAATCCTACCCCCGAACCGTCCAAAAAGACTGAGATGATGAATGGTCGATGGGAACTCTTGTACAGCAGCACTCAACTCTTTCGCAGTTCTCCCTTTTTCATGGCCGGTCGTGCTGTTTGCTCCACTCCCGAACAAGCTAAGCAATACGATTGGTTCTGTGATATGCACCGTGCCGCACTGGCCGTTAGTACCATTGGACAAGTCCGTCAAGTGGTGTCTGATACTCGTTTGGTGTCAGAATTTGAAGTCAAAGTGGGAGCAGTTCCATTCCTGAGCGATTTTACTCCCTTTAGCTACTCTGGTGGTCTACCAGTAAGTTTCTTGAGTTTGTTGCAGGTTTTGTTGCTTTTCGATTTCTCAATTGTTCCTTTTCCTCTGGCTCTCCCTCTAGGTTACTGTTGAAGGTGCGATTGTCAGTTCTGCCGATATCACTCCAACATATGATGGTGAGGGTTGGGAACTCTTGATGGATACTGGTAAGTTTAGTTACGGGGAAATTGCGGCGATATCTTTTGGGTTTTATCATTTATCTCATGTTCTTTTATTTGTCCACAGTCGAAATTAAGGGATCCAACATTCCAGGACTTCGTCGCCTGTTAGACGAAGGCTTGAAGTTAGAGTCTCGCGATTTGGGAAGCTTCCTGGAAGATAACCTTGCCGAGTACGACAATCCTCGTCCCGTCTTCCGCACTACCTACCTCAGCGAAACATTGCGCATCAGTCGTGATCAAGATGGGAAGGTCTTTGTGTATGGCAAGTTGAGTGATGAGACCGAGCCATCGGATTACAGCACTGTGGAAGCCGATTTGGGGCTCCTCAAACTCTTGGGAGGATTTAATGATGCCGTTACCAAGTTCTACATATAAAAAAACAAAAAGGTTTTGGATATGTTGTAATATTATAGAAGCAGTTTGATCTTTTCCAAGAGCAAGTAATAAGTGCTGACCACTGCGGCAGAACTGAAGAACTGATATTGTTTTGTTTTCAAATGCATACATCACGAACGGTGCCAAAAGATATACAGTAGTTCTTCCATTCCGTTTCCCAACTTTTGATGGCAACTAGCAAGTCATCTGTTCACCATCATCAAAGTATCTTGATTTGTTTAGTTGGAGGTGATGCTCTTTCCGTCAGTGACGGCATGAACGGCTTCGGCGACATACTTCAAGTTATTGTCATTGAGTCCGGCAATGGAGATTCTTCCATCACGGGTAAGGTAAATGGCATATTCGTCGGTGAGTTGATCGCACATTTCGGCCGACATGCCCGTGTACGCAAACATGCCAATTTGCTCGGTCACATGGGACCAGTCATGCGTGCTACCAGCTTCCTTGATAGCTTCGACCAGACGAGTACGCATACTTTGGATTCGGTCGGCCATTTGGGTGCATTCCTTGTAGTATTGACCGGTAAGCGCATCGTCAGACAAGACGGTCTTCACAATGGAAGAGCCGTGCTTTGGTGGAGAAGAGTACATGGGACGAATGATATTCTTCAATTGACTCATCAAAATGTCCTTTGTCTCGGCGTCCTTGCAGACCACACTGAGGGTTCCGCATCGCTCTCCATAAAGCCCAAAGTTCTTGGCAAAAGATTGGGCCAAAAGCATAGGAAGTCCCTCCTTCATAACGTTGCGCAAAGCTTGAGCATCGGCCTCTGCATCTCCAGAAGCAAATCCTTGGTATGCAGAATCAAAGAAGATCAAGTGTCCCTTTTCCTTGATAAGATCCATCAAAGCTCTCCATTGCGACGAGTTGGGGTCGCAACCAGTAGGATTGTGAGCACAAGCATGAAGCAGGATGATCGAACCATCAGGGGCATCCTTAATGTCGGCAAGCATACCATCCAAATCAAGACGATTGGTGGAGCGGTCATAGTATCTGTAAGTTTGCACATCCAATCCACATTCACCAAAGATCTTGTGGTGGTTTCCCCAGGTTGGGACGGGGAGGTAAATCTTGTTTCCCGAGAAGAATTCGGCTAGGAACTTTCCTCCAATGCGACATGCTCCAGTTCCGGACAGTGTTTGAACTCCAGCAATACGTTCCAAAGGGGCATCGGCTCCATAGGCAAATTTGAGTGCCTTTTCGACAAAGGCAGCGTCTCCGTCAATGGGAAGGTATTCCTTGTTCTCATTGTTCTCAATCATTTTTCCTTCGGCAGCACGGACGGATGGAAGCACCCACGGCTGTCCAGTTTCATCACGGTAGGCTCCAACGCAAACATTGACCTTGCGCTCATCGGTGGACGCTCGGAAATTTTGGGCGATACCCAGAATGGCATCAGGAGGTCCCATCTCGACGCCATTCCAGATGGTGTCAATGGAAGTCTTGGAGGCTGCTTCAACAGGGAAAGCAGTAACCAGCAGGGCAGAACTCAGTAGGACCAAAGCAGAGAACATTTGGGAGTTAATTTTCATCTTGTTGGGGTGGGGTTGCAATTGAGATATGAGACAATCTTTTCTGCTACTTTATAAGTGCCGACGATGATGTCTTTTCGTCGGTTGTTGGTTGATTGGTTCAGGTTTTGAGTTTTCTGTGACGTGGCTCACATCGACTGCATCATTGACTAAACTCTCGTTAGTCGGTCGAGTCGAACCGGCCAGCGAACGAACACCAATAACCGTCCATTGACCAATTCAAAAAAATAGCGTTTCAACGAACTACCGGTCAGCACAGATTGGTATTATTACAAAAGATTGTCTGTCAATCCAAGAAGAATGGTCTCTCCATCGATATGCGGCGGCTTTCTCAACAACCGCAAGGCAATGGTTGCCTTCAGCTGGGCCATCGCTACAGCTCTGAACATATTTGGCATAGTTTGTGCGTGTATGTTTCTGATCCAAATCGAGTCACGATTTCGCCGTTTGGAACGATACTATGAGAGCGACGAATGGTTGTACCAATACCAATACAACCAAAACCAGGGAGACGATGTAGACGAAAACCGGGCTTACGAGGAGGCTGAAGAATCCCAGCAACAACATATTCTGCTGGCCACAACCAGTACTCAATCGATTGCTTGGGTAGCCTTGTACGTGTTGCTACTTTCAGGAGGTTTGGTATTCTACGGTTCAACGGCCGTCATTGGATTTACGTCGTTGAATGGGAAGTACATTGCACCTTGTTTCTCGTCAGGTTCAGAAAAGCTGCGACTCGGCATTTTTGGTGGAGCAGTTGTCGTCTTTTCCAACTTGTTACTCTTAATGGCTGTCATTTTGGGGGAAGTCCGTGTCGTGGACGGCCAGGAACGAAGGGGAGAAGGAGACGAACAGCAACACAACAATTCGGAAGATAGAAAGCAATATCGCGTGGAGCGAATTGCTGCTGTTTTGGCTGTCACTTGCATGTTCTTGTCGGCATTGTATACAATATTTGCAGTACTTCTGTTTCTGTCTTATGCTGGAGAACAAGCGCCAAAAAGACCCGAAGAACTTGCCGATGGCGAGGGAACAAGACCAGGAAACAAGACTCCTCTGGTCAATGATAACAGGACGATACCAACGCTGTCCTCGAATCCAGGCTTTATCACAATAGATCACTCCAATTGATCATCATAGCGGTTGCTTGAGAGATGGTAGATCAAAACAGCATCACATCTAAGATTTTACAAAAACGCTTATGTAAAACCAAACACGAAATGACATCCACATTGCATCTAAAAACAAATGTCTAATTTATAGTCTAATTGAATGGATAACGGATTCATTCGTTCTATCAATCAACACTGCGTTCTACAAATATACACAAATATCGCATCCTACCAATGCTAGCATTGTTCACTGGTTAGGATGATCCTGCCCACACGGCACACTGTGCTGCCAGCTGTAGTTGGTCTTGACTCGCTGGTAGTGTTGGAATGTAGGTCATCATCATGGGCGGCACGTTCCAAAAGATGAGGTGAAACACTGTATGTGACCATCCACCAAAGGGATAGGTCGTAAAAACTGCAAAGGCGATGGCCATGGTAGCATACAGACGCCCAAAGTAGCTATAGTCTCCGTTTTCTAGGATGGGGAGAGTAAAGCACATGATGGATAGCACAAGTCGAGATTGATTGCGTACTGGAATAATGCGCTTTTCCCATTGCTTGACAATGCAATCCACATTCAAAACCAAGTTCACCAAAAAGAAATCCAATCGACCCGAAAAGGCGTACGACAGCAATGCCGAATACACGTGCAACATGCATTGATCCATGCGTCGACTCCAATGATCGATCCGGGCTGTGGACGACAATTTGTGTGCGTAGATGCAATGATAAATGAATGAAAAGGGCATATGCAGAATCATACTCATGGCACCAGCGATGACAGTTAAGGGCGGCATGGCGTGCAAATTGGGAAGCCATGATACGGATATGCAACCGTCTCCTTGAAAATCGCTGCCAATTGCTGCTTCTTGTCTTGTTTCTTGAATCATGGTTTGGCTGAGCCAGGAACCCGTTAGGCAGAATATAGCACAATAGATTCCAGCGGGAAGAGTGGTCAAACCATTGATCTTTTCTTGAAGAGGCGTCATGTTACCTCGTTTGTTGAGATATTCGGCAGCCTTGGGGTTCATGTGAGACGTTGTTTCCTCTATCGTCTTCTTGGCGTCACCCTCTTGTTCTGAACTCATGGAGGAAACATCAGAGGAGGAGTCGGATTCGCCATCTTCGTCCTCAGGTCCAAAAGACTCTTGGAGACCAGGAAGAGAATTAGATTTGCTGAAGAGCTTCATGCTGGCCTTATCTGCTCCTCGGGATGGTTCCAATAACACTGCCTCCTCAGGAGGAGTCAACATTGCATTTTTTGGCCATTTAGACTCCTCGGTATCATTGTTTCCCAGGCATACCTTGAAGAGCAACATTGTCACTTCGCTCTTGTTGTGAAGTCGTTCGAGGAAATCTTTGTTTGACAGATCTTGCACTTCGTGCCGTTGTTGCAGGTTGCAGCCGGTCCTTTTGGGCGATTATTCCTGTTGACAAAGATGTGAGAATTCGCAACGTGTACGAACTTAATATGTGCGTCGGCGGATCGTCCACGTGGTGGCACTTTTCAGTCACACAAGTGAGTCACGAATGTATTGAAAATGCCACGAAATCTGAAATCAAATCGAAAAAGCAGAAACTTATCTTGCATCATCGTGCACGAGAACAAGAATCAAATTGAGTTGAGAAACAATGATCCAACAATGGATGGGAAATCATTGTGTTCATTCCTGATTCATGCTGAAACTTACTCTTGTAACGTTGAAAAGATGCAAAAATTCAAGAAATGATTGCTGTTGTTGGTGGTGAGAATTTCTTAATTGTCGCTCGCGGTTTGTGGAATTAGTCGTTGAATATCAATCGAGCGAAGGCAGGTACTGCTGAGGTAGGCCTATTAGCACTGTACAATTTGAAATTGTGAGCTACAATCAGGAGTGATATTCTGACACTCGGTGATGTGATGTGTGATGTGATGTCTTCGCCTGAAAGTTCGTTCGAAATCAAAATGTGAAGGGTGTCAAGTTCAAGAATCGGATGAGTCGGAAAGAGAATTTCAACCGAACAATGTCACATATCTTTTAATCCGAGATGATACTGGAAACGAACTACCATAGTATTCAAAGAACTAAATGAATATGAAAGTCGGCTTCCTATGCGCAATTATTGTGCTGTTGCATTGCCACTTAATCTTGGCTCTCTCGTCCCAAGATGCTGTGCTTGTGGTTGGTGCTACAGGTGGAACGGTAAGCAACAATACTTGGTGATCACTTCTTGACAAAATTGAAAATGACTCTGGCCATTGCCTCACAACTCTGAAATGCCATTTTTTCCCGAACTCATAGGGCAAGCAAGTCCTCAACGGACTCGTTCAGTCAGGATTGAAGCCAAAGAATCTTCGGGTATTGAGCCGCGATGCCTCCAAGTTGAAGTTTCTTGAAGAGCAAGGATTTGGGACAGTTAAGGCCGATTTGAATGACTGCGATTCTTTGGCAAATGCTCTGAACGGTTGCAGCGGTTGCTATCTCCATTCTACCGTCGGTGATACGAAAGAGTTAGATTCCAATGAAGTGCTAGCTGCGAGAAAATTGGCCACTGCCATGTCGTTGCGAGAGACACCGATGCACGTGGTCTACAATAGTGCTGTGGGTGAAGAAAGTCTCATTGGTTCTCGGAAACAACAGAAGCGTGCAGTGGAAGATCTCTTTGAAAATGATTTCCCTTCCATCGATTTTACATCACTGCGCAGCAACTTTTTCATGGATCCACTGTGGAAAAAATACACACGGCCGGCTATTTTGGCAGGGAAATTCACTTTTTGCGTTCCACCTGATACACCTATTCACTTGACGGCGGTTGCGGACATGGGATTTCTAGCGGGAAAGTGTCTCCAGTCGATCAAAACAACCAAAAATCGCACCATTAATGTCTCTGGGGATGTTCTGACTCCTGTAGAAATTGCTGCAGCCTTTGCCAAATGTCAAGGGACTCCATGTCAACACAGTAAGGGTACCACGATGGCCATTATGTCACGGCTCTTCTTTAAAAGTCTGTGGTAAGTCAATATTTATGTTTGTTGAATATTGATTGAACGCATCAAATTTACACTCATCCCAATCCAAATCATTCCAATAGGGAAGAGATTGTGTTTCTCCGCAAGACCAGAATAACTACAGATATTGACGATCTGAAACAAGAGTTTGGAAAAGTCACTTCCTTTGAGGAATTCTTGGACAATTCAGGATGGGCCGATACCTCGCGAACCTACGAAGATCTTTCAAGATGAAACGGAGCAGAAGACACAGCCATCCAACGTGATAATGAAGCAATGTAGTGACACAGATTAACTATGGTTACTTTTACTGGTTGTTGCACATTGTTACTTTCCATTCATTCATTCATTCATTCTATTCTCCAGTAAATTATCATTCAAACCTTTTTGTTCCATCTTGCTTGTTCAGTTTATTATTTCTTGTTATCATTGTGTTTCTTCCATTTGGATTGCAAAAAGTTCTTGGCCGCCAAAACCCCCGTCTCCAAAGACTCACCTGCCTTTTGTCCCTGCTGGGCAATCTTTTGTTGTTTGGTTTCGTCTTTGCTCCACAATTTTCCAATTTGCTTGCCGGCCGTTCCGCCAACCTTACCACCAGTAGAACCGTTATTCTTGTTGTTGTTGCTGTTGTTGTTATTGCTGGCTTGTGATGCGGTATTTCCTGTTCCAGCAGCAGCATTGTCATACTCTGATGGTGGAGCGGATGCTTGCGGAATTGCTTCCGCATACGCCATGGGTACTTCTTCTTGTTGTGCCTGAGCACGTGGTGGTGGATGATTGGGCGCAACAAAATCATTGCTGGGAACACCTTGCTGGTTGTACACGGGAGGACTACTAGTGCTACTCGATGCGGATGGTTTGGAATCCTTCTTTCCAGTGGGTTGGACAAAATCATTTTCTGGCACGGCTTCGGCATTGTAGGTGGCAGCATTCCCCCCATTGTTGTTGCTGTTCTGATGGGCATCATAGGATCCATGTGGTACTGATGGATTCGTGCTGTTGGTACCGTTGTTATTATTGTTTGCTGATTGAGTGTAATCGGTATTGTCAAATTTGGCACAACACAGACTAAACATCAGAGCTCCAAATCCAAGAAAGCAAAAAGCCCATCCCAAACCAGTTCCAATCTGTAACATTTGTCCAGTGGATTCCGGACAAATTTGATCGTCCATAGGAATGTCACTATCAAACATGTTTCCAAAGCCAAGGGAGGATCCCCACGCTTGCACGCACATGAATCCAATAAACAGACAGATGTAAATAGCAATCCAAGGATCATTGCACATTAGCCAGGTTGCCCTCTTAAAGGTCGTGTCTCCCATCTCTTGATTGGTAATATCGACAATCTTGTACGCCAAATAAAAGGCAGTAAACACATTGACTGCCGCCAGCACCGTATTGACCACCAAATACAGAGACTCCGAACAATCAGGAATCCCACCCACAGCCGGAATGACCAAAAAGATGGCAGGTCCCTGGGTAAAGAGGGCGACGGCCACAAAGAAAGAAAAGGGATTTCGGCACAAGAGGGAGAAAAAATGATCACATCCCTTGCAAGCGCCACCGCAAGCGTCGTTGCATCCCTTGCAACCCGCAGCGCACAACCTGCAGGGCAGTGCGCAAAGTGCACCAATGGATTTGCACAGAACAGCTGCCATTATGTGAATTTAATAATATACAAGTGTATGCTGAAGTAGTAAAGATAGGTACGGTATATTCTAGCAAGGATGACCACGGATAGAAGTATTGTCGGTCTGAAACAGAATGAATGGAATGAGAGTGGAGAAATCGGAAGTGTGCGTGACACTTCTATTTTTCAAATCGTGATATTTTGAAATTCGGGAATGGACTAGTCAAACCAGTCGAAGATATTTTGCTTGCCTCTTCATCGCTTTCTTTTATGTTACACTTTAATATATATCAATATCTAACTGCTATTAATACTCTCTTCTACTTTTCGCTTTGGTTGTTTCTTGGATAACTCCACTGGTACTTGATCAATCTTGGCCGCCAATATGAAATCATTTTCACTCAATCCCCCAATGGAATGGGTCCATATTTCAATGGCGACATATTGATAGCCTTCCAAATGGAAATCTAGTATTTGTAGCACAACGAGTATGGTTGTGTGTGATTCAAAAGAAAGAGATTGGAATAGAGGAAAAAGAAAAAGGGTGAATGAGAGATGATCTTGATGATCGGATGTATGGAAATCAGCTGAAGAGTTTTTGCTTCCTTGTCCTTTCCATGGACGTCAATTGGCAAAACTCCCCCTCGTGACATGGCCTCATGCTTCATTTTTTCCACATTTCCAACAGCAACAACAACAACAGCAGCAACAACAATAATAATCGCCAGTCTCACTGCCATCCAAAATCATGAGACAAGTCGTATTGTATCTTGTTTTCTTCTGCTTACCTGGATGATGACCTTCTTCTTCGGCAATATCTCCCACTTGCTGCAAAAAGGCCATTCCCACTTTGAAATTTCGAACCTTCCAATCCTTTCGAATTCGTTGGTCATTGTGCGTCAAATACCATCCTTCTTGGAGTTCGGCCAGTTGGGCCTTGGTGGTTGCAATATCCAAGGCTGCCACTTGGCCAGAGCAGGGACCACATTTCTTTTGGGACAAGGCATCACGTGAGCACACTTGCATACTATAAGCGTTGTTCAGAAAGGTTGTAACGACTAGTAGCAGAAAGAGAAAGATGCGATATGGTTGCATGAAAGGGAAAGTGGTGAGAGGGCGGATGAAGTTCGTTCAAAGTGCACACATCATCCAAAGGTGAAAAAGGCCTGTTTATGTACTTCCTTCACGTAGGATGCAACGGTTCGAAAACAAGACTCTGGCGTTGTGTTTTTGATATATTGAAAGTACAGTTCTGCAATCAATCGGAACTGAAAAGAACTCTTTCAATTGCTCTGTTCCATTGCCACGAGTTGATCACACGACAACCATGATGATGGTTGATAATAATACGAGTACATCTTCCAGCAATAAAATGAGTGGCTACATCAGTAGCAGCAGTAGTGCGGAAAGCACGACATTGTCCAAATCACAACGAACGCAAACCCTTCGACAGAGCATACAAATGGACCCCAAACGGCACAAGTTTCACAATCAAGCGGCAGTCGTTCTGACCATAGTGTCATTGACCTTGCTCGTGACCCTTTCCTTTGTCTTTGGAACGGATGAAATTGCAGACGCTCAAACAAAAGCACGCTTCTTGGAAGACAATGATGAACCCTCTGATTTCTCGGAGTATTCCTGTCGGTACATTTACGAACAAGTGCCGAATGCTGGATATGCCCAGTGTCGATTTGCCTCGACTTGTAATAACGGCAGTGGAATCTGGGGATACTGGGTCTTTTGCTCGGACAAGTATTCGGTCCGTGATTTGTTTCTAATGATTTCTCCCTTGGTGGTACTCTGGTTGGTCTTGCTCTTTCGATTGTTGGGATCCACGGCCGAAGATTACTTTTCGCCCTCCTTGGAAATGTTTTCGGTCCGTTTGGGTTTGCCTCCTCGATTTGCCGGAGTATCGCTTTTGGCGCTTGGCAATGGAGCTGCCGATGTGTCGGCGACCATGTCGGCCATTATGGGCGACGAAGAAAATGGATACAAACTGAGTTTGGGGGCACTGTCGGGAGCAGCCATGCTTGTCGGTGGTGTCATTGCCGGAATAGTCGTCATTGTGGCTGGTGGTGTCCCATGCCGAGGTGCATTGGTCCGAGATGTGACGGCCTTGATGATTACCGTTGGTGTGGTCTGGTACACTCTGGCACAAGGAGAAGTTGGACCCAGTTCCTATGCCTTATTTTTGAGTCTGTATGGTATCTTTGTCACCATTGTCTTGGTGGCCGATGTCTATCATCGAACCATTGTCTTGCCACGACAGCTTGCGGCCAGTGGGCAAGGACCAACGGCAGGAGATGAGGCAAGACCCTCCTTGTGGTCTCGGTTTGTCACTTCCTTTAGCAATTATGACAATATCATTGCACCCTGTGGTCGTGATACTACCATTTCCGATCCAGTCATTGAGACAGTCGATGATCCTCTGCAACAAACCATGATTATTGATGAAACAAACCAGCAAGTGGATGGCTTGATGCGCCAACCCACTTTGGAGGACCAAGAGACCCCCGTCAACTTGTTGGGACAACACGGTATTCTGCACGGTGATGGACGTGCCCTGACCACCCAAGAAGCAGACGATACGGCTGGAGACTATGCGCTGGTGGAAGAGCAAATGGATCAATTTTGTTCGGCAGGAGGACCGCAGTCCGAAATTAGTGCTTCCAGTTGGCGTGGAGCCTGGGGGGATGGCAAGATGGAGCTGTATCAACACTTTGGTTTGGTATGGGACGATATTTTCCACAATGAAGAATTGGGCATGGCAAGCAAAGCCATTATGATTACCGAATGGCCCTTTACTGTGGCACGAAAAATGACGATTGCGATCCCATGTGATGGATACTACAATCGGGCTTTGATTGCTCTTTCGATTGTCTTGTCGCCCTATTGGTTTGCCTACTATGTCTGGTCGGGTCACGAAGTGAACTTGTTTGCCAAGAATTCGATCCTCTACTTTGGTATTATTTGTCTTTTGACTCTGTTTGCGGGGGCATCTGTACTCAGGTATGCTCCTGGTGGAGAAGGACGCATGGCAATGGTAAGCTGACGACACTTGTAACGAGACGTTACCTTTCCGCACGTGATGATTGCTAATATTTTATTGTTTCATGTCACAGTTTGTTGCGACTCCCATTGCCTTGTACGGATTTGTCATTGCCGCTACTTGGGTGGACTTTATTGCCGACCACTTGGTGGACGTTCTCAACTTTGTGGGCATTGTCTTGAAGATTCCTGGATCCATCATGGGGTTAACTATTTTGGCTTGGGGCAATTCCATGGCCGACTTGAGTGCCAACATTACCATGGCGAGAAAGGGTTTGGCCAACATGGCCATGACGGCTTGTTTTGCGGGTCCCATTTTTAACATTCTAGTGGGTCTTGGTTTGGGATTCTCGGGATTGGCGGCACAAACGGGCAAGACTACCAGTATTGTCTCCATTTCCACTTCGGTCATGACTGGCTTTATTTTCATCTTTTTGAATTGTATCACCATTTTGGTGGTGGGTATTGGATTTGGCAAGGGTCGCATCAATACCTACTATGGATACATAGCGGTGGGTTTGTACGCTATCTATCTGGGCACTTCCATTACCCTACATTACACCACTCATTTAGACTGAGGAGATGGATTGGAAGAAACTAGATACAAGGCGAATTGCTAGCAGTTTTATAACACCGTACTGGTCTTTTTATTTTAATTTTATTTTACAATGTTTGGTCCAGACCTACTGCACCGTACTAGTGCTTCCGCTACGGCATGGATCCTCTAGAGGTACGTGTACCAGGTACAGGCGGTTGGGCTACATAGTAGACTCTCAAACGTGAATGGGAAAAAATAGTTACGAAACAAACCTTGAAGAAACTATGCCCAAGCGCGATTTCGTTTCAATGCCTCCAGTAGTGGGTAGTGGTACCTGGTACTGCCATCGGGTAAGAGCACTGTAGAGTAACGCGTATTTAGTATTAATAATAGTAAAAGGCGAAAAATAATCACAAATTTTGGAGAAAATGGCCCCAGCGAGTGCGCTTGTGGGAGGCTGAGAAATCTCGGTTTTACTGTATGCAGTGAGTGTCATTGGTACCATATATGTACCGGTAGTGTGGGAGGGGTGAGGGTTTTGTGGTTTCGCTTTGAGGAACGTTGAGAAATAGCGGTGGGTTTCGTGGTTTTTGAAGGTTGATGTTGCTCGCGGAACGCCACTTGTCTTATCGGTACAATATGTATGTGCTTTCCCCCCTCAGGTTTTCGATAGCTTTTTGGTTCTCAACGAATGACCCGGTTTTGGAGTTTCCAAAACTTTGTATTGTTACAAAAACCTCCCTTCGCAAACGGTTGCACTACCATGACCAACTTGTCCGGATTTATTTATTGAAACTTGAGTAGGAACGCATTTCTTGAGGCAATTCGGGGTAATTAATAAAAGCGGAGACGAAAGGCGCGTGGCAGTGCAGATTTGAGGTCCATTTTTCTTCTCCATAAAATTTGCAACTCGACCCAAGCCGTCACCATGACATCGGACTCCAGCTCGAGTGGATCTTGCAAAGATGACACTAGATCAAGTGCTCATAGTACATCCAGGGTTTCGGAATACGAGCTGTCCTCAAGAGGCGAAGATGATTCTCGTCAAACCAAAGATATGGGCCTGCCCGATGTGGCAATAAGAGAACAGAAGGCAGTTGGCATTCTCAAAGGTCTTGTCTGTTTTATGCTTATTGTCACTGTGGCTGCCGTCGGGACTGGAGTGTACTTGTTCGCAGAAAAAGATGAACAGAACATTTTTGAAAGTACAGTGAGTCATGGCTTTCGCATCTGACCGATCCTGTATCTTCCTTTGTTATTCCACCAACTCTCACCACCTTTCGTTACCTGCGTTTTATTTCCATAGTTCCGCGGTACATCTTCCGAATTGCTTACGGTGGCCCTTGAAAGAGCAGATAGAGTGTTCGAAGTGGTAGACAATTTGGCGATTACTGCTACATCTGCTGCTGCTGCCAATCAAAACACCAGTTGGCCGTTCACCATCATCCCTGATTGGGCAGCAAAGGCAGAAAACCTTGAGAAGCTAGTTGGAATCGACGATCCTATCATCACTGTCATTCATGTCGTGGAAGATGCCCAAAGAGAAAAGTGGACCGAGTTTATGGGTGCACAGTTGCCACTACTTTTTGCTGATGCCGAGAAACGCGGAAACCTCGAAAAGTCGACCCAAGAGATGCTGGAGCGTACAATGCCGTTCCCTCATTACTATGGCAACTTGACCACCGACAAGATCGAGGAGATCGTTGTACCAGCTTCTGGAGAACGACCTTCTTTGATTGCCGCAGAGATGACTCCATATGAACTCAACCCTATTGGGTTAACGTATATCAACTACGACCTTCAGCGACAAGATGAAATGAGAAACTTGTTTTCAATTGTGAATGCCACAAGACGTCCAGCAATCAGCTTGGTTGAAATTGTTGATCCGTCCGGTGGCGATGTTGTTGTCGAATCACAAATCATGCAGTAAGTTTGTTGGAATTTGGATCTTCCGACTACACCGAACTTGTACCTCACTGTGCTTTCCAACCAGGCCGATTTACGAGACTAATGAACCCAATGCTAATGAAGGCAAAGTCGTTGGAATTTCCTTTGTGATGATTCGTTGGACACAATTTATCGAGAGTCTTCTTCTTATCAACGATTATTCTGATATCTACCTCGTTCTCGAAAGCAGTTGCCGTTCCGGAACAGAAGCGGATGCAAATGACATGACATTCAGAATTGATGGAGATGGCAATGTCGAAAAATTGCCAAATGGCCAGACTCATGATTCGGGATACAACTATTTGAAACAATCACGGGATCTCGTTGATCTTGGCATCGACCCCTCCAAGATCCCAGATGGACTTTGTGTGCCTAAGGTATGATTAAGAATGATTGTGTACCATTACAGTTGTGTTGAAGGCTTATTCCATCTAACAAATCCCTTCGGGTTCTCCAGTTGACATTGAATGTATACCCTTCGGCAGAGTTGGAAGAACGTTTCCAGACATCGAAATCACTTTTTGCGACACTGGCTGTCGTGGTGATCTTTGTCATTACAAGTCTTACCTTCCTCTTGTATGATTACTGCGTCGGCCAGCGGCAGAGAAAAGTAATGGAACGGATTCAAGCACAAGAAAACATTGTATCCAATGTGTTCCCGTCTGCCATTCGCGATCGATTGTATGCTCAAGATAGACAGACCAAGAATAAGGATGAGATTGGAGGAGCTGCGCCTTTGGCTGATCTTTTCCCTTCGACGACTGTTATTTTTGCTGATATCGTCGGTTTTACAGCATGGGCGTCCGCTCGTGAACCTGACCAAGTGTTCATTTTGCTTGAGAGCCTTTATTCTCAATTTGACAAGATTGCCTATCAACAGAATGTCTTCAAAGTTGAGACCGTAGGCGATTGCTACGTAGCAGTTGCCGGTTTACCGGAGCCCAATGAAGCACACGCTGGTGAGTGGCATGAATGCTGGGATTGTCGAACCCATCCCTCCATCGTCTCTGTCTTTTTTGAACCAATCCAATTGGCACTCACAACTCTTGTTTTTATAAAATAGTGGCAGCATGCAAGTTCGCTCGTCATTGCGTAGTCAAGATGAATGAGATGACAGCAAAATTGGAGGTTACCCTCGGTCCCGATACTGCCGACTTGCAATTGAGGGTCGGAATCCATAGGTAAGTTGGTTCTTGCCACGTGACTCTTTTGCATTTTCCAGAGCTCATTCCAATGCAATTCGTTCACAAACAGTGGCCAAGTTACAGCTGGTGTATTGAGAGGTGAACGCAGCCGCTTTCAGCTATTTGGTGACACTATGAACACAGCCGCTCGAATGGAGAGCAGTGGGGAACCGAACAAGATCCAGCTATCCCAGACGACAGCAGACTTGCTGACTGGTGGACTGAAACAATTGATCATGCCGAGAAGCAAGAAGGTAGCCGTGAAAGGGAAAGGCGAAATGCAAACATACTGGCTGAACTTCGGGAAGGCCAAAAAATCGAAGAGCATAGGAGCAGGGCAGACACTTCGCATGTTGGACGAGACCGTTGCCACTGATAGTAGCAACTCCATTCATACAGAAGACGATTCATTTGATGTCGGCACGGGTGAGATGACAAAGCAAGACCGCCTTGTGGAATGGAATGTCGAGGTACTTGGAACACTTCTTCAGCAGATCATTGCCTCTCGAAGCTCGAAATCTAGAAGTCCACTTGCAGCGAACGAGCTTGCTGAACAGCCTTCTGGGGCAACTGTACTGGATGAGTTTATCCCAATCATTCCATTGAAGCGATTCGGTGCCGATGATCTTGCTCGTCGTCGCGATGTCGACTCCGTTGATATTGGTGACAAAGCAAAAAACCAACTTAGAAGCTACCTCACCAACATTGCGATGATGTACCAAGACAACCCGTTCCACAACTTTGAGCATGCCAGTCATGTAACCGCATCGGTCAAGAAGCTGCTTAAACGCATTGTCAAGGTCGATGAAGGAAACGGATTGCTAGGTGCATCTGAGAATGTGGATCTTGTTGACCTTGCTGGGCACTCCTATGGGATCACTTCTGACCCTTTGACGCAATTTGCAGTTGTTTTCTCAGCAGTCATTCATGATGTCGACCACCCGGGGGTTCCCAACTCGCAACTTGTCAAGGAGAACACAAGGAATGCCCAAATCTATAAGAAATCCATTGCTGAGCAAAACAGCGTTGATCTAGCATGGGAAATGTTGATGGCGAAAGAATATAATGAGCTGAGAGCTTGTATATACAATACTGAGGAAGATCGAAAGAGATTCCGTCAGCTTGTTGTCAATACGGTCCTTGCAACCGATATTGTTGACAAGGAACTTCAAGCCCTTCGCAAGGCCCGCTGGGAAACGGCATTCTCTCAGTCAGCAACAGACGAAAGTAGCGTTGAAAGCGATGATCGCAAAGCCACCATCGTCATTGAGCACTTGATTCAAGCTTCCGATGTTTCTCACACAATGCAGCATTGGCACATTTATAAGAGTTGGAATGAGAAGTTTTTCATGGAGTGTTACGGAGCGTTCAAGGCTGGTCGAGCTGATGTAGATCCAAGCATCAATTGGTATAAGGGCGAGGTCGGTTTCTTTGAATTTTACGTCATTCCTCTGGCAAAGAAGTTGGATAACTGTGGTGTGTTTGGGGTTTCATCTCACGAGTATCTCAACTATGCGACTGCAAATCGCGATGAATGGGTTCGCGAAGGCGAGAGCATTGTTCAGCAGTTCCTTGAAAAATATGAAGGGAGCAACTCATCTTGAAATCAATCGGGGAAATAGTATATTTCTTGTAAAAAACTGGGGTTATTCTTGAAATAAAGTGGGGTTAGGTACATCAGTAATAATAAATGGCTTTCAAGTTAAAAAATAACCACATTCGACATCGTGTTGTTGCATCTCATCATGTTACTTTTGTTGTGTACTTCTTTAGTGTTTTTCAAAGCCAAAGCCGTTGAATTCGAAACTTGAAACAAAATAAAACACAAGACGTGTCACTGCTGTCACAAGGATACGGTGATTCAGCCCAGCTTTTTGTGGGCTCAAGTAAGATGGCGTCAGGAAATGTACAACACCAGGAGAATGGTGGTGGCGGTAATTTTCAAGATGATTTCGCTGCTGCATTGATGACTACAGAGGAATTGAGGCAAAAGTTGAATACACCCCAATCACAACAACAAGCACCAAAACCGCTTCGCGCCGAGCAAGTCCTGTCTATTCGCCATCGGATGGAGGATATGATGGGTCAACTATATTCCTTGAATCCATCAGATGATGTTGAAGCAGATTTACGGAAGCATTGTCATCAAAAGGCTTCTGGCGTTGCGCTTTCAGCGCTGCAGTATGTCATTACGAAAGAAGAAAAGGACCCCGAAGAAAGTGATACAGAGCTCGAACGAGATTGCCAGGGAGCGATTGCGAGAATAGCAGAACTTAACCTGGTACTGCATCAAGATTCGAAGGATACTGTCAAATTGATCATCGAAACGTATACATCGTATCAGAGAAAAGTTTTGAGACTAAGGTCGAAACCTTCCATTGCCAGGCTCGTAGCCTTTCGACAGCAAGAAAGTCCAATTATTGGAGAAGAAGAAGATGATGATGAAGAAAGTGCCAAGACGCAACATGCTCATGTAATTACCACTATTCTCGCCCAAGCTTCGGCACTGGTACACCCTTTGATCATGTGGAAAAGTGGCTTGCCGGAAGACCTGATAGACTTGAACCTACTGTGTACAGAATCCATAAAAACATTGGACGGACAAGCACAAAGTCTTACGCAAACTGTTGCTGGTTGGTGTTTCGAAGATCGAAAAATAGACGAATGGATGACTAAGAGTGCGAATGAAACACAATGCCTGAACGATACTTCCGAATTGGACACTCTGGTGGATGAATTGGCATTTTGTTGCCAAGTTTTTGCCCGATACATTGAACTCTTAGATAATTCCAGCACAGAAACCATCATCAAGGATTTGCACCCCGAATGGACGTGGAAATATGCTTCCCTTGAACGGTACCTTACGACGCAACAAACGCTGCTGGCGCTCCAAATGGCCAAACCGGTCCAGATCGTTCTGGGAACAGCCATCCAAGTTCCTAGTGTTGTTGAAGATGCCCAATTCCTTAGTACTCGTGCTCTGGATCGAGCAGCGTCAACACGATCGACTCAGGCGATTGGGACTGTTGCACATTCCATTGCCAACGATGTTTGGTCCAAGGAAATTACCACTGGAGTCTACCACGCATTAGTAGAACACAAGGGTTGCTGGGAGGAACCAGCGGTACTCGAGCCTACGAGTCCTACTCGTGCAGCACCAGGTGCACCAAGTAGCAATTCCTTTGCCCAAGCCTTAATGGGTGCTTTGGACGAAGACTTAAACACAAATGAGCAGTCAATGTCATCACCTCCAAGGTCGAATAGGAACGCGGTTCCACAGCCACCCTCCTCAGGATCCATCCTTGGTTCCATATCTAGTTCTTTAGGAGGTGGCGAGAAAATGCAACAGATTCGACTGGATATCTACTTTTGTGCCTTGAATGGAATGCACTCGGCATCCGTCGCTTGTTCTTCGTTGGTCAGCTTTCTAGATTCCCTCTTGCCTACCGAAGACGATGAGTCGGCAAAACAAGTTTCGCCAATGACCCAATTGGCTCGAGAAGAGCTCTTTCAATATTCCGGTGACTATCAGCATATGATGCGAGAGCAGGCATCTCGTGTCGTGAATGAGTTTGGCGGATATGTTACGGACGCAGCCGTCTACAAGGGAAGCCACTATATACCTGTGCTGCGATACTATCTCGAGCGAGAAGATTATGAATTGGCCAACGCGGAGGACCTCCAGAAAGCAGAAGACGATGCCCGATTGCACAAGTTCATTGTGGTGCCCTTTGAAGAATCGCGTCTTTTGAAGCAGTTCAACAAGTGCGATGCTGACGTGCTAAAGACCATTTGCGAAGAAATCGTGATTGTTTTGGTAGATCTATTTCTGGATTGCATCTTTTCACAGACGATAACGAAGCGATTTACCGACTGGGGCTCTTTGCTGCTATCCAAACAAGTCCGCACTATTAAAAACTATATTTCCGGGTTGATGGAATCATCAAGCGAACATGCCATACCAACTCTGCCGCAATGGGAGCGCTTGTCTCAAGTAGTGACCATACTGCAACTTGAAAAGCCATCTGATTGGTCCTACTACCGAGGCAGTTCCACCTTGACTCGTGACGAGGTCGAACGAACGATGCGGCTACGTGTTGATTTTTCACCAGATGTGATTGCTTCTGTTGTGTCCACCATAAAAAGCTAGTGTAATAGTGTTAATTAACGATTAAAATGGTAAAACAGCAAGCACGGCACGATTGACTATATGTGGTACCTGGTACTGGAAGCTGAAATGTCTCTCACATAAGATTTACTGCAACGTTATAATTGGCGTACGATGAGAGAAATTCCTTCTTTATATTTTATGTTTGTGTTAATGTGGCAGAGCGCTGTCTGCGTTCTTTGGTGTGATGGAAGTTTCCCTGCTATGTTGTGGAGATTTGAATTGGTGAATGAATGATGTAGTCTTGCAAACCTGCCTGGTGTCTGATGTGTTGCTCAAATCTAGAGCAAGAACTCTTCTTGTTGTGATATTATTGGCAATCGATAATGTATCTTTGGCCCTCTCGGTGAATCCAGTCTCTCAATCTTTGTCTCAGACTTGATTTCCAAATTCTCCTTCGAATCAATAGTGTGTGGAGCATCTTCAGCCTCAATTTCTTTGAACATCTCCAATGCTTTTCTCGCAACCACCACTGGATCGTCTTCTGGTAGCTTCTTTTGTTTCTTTAGAATCCTGCCCTCTACACCTGGCATTGTGTCTGAACTCTCACTCGAAGAAATTGGCGAACCATCTGTTTCAATGGCATCGCGTTTCTGGCTTCGGGTACTTTCTTCTTCTTCCGTTTTATTGCTCATGATATCTGTTATGGATTTATACAAGTTGTAGGCAACACTTCAATCTCAGCAACACTGCAATCTATCTCTAAGGAATGCGATTGTGTGCACGGTGACGAATCGTACTGCCTGGTACCTGGTATACCAGCCAGATTCGGTTCGTGGTGAAGAGAGGCAAGGGGGTCTGAAATTCAGGAAAGGCCAATCCAAATCTGAAATCTTGGTGGCAAGCGCGCACGGCCATCCCCCACAGCCTGACAACCCCGTAGAAACCCTACTGTGCCACCTCCCAACAAGATACCAAAACCCGAAGACCAAAAATCCAGAATCAGAAGCCACCATGATGGAAGTCAACTCCAGTCCAATTTCAGAGCTGAGCACGCCTCTACTGGGAACAACCCAACAAGAGGAAGGTGTTCAAACCAAGTCCATACCAAACAGCGAAGAAGAGACCGAAACATCTTCCCAATTTCGTTTTCATAACCCAAGATGGCTCTGTTATCAAAGAATCGTATTGGGTTTGAGCTTGCCGCCACTCTATTTCCTGGCCGTGGAGATGACCAAAGAACATTGCTACTTTTGTCACCGAGCGATTGATGATTCTTCCAACACCTGTATCGTTGTGGCTGCTGCCCTTTGGGGATCCCTCATGGCAACTCTTTATGAGCAATGCAATCGTAATCACCACTGCTGTGCCAGTGTCTTTGGAGGAGCCTTAGCCGCGTCAGGATCACTCTATACTATGTGGATGCTACTGGAAAGTATTGCATCGAATGATGTGGTATTTTTGTTTGCTCTGTTGGTGGGAGTGCTGGGAGCCATGCCAGGAATCTTGTTGTACTTTGTGGCCAAGATTTTTTGCAGTGAATTCTCCAAGCAAACGAATGTAGGGAATGAAGCTACGAGGGAACGAGTCATGTCTGCCGACACTGTCACGGAAGTCGAAGAAGAGATGATTGTGTGAGCAGCACGCAACTATATGCTATATATATAGTGCACGTTTTTATGATGGATCTGGATACACCACATTTCGAGAAACTTCAATAAGAGGTTCAATAAAACAACCCCTCATACCACCATCGGTATCAAATATGTTTGTCCAAACACCAAACAAATTCTATGCATATTCTATCGTTTAGTAAAGATGCAAGTTTCTAAAATAATGTATCCTGTACATTCTTTCATGAACAACTATTTCTGTTCCATGCAAATTGAAAGTTCGCCAAATTTAGGTCGTGTTGAGGCAACATACGACTAGTTGGATTGCTCAAAATCGCGATTATCAAAATCAAGGGTGCGGTTGTGCCGGTACTCATCGCAATTCGTGGAAACAACATAGGAACTCTCTTCATTGGTCTGCAAGCTACCGCAAATGAGCAATCGAAGCAAATACCAGATAACGATCTACGCGAGTAGCCTCAAGAATGTGGCTGGTTTTGGCAAGGGAACATCAGATCCATATGCTGTAGTGACACTTCTTGCAGGAAGCGATGATGAGCGGGCTCACATCCTCGGCAGGACAGAAGTGGTCAAGAACGATTTGAGTCCTTCCTGGACGACCACCTTTATTGTGAATCATTGCTTTGGAAAGGAAACCCGAATCAACATAGGTGTCTTTGATGAGGTCCGAAAGTCAAAAGGGAACAAATCAATGGGGAGTGCTCAATTTGAAATCGGGGAAATCTTGGGAGCCAAGGGAAACGTCAAGGCCAAACGACTAAAACCTGGAGGCACTCTGTTTGTTCGTGTTACAAAAGCCTCTGACCTAGATCTAGGGACTTTCCATCTTGGTTTGAAAGGAATGAAGCTAAAGAATATGGATGGAATGTTTGGGAAGAGTGACCCATTTTTTGTTGTGGAGACATATACAAAGGGAAGCCATGGTGGAAGGCAGTGGCAGCCAGTGCATCGATCCGAGCACGTGATGAACAATCTGAACCCAGATTGGAAAGAAGTCGATATCCCAGTTGAAAAATTGTGTAATGGTGACAAGGAGCAACCTATTCAGATTTCTGTGTATGACTGGGAAAAAGTAAGTGGTCGATGTGTCTTGCGATTCTTCAGTCAAAATGTTCTTTGTCAGAGTTTTTAATTCGCATGATTTCCAAAATAATAGAATGGAAAACACCAATCGATGGGTAAATGCCAGACCAGTACCAATGGGCTCCTCGCAGCTGTACAACAGCAGAATTCATTTGACTTGATAAGGAAGGGGAAATCGTATGGAAAAGTATTGGTGACCAGGGCAGAGATTTCGGGGCAAGAAATGAATCCCAATAAGCCGCCTCCGAAGTTTGCATCAGTCAAGGGTGTCCGTCAAATCAACCCCGACTACAAGAAGTGGCAGGCCAAGTATGGAAGAGGAGGAATGTCTGGATCAATGTCCGGTCCGTCATCTCAGCATGCCACTGACGTCGGCACACCTCCTCGTGGCAGCAGTCACGGTAGTAACCACGGCAGCAGCAGTGATCGAAGAAGTGATCGACGAAGTGATGGCAAAAGTAGTAGCAGTCGCCGTCGTGAGAAAAGTCCGAAACGATCAAACCATCATGACAGTGTAAGTAGTAGAAATGGATCAAACTACAACGATCCAACGGATCCAGCCATATCCTCTTTATCCAATCGCTACCCATCCTACACGTCCGAATCGTCACTTCCACCTGCGATGGAGCCACCAACAATGTCATCGCTTTCCATCGAGCCATCAGCTCCCACGAATGATAAACCAAAATTCGTGGACTACATCTCTGGAGGAACGGAAATCAATCTTTCGGTTGCCATTGATTTTACTGGAAGTAATGGAGATCCTCGAAAGCCTGGAACACTCCATTATATTCACCGAGATGGGCAGTTGAACGACTACGAAAAGGCTCTCACAGCTGTAGCTTCGGTTGTTGCTCGCTACGATAGCGATCAACTGTTCCCAGTCTATGGCTTTGGAGCAAAGTTTGGAGGTGTGATTGAACACTGCTTTCAAGTAGGCAAGAGCACAGAGTTGAAAGGTATCTCTGGAATGATCGAGGGGTATAGAAATGTCTTCAAGAGTGGTTTGACAATGAGTGGGCCAACGGTTTTTGGCGAAGTCATTCTGCAGGCAGCCGTGCAAGCGCAAAGCAAACAAGAAGCCGAACATGCTGCTGGAAAGCAATCGTATTCCATCCTCTTGATTCTGACAGATGGAGACGTATCAGACTTGGAGGATACGAAGCAAGCTATAAAATATGCTAGCTCTGCACCCTTGTCCATTGTTATTGTGGGGGTTGGCGATGAAGACTTTTCCAAGATGCAGTGGTTGGATGATTTCCATGTTGAAGACGACGAAGTCCGGGATATCGTGCAATTTGTTGAGTTCAATAAGCATCGAGATAATCGACAACATCTGACACAGGAAACCTTGGATGAAATTCCTGATCAGCTTGTCGACTACTTTTTGGGTGAAGGCATCATGCCATTACCCCCAATCTCGGACAACAGAATGTCGATTATGCCCGAGGACTTCAACTCGAGCAGAGATGTTGATCTAGATATCCGCGAACGCTCCAATGGAGATTTGGAATTGAGAAATTCTTCCATGGCAAGATTTGATACTAAGTCGTATGGAAATACAGCGGGCTTTATGGGTGGTCAACCATCTCTGGCAGGCGCACCAATCGCAGAAGAGCCATCCCTGGGCACACCATACCGCAGTCAAAGTGCACCTGCTCACAATCCCTCGACCCCGGCATCTCCCCAATTGAGCCAATCGACAAGTGGACAATATAGTGCACCAGACAGCAGGTCACAGAACCATGCTCCATCCAGTTCGTCTGGTTATGCAACAGGAGGACGAAGTCACAGTGATATGAGATCAGGAGGAGGACAGAGAAGCTACAGTCCCGTGCCTCCTTCCAGAAGTCAGCCTAGCTATGGTGGAAATCAGCCAAGCTATGGCGGATCTGGGTATGGCCAACCCAATCCAATGCCATCTTATGGTGGATCTTCCATGCCTTCCAACTCGAATTCACAGTACCAGCAGTACAACTCCTCCGCTGGTCCTCCTATAGTGCAAGCTGCACAACCGGTGACTCTGCGGGTGAAGGCACCGCCCAATTCCTATCCTGGAATGCAAATTCGTGTGGCTCATCCGCAGACTGGCCAACTTCACGTGGTATCTATCCCTGATGGTGTTCATCCTGGCGGAGACTTTCGAGTCAATCTGGCCTAGCTTTTTGCGTGCTGACTAATTTAATTTGTTACTTTCTATTTTTGTGAAGTTCCCTGTTTCATGAGCCTTCCGGTACCGTTTCGGTAGTAAAGTCTACCGTATCGTTAGTAAAATCCGTACTTGCAATTGTTTTCGGTTTCACAGAAGGACTTTTGCTAATGAATTCCTTCAAGAACTCGCGCTCTTTTTGCTTGCGACTTCGATATATCGTAGCATTCAGAGCTGCACGTTTTGCTTTTTCGATGCTCTCTTGCACAATTGAAAGGTTCATTGTTTCCGACGTTCGGCGCCGTTGCCTCCTCGTCGTGTTGGCTGCCTTCTTTCCCACCTGTCTGTCCTTTAGTGAAAAGCCTTGTGATTTTAATATTTCGTCTCGATTTCTGGCGGGCAGCCGTAACTCCAACATATTTCTAGGTTTTGGCTTTGCCTGCTCATAATCATCAATAGAGCAATCAAACTCCTCAACATGCTCCCAATCAATCGTAATTGGGGTACCTGTCATGATGGCTGGGTTGTCACCCACTATTATCGGGTATTCTCGAATTTGAATGTTGGAAAAGCTAACTGCCGTTTTTTTCTCGGAAGAATTTCCCATGGTTTCATCTGTGGTTTTGGACTCGCCAATCGGCAATTCGTTTGTCATAGTTGCAGTATATTGTTGCTAGAGAAGTCAGTGTCATGTAGAGCGCTTTGCATGTACAAGAGATGCCTCCAAAAGAAAGCGAAATTGCATCCGCAGTATTGAAAGGATTGATCGATGCTGCTCAACTTCAAACTGTGCGTCGTGGACGAAATCGCACTGCTCATATATGTATACTGTATGTTCGTACCAGAATTCTGAAGTTCGACTTGTTCGATCACAATTGTTCCGTTGGTCCAACTGAATTTTGATGTCCTGTGACCTGTGACGTAGTGTAGCAGGATGGAGGGAGATCTTCTGTCATTTCGTCTCACATCCTTCGTGTTCTCACTCGCTCGTTCCATCCCACAACATCATCATCGCTCTCCGGTCTGAACATCTTTTCAAACATTGCGCCCACTTTTCCGACACAACAAATAGCAACAATAGAACAAATTCGTCATGGGTCCTCCTCTCCCTCCAGAAAGCTGCGGCACGACGCTGACCAAGACTGCCCCCCAAAAAATTCAAATTGAATGCTTTGTGGATCTGATTTGTCCATTCTCTGCAAAATTGTTCAATACGCTATATGACAAAGTTATCCCCTCGCTTGATGAAGATATTACAGTTACCATCCATCAAGTAGTTCAGCCATGGCATCCTCAGGGTACCATGGTGCACGAGGCGGCGTTTGCCGTACGCGAGGTTTCCCCCGAACACTACGCACCCTATGTCAGCGCTCTGTATGCCGCCTACACTGGTGGCAAATTCAAAGACGACGACGTGTGGAATAAGACAAGAGCGCAAATATATGAAGAGCTTTTGGAATTGGTTCCAGAAGGCGTTGATAAGAGTGCCGTCAAGGCCAAGCTCATGATGGCAGAAGGAGGTGGAAATGCTGGAAATGAAATGACCAAACACATCAAATTTGCCTGTAAATTCCATCGAACTAGAGGTGTCCATGTAACTCCAACTGTCTTTGTCAATGGAGTCGAAGCTGGAGTGGTTTCCAGTGGATGGTCCGAAGAGGATTGGAAGAAATTCCTGGCTGCCAAGGGTACTGATTTCTTTCGAAATGAGTAAACTTTGAATATTGCGAGACAGTTGATTGAAACTGGCTAGACGACGCTGAAGCTATACAAATTTTAGAAAGCATAGAAGCTGTGAGAAATTAGTCGTTAATTCTGGTCTTCTTTGCCATTAGCTTTTCTCAGTTATTCGTTTCTTCCATACTAGCATGTTGCCATCAATATTGTTGCTGGTGAATCCGTCTTCCGTCGTATAAATGCTATCTTCATCGACTATACACTCCCATTGATCTTGCCGACTGTCAAAAGCAGCTTGGATTTGTCCCACTACAACCGCCGTAATGCTCATGAAGATCCCACCAGGCCTCAAACACCGCGTAAGTTCCTCAATGGCAAGCTCCATGTTCTTGTTTGCTTCTTCCTTGTCCTTTCCACCACTCAAGAAAATTGCATCCAAGGTCCCCTTCTCCAATATTCCATCGAACGAATCATCTTGCAGTACTCCTTTCAAGTCACGGGCATCGGCTACCAACAACTTTACTCCATCATCGTCATCTTTTTCTTCCTCCGATGATTGTAGTATTCGTTGGGATCCCAGCATGTCTCGACACCGCTCAATTCCTTCTGGAGCATAATCCATGGCCGTCAAATGGTGATACCCTGCATCGTACATGCCGACCAAAGCGGCATCGTTTCCGACACCTGGGATCAGTATTCGATAGTCCATTTCAAAGAATTCATTGCAAAAGGGCTCCAGCTCCTCCCAGCCCGCATACCAAGAATAATTGGATTCCTTTTGGTATACCTCATTCCAATAGTCGCGTCGTCCAAAGTTGGAGTCGGTGGGTTCGGAACAGAGGAGGAGGTTTAATGACATACTATATATTGGTTGTTGTAGTGCTTGTGTTTTCCAAGAATCAGAATGTTGCAAGAATGACTGAACGAGGACTGGCGATAGAAGGATACAGGCAATTGTAAGTAATCTCTCTACTATTCGTGTGGTCGGCATGTTTGTCAAAGAAGAGAGTATAAAATACATGCACCAATTGGATCAAAATACAAAGTGTGATGTCATGTCAATGGTTTCCATTTTCTACGGTTCGAAGGAGTCGTCGATATGTGTACTCAGTTAGCTCTTCTCACATGAAAACTTCTACGTGGAAGCAAATCCAAACTCATGATTTGAAAACTCGTCGTCGGAGATGGCAACTCATATTGTTATCACATCAGCCAGCAGATCAACACGACATCCTCCAAACTATCTGTTAGAATTCAGAAGTTGAAAGTCAACTGATCAAATACACTTTACAATATGCCTCGATTTTGTGCTGTTCTCAAATTTGCAGTCCTGCTGATACTGAGCCAAGACCACTTTACAGCAGCCAAGGCAACATCATCATCATCATCAGCTGCAGCAGCAGCATCTTCAAAACAGCAGCAATCATTCAAGAGTAGACCTTTCAAAAGATCCTTTGTCAAAAGCCCTAGCATCAACAAAAAATATGAAACTGCAAAATCATTGGCCGCATTGGAGCAAGAAGTGGAAGATTTCAATGCCGTATGGGTTGCCAGCGCCAAGGATTACGCCGAATCCACCTCTCGACGACGCCTGATTTGCATGCCATTGGACGATCGATTTGATCCTCCCATGGGATCTTTCAGTCATGAACATGTTCAAACGGGCGATAAAATGTCGTTACCTCGAGTATTGTGGGATGCCATTCAAGTCAACAAAGCAGAAGTTCCGTGGTTGTTTAGTGTGAGTCGAATAGTGGGTGTCACCAAGGAACGGATTGATGTTTCGGAAGAGTATGCGTCAGAAGCCTTGAATGAAGTGGTGGGTGGTCCGCTGGATTTCCGAGCGCCTCCCAATTATTGCTTTTTGCCCTGGTGGATGATGAGAGCCTTGGGATTGCATCCCCGAGATATAGTGGACGTCAAATTGGCTCCCAATATTCCACCAGGATCCATGGTGAAATTCCGACCGCATTCATCCTCTTTTACTACAGATATTGCCAATCCGCAAGCGGTCATGGAGACGGAATTGCGACACTATTCTTCCTTGACCAAAGGGTCTACTATTGCCTTTGATTACAATGGCAAGCGATATTGGTTCGATGTCGCGGAACTTCGAGCAGCTCCCCGTGGAGAGAAGCAACCAATGGTGAAGGTTCAAGATTGCGATCTTGCTTCCGATTTTTTACCATCTAGGGAATCAAAGATACAGAAAACGAAGGGGGCAAGAAGAGAGGACAGCATGAATGAGGATGATGAAGAAGAAGACGAAGAGGAGGAGGAGGAGAGTGACGAAGAGGAAGAAGAAGAAAGTGACGACGACGAATAGAGTACTATTAACAAAAGTCTTTCTTTGCCTTGTAAGCAGCTACAGTACAGTACCGGTAGTATCGGCAAGGATATCGATGAGTGACTAGATCCTTCCAATTTGGAATATTGTAGAATGGCGAAAAAAGGAGAATCGTGCGATGTGTCGCATGGTTTTGTCACGCGACATGTGCAAAATATACTGGCAGAAGAAGTTGTTGTGTGTACAAAAACAAAAATCATTATCATAATACCGTACCTCCTCTCCCACATAACTATTCAAACCAGTATAGCTATCCAAAGAAGACTATTCAAGAAAGAGTTAGTACGCGTAAAACTTCAGTCTCGCCCAAGGAAAGAAATGAGAATAACACCATACAAAGGGTAGCAACATTTTGGAACGATGAAGCGGACAAGGTCTCCACGGATGGTTGAGCAAGAAGGATCATCATCTTCACCATCATCTTCATCATCGTTTCAGCATCAAGACGATCCAATACAAACGACAGGGCAACAAATATGTCTAGCACAATCACCACAGGCACAAGCACAGCCTCAAACCCGAAGGGTACGAAGAGGGCCTAATTGGCGAGATGGTCTAGCAGGAGCCATTGCGGGTGCTGGAAGCAAGACGGCCATGGCACCCATTGAGCGCATCAAGTTATTGCTGCAATTGCAGGGATCCGCTACCTTACCAAAGCACCGCTTATCGGCCTGGGAAGCAGCCTCCAAAATCTATCAAGAAGAAGGTTTGATATCCTTTTGGAGGGGCAATTTGCCCAATGTCATGCGGACGGCGGGACAAGCGGCCTTGAATTTGGCGCTCATGGATTACTACAAATCCATTGCGACGTATTACGCAAACTTTGATCAATCTCATCCTTCCTTTTTGCAGCCCACCAATGACGAAATTTATTGGCAACGGAGGCGCAAATTGGTCATTTCCTTTGTGTCGGGAGGTCTTGCAGGAGGATCTGCTACAACACTGTTGTATCCGACCGAATTCTTGCGAACCCGATTGGCCATGGATCTTGGAAGATCCAATAAAACGAATGGCAATGGTTCTGTTAGCAGTACTAGGCAGTACAAGGGAATGGGCGATGTCATTGCGAAAACATTGCAGACGGATGGAATGCGTGGTCTCTATCAAGGTTATGGGATTGCACTATGGGGAAGCGTATTGTACAGACTTTTGTTTTTGGGAGGATACGATGCCATCAAATATGAAATTGAATATTACAAACAAGGCCAACAACAGCAGCGTCTGCTGGAAATGGAGGCAGTAGGGAGCAGAGCTGCCATGAGTACTAGTGCTGCTACTACTAGTATGAGCATGGGGGAACGATTCATGCTGGCACAATCGGTCGCGATTACAGCCGGTACCATTTGTTATCCCATTGATAGTGTTCGACGCCGGCTCATGATGCAAGCGGGTGTTCCAAAAGCAGAACGAAAGTACAATAGTTCCCTCCACTGTTTTAAAGTCGTCTTCAAGCAAGAGGGAGTGGGAGGATTCTATCTCGGCATCGGACCCAATCTTGTACGATCGATTGGTGGAGCGCTCATGCTCGTGGCCTATGATGTTATCAAGAATAATATCTGATTTTGCAAATTCAGAATAAGGAATGACTTTGGTTGTTTACTCTATTATTGTTCGTCGTCGCTTCACTTTCTTGCTCATCATCCCTTCTACCGGTACAACAACATCATTCCAAGTACAGAAATTGAAATTCTATTTCCACAAAACGTGCGACATCGCGCGAGGTGTGGGTTTTTGCAATTCAAAATCCCATGAAATCCATCCAGATTTACATACCGGTATAGCCATCATCATCATCTCTTCGAGTAGCTACTACTCCTGCTGCAAACAGCAGTACAAAAGATGATGGATAGAATTACAAGTACCAAGGTTTTTATGCTGGTGCTGTTTTGTGCCCACATTCTAGCGACGCACACTGCACAAGGTCACCGATCAATACGGTTGCCATTCACTCATTTCCGAGGAGGTGGAGACGAGGAGGAAGAGGAGTCGAGGATAATAACAAACCAAGAAGAAGACAAGGAAGAAGAAGAGTGGGTCCATATTGCCAAAACTCCTCCAACAACCACCACGCTGACAGTGGCAATTTTACGAGGAAAGGATGCCACCAAAACAGAAGACACCACGTCGAGTAGCAACGAGAATGACAAGAAAATGTCATGGTTGGATGATATATCCAGTCCAAGCTGTCTCCTGGTTGCTGCAAACACAGAACCATCAAGTGCATCATCTGGTATTCCGATTGGATCCATAATAACCATCCCCAAGACTTTGACTGACGAAAGCAGCAATCATGATGATTACGTTACGCTAGCAGTAGTCGAAACATTGGCGCTTTTGTGTGATGTGGTGGTAGTGGTGCTGCCAAAACAAATTGATGGCAGTGACCCAATATGGGCTGGTATTGTCCAAGGGGCGAATCGACGCAAGACGACATCCTTGCAAAAGGGCCGTTTGCTGTTGATATCCTCTGGGAAAATGGAGTTTTCTCAAGACGAACAACAAAAGTCAATGTTTGCATCGGTGGATACGATACGAACGGATGACGCCTCGGCAGCGTTGGAAGACTATCTTTCCAAAATGGTGGATGTCACTGACGGTATGAATACTCTATCCAGTCTATTTAGCTCCGATGATGAGGGCGATGGCGGCGAGGAGAGTAGTGCAAGTTCAGCGTTTCTTGGAGTTCTGAATGAAGTGTACATGTCTTTGGGTGGTGCCAGATCCAAAGAACAGAAATTTCAGTTCCAAGCAATACCATCAGCAGCAATTTCAACGACAGTGGCAACAACAAAGACAAAAGAAGAATCGTCACTGACGGAAGCAAGTGTAACCGACGCAACTTCTTCCCAGCAAGACAGCAGCCTTGTCTCCATTCTGGCCACTGCACAATCCAAGCTGACAAGCTTGGAACAAAAGGTTGAAGAAGCCATGCTTACTGTAGCAGAAAAAGACGACGACAGCGCCGACAGCAACAACCAAAACTCCAATAGTGGTATCATGCCACTTCTCTTTATCGATTTTGGCAATCTTGCCAATGAACTACTGGAAGAAGCCTATTCGGCATTAAATGACCACTTGTCGTCACAAGAAAATGACAATGCAGCAGCAGCTATTGGTGAAAACGTCATTATTGCCAATATTGTTGGAGAGCTGGTACGTCTCTTCAGAGAACAAGTACGGCTGATGCGAGATTACTATGGCAAACGATACGAGAACGTTCTAGAACAGCTGGCTCTAGAACAAGAACAACAAGTGCAAAAAGAAAAAGAAGACAAAACACGAGTCGCAGCAATCAAACAACTAATCGGGCAAAAGGCTTCCGTGGTGGCAGAGGAAATTATCAAAAGTTTCAGTGATGCATGTCAACATGCCATTCCAAAGTTGTGCAAGAAAAATGAGAATGGGAAACTCGCTGCGGAATATGGGGCCGACTTTGATTACATCGCGTATTTAAATGGGCTCGTCAACGACATGCTGGAGGCAACCACAATAATTGAAGATGATGATGAAGTTGACATTGACTCGATGGAAGATATTGCATTATATCTTTCACGTTGGGGAAAGTTCAAAGCCTCCATTCCAAAGTGGGCCAAGAAACTGGCTGCCAGAGGAATCATGCTGGGTGTCAACTACGCACAGGGGTGGCTCGCATGGCAAGGACTAAAGCGAGCGGCAGCGGAACGGGACCGTAAAATGCCAAAGTTTCCCTTGTTTTAGAAAAACTAAAATTATCAATATCAATACTAACAATAAGCAAGCAACAATAAAAGATTGAGAACAGATGAATACTCATATTCATGTTCATAGTATTAATGCAATGCATGCCTAGTCTAGTAAGCGGATGCTCCTCCTCCTTCTCCACTCCGAAATGTGGAGGTGGTGGACCGCCGCGGTCGATTCCAGAAATGTCCATGCGGAAGATGGGGAGCTTGTTGCTGCTGGGCTACTACCGTCGATGTATCATCACTATTACTAGTAGGATCGGCAGTAGCAGTCGTTCCAGATGTTTCTTCGGATGCACGCCGTTGTCGACGACGGGCCGAGGTTTGTCGTGGACCACCACCAATGATAGTGCTGTTGGAAGTGTTCTGAACAATTTTGTTCAATCGTTCAGCGTAAGCTTTCAGAGAAAATACAAGGAAGAATTGTTAGCATTCCATTATCACAAGTCATAGCAGAAAAGGACTACTTTAGCAGTGAAACTGACATACCTTCTTCTGCTGCCTCCAGGGCTGTTAGACTTATTGAAAATAACGATAGTAGGGCGTAATGTTAGTCAGCGATTGGGAATAGGCAGTGATACTTGCTCTTGTTTTCAAAGTATGGACTCACCTAGATTCTGTTTCTTCTTCTCTATGAGGTAGCCATTGAGGTTCAATCACCTTGTGAAGAATATGCCTTGGGAGTTGGGCTGTGAAGGATGACATTGTTGACTATTTTGTTGTGTTGTGTGCTCCTATTGCTCTGTCGATTTGCATTCATTCATCATCAGCCGAAGTTCTTTTGATTGATTTGAAAAAGGAGTCGGTCTGGTCTTTGCGGTCGAAATAGTCGAATTCTTCTTCAGCCGAAGATCGCATCTTTCTCATGATCGGAGTCATCACGCAAGAAGACATCGCTGTCATTACTGCTGCCTGAACAAAGCCCAGCACAACCAAAGCAATGAGATCCTTTGCCAATCTAGCCATGCATCTTGGATTTTCCTTGTTTGCTGTTGATGCTACGCAGCTTGATGATGATTGCCGCAGCAGCAATGCAACCCACATTGTCTGGAAGATAAGTCAAACAATGGCCACCATGCCCACTTTTGGACGCCGGAGGTCCCAAACCACCTTGACACAGCCCAAATGCGTGGTGCAACCTCGAAAACAGGCCGAACAAGAATGTTTGAAATATTTGCAAGACACCATTATGCCCTTTGATGTTCCTTTTTTCGAAACACTTGGTTTTGGCAGTCACGACGACGATGTGGATGGTTTGGGCAATGGAATTGCCACAGTATCTGTCAAATTGGCATTAGACGCCAAGGCAATCTATCCATGGACTGACAGTCTGCCCAAAGAAATATTCTACAATTACGTATTGAATTATGCCAATTTAAACGAAGCTCGAACCAACTGGAGGCCACTGTTGATTGACGCCATGAACTTTACCGAAAGTCCTCTATGGAAAAGTGGAAATGCCAACTTGTCGTCAGTGGTGACCTGGGTCAATACTCATTTGTGGACCCAATTGAGCCGTGATGGTAGTTCTCCCATTTATTTCAAGTCGGGCCAGACTCCCTTGATATTTGACCCAATGTCCGTGATTGCCTATGGATATGCCAGCTGTACGGGAACCTCCATTTTGTTTTCCAACGCACTGCGAGCACTGGGCATTCCAAGTCGCGTGGCTGGAACCCCCGCGTGGTATGGAAATGCGACGCAAGGAAATCACAATTGGGTAGAAGTTTATGACAATGGAATCTGGAAATTCTTGGAACCGTCGCCCGCACTGGCACATGTGGATACCTTGGAGGCAGATCCTTGCCATCGATGGTTTTGTAACGCCGAACGATATCCGTCGTCGAAAGTATATGCGGCCACACTGTCCAAAGTGGTCAGCAGCTATTTTCCATTGGCGTGGGAGTGGCATTGCAAAGACATTCCAGCGGTGGATCGAACGCAGTATTACGCGGACATTTGCAGCTCGTGTGATTGATCCAAAGAGGTTCATTCCATAGTCAGGCTATGAATAGAATTTTCTTTCATTGCACAAATATCGTTGATAGACGTCGGTTTGACATCCAACATGCATTTGTTGACACCAATGCGGTCGTTTGCAGTAGCTTCCGTATTTCAAAATTTTCGCATGTCAAGAAGATGCGAACACAGGCGAAATCAAATTTCAAAATTGATATTTTCTCACACGTAAAAAGATACGTATACCGCTGCGTAACGGTGTCAACATCTAGTTCGGATTCCTGCACATTTCTACACAAACCTACTTGACAGGCGTTGGTATCTTTCATGATATTGGGAACCCTCGTCACCTCACACAAATGCAAATCAGAGATCCTTCTGTCACGCATAATACGGGTTGCTACACGATTTAAACTCGTGTCAACAACAAACAAAACAACAATGAGTGACTTTCCTGCAAACGCAGATCCCATCCATGCCGTTTCGCTCGGCATTGCTGGCGGTGGTGCTGGATTGTTGATGACTGTTTGGCTCATGAAGAAGGTGCGTGAACAACTGGCAATGACTTGACTCGACGTCACATCAATCAAATCTTGATTGTCTTCTCATACTGACCATGCTTTTCTTTTTCCCCTTGTGTCCTCCTCAATGAATGAATGAATGAATCCACGTTCTTTCACGCCATTCTATGTCATACAAAAATTAATTCATGGATGAATGATCATTTGTTCTTTTCTTTTTGGATTCCAAATTGAACTATGAATCCTTAGCTCAAATTAGCACCACGTGGCAATGAACTCATGAACAAAATTTCTGACCAAATCAAGTCTGGCGCCAGAGCCTTCCTCATGACTGAATACAAGTATCTCTCCTACTTCGTCTTTGTCGTCTTTATTGTACTACTGGCCTTGTACTCGGCCAAACCTCCTTCGGGCGACAAGACGGACGGAATCCGCTACGCAGGCTGTTTCTTGGTCGGTGCCATTCTTTCCGCTGCTGCTGGATGGGGAGGCATGGCCGTTGCCACTGATGCCAATGTCCGAACTACCCAAGCTGCCGACAAGGAAGGCTTGGACAAGGCCTTGAGAGTTGCCTTTACAGGAGGTGCCGTAATGGGATTCACCGTAGTGGGTCTTGGCCTCATGGGCGTTTCCATCATGTTCTTCTTGTTGACTCTTGGTTATGATGGCAAGGATGACGCTGAACGCATGAGACTTGCTGCTGATTCCCTTGCTGGATTCGGTTTTGGTGCATCTTCCATTGCTCTCTTTGCCCGTGTCGCTGGTGGAATTTACACCAAGGCCGCCGACGTTGGTGCCGATCTTGTCGGCAAGGTCGAAATGGACATTCCTGAAGACGATCCAAGAAACCCAGCTGTGATTGCCGATAATGTTGGTGACAACGTTGGTGATGTTGCAGGGATGGGTGCTGATCTATTCGAGTCCTTTGTTGGATCGATTATTGCTGCCGTCGCTCTCGCCGACGGAGATTTGGTCAAAATTACTCTACCATTCTGGGTCGCTGGATGTGGAATCCTTGCCTCCATGATTGGATACTTTGCTGTTGGAACCAAAGAAGGTGCTTCCCAGAAGGAGCTCCTTTTCGCCCTTCACAAGGGAACCCTCGTCTCGTCTGCCCTTGTCATTGCTGCTTCCGCTGCCCTCTGTGGCACACTCTTTGAAGACGACAAGACTAATGGATGGAAGATCTTTGGCTGCGTTGTCATTGGACTTGTTGCCGGTGTATTGATTGGTCAAGTCACTGAATACTTCACCTCTTACTCCTTCTGGCCAACCCGGTCCATCACTGAAGCTGGAATCACTGGCCCTGCCACTGTCATCATTCAAGGTTTGGGTATTGGTATGATCTCTTGCGTCTTCCCTGTCCTGATCATTGTCGTCACCATCCTTGCTTGTGATGCATTGGCCGAGGAATATGGAATTGCCATGGCTGCCGTCGGTATGTTGAGTACCTTGGGTGTCACTTTGGCTACCGACGCATATGGTCCAATTGCCGACAATGCTGGTGGTATTGCCGAAATGGCCGAACTTGAAGAACGGGTTCGTGACACGACCGATGCCCTTGATGCTCTTGGTAACACTACAGCTGCCACTGGAAAGGGATTTGCAATTGGATCTGCTGTTTTGACTGCCCTTTCTCTCTTGGCTGCTTTCAAGACCAAGGCTGGAATTGGAACCGTCGATATTGGTGAACCAATCGTTCTGAGTGGTGCTCTCATTGGTGCTATGCTCCCATTCCTATTTGCTGCTTTGACCATGCTTTCTGTCCAAAAGGTGAGAAAATCGATTGCAGCTAACTTTCTGCTTTTGGTCATACAAAAGCTGACAATTCTGCTTTTACTTTTAGGCTGCTGGAGCTATCATTATTGAAGTCCGCCGTCAATTTGCCGAGATTCCAGGACTCCGTGAGGGTACTGCCGAAGCGGATTCAGACAAGTGCGTGCAAATCTCAACTCAAAGTTCTGTTGAAGAAATGATCCTCCCTGGTCTTTATGCCGTTCTCGCTCCCATTACTGTTGGATTCCTCATTGGACCCAAGTGCTTGACTGGAATGTTGGCTGGCGCCATTGCCAGTGGCATGATGCTGGCCATTATGATGGCAAACGCCGGAGGAGCTTGGGATAACTCCAAGAAGTACATTGAAATCGAGGGTGCTTGTGGAGGCAAGGGAACTGAAATCCACAAGGCCTGCATCGTTGGAGACACTGTTGGAGATCCATTCAAGGATACCAGTGGACCGGCCCTCAACATCTTGATCAAGTTAATGAGTATTATTTCTCTCACTGTCGCTCCTTTGATGAAAGGTGATGATGGTCTTGCCTTTGCCGAATGGGAGCATTTTTACTGGGGATTCATCCCCCTAGCTGTTCTGATTATCGGAACCGTCCTTGTCTACCACTTGTTCTGGAAGAATGTTGCTGACATTGCCGCCGATCTTGGTGGAGAGAAGAAGGAAAGCCACCCTGAAGTAGAAGAGATCGAAACCGCCTAGGAGACTAAGAGCCAGGATTCATCTCATATATGTTACCCTGAGTGTTCTTTCACTATCAAGTTCTTGGCTTAGCTTTGGTAGAAAATTGTAGTAGAACACCTTATGATGGATTTTTCCAGTTTCAATTTTGTAAGAACACCTTTTGACGAAATTTTCCAGTTTCAATTTTGTTTATAGCTTTGTTGGTCGATGAAAATGATTCCTTCCTCTACAACTACTTCAAATGTATTCGATATGGACCACTGAATATATACCGGAAGTTATAACTTATATTTTTGGCAATGACCATAATTCTATCGTGACGGAAATTGCCGTAGCTGGGTTTCAAATGGGTTTTCCTCCGTATCATCCAAGAGCGAGTCTTTTGCCGAGGCACTGCGCGTGCCAAAGCTTTGATTCTGAGTAAGTGAGCCCGGAGGTGCTGGCATGGCCATTGGCTGCGTTGGAGTACTGTCCATAAACATGGAAGTAACTCCCGACTTGAGACTAGTGAGGAACTGTGACGGGGATCGGGCCATATTGAAGAGGGTGGAACTGATGCTACGCTGCAAATCTTGTTCTGGTGGCGGTGGGGCCTGGACTCCATCTTCCGGACCAGTTGAAGGAAAGAAAGGCGTCAGCCAATCGGAAATTTGAGCTGTTAAGCCTGAACGAGGCGGTGCAACCGCAACGGCTTCGTTGTTCATCGGTGCACTGGTGTGTTGTGCAAAATTTTCAGTCATGTTTTGAGTCGCTACAAAGCCAAGATCACTGCTGCCTGTAGCGCTTCCACCGATGCTATTCCGCTTAATCATTTCCATTTGTTGTCGAACTTGCATCTGGTCCATCGTAATGCTACTGCTTGTACTGCCGCTGTTTGGTAAGTTGTTTCGTCCTTGCCCTCCTCCTTGCGCAGCCTCGAGTGGCAGCGGCTCGAACACGTCTACCAACGAATTTCGTTGCTGTATCGGTAGTGGCTGCAACATTGCCGCTTGGTCATTGCCACTTGGGTCAGATACGTAGTACTGTTGCTGCTGCTGCTGCTGCTGCAATGGAAAGTTGCTAGCGTTATGATTGCTTGTCGCCATTTGCATGTGATTGAATGTCTGTTGACTGCGATTCTTCATTTGCATGTTACTGGAATTGCCAAACATGAGGGATGACTGAGGTGCAGGTTTACTGCCAAAGATTCCAGTGTTGCTAAGGAAATTGAAGAACGAAGATTGGCGAGTCTGAAGAGCATCCAATGGTAAAGGGGCTTCTTCTTCTTGTCTTTGATCAGCTTTTTGACGCTTCAGAACTGGTTGCATTCCTTGAGGCGCAGGCGCTGCCATGGTATTGACATTCGGTTGAGCAGGAGTGGGAATGGGTGTCCCTCGACTCCACCAAGCTGGTTTCTGGAATTGTTCGGGCTCTTTCCGTTTTTTCGACGGTAGTGGCTCTGTTATTGTCTCAGCCTTAGTAGATGAGGATTCTGCCGACGACTCATTCAACAAACCAGCCTGTCGCAGTGTTGCCTTAGTCAACAGATCTAAACTAGCATCCTGTGCTGCTGAAACAGCGGCTTCTCGGGCTGTTGTCGTCAATGCCCCACTTTCTGGATTAGGATCTCTTTCTCTCAATGCTTGTGATGTTTTGTCTAGTGACCGTTTGTAAGTGATTTCTTTCCACCCACCGGTTGTCTTGTCTGCTTCTAAATAGCGACCTGGAGGATCTTGTCCTTGAACAGCTTTGACAACTGCTTTGGCCACTAATAATTTGGTGTGCTTTGGACATGTTTTATACAGCGCACGGTTGCTTCTAACCAATCTCCGAAACCAAATGTTTCCCTTGTGCAAGTTTGTTCTTCCTCCTCTTCCACACAAGACATCCTACAGTTCATCAGACAACGTTTAAGCAGGGACAAGAACAAAATTTGGTCAGTCCAAACCAAAACACACAAGCCATTACGCCTTCTTTCCATCGTCGATTCATTCACATACATGTGGGTGTGGTTTGCTCACAAGGGCAAGAGGCTTCTTGTCGTCGCCAGGTTTCATGCTTCAGCAAAAGGTCACGCTGCTGTTATGGTATTGAAGTTTAAAAATGGCCCTCAGTAGGTAGGGTGAAACGAATAAAAATCTTTAGTCTTGTCTTTTGCGAAAAACAAAGAGTTGGCATAGTGTCTTAGAATAGTCTTAGACATGTGCGTTGTGGTAGTAGAGATGTCCCTGTGACCATGAGAAGTGTGACTGCATCGAACAATCATATGGCAAACAGGACTATTCAAGAACCTTCGGAACTGTGACTAATTATTATGATCACTCGGACAAGTACCAGTACACGTATTAATACTACTGTAGTAGTCCTGCGATATTATCATCTACACAGTAGGTTTTGAGAAGCAATCGTAATCAAGCACTCAGGTGACTACAGTAGCTACGATTTATGTACAATCTCAGAGAATCGCTGCGGTGGCATGCTCCTATGCTGCTCATTTGTCTTCTTGCTTGACATTCTTCCCTCAGTCACGACTAGCCTAGTGGTACTCCTCACGCTTGGGTGGGGGCTGAGAGTATCAAAAAGTCACATATGAGGAATACTCCGATGGGTGTCCCAGCCTCTTGAGGCAGTATCCACAGTCCATAGAGGGATTCTTTTCTCGCTTCAGCCTCTGTTGTTGCTAACAAGCGGGGCGGAAACTGTCTGAGGTTGGCTTTTGGTCTGTTGTGTTTGGCGGGACACAAACCATTGGCAATAGTACATGTTCCGCTTGCTTCAAAAACAAATTTATTGCTGCAAAGAGTACGATAGTCTCGATGCCGTGTCTTGATTCGAAATTTCATCAATGTGTCGGAGCACTTTCATGACTGTCGTTCTCATGTACAGATTGAACTCCATAATCAACCGCAAGTGTTCGTGTCCTTCAAGATCTTCTTGGCTGAAGAATAACGGTGGAAATTGAGAGTCCAAGACTGACTGAAAGTGTTGTTTGGCGCTAGTGGCGACCACTCCTTCCCATTTTTGCATTGCTTCTTCCAGCAGAGTATCAACTGACAAGTCTGATTCTAGAAGCTCATTTTCTTCGGCCAGCTTGATGCTCTGGAGCAAGGGTTGATCATATTGATGAAGGACAGTGTATAAGAAGAGTTTCCATGTCTCCCCCGATACTGCACCATTTCGTGTCGAAACCACAAGCTCTTGTACGTCAACCATTGGCCAATCAAACATTTGATCTACCAAACTCTCAGTAAGAACATGAGCCCCCATATAAGGCGTAGAGTAATCGACATATCCACAATTGACTAAAGGGCGGGCAAGATTGTCGCCCATGGTGCAAGGCATGCATAATTTCTCATTTGCAAGTACACCTTGTGTCAAAACAACTTGAAGCGCCGATTCTGGATCACCTCGGATGAATGGCCGTATGTTACCACTCCCCTTGTCACGACCAAGGCGTTCCGCAAATGGAACAATCTTGAGCTGTCGTCCGTTGGAGCTCTTCCAACTGCGGGCACAAACAATGGAAAATACGCGCTTCAATGTAAATTCCAAGTCTTCTTGTCCTTCGAGCCACGGTCGAAATGACGGTGAAAATGTCCCCCCCTCGTCTTCAAAGAAACCGTACTGTAGTAATTGAACAACATGAGAACATAGGTCCCATTGATCCATATGTATCTGAAGAGCTTCAGGCGCCATTTGTTGGACATGACTTCGTTCCACATCATCCCAAAATACCCCTGTTTTGAACTTTTTCGGCAGAGACTGGAGCCACGGGTACCAGTTGGAACTCTCTTGCTTACTCATCTCTTCCAGAAGTCTTATCATCAAGAGACAAAGTGCGCCGTCAGCCTTGCCCACAAGATCCTCAACCCAATCTTTGAGAGATGTCTTTTCGTAGTATCTGCTGCTCAAAATCATCGACCGTGGTACCTCCAACACACTATCTCCTTGCTGCCCTTCTTCTGAGGTCACAAATATCCCTTCTCTAATTGTCAGATGCTTGGAAAAGTGTATTCCTGATTGTTCTGCCCATGCGGCAAGCATCTCTTGTACGCCACTTTCCCATTCGAATGTTGCAACGGCATGATCATCCTCGTCATCATCAAAGATCCTGAAGGAATCAAATACTTTTGTAGAATAAGAGCTCTCTGATGATCTCAAGCCCCTACACGTCTGGGTAAATGAATTGACTTGCGTGCGTATGCAGAAAAGGAAGACGACAACTCGCAATGTTGCCATCTTCGCAAAACCGAAATGTGACGTTTCTATTAGAAGCATAACCGAAATCAAAAATAACGGTCAACAGTCGTCCTTGCGTCGTGCGTGTGTGAGAATGGAAATTATGAGGTGGTCTACATTGTCCATCATCATCAAATATCTTCGAAACTAGAAGCGTTACGACTGCTGTGCACTTTGTCTCAACGAAAAGAACCATGTTGTCTCGATTCGCAACCACATCTACTTCGGTTTTCTCTCGACTCAACAGTTCGCGACATGCCCTGAATTTGAGCCGTGGTCTCGCCGCCAACTTTGACCGAACCAAACCCCACGTCAACATTGGAACCATTGGTCATGTCGATCACGGAAAGACGACCTTGACCCAAGCTATCACTAAGGTTTTGAGTGAGAAGGGATGGTCTAAATCCATGACTTACGAAGATATTGATCGTGCCCCAGAAGAGAAGGCTCGTAAGATTACCATCAACACGTCCCACATTGAATACGAGACTGCAAACCGTCACTACGGACACATTGATTGGTACGTTTTCTCAGACTGTGATGATGCTATTGAACAGATGCACGGAAGCATACTGTAGCAATCATAAACTTTGGATATTCAGCAGTTCAAAATGTGATACCACTGTGCAAAATTACATCATTTCTCACACTATCTCGTTTCTTGTTGGATTTTTTCCTCGAATCTTTCAAATACAGTCCAGGCCACGCTGATTACGTCAAGAACATGATTACAGGAGCTGCACAAATGGACGGCGGCATCTTGGTTGTTGCCGCTACTGACGGACCCATGCCTCAAACCCGTGAGCACATCTTGTTGGCCAAGCAAGTCGGAATCCCCAACTTGGTTGTTTTCATGAACAAGTGTGATTTGGTCGATGACGAAGAGTTGCTTGAACTCGTTGAGATGGAAGTTCGTGAATTGCTGAGCGAATACGGATACGATGGAGACGAAATTCCAATCATCCGTGGATCTGCCTTGGCCGCCGCCGAAGGAAAGAACCCTGAAATGGGAGCTGACAGAATCTTGGAGCTCATGGACACTGTTGATGCAACCATCCCAGAACCTGAACGTGACATGGACAAGGACTTCTTGATGAGCATCGAAGATACTTTCAGTATTGCTGGACGTGGTACCGTCGTTACTGGACGTGTTGAGCAAGGTGTTGTCAACGTTGGAGATGAATTGGATGTTGTTGGTTTCGATATGGACGCCAAGACTACTTGTACTGGAGTTGAGATGTTCCGCAAGCTTCTGGACAAGGGTATGGCTGGAGACAATATCGGGGCTTTGCTCCGTGGATTGAAGAGAGACGACGTCCGACGTGGTCAAGTTTTGGCCAAGCCTGGATCTATTGTCACCGGAACGAAGTTTGAAGCTGAAATTTATGCCCTCACAAAGGAAGAAGGTGGTCGCCACAAGCCATTCATGTCCAACTACCGCCCTCAATTTTTCCTTCGAACAGCCGATGTCACTGGAGCCTTGCACCTCAAGGCCGGAACAGAGATGGTGATGCCGGGAGACAACACAACCGTCGATGTTGAATTGATCACACCAATTGCCCTGCAAGAAGGTTTGCGATTCAACATGAGAGAAGGAGGAATGACAGTTGGAACTGGAATTGTCACCAAGATCGTTGAGTAATTCAACTAATACACATGTAAACATTATTAGATTCTGGTTTCAGACTAAAGCATGGAAACTTTCGACGATTATTCCAGCAGACTACATGTCGGGATTCTTTTGTTTTCTGGTCGAAGGGTATTACTATAGACTTAGGCTGATTTGGATAGACCAATAACACCGAATGCAACACTTGGCCCTGGGTTTCCGGTTGTAAGAGATTTTTCTTGGCCACCTTTGCCACCATCATCTTCCCCAGCAAAGATGACTATAGATCGTCCAATCACAGAATGTGGACCATAGAGCTTCACCATAGAGTCTTCAATCTTAATCTCTGCGTTTCCGGCTTCATCTGCGACGATGTTTCCAATGTCACCAACCATGCGCATCGACGGATCATCTTTTGGTGCTCCATGGGTCTTGCCTACGTTTAGAAAAAGCAAGTCGGGTTAGTACGAAATCTCCACCGCAATAAATGAATATCAAACCCTCTTCACATACCAAATGGATTGAAAGAGGTTCCACAAGATGCGCTACCTTCACTCAAGTCACCATAAGTGCAGACAGAGATCCCATGCTTTTGTCCAGGAGTCAATCCGCGGATTTGCCCTTCAAAGACGGTGGAGCTGCTTTCGGAATCTTGTGTGATCTTAAGGGAGCCGGAAACACCAGAGCTTGCCTCTTGTTGGAATGTACAGGTACAAGAAGCCATCTTTATTATCGAAGTGCTAAAACAAATTCAGGTTGTTGTGCGATCGTTTGTGAGGCAGTGGGAACCGACGGACGACAGCAAGACTCCACTCATGAATACCTTTCCACAACTCACACCTCCTCATCCACCTTTTTGATGCCTCGATCCAAACGTGCTTTGCTCCCAAAATACAACGCATGTACACAATATTGTTCCCATAGATTACAGAATTCTCGACAGCGAGCTTATTATTTTTATTATAAATCTATTCGTCCCCATCCATATCAACATCGCATCCTCTATTCGTCCCCATCCATATCACAGCGTTTCACAAAGCGGCCCTTGATACGAGGTCTGCTATCAGCCAACTTCTTTCTGCAATCATACTTGATTCTCTTTCTCCAGATTCTCATCTTTCGCTTCGCATGGAAGCGAGCAATGCGAGCCTTTCGAGCTTCTGGAAGGTAAATACCAATTCGCCCATCTTTGTTCAGCAACTCCATTTGGAAAGTTGCGGGGCTTGCATTGGCATTTGTCGGACTTGTGTTGCTCAGGCTACTTGGAAGCGTTGCGATCTGGCCTGGACTCGCCATGGGGTCACGTGGAACACCGCTATATGCTGGAATGGGCGTCACTGTGCCTGGGGGGTTCATCCCTGCCCTTGTTGGATCAGAAGACATGGTGGGTGGTGGAAGAACAGGACGATGAGGTGCTGATGGAACAGCTTCTCTCGCCTTTGCTAAAGCGTTCTTCTCATGAATACCACCGTCTTGAAAGCTGACTGGATCAAATATGATAGAATCACCTCTTGGTCTTGGATGTGGCAGTGGAGCCATGTCATCAAGGAGCTGTGGTGCTCCGGGATGTGAAAGTTCACTTGAAGGACCTCCAGATGAAAGAAGATCATCGTGAGTAAAGTTAAATAGATCGAACGAGAATGCTCGGTCCCTTTGTAGCACAGGGAAGTCTGTGGAGTCTGGAGGAGGCATGTCCACAGAATCAGAACGATCGTGGACATTATGATCACCAGCCATATCAGAGAAGTCGAAAGTGGAGGCTAAAGTGAAGAGAAAAAGGCTGTGAGACCAATGGAATCAAAATGGAATCAATGACGTTGATAGAGTGCAATACTTACGATCCAAATCTACGGAAAATATTCTGGCTCTAGCGGGAGGGACTGTCGGTTCAGTTATTATCACTCGCTTTTTCTCCCTAGAGGGAACTGCAGACGGAACCACAGACGGCACTGCAGCTGGTCTCGCCGCTGCTGGTGGGGCCACTGAAGGCGACGGAAGCGGACAAGGTACCGATGATGGCAACGGGCATGGTACTGCTTTCGACTTCGCTCCTGGATGGTTCGGAATCTTTGGCGCATATGAGCGAGGCTCCGATACCGTGCTAGCGGAGGTATGGGAGAGCGGATTTGGCACTGCTCCAGATGTTGGTACCAAGTTCTGTCTTACCAATGGCTGGTGCCCTGGATGCGAAAGTTTTGCCACTTTCGCTCTTGGAGCAACTGGTTTCTGTTTCGCCGAAGTTACTGGTTTCACGGGTGGCAAAAGGGGCACGGGAGACTTCCCTGAACCAGCAAGGTGAGTAAAGTTGGCCGACAGCTTCCCCAGAATCGGGTGGTCCTTTATCTGCGTCCCTTCCTTTGCATTCGGTTGCTTTATTATTAGCGGCTCCTGCCGTTGTTTCGCCGCTAATGGATTGTGAGTTGGTGGTACCGTTCGAAGCTCCTGTTGTTTTACAGGGACTGTCCTATGAGTTTTATTAAGATGCTGCGTGCTGCCAACCTTACTACTCGGCACTGCACTTGGTGCATGTCCACCCGCGCCACTAGTGACATGGTTTGGACGAGTGGGATCATTCACCGGTTCAGCACTTGTAACATCCCCAGGGCGTCTTCTTTTCCTCAAGCCATATCTTCCAGTTGGATCTGCTGGAGATGCTTCAACAACGCTGTTCACAAGAGCTACAGTCAACATGTGGTTCTCGATTTCTCCTTCCGAACTACAGACATCCTCATCCACCAAAATACTAGTCTCTTCCTCATGATTCATGGCAGCATCAAGCTCAGCTTCAGTCGCGTGGGCGCGGACATTGTCAACACTCCCACGACTGACGGGGTTTACAACACGGGTTTCAACAGTGGTCATGGTAGTTTAGGGTGTAGAATTGATTCGCTGATCTGCAACCGAGAAGAATAATGTGAGAACACTATACACAGGAAATCTGGACATTTGGCTCAGAGCCAAAGAAGTAAAGTAAAGCCTTTGCGTATAGCGTCCTTTTGCGAACTTCCAGCTTGCATGCATAATCATGAAATGAAAGCACACCCTTTCAACTACAGATCGATAGCTCACAACCTCGTGGAAAAAAGACTCAACATTCGAAAACAGATGGGCAGCTGTTTGAATCGTGGTGCTGGTTCGTTGAAAGCACGAACGGCTATGATTGTCGAATTGTTGTTCCAATGCTGAATTGTCTAAAGATAAGCAACTACAACATTCTTCTTGTATGCCAACATCACCTTCTAGTCTATCTTCAAGCTCGATGTTAGGCCTTCTGTACTTCCGAAAGATTTAAAAGATCGAACAAATCTTTTCGGAAAATCACTTGCTCAGCCTTTTACTAGCTCTCTCTTTACTTGGCGTATGTTGTCGTTTAATCTGCTAAGCGTCAAATCGGGCTTTCGTATGGAGCTGTGAGGTACTTACACTTTGCCTTTTTTTCTAATCTTGAGTTGATTGGTTTCGAAATTGGTTTCAAAATCGTCCAAAATAGTTGTTTGCAAAGAAGGGAGAATGTGAAGATTTATGAACACATCAGCTCCTAATTAATTTCGACAAATTTAATGTCGTACCTAGTATTCCAAAATATTCAAAATGAAAATTGAACATTTCCAGAGTGGGACACTTAGCCCTGCTTGCAGAACCAGCCAATCAAAGTTCCTTAGTAAAGAGGTATTCTGAATTCACAGTCTGGCATACTCACGTTGGATCCTTTCACGGTCTGGCATACTCACGTCGGATGCATCATCCATCCGTCTACATTTTGAATTAAAAAAACCGAGTTGGTTGTTGACAATCAACTTCGTCCAGAAGAAATCCACCCTAACGAACCGACAAAATGAGAGAACTAAAATACCATGAGAAGAAGCTCTTACGAAAAGTTGATCTGTATTCCTGGAAGAAAGAAGACAACCTTCATGTTGCCAAAATCATGCGTCGCTATCACATCCAAAACCGTGAAGATTACACTGCATATTCCAGGATATGTGGAATAGTTACCAAACTTTCAGCGAAAATAAAGACGCTGAAGAGTGACGATCCATTCCGAATTGCATTGACGGACCAACTTTTGACGAAGCTATCCGACATGGGGTTGATCAACCAAGTAAAATCATTGAAGCAAGCTGAAGACTTGACCGCTTCTGTTCTTTGTCGACGACGACTACCTGTCATTATGGTTCGTCTAAAAATGGCAGAGACCTTGAGGACAGCTGTAACATTTGTGGAACAAGGTCAAGTCCGAGTTGGTCCTCATGTGGTCACAGACCCAGCTTTTCTCGTTACCAAGGCGATGGAAGATTATGTCACTTGGGTCGACACATCCAAAGTTCGACGAACGGTTCAGAAATACAATGACAAGCTTGATGACTTTGATCTTTTGTAAGCTTTTTATGCTCTACCACAATGATTGGGGTCCCCGAGTCGTTGAGACCCACTTGTGGATTGAATGTGATAGGAACCTGGCTGAGAAAGTCTGTTTGTGACAGACGATGAACAAGCTAACCAATAGCGCTAGTGCTTGACCCAATGTCTGACTTCGCTTTCTTTTGGAACCCAGTAAACTTCATATCTGATGAATTCTTCGATGGTGTATATCATTCAAAAGAGGCTCAAACTTATAACAACTAATGTATCATTTAGAACGCCCACTGGATAAGCGAGACTTTGTCTCAGAACAGCTACTCTTCCATGATCCTCATGATATCGACCTTCCAAGTGATGTCGGCATAGAACCAAATCACCCAGAATAATAGAATAATTTGTATCATAGCTCGAATAGAGACTGGATGAACCGGGTCGTCTTTTCCTGAAATCATAATTTTCATTGGATGAATTGGAACGTCCTCGTAATCCCTATTTGCAAACTTTTTCAGTTCACGTTCAAATGTCTGCAGCAGCCTCAGTCGAGCAGGGTGTCGCTTGCAGGTATTCACAACAGTCCATGGTCCAATTGGTCCCATCTTATCGGTATTCCTCGCAAATTCGGTGAAAACATGAAGATTGCGTTCATACTTATTGAAAGCTACGAAGTCGGTGGGGTCGATATGGCGTTCAATCGCCTCCAAGCCCTCTCTAAAATGTTCAACGGAGTTCGCATCAAGCCAAGTATGCAAATCTTTCACAATGTGCTTGTGAGCAAGGCGCTTTCCAAGTGTGGCAGCAATGCTATCTTTGTCAGCCACGAAGAGAAGTTTGAATAATAATACACCTTCTTCTCGGCACTTGGCGTCATACTGTCGAAACTCATCATACTTCTTCATCCTGTCTTTTTCATTCAGCTCAGAAAAGTTTCCATAAACTACGGTTCATTCACACAAAGGTGAGTTGTGGTGATCAAGAAGATCAAAAGTGCGAGGAACAAAACGTACCGAAATCACCTGCTGGACCGCGGTCCCATACTAAGGCAGTGTACTCTGGAACTCGTTCTTCTTCTTTATAGACATCTTCCGGGTACTCAAATCGACCCCTGTCCATCCATGGCTTCTGTCTTTGCTCCGGTGTGGGGGGTCTTTTGTTGATAAAAAAGGCCAGTTAGTTCCATGTTTGGTAGAAGCCATGACAGGGGGAAACGTGATCGAACTTACCTATTATGCTGCGCGGTTCTCACCACGTAACCACAGTCCTCTAGTGCAGAACAGATTAGACCTCCCGTCGACGATTTTGCAGTACAATCTAGTCCTTCGAGATACAGAATAACTCGTTTCGGGGCCTTTCCTTGTTTCTGATATTTGGCGACCAAAGCAGACATCTTCTTCACCTGCTTTGCAAGCTCCTTCCAACGATGCTTGTCCTTCCGCGCCTTCATTGGAGTATGCCCAGATCGTATGAAATCTTTCAGAGTCATGAGGCTACTAGGGGGGGTGTTGATAGCGTTCTTGCCGCGCAGAGACCATGATGTTTTCAATCGGTTGCAAGCTGTTTTGTATGCAGTAAGCGTATCATCATATCTCAATCGTAGTGCAGCCCACTCTTGGTTTTTGAAGAAAGCTCCAGAATAGGTGTAGCCATAGATCGACTCCTCCGGCTCGACTGCTGCATCCATAATTGTCACATCAGAATGCTGAGTACCCCTTTCAATCTTCTTGCGTTCGAGTACTACATATCGCGGCATTTCGCCCAGAATGCTAGGACCATACGGTGTAAGATGGAGGAAAATTGCCACAGATCGATCCGGTTCGAGACGACGATAGCAAGCATATCCGCCTTGACCAGACCCAACGACCAGAAATCCAATAGATAAAAGCTTCGAACGAGTCTCTTCGGGTACAGCGCCATGACCGATTGCCTCTGCAACTTGATGCCCGAATTCAAGAAGCTCTTGGTCAAGAACAGTATCCTGAAAGGCTCCGGCGTTTGGATGGAACTGTTCGATACCTTGCACCGCCTTCCATCGGTTATGTGTGACGTTGTAGGTGCTGTATGTGAGTTGTCTCCCGAATCTACTTCCAAGGAACGAGACTGCAAAGGACAGGATTGCTCGGAGGAAACCAAGTGTAACAATCACAGGACGACTGTTTTGGTCCAGGTACGGTGCGATATAAATTGCACTGAATGGAAGGAATACCTGCTTTGTTGATTCATCAACAAAATGCCGAGCAAACCATCGAAAGGATCTGTTTCCCATGAAAGCACTGCGATTTGAAGATTATCATTTTGTAAATAACTGGATTCCATATGACGGCAATGATCTGCGCTTGGATAATACTTACAAAGCTTCTGCCATTCCGACTTCTACCAGACGATGGTCCCGTCTAGCCTCATATCCTCGAGCAATCGCTAGAATCAATCGAATTGACCTAGTGCCCTAGAGAAAAAATGATTAAAGATGAGTTTACCGATCCCAATGGCAGAACATTGTACTTTTGTTGAAAATCACATACCAGTTTGACATTCGTCAAAAAATCTCTACTGACACCCCCTCGACCAATCGCCTTCATGCTCCTAACGGCACGCTTGCCTTGTTTGCGTTTTTGCACAGCATACGATCCCATGGCGATCCAATTGACTGGATTCAAGCAGTATTCATATCCGCCACTGAGTCTCACCAGCAACCGACTTGTTTTCCACCAGTGACGGAATTGGTTCAACTGCCAAACGTAGTAGTTGCGGTGCCTTTTGAAACGTTTCTCTGGAGGGCGATTAGGATTTGTTTTCGGGTGTCGATTCAATTCATGTCTCCGATCACTGTGAAGAAATAGCGCCAAAATGGTTTCGGCAACCTCGACATCACCAATCGTACGAGCGGATGATGTAGTGGCAACAAGCAGCAATGGGCCGGTCTCTTCATCGGCAGTAGTCCCGTTTGCACTGCCATATGATGATTTTCCTTCTTGTTTCTGGAACAGTGGGAGGTTTGACATTCTATTTGGTGCCTGTTTGTTTTATTATTATTGTTTCATTTGTTTTGACATCAGTCGTTGCGTCGTCGTCGTGTCAAAAATCGCAGACTTTGTGATGGCAGGTTTTTTAAAAAAAGACACGACTCGGGCGACTACAGTATTTTTACTATTATTGTTCGAATGAATCCCAAATCCTTTTGACGACAATGTCATCGTGCCGCGAAGTGAGCATTGGTTCTCAACATGCCGATACTGTCGTTACCTAGTTCTACAACGATTCTCTTCCTTATATTCAGGGTTAGTGATTTCACAACATTTTCTTTCACTTCACCAGTGCTTCGAGACGGAAGGGAGGCACGACGAACACTGACAAACTTGAAGTCCACAAATGGACTGGATGTGGATGCTTCAGCAACCTTTATAAACGTTTTTACAACTGTGGAGACAAACGATGAGATTGGTGATTCCTCTGGCTCTTCTGCCTCTATCAAGAAAATGCTCTCGACATTTGAATATGCTCCCAATGGAGTTTGTGTGGATCCTGAACTATTTGTGCTAAAAGACAGTGACAAAACCGAACAGGGTGATGGTATCAAAAAGTGCTTTACAATGCGCAACGTCCCAGGCAATGGAGACTGTATGTTTCTGGCAGTCGCACTGGCTGCTGCTACTAGCATGGGATTGGGAGGGAACGATGCCTTGCTCGAAGCCATTTCCAAGGAAACCCGAGAAGTGGTGGCACAAGTCTTGTCGTCTCCAAATGGAAACCTACATATTGCAAATGGACAGACATGTAAAGCCCAAGCATTGTTACAACAAGCGACCCGAGGAGAGGGCTTGGGAGATGATACCGATCGATACTTGGAACTATTGAGAAAGCCAGGGGCAAAGGGTGGTATCCAAGGAGGAGGGCCAGAATTGACGGTTTTGGCCAATGTCTTGCGACGGCCCATATCGATTTATGAGCTGGCTCCGCCCGTTGATGACATTGGCGAGAAGGATCGCTTAGACTCTTCACCAAGCACTTACCCCATCGTTTGCAAAGGTACCTTTGGATTAGATTTGTTTGCAGATCCATGTGCTACAATACCCGAATCAGCTGTCTTGTCGAATGTTCAACCTGGAGCATACAGTTGGCAACTGCATATCCTCATCTTAGATGTGTCTCCCAATGGGAATGAGAAGCACGCCTGTGTTTTGCTGCCACAGACTCCTATATGAACAAAGAAAGAGATTAGATAATGCATTGAATTCAGGAGAGAATAGAGTGATGGGCTATTGCACGATCAGTCGTGTTGCCTTTCAACTGATTTCACTATAGTACAGCTAGGAGCTAGGTGGTAGGTTGCTCAGACCATATCGAGAACCATTCGGATCATTGCTGAATCAGTTGACAGATGCCAAAAAGTGCTTTGTTCATATCGGTACTGTAAAACTGATACTAATTTTTTCGATGCACCTCAAGCACGACTTGAGACACGCCTTTTTTTTCTGCAAGTCACTTCCGAATGAATCACTTTTTTGGTACGATCAATGGGCACCTCATCGAACAGCTTCCGCCAACATCTCCTCGAAACGGATGCCAGGGTCACCATAAAAACCCAAAATGAAGATCCAATCAATTGTACTAGTGCTTGTTTTGTCAACATATGCTGTTGCAGCAAAGAGGCTACGAGAGCAAGCTGCAGTGAACGAGCATGACCGCCAACTCCAAGAGAAGAATCCCAACAAACGAATCAATTGGGGAGATGGCTTGGATAACATAGGAGATGGAGGCTTCTTAGATGATATCAAAGATGGATTTGACGACTTGCTTGAGAACATCACAGATGCGTTTGATGGCAACAATTTGGGAGATGGAATTGGTGACCTTATTGGAGATTTCACCGATGGCTTTGAGTGGCCTGAAAGCTGGCCCAAGTTGAATGACGGAAAGGTCGATTGGGAAAATTTCACCAATTGGATCAACTTTGATTTCAATAACTTCACTTGGGATCTCATTGATTGGGATAGCAGCACATGGGACGACTTCCGCGGCGATATTGATCTTAACAATCCAGATATCGACTTTTGCTCTATCCTTGAGACTGCTGTCGGTATTGGAAAGGGATTTGGAATCGAAGGAAACTGCCGTTGCAAAGACAACGGCGATGGAGACATTGCCATCGGATGTGATTTCCAAAATGAATGCTACAGCTCAAGCGCTCTTTGCGGTGAAGTCAACTTGAATTATACTATGAGTGATGAAATTGCCGTCAGTGCCTGTGTGGATTTTGAAGGTGATTCCTATCCAGAGGTTTGTTTCGACTACGCGTACAACATGTCTGGGCAGGGGGCACATACTTGTTCAGCTTCCTATGGGGGCAATACATGCGAGTGTGCACTTGATGGCTTTTGCCTCAGTTTGGACTGTAGCATGTTCCTTCCAGGAGCAGCCTTTGACTCTTGCCAGCTTTTGGAAACGGTTACGGAGGGAGATATCATTTCTTGGTTGCCAGAATTCCCTGCTTTTGGCGACAACTTCTCTCAAGTCTTTGACAATATTGACTGGGATGTTATCGACTGGGGGAATCTAGACACTGATAATTTCAATCCAGGTGAAATTGAATGGGGTTCGAATGCAAGAGAGCGCCGATTTGGTGACATTATTAACGTGAATCCAGCCGACGACTTGATGTGTCCTATCCTTCAGAGCTTCATCGGAATGAGTACTGAGTTCAATTCCGCCGGTGGCTGTTCGTGCGGGGCTAGCGATGGCGAGGAACAAGGGTTGTCAATGGACTGCAAGTTTGAAAATGCTTGCGTGGATGAAAAGACCTGTGCGTCCATTGGAGTCTCGTTCGAGTTTGTAAAACTAGGCGGGGTTCAAACAGAAGCCTGTGTCAACTTTGCCGATGACGGTCATCCAGAGACATGTTTCGCCTTTGAAGTTGATGTTGCAGAGACTTCCGCCCCCACTTGCTTCGCAACGTATGGCGGAAAGGAGTGCAAATGTTCAATTGAAAATCTTTGTCTCGCAGTCGACTGCTCTGAGTACGAACCTACTGCTGTTGTTGACACCTGTCAACAAATTGACTTTGGTAGAATGGATCCCATTTCTTTCATTCCTCGTTTTGCAGAACGACGTGATGCAAGCGACATACAAAACGATGGAAATGGTGACAGCACGTCTAAAAACCGAGAAGCCGAATCATCAGCGACAGTACGAGCAACAATATTCGCTTCACTTTTGGTGTTGCTTCCATTGCTGTTATAGAGTAGTCCACCAATTGCAAACATAGATCGATACGTGTAGATTTTCAGATTCCTCGTCCTGTTGCCAGACTCTCATAAGATCACAACTAGTGTAAGGGATCGACTGCCAGTGTGTACCGCATTGCAGGACAAGGAATAATCATCTTGTTCCAGCATCATTTTCCACGGTAGTCCAAACTAGCAAAAAGCAGCTGCGACAAGAGAATACTGTCACATCGGTGACGGATGTCGCCAGGTTCTTACCCCTAAATGGTATTAGTACACAGACAGCAGCAAGAAGAAGCTAGGACTATTCAAAAAGAAGAGTTGTATTTCGATCTTTCTATTCTATTTTATTGTAAGACTTTATTTTTTCTATCATTTCTCGCTCTTAGAGATGTTTTGTTGTAGCACTTTACACAAGAGGATCAGATGGTGCTGATGCTGACTTTCTTCGCGTCAAGGCCCCAGGCGAGGAGTACAAATGTGCT